TATGGAATATAATTTAGGGTCATCGCTTAGCTTATGTAGCGGGAGCTTAGGGATCATAGCGCTACGCTCCTCGTCCTCATTGAGGAGGAAGAGCCGCTTGAGATCCCACTACGCGATCTCTATCTACGTGCGGACGAAGCGACGTAGACTATCTATCGTGAGGGTTAGCTCACGGTAATATAGTGTGTCGTGGCTATTATCCTAGTTGAGATAGCCGAGACTAGTAGACGTAGTGAGGATCTTCTTCCTAAACGAGCGTAACCGGGCTATCTACCCGAACGGTGCCTGAACCCCGAACATTAGGAATCGCTAGCGTATCTCATCGAGCGCGTTACTAGGGTAGGCTACCTCTCCGTCGTCCGCCATCTACACCGCCTTCTACGCGAGGAGCATCTAGGATATCTTAATGAGACTAGAGAGGTAGCTAGTATAGCTACTAGGGTCGTAGTACGCCTAGTTCGACGCATCGATCCCTAACACCGTAAGGAACCTAACGAGCGCACTTTCGAAGATGTCTCCCCGTAGCTTATAGTCGAGTAGCGCTAACGAGAGGTCGAGGTAGGCATAGTCTAGTTACTCGATGGCTTTGTGCGCACTCGCGGACATCCGTTCTTACGGCGGCGACGACGATAGCGACGAGTCCTAGGGCTATGTCGTTCTAGGGATCCCGCCCTCCTATATGCTACTCGTAGCTAGGAGGATACTCCCGACCTAGACCGCGTACTTCTCTATCCGATCTAATGTGCTAAGCTGCGCCGTAGTGAACTAGTGACGGAGCTCGATAGTCTAGCTAGGGCGACTAGTCTAGTAGACGAAGCTAAGTAGCCGCACCTAAGCCTACTAGTAGCGGCGGTAGGTAGAGGGGCGAAGTCGGATCTAGATAGGTCGCTACTACACCCCCTTACGCTAGATGAAGCTATTGATGCGCACCTAGTCGAACTCGTTGATCCGATAGGAGGAGATTGATTCGAAAGCGGCGTAGATTAAGCGGCCGATGCTGCCTTCGATGGTAGCGAGGATGGGCTCCGTCGTATGGTCGGGTAGCGTAGCTAAGGCCGTCATAGAGGAGAACGAGCGTCCGCCTACGTATTCCGGCTAGTAGGTTAGTGTGAGCCACGGGGAGGCTTCTATGACGTTGCGCTTAAGCGGCGTAGTATCATCTTTAGCCCTGGCAAGGTCGTCGGACCGGAGGAGTACGTCGTTCACCTACGCGAGCACAAAGTCGGCCTCGGACATCTTAAGCGCCTAGCGCGTCCGCTTCTCTTAGGCCTCTAGCGTTATAGGGAAGAAATGACTACTAGGGCTAGTAACGAAGAAGCGCTAGTAGTAGACTAGAACGCCTTACTTTCGCGCCTAGTAAGAGGCTAGCCGGCCGGGGCGGCTACGAATGCTATGATTCATACGTTAGTGTTTACGTAGTGCTTCTAGCGATCGTACTATATAGAAGCAGCCTTCCTCTAGGTAGCGATATCCTAAGTATACCGGTATTCTAGGTACTAGGCGCGATTTAGGCGGCGGCGGCGCAAACGGAGTAACGCTTGGGTCCTATGGGTTCAAATGCCATGCGTCCGCCTAGGCGGCCGCACAGAGTGGTTCGGTCTTTGAGGTCGGGTGGTGGCGATGTCTCTTGCTAGCAAGGTGGCCCTAGATCGTCCGTAGTGCCACGCCGGTCTAGCAGCCCTAGCAAATCCAAACCCGATAGGTCGAGTTAAACGCAAAGAGGTCCATCGAAAGGGAGAAAAGTAATAGAGGAGGATAGAGGAGGAGTGAGCTAGAGGAGTTCGCGTAAATACGGCGTAGAGGGATTTCGTATCGTGCTACACTCACGCGTAACGCGTTGGCCCTACTGACCTCGACATCTATCATATTGTATAGATCCCTGTCTCTTGCCCTTCGCTTCGTCTCATAGGTCGGTCTGGCAAGTTCGGGGCACGCGGCCCAAGGGGCCAGGAGCACGCACCGCGGTCTAGGGCGGGCTAATCGGGGAGCGGGAAACCGGGGCGAGGCGCTCACCCCAGTTGACCCTGGAGAGTAGGGGCTCTACTAGTCGTGGTCGACCTAGGTCTAGGCGAAAAACATTAACCCCTACTACTATAGTTCGACGTGGCGCTAGATCTTCTCCTCATCTATATACGCCTACAACGGCTAGTACGGGCTCCGGTCTTTCTCCGTACGCGCCGCCTCGATACGGATCAAATGGCCGGTCTGCTTAGTGATGCGCTGGCTGATCCGCGCCATACCGTCCATAGCTTCCTAGATGGCGCGTACGGCTCCGCCGGGGCCCTAGGCATCTTCGCTAGGGGTTTCGATAGATTGTAGTATATCGCGGGGTGAAATGCCTACTAGACGAGTGAGTCAATATCTATCAACTACCGAAGTGGGGGCGCGCCCCCTACCTTAGAACCTAGGTTTTAAGCTCTCCCCTTAAAACCTAGGTTCTAAAGTGGGTGCGCTAGGGCTAGGTCTCTCTCTATAACGAGCAAACTATCGATGCATGGTTTGGTACGCACCTTGCAAATACGTGGCCTACTACGTCCGTCGCAGCCACGGGTTCGCCTCGTCGAGATGGCCCGCCTAGATCGTACGGTCGTTGCTCGCCTACGACTCGACGTACGTCTATTCGAGCTGCTATATGAGCTCGTCGACTAATTCGGCGCGTGGCGGCGGCGGCGCTAATTCCTGATCTAGGCTAGTCTAGCGGACGTGCATATAGTACGAGCCAAACCCACGGGGGAAAATCCGCTAGCATGTCACACGGCGGAGCAATGTATCAATCGCCTGCTAGCGAGCCTTAATCTCCGATGGTCGGGGCCTCCCACGTTGTGTCTATACGGAAAACTTATGTTTAGTTTGCTAATAGTGTTGTATAGTCTTCATAGTGTGGCAAACGTACGAACATCGACCCCTTGTACATAAATATCCATCGTTGTGAATCGCCAACCCCTTAATGGGTCGCTCAATGTACGTGGGTAACATCGTAAGATCATCGTGGACCTCGTCCTACTCGTCGTCAATGACCTTGTATACCTACTGCGCAAGCCCTTATGAAACCCGATGTGGGCCCTTTGGATTGCTTAGATGCTAGATGATCTCTTAGGGTTTGACTACGAATCCGCATTGCTAGCAAATAGCAATAGGGAATTGATTGCATCGTATAAAATACTTATTAGCAATTGTGCGATTCGACATTATGGAAGTAGATATATATCTACTATATAGATGGGTATATTCTAGCGATCGACGAATTGATGGTTTTAAGAAAATAGATAGATGGTGCTAGGAATCATATTTACGACCCCCTAAATCCTACCCCTAAATTATAAGCGCCTTATCCCCCTTATAATTGATCAACCAAATCGACGAGTCGTGGCTACTGAAGCTATTACTCGCTCGCCTAGTCGCACCCTATCAAAAAACCCCTAATCTTCTAATCCTTGTAACCACAATTAAATCATCGAATTACTACTTAAAATTAAGATAGTACAGAAGTAAATGGTTAATTTACTACAAACCAAATTTAGAGCCATATCGGGCAATAGAATCATAATGTTAGTCCCACCCTAAAGATAATTTCAGTACGGAAAAAGTCCCCTAACAAAATTGTGCTGACTAAAATTCAGCGCGGCGGACTGAACTGACCCCCATAGGGTAGAGGTCCATGGCTCGGGGCTAGTGGTCAAGAAATAGGGAAATCGGATCATATAGATCATATAGTAGGTAATATACAAAGGGGAGGAGGAGGAATAGGAAGGGTGGAAAGGCTATAGAGAGAGGGAGTAGAGGATAGACTAGGTAGGTGGTATGGCTCGTGAGGATAGTTGGATAGGGACGACGGGCGTCGCGACGCGTCTACCTCAGAACGCGTATAACGGGGAGAGAGCTACTATGAGTCATGATAATGATAGGATCGATCGATTCGATTGATCGTCGTCGATAGAAAGAAAGAAAACGAGTTAGTCCCGAACAGTGGTCCCCGCGGGGGGGGGGGGTCCTAGTGTAGTCGTCGTGGTTCGGGGCACGCGGCGCTAGGGCCGGGCGCACGCACGGGCGCCCAATCTGGGGCGGGAATATTCCACCGGACCGTCCGGTGGAATAGGCACTGGAGAGTAGGGTGGATATAAGTTGAGATCCCTACCTAGTCGAATTCGTTGATCTAGTTAGAGAGGATAGACGCGAGCGCTGTATTTAGGAGACGTCGGACGCTTCCTACGATGACTACGAGGACTGGCTCTATGGTTACGTCGGGGGCCGCGGCGAGGTTCGCGATGGCGATAAAGGAGTGGCCGCCGACTACCTCTAGCCACCGCGTACGCTAGAGCCATAGCGTGGTCTTGTCCGCGCCCGTCTCGTAGTCGATTAGCGCAAGCTAATCGTCCGCCTCTACGAGTACGCTAGCCTACTTAATCGCCTAATCGACCTCCGTACGCATTATATCGGCTAGCGTTCGGTTAAGCTCCGCCTACGTCCGTCGTAGAGGCTCTACGGGCGTCACGATGAAGAAGGCCGCCGCCCCCTTAATATTATTAAATACCCGCTAGTAGGTTACCGGCTGCGGCCGTAGAATAGTCGCCCTCGTAGTCGCTAGGGGCCGCCTAACTAGCTACGCGGGCGTCCTATATACCGCCCGCCGGTGCTTCCGTATGCGATCAAGGGAGGTCGCCGCGAATAAGTCGTAGCCGGGTTCGGGGCAGCCGTACCCGCGGTAGGTCGGGATGCTAGGGATAGGTAGGAGCCCGGGGGCCGGCGTCTTAAAGGGCTCGCGTGCTGGGTCCTACGGACTCCGCTCCTACGCCTTCGCGACGGCCGCCTAGCGGAGGTCGTTGGTCCTTACGGCCGGGTGGGCCTAGTGGTGCCTACGGAGGTAGCCCTTAATCTAGTATAGGCTCACGCCTATCTCATAGGGCTAGCAGATCTACACGCGGAGGGGTTCGTAGAAGGTGAAGAGGTCTATCTTTCCTACCGTACTTCGCAAAAGGGGAAGGGATGCGGATTTTGGCCCTTTAGGAGGCGGCGCGATAACGCCCAACGACTAGCTCTCGCTCGTAGACATATAAACTTCTTCTCTCTCTCAAACCGGACGCGTCGCGGCGCGTCGTCTAAAAACAACATGATCGATCACAAAGCCAGAGATCGGTCTCGCGAAACCCCCTGCCCCTTCCCGACGAGATTGGACCCCCCTCCGTAGGCGCGCGGGACCCCCCTCGGACGGTGCGAGACCCCCCCTTCCTTCGGGGCACACACGCGACGGGGACGGGCGGCGCAGGGGAGCCAGCCGAAGCCGACCCCCCGGCGGGGGTCGGGTTGCGAATCAGACTGCAAAATTCTGTACTATTAAAGAGATAGCTCGATTATACTCAGAATGCCAGACATCTTCTATCTTGTTGATTTTGACCACATTCCCACATCGCGCGTCAGGTGATGAGTGGCCAATCAAGGATCCACTTGGTCAGACAATTTTAAGCTAGCGTATCTATCTAGTTTAAGGACGTCCTGACCTCTCACCCCTCATCTTTATCCGAACTGGCATTCCAAGCTTCGGATGCCCAGTAATCATACCTACCTCCATAACCTGATACGCTTTCTCGCCAAACACCACAGGCGAGTCATCAGGGAAAACAGGTTCAATCTCCATTTCACGCACCGTTAGCGCCAGAATCGCCCGCAGCTCAATCTGCGCCAGCTCCTGACCAATACAGTTCCGGAGGCCCTGCTCGAAAGGCCGCCATGCGTTTTTCCTTACATGCAGCGGCTCGCCTTCTTTTGCGAGCCAGCGTTCAGGCAGAAACTCTGTCGCTCGGGGCCAGAACTCCTCTGCTCGCTGGACGCCGAAACTTAGTCCAAATAACATGAACCCTTTTGTCGGGTACTGCTTCCCTGTTTCTGGGTGCGTTAGGTAGAAGTCTGGTAGGCCTTTGCGAATTGTGCCGACGGGTGGGAACAGGCGCAACGTTTCTTTGATGACACCTGATGTGTAGGGCAACTGGTTGAGCAGGGCTGGATTGGCGGCAATCTGTACTCGGGCTCTGCTTGTATCAGGGCCGAGTACGGCGTCGTGTTCAGCGCGGAGAGTGGCTAGTGCTGACGGACTTTTGTTGAGGAAGTAGTAGCAGTATGAGAGGGCTGTCGCTGTAGTGTCATGTCCCGCAAAGAGGAAGATCTTTATCTGGGCAATTAAGATGTCCATAAAATGTTCGTGGGCATCGGCTGCGTTGGTCTCGGACGAAGAATCTGGCTCGGAGAAGTACGTCTTGGTGGCTAAAGAGTTGATCGTCTTGTGCCTAGTTGCTTTGCCATTCATATGGTCATGTATTCCTCGTTCGATATGTGGTCGGAGATAATTCTTGATGATCCTGTTGTTGTTCCACATCCGAAAAGGACGCAGTGGGTTGAGAGCCATGGCTAGTTGATCGGGGGCATTGCTTGCCCATAATAAGGCAATCTGTCGCTTCAGTGTCTCATGTAGCTCATTCTTACTGGTTTGACAATGGAGGCGAATGTCACTTTAGATGTAGGCTGTTAGTTTAAGGTTGGAGAAGATGATAAGTAAAAGGGCGTGCATACAGGACAGCCCGGCCTATGATATCGATGGTGCAGTTAATGGCCTTATCTTCAAGCCTAAAAATTTCCCCACATTCTGCGGCGCCATTAAGTTGATCAACAAAGACATCAATCTCCTCAAGGAAGGCGGGTATGAGCGACAGAATGTTCTTGACTGAAAATGCCGGGTTGAATATACCCCTCCACGCCTTCCATGTCTCTCCCGACATGTTGAGTAGGTCGTTGAGTTGCGTAAAAGGTCTAAACTCGCCCGCCAATGACGGATGCTTCGGAAGCGAGGTGGTCTGTGTGAATTGGGCCATCATCTCAGGATGGAATACAGCTAGCATCGGGGGCGCAATCGGCCAGATATCGATATACATGAGCCCAGGTACCTCCAATTCTGGGTGATCTTTGGCAAGGAGTAAAGGCATATATTGCCCATGAACATCGCTGGGATAATTGGCCATGGTTTTGCCGACATGGTGCAGATGTCCAAAAATCCACGAATGGGGCAGCATTGGCTATGAGAATTGTAAGGGGCCTGCTCAATTACCAATTCAGGGGAATTTTACACACCACTCCATGTTGTCTAGCCGCATCCCGGAATAGACGACGGACTTGCCATACTCGATAGACACACACGATGCCACCCGCCAAGACGAGCGTCACACTTGCTCTGACCAAGGTGATAAAAAATACCATTTCACAGCTGGCGTTGGTTTGTCAAAGATGTCAGGAGAAAGGGACACTCACTCAGAGGTGAGATTGAGCTGTTGCACCCTATGCTGACCAGCTCGTAATTTTACGTTTTGGGGACTTCGATTAAACCAATCAGGCGCTGCCGAATATCCGAGGATGATTGGGAATTATGCAAATGACGAGCCTCGTCAAATGACGAATTAGCATTAACCACTTACGGCTAGAGACTAGAGAGCTTTGAACTCTTAGGGTAATTATCCACTGGGTAATTTACCCATCTGGCGCATGGTCGAGAAGGGTCGGATGGCAGTAAGTCCGACTGCGACCAGTCAGGAAGAAGAAAACGATCGCTCGATTCAACTAGCTAGGCAGCTGTCAACGAGAATTATCAACATGAGAAGAGAGAAGGAAACAAGAAGAAGTGGTGCACATAATATATAGGTGCAGACAAAAACAAACACGAAGACAAACACAAAGACGGAGTTTACCTGTATGTGAAGTCAGACCTTGACATTCAGTGGCTATTTTACCAAGGCCAAAGAGCTCTCTAGATAATCGACCTACTTGCTAGGAAGTGAAAGATGATACGATAGCTCTAGGGCATGCTTCAGGCCGGGTTACCTAGATACGATTTTCGTCATAGTAATCAATTCATCAAATTTACTCTTCCCCTCAGGAGATATAGTGACCCCTCTGCATGGCCATCCAAACCAGCCCCAGCCCAGCTGTAACGAACGGAAAAGTACTCTCCCTCGCTCCGGCCGTATTATATATAAATCTCTCTAGCCCATACAAACCCAACACGCCGACAAACGTGACAATAGCCAAATCATACACAGCCGCATTCGAGATATGATATGCTGCATACAGACGAATCATGCCCGAGTAGATGTTTTTAACTCCATAGACACGTGCAAGGAGCGCATGCGGAGGCGGAGCTGACGGGCCTCGGAGTGCGGCAAGTGCTGTTGCGGGATTGGAAACATAGCAGACTATGGTGTGAATGAGAGCTGCAATGCTAGTCTGTATGGTATGTTAGAGATGTTGCCTTGGGGTGGCTTTTAAAAGGGTTATGTACATAGAGGAGTAGATAGGGAAGATATCCCTGGTCTGTTGGCGGTAGTATCGAAGTCATTGTGTTAATTTTGATTTCAAAAGAAAGGGGGAGAAAAGAAATATAGGTTGGATTCAAGCACTGCGAGGATAGTCAAGGGAAATGGATAAAAGATGAGAGATTTAGGGCTTATATCACGTGACTTATAGATGGAACTTTTAGAGATACGATGGTTACGGAAATACCAATTTAACTTTCCTAGGGTAACGTGGCACTTCCTTCTGACCCGGTCCGGCTCTAGGCCGTGAAAGTTCAGCTTGCGGTTGAGATTGAGTGGCTCGGATTATGAATCATTTCGCAACTAGTCCACGACAACATGGAGAAGTTCAAAGATATTCCATTCAGCACGGACTGTATTTAGTCGCTAGGTATAACGTCCATTCTTTCGGCTTGGATTGGTCGTATTGTGGGATAAATACCGAGGCCGTCTTACAATGAAAAAGGACTATATTATGGGACAAGGCTTTGAGATTTTATTGTTCTTTGAAAGATGTCGAGTAAAAACGTCTACTAGTATTTTGTTAGTTGGTCTATCTGCCGCATCCTGATCACCTGATCTTCCATCATAACCAGGCGTCCTAGGACGCCTGAAATTGCAGAGTTTTCTCGCTTCTCTGCCCTTAACGCCTTGGGGCGAGTGACCATTGGCGGATTTACGACTCGACCTCAACACAAGATCGCAAGTTTTTTATCCCAAATTTTGCATACGGTTAGTAATAATTACTTTATAAACCACTACAGAATTTTAGAACTACATACCAACCCGTTGTGCTTTAATGGTGCTTAAAGTCGACAAGATTTTGTACGTTGGATCTTTGAAGAGTGGGGCACCCTAAGACTTCAACCAATCATGAATTCCCTGGACTCGGAGATAGCCAATGGGAAGCATATATAGTTCAAATGGACCTACTTGCCCTTTTGAGAATCTTCCTTGTAAGCCCCTATAGATCTGGGTACTATCATAGACCTCTATGATGGTAGGCATCGAGCGATGAGCTCTATACTATACGCTGATCGAACCTTCGCACCCGAATCTATCATTATCCTAAGAGTAGTCTCCCAGAAGGGTAACCCCATCTAGGGCGGTGGGCGCTGACACCTCAGGCACCCAAATGATCGATTCTGCTCGCAAACACTTCGCTCTCTGGTGTGATGAGCAAATGTGGCACCTCTGTATGCCTCAAGTCAACGAGCTAAGGCAACCTGTATATTCGGACTACTGCAGATTTACCTGGCCAGGACTGCGGAATTCGGACTGCGGTTTTGTGCGGATTTCGAAGTATTGCGGAATTGAGCGAAATCCGCACTATCAGTAAATAAATGCAAGATCAGCCAACTATCAGACCTGAAACTTTTTTACCTGCTCATGAGTTTTGTTACTATCCTGAATTGTGTCTCGAGTGATAAACGTTGATTGAGTGACATATTTTTCCATCTTACCTGAAGTCAACCCTGGCAATTTATCTCCTATCTTTAGACGAACTACTGCATGATGGCCACAGAAGAGCAACGCTTCGCAAAGGCACAAGCATTAGAGCGAGATCCAAACCAAAATGGAAACGACTCATCCCTACCGTCTTCTGAATATCCAAAGCCAGAAGCTCTTGCTAAACCTGAACTCTCTCCACCTCCGGCTGGAATAGACCAAGAGTATGAATGGGTGACAGGATACAAGCTGTTGACAATTATGACAGCTGTTATACTCGTGGCACTTCTCATGTTGCTCGATACTTCAATCGTCGTTACGGTAACACCATACAGGCTACATTCCATACCATCTGGCACTGATGAGAGAAACTAGGCTATTCCTCGCATCACGGGTCAATTTCATTCTTTGGCCGACGTGGGCTGGTACGGTAGCGCCTATCAACTTGCATGGTATGTTCCCTCATTTTCCTGCCAGGTATTGACCTAATCTCCAAGCAGCGCAGCTATTCAACCGCTCACCGGACGTTTCTACATGAACTTAAATTTGAAGGCTAGTGGGATTACTCATTTTTACTGTACCAAAAATTAGGGCTGACATTTTGGTATAGTGGACATTTCTAGGGTTTTTTGCCATTTTTGAGATAGGTAGCTTAATATGTGCTGTCGCAACTTCCTCTAAAATGTTGATTGTTGGACGAGCAGTGGCTGGATTGGGGAGTTCAGGCATCATGAATGGGGTCTTCACTATCATATCCGGGTGTGTTCCAATGTCAAGGAGACCATGTACGGTTTTTCTACTTCCATTGTCTCTGTTTATGGATCGCTAACCTTTCTAAAGTTTTTATTGGAATCACCATGGGAGGCAAGTTTGGCTTTCATTTAGATACAGTGTTGAGATACTGACAGTTGATATAGTGGCGCAAGTTGGCATAGCGGTAGGTCCATTGATTGGCGGAGCATTGACAGAGTACAGCACATGGAGATGGTGTAAGTTACTCCTTTTTCTCTTCTTTCTTATTGCAATTTCTTCACAAATCTCATGAAATTGTGATATTATCAGGCTTCTATATCAATCTCCCTATTGGTGGTCTGGTAGCAATCATGCTTTTCTTTGTCCAGATTCCTGAGCCAATCCGAAAGGAAAAATTCTTAACGGCCATCAAAACCCTTCCTGGTAAACTGGATCTCATCGGCTTTGTTCTATTTGCGCCATCTGCAATTGAGCTCCTGATCGCTCTCCAATATGGTGGAAATAAATTCACTTGGAACAGCCCCCAAATAATCGGACTCTTTTGTGGAGCGGGTGTCACCTTTCTTGCGTTTCTTGCCTGGGATTATCACAAGGGCGATGCGGCCATGATCCCATTCTCCATTATTCGAAAAAGAATCGTGTGGTCAAGCAGCATTTCGTATGGTCTCTTGATGGGTCAAATTTTCTGTGCTTCCTATTACCTACCTATCTATTTCCAGGGAGTTAAGGGAACAAGCCCGCTGATGAGCGGAGTTTATGTTCTTCCCACTATCCTGGCTCATTTGTTTGTTGCACTGGCTTCGGGCAAAATCAGTGAGTACGTGTTATGCCGTTATGTTATTATCTGCTAACCTATGGTTCGCAGTGCAAAGAGTGGGATACTATCTGCCGATAATATTGACGAGTGCTTCACTAAGCGCAGTTGCCAATGGTCTTTTATCCACGCTGTCCCCCGGTACATCAACTGGAAAATGGATCGGATACCAAATTATATTAGGGGCTGCTCGAAGTCTGGGTTTGCAAGTTGTAAGAATCTCGTTGCTTCTAAAACCTAATGATTTCATGCTGAATTTCAGGCCCAGCCAATTGTTGCGGTGCAAAATGTGTTGCCTGCTCCACATATTCCAGTCGCCACAGCATTGGTCATGTTCAGCCAATCTTTCGCCGGTGCCCTCTGCCTCAGTTTCGCGGATACTATTTTCACCAACAGTCTATCCACGCTTATCCCCCAGTATGCACCATCTGTGGATCCTCAGAGAATCATAAACGCAGGCGCAACGGGGTTTCGGTCCTATGTTTCTCATGTAGAACTAGAAGGTGTCCTCGTTGCTTATGCTAAAAGTTGTGACCGTGTCTTTTACCTAATGATAGGAATGGCTTGTGGTTGTTTCCTTGTCTCATGCGCGATGGGCTTGAAGGACCTCAGAAAGAAAAAAGCAGTTTCAAAGGTATAAATATCCGATCGGATTACATGAAATGATTTGTTATGAGGAAAGGATGATTTCAACTTGAACGGACTAGTCGCCTAGTTAGCTTATCTCACGCAGCGCACAGATAGTAAACAACAACAACTCTTTACTCCATTCCAACACACCTCTTCAAATTTGAAATCAAAGCACAAATGAGATATTTGAGTCAGTTCAACCTATAGTCCTATCTTCTACCGCCAGGATAGCAATATGTTCGTTGTTAGGTTTTGGATTGAATTTATTTAGAGCAGAAAGCGTCTTACCACACATTTAAATAAGATTTCGCAATTATTCTTATTGGCTTTTTGAGTTCTTTCTTGAATATAACTTTCGTTTCTTTTCTTTTTCTGTCAACAAAATCACAGACTGGCCCCCGCGTGATTCAATAGAATCGGGTGCGGAACATTGTACATCCGAATCACCACCTTAATTACCTGAGATCCAACTAACGTCTCTTACGTCTCCCGAAGTCACTCTGACGTACCTCATGAATGACATGTGCCATTAGACAGTCTTTGTCGACTGGTATTATTAAACTTGAGCTTTTTGCCTCACAATGGACCGTGTATCAGCGTCGTTGACCGGTAAAGCGGCACCATATGGCCACTCCTGCACCAACTGTGTGCAGGCTAAACGCAAGTGCGTTGTTCGCTGGGAGGGTGGGCCCTGTGAGCGGTAGGTTGCCCACCATAATTAACGAAGACGTAGCAATTAATGGAACCAGATGTTTCAAGACAAACAGACAATGTACACCTGCGACAACAGTGCGTCGCCGTAATGTGCAAAAGTCGGGTCCATCCAGGACTACTCGACTCGAGGAAAAGATAGATAGCCTCGTGTCACTGATGAGAGCCGAACGACAATCTGGCGTTGAAACATTGCCATCTCAAATGACTACAAACAATCATCTATCTATCGACTTAGCCCAGATGGACACTCCGGTCAGCAATTCCGATATTAGGTCGACCCTGAATGCCTTAGGTGATGGCCAGGACACTGCATCAACAAATACAACCGTTACCACTAACTCGTCGAGCTCCTTGGATACTGGCCAACCATCACCGATCGAGGCAGAGGAATACCTTGCTCAGTTTCAAACTTGGAAGCTGCAGTACTTCCCTTTTGTCTATATTCCCTACGATACGAGTGCCGCAGACCTCGAAAAAGACCGACCTTTCCTGTGGCTTTGTATCATGGGCATCGGCTCAAAGTCATCGGCCCAACAGCAATTCCTGGGGAATAAGATTCGGCAAGTTATCGCGCAGGACCTAGTAGTTCAGTCTCAAAAGAGGCTTGATCTTCTTTTGGGGCTTTTGGCATTTATTGGCTGGTTTGATAAGGCTTGCTCTTGGGAATATTTAAGGAGACTGACCTTCTTTTATAGGGCGAATTATCAGGTTAACAAAAAACCTTTCCTATCCACCTTCACACAGCTCGCAGTATCTCTGGTCTTTGAACTTGGCCTCAATAGGCCAGTTTCAGGAGAACAATCGGCGAAAGTTAATATAAGTGGCTGTTCCAGATGCCATGCACCTCGGACTAAACCTCGGACCATGGATGAACGAAGAGCAGTTCTCGGTTGCTTTATATTGACATCCATGTAAATCTCTCTGCCCTTTCGTTTTTGACCCGATGCTGATTCCTTTAAGTATATCTTCATTCCTTCAGAAAATCGATGCCCTTCGGTGGACGCCGCATATGGATGAGTGCCTTAGAGTAATAGACGAAGCAAAGGAGTGCCCCAATGATGAAATTCTGGTTCAACAAGTGCGATTGCAGCTTGTCGTGGAGAAAGTCGCTGAAAATGCGGCACATGCGCTGGAATTTGAGTCTATTGAGCATAGCAAAGTCTCACCAGAATGCATTTCTGAGCTGGAGAGCGTCAAATTCAACATAATGAATGCTTCTCCAAAAAATTGTCAGTTTTCCTACTCCATATCATGACAATCACCGCTAATATAAGCCTAGCAACTTTCTTGCATCTTTATAGCGTTGAGCTAGAAGTCGCTCTTTCTACAGCGCCTTTCTCTCGCGATAGTTTAACGACATCCCAACGAGAACGTCTCCACATGGCGCTTTCATCTATCAGTTCCTGGTTCAATATCTTTTTCATGATCCCGCCGGCTGGCTACGTTGGGCTTTCTTTTGTGAATTTTTCTCAACTAATTCGCTGCTTTAGCGCCCTCATCCGGCTCGCGACACTCAATGATATAACTTGGGATAAAAGCTATGTTCTGGAGACTGCAAACCCGCTAGAATTTTTGAATCGGACGCTGAGTAATCTCGAGCGAGTACCACTTCATGCCGGATTGGATAATCGGTACTGCGCGGAGAGTGATGTTTTTACGCGAACTGCACAACATTTCCGCGTTCTTCGGGCTGAATGGGAGACAATGCTAGCATCGAATGATATGGCCTCTACCATGGATTATTTGCAACCCGCTAACGATATATCCCTTCCGGATTTCCTTGGAGAGGAAGTTTTGGACGGCGATTGGTTTATGGATCTTTACCCTTCCACGTTTTGATGTCTTTGTCATGATATGATACTTGTGAGTCAGTTTGAAAAATAGAGATCTAGTCTTTTCCCTAGTTAGAAACACGTGCTAGGGCGTAGGTTACGACGTGAGTAGTACATCCACTAGAGCAACTTTACGACTACGTAGGCTGCGGCAGAACCTACTCGACCCAAGCCCAAGATGCGGACCCTATGGGCCCCAAACACTGCAAACATATGTGGATACTCATGACTGTATAATTTGTGAGACGTTGGAAAAGCACACCCCTGGGTTGGATTTCTACACCCCTGATTACATTGAGACTAGCGTAGTAATGGATTACTGGGCCGTACATTTGGAAAGAATGTAGATCAGGGAATTGGGAAATCGTATATAGAAGCTAGAATATGGGCTTTCTCTACCTCCCACGTTCTAGTAAGCTTTGTTTATATCCCTCCTAGTCTTTAGCTACTAGACCTATCCGTCGCCTATTATTCTGCCTATAGCGATTCAATGATCACAGCAGAATTGACTCTTGATTGAACTTATAAGCTCTCCCTACACTATGAATCCCACGACCCTCATACTCCCTCGTAGTAGAGAAACAATTATTATCTAAAGTGCGGACGGTCATGAAGCAGGAACCCGCGCTAACTCTATGCCACCTCCCTGAACACTACAGTTTGGAGTTCATTTAAGCTATAATCGACTATATCAATAGATTAGCCTCTAATTTTAGATATTCTGTAGTCGAATTACGCTCAAAATAATCTAGAAACTCTTTGTGTAGCGAATAGAGAGTATGGCCGATGTCTGACCGCGGATACCCCCTTTTACTAGATGAAGCGCTACTAACGGCTTTATATAATTAATGCGGTGGTTTTAGGACTTGTAAGTAGTGATAGAAAATATTATATTAGGGTATTAACATTAGGAATGCCAAGGTAAATGGATTTCTACATTGTAGTCCAAATGTAATCAGGAAGTGTAGAAATCGAACTCAGGGGTGTACTTTTCCAACGTCTGTAATTTGTTTACTCCTTGGCTGTAATATAACTATTTGATTTACATCGGAGTGGTCTAAATGAGCCTTTTCCGCTGAAAAGATAATTAGTAATGATTCGTTTCTGTAGAAAAGTAGGTACGAAAGAGAGGAGTAAAACCCTGTAAAAAGTGACTCAATTATGAATATAGAAAAATCTAATTAATAGTACAAATACTGATCATCATCTCTGCTTTGCCGATTCCTTGGTCGCACTAATGCGCGTATCTGAGTGTTTTTGCTTCCTCTGGTAGAAGAAGAGATTAGTCGTTATCCTTAGGTGCACCTTCATCTTCCCTTTCTGCTTCGTTCTTTATATCATCAATGGTCTCTCCATCGTTATCGCTAGTCTTCCGCATGACCCAACGTAACCCGGACTGGGTTGGGTTTTGGGTCAGAGTCTTCGACCCAGAACTAAGTCCGGGTTATAATGTCTGACCAAGTACTGGGTCTGGGGCCCCAACTTGGGTTATAAACATTGCAAACACGCCCAGGCCCGTGACTGCATAACTTATGCAATGTTTGGCTATAATATTAGGTATTTCTGTTACAATTAAATCAGAACTAACTTCTTAAATTTGTAACAAAGTAGTAAATATTAGATGAAATGTAGACCTTATATCAATTGCCTATACTACTAACTAATGGATATCGTCTTCTCAACTCTTTCGCTTCCCGTCCTGACGCGCGCATTTATGCTAAGTTCCCTAGTCATGGCATCTGGTCACGTTGTGTAGATTCTTCAAGCGTAACCTTCGATCCAAATTGGGTTATGCGGAAGTCCAGATTTTTGGAAATGGCGCCCATACGCGGTCCGCTCTACATTGTGGTAATAAAATACGCTCATATTTTAATCTATATAGTAGGGGGGCGTAAATACGTGATAATACGTTCCCACCGTAAGGTCTTAGCACACCCCATCAGCCATGAGCGGGCTCAAATTTCAATTAACTCTCACCCGCACAATTCTAGGAATATCACGCTCAAATTTTAATACGACGGTCCAATATGCTCGATTAGAAGTCCTGAAATTTTGAAGCCGATTGCTCCAAAATTGCGAAAGTTTTCTGGTGGGCCAAAATCTGACCATGGCCCACCACTTTTTTGGCCCCCACTCTAGGTTTCTTAACTATGGGCCCAGTAGGTGGGCTATGTCTGGAATAGAGACTTTCGGGCAAGTGTCTCCAGGAATAGGAATGCCGAAAGAGAAGGGAGGTATATATACTTTACTGATAGCGCCAGTTCTTGGAACGTGCTACATTGAATCATCTATAAACACCCTCTCTTGCACTTATTTTTCTCTTGCGATTAACTGGCATATTTTCAAAGCTCAGAGGGACGCAAATGGGCGCTCACTGAGCGGCGGGTGATTAGCCCCTGGTTTGGTGACTAAAAGCAGTGGTGCAATCATCGGAATTTATGTTTTATAACACATATATCTTTCGGGTAAGAAATATCCTTTCCGCGCGAAATAGATGCGCATGGAGCAGGACAAGCAATTTGCAAGCTAATAACCGTTACTGCAAGACCACGTTAGCTAAGAATTGACTATCTAGTGACCTGCACCGCAATAGCCTGAACCCTTTGCTCGACTTCTCAACTCTTAACGCTAATCTCAGAATATCTTGCTAGACACCTTTTGCAAGAAAGTTTTATCCGTCGTGGTGCATTCGTCGACTGCGACCACACGTCCCGTCCAGAGATCAATATCCTGTATTGGTACGATTTTGGTCTTTTTCACGATCTTCCAGAAAGTATATAAAGCGATAAATATTCTGGCGTGGGGATCAGATTGTGGGCCTCAAGCTCAGGCGGTGCATGAATACTTACGGGATACCAACGTATGCCGAGATAAAATCGTGAACATTCCAATTCCCACGTGTGAACACGGGAAACCCATTAAAGATCAAGACGATACCGAAAAAAACAGTTGCACCCCAGGCTAAGTGAGGCTGGAAAGGGGACTTAAATGGGAGCGTGTCGCGGTTGATATTTTGCAGGAGAAGTGCTCTGCGGAAACGGGTGTAGGCAATGCAAATAGAAAACCATGTGAGTAAATAAGCGATAGTGACTATGCTCGAGAACCAGTGGAAAATGTTCGAGCCTCCGGACGACACGGTCATATACGTCAGGAGACTGATGGATGCAGTCACTCCGACGCCTAGGAATTTCGAACGGTTATGATCCAGATTCAAATGCCAACTAGAATTGATCCGGGAACTCACAGTAAATTGGAACACCTCGCTCTGTGCACTTCCGGAGGAACTTTGGGGCTTGGCCTTGAAGCGATAAAGCATACAAATAACGCGAGCCTGCATACAGTAACGCATTTGCCGAGGACGTTGCCGATGTAATAATGACAGCATTTACAATGTGTGGCAAGGCGGGAATCCCGGCGGTCCGAATAGCGATAATCCAAGGCGACTGGGCAATGCCGCTGCCATAGAGGAGATTATCGTTATTAGAAGGGACGAGCAGGCCAACCGCAAAAGAACCCAAGCAGAAAAAAACAAGTAGGCGCCAAACAACACGGCGGACAGCCTTGGGAATATTAGATGTCGGGTTTTTCGTCTCGCCCGCAGCAACGGCGACTTGCTCCGCGCCGCCGAAGGCAAATGCAGCGTTAATCAGGGTATTAAAAAGGCCTAGAAAGCGACCAGCCGAACCTTTCGCAATATAGGCATTCATAGGCCCGGGGTGCTTCCAGTACCGAAAGCCTATTCGGTCGTGAGACGGGCCTCCGCCTAGGTCAAGACAGAGTGTCATGATAAGAAGACCAATGATAGTGATGATTTTAATCGCAGCAAAGACGAATTCAGCTTCTCCATAGATGCCAACAGCGATAACGTTGAGAAGGATAACAACGGCCAGGATAACGGTTATCCAAACGGCAGGCTATTTATCATGGGTCATTGTTCTTTCCACCCGACTTTTCCAGAACTTACGTTGATGTCAGTCCAAAAACGGATGAGCACCACGGCAGCAGAGGTCTCTGCACAGATTGCAATTGCACAGTTATACCACTGATTCCATCCAATCGCAAATCCAAAAGCAGGGTCGACGAAACGAGAGCCCATTTGGGCTACCATCCCGGGCAAAGGGAGCAAGGAGGCCATTTCCCCAAGGCATTGCATCTGTTCATGAGATTGTAAGAGTACGTCGATTAGAAGAGCGGCGTTGAGAAGGCTCACCATGCACCAAATGGCCACGGACGTAAAAGAGTATCCTAGCCAAAGTGACAGCGGTCCGGATGTGGCCAAAGCACTCCCAATTCCTAGAAAGAGACCAGTACCAATGGTGCCGCCCACGGCGATGAACTGGACGTGGCGCTCTTTGAGCGATCGATTCAATGCTCCATTCGGGTCGGTGACAACGGTTCCAAGCTCTTCATTGCTGGTAGTCGCCTCGACGTCCTTGTTGGTTGCCATTTTCGAATCCATTGGGTCTTGTTGGTAGCCAAAACTCGCAGCCCACAATTGATGAGAATTTACTTTGGCTCTGAAGAAGGTGAAATTAAACTCATGGCCATGACTGAGGAGGGCTCATGTACCATTTTGAATAAGATAGAGCGGATGAGAGGCTGGAGAGATGAATTCGCCGACGTCGATTAGTCGTGCTCCAGATGTAGAGACTGGGCCACAGGTGAATAACGATGCCTCTCAAAAGATAAGAACAACTTGGAGGCGGCAGCCACAACCAATAAGTTATCCGGAAATTTCTGCACTATTTCCCGAAATCCGATCCGAATGCCTCATTTCCCGCCGCTGTCTCATAGCCAATTATAGCTGCTTATTATTACGGAACTAATACAAGGACGACGATTTCAAGACGTTACGGTCTCAGTTGGCCAAATGTAGACGTTATCCCTAGCATCAACCATCACGAAAGACTATTGGCGCAGCTCCTCTCGACAAGGTAAAACTCGTTCCCCCACATCGTGCGGGAAATGTGCCGCAATTTAAACCAGTTTTTGATTATGCGACCGCTCAAACAGAATTGGCGGATTCATTGACAATTGCTTCGGCAGAAAGTTGGGTTTTTAAAAGCGACAAGATTCAGCTACACTTGGCTAGCTACTTAAAGACAAACCACTACGCTCTTAAAACATTAGACGGCCTATCGCAATTACAAGGCTAAACAGTCGGAGAACGTATCAGGAAATGGCTTTATTATCGAAGGGCGTGTCGGTAAATGGAACGCCACATTGATGGTCTCCAGCATAACGTCATACTGTCGTCGATTGAATGGATATGCAGGTACGATTTTCTACTTTACCACTTTCGGAGACCGCCTTCCCTTTCAATGGCGCCCATTAAAGCTTTTTGGTTCGATTTCATGGGCACTTCCCTCGACTGGCATTCGAGCATCGTGGCGGCTCTGCCTACCGAGCTCCCTGAATCTAAAAGATCAATATTCGCGATGGAATGGAGGCAAGCTTACTTTGACGAAAACATCAAACACTTGAGCGAGGGCAAACCGGTGGAAGACTTCGACGAAACTCAATGGCGGGTCCTCGAGTCGTTTCTGGGCCAGAATCAGAACATCAGGCACTTATTCTCGACCAAAGCGAAAGACCAATTAATATTAGCTTGGCACCACCAAAGCGCTTGGCCGATGTGGCTGAAACTCTCAGAAAGTTGAAGAGTGACAGGGATCTGTAAATGTACGTCCACGCCAACTGCAGTACGCGACTGCAGTTGGGTCTTGTCAAGTCCGCTGGGTTACGCTACGACATGGTATTCTCAAGTGAGTTACTGGGTTTCTATAAGCCTTCACCGGAAATTTATCAAAAAGCCATGAAGCTCCTGAAACTCAATCCTGATGAGTGTGTGATGGTGGCCGCCCACACAAGCGATCTGAAAGGTGCCAAGGCCGTTGGGATGAAAACGGTGTATGCGCACAGATGGACGGATGATATCAAAGAAGATCAAGAAACAATTCGGAGGGAGAACGATGGCTATTTGTCCGACATGCACGATTTAGATGATGTCATTGCCAGCTTTTGATAGATGAGAAGCTGACGGCTCATTCGCTATGAACATATCGACAGGCAATGTTGATGAAGTTGCCTTCAGAATTTGAGAAAAGACCTGTCAAAGTCATGATCAGGTCTCGTGAGGAATTAGGAGGGACGGGATCAATTACCTCGACCTAGATGCGGCACCTCAAGACATATAATCGACGCAGCATTATCATCTTAGCTCTCTAAATGGGGAGTTTCTGACGCTTAAGAATACCGAACTATCTTCATCATGACGTCTGAATAACCGCCTTGCGTCATTCGCGGCCTGCATCGCGGACCTGAGGTGAGACTGGTTGACTATCACGGCTCTAGGTCCAAACGTGAGATCCCTAGCTCGATATATAATGACGACAATGACCTAGCTACTGCAAAAAGGGGCAAAGGCAATAGGATGTCAGCGCATCTATAAGTTGCTTAACAAAATTTCTCGTACGTTAATAAGCCTTGATTCTCTACGACGAAATAACTTACTATATTTAGCGAGTAATATTAAACTTATATTTCTTTCAAGTCATTTTTCGTTTACGGTTTTAGGAAGGCGGGGCCTGCCAGGTGTCTCTACCAGCACAAACAGGCCTGCAGTTTACCCTTTAATCGTAGTGATCCACTACTTCTGCTCATATCTCGCCATACATATCTCCCTGCACCCCACCTTTTCATCCGCCTTGAATGGTCCGTGTAACATTCCCGGCGGTCTGCAGCAATAGCTGCCAGCTTCCATCCACCGCTTCTTACCCACATCATATAATCTGCCCTCTATAATGTAGCATTCCTCCCAATAGTCATGCGCACAGACAGTGTCTTTGTCGAAGTTATCGCTAGGGTTTCCACCCCAGACGCTACCAGGAGCGTGCTCTTTGTAGATTGTTTTATCGCCAGTGGTAGGGTCCAAGGATAGTGTGTAGGTCTTGTAACTGGTGAAGCTACCGTCGGCATTAGAGATCGATGTTATCTTGGACGAAAAAACACCGTTACTGTTGAGTATGGGTGTAAATTCAAGTTCGGGTTTGGAGAGTGGTGGCATTTCGGTTGAAGCGAATGAGAGATCTCAAAGTCCTTGCGATTCGATGGCAGCCTATGCTTTGCTGTGAATCCTCTGATGAGATAAGGAGGTGCACAGGGTAGCTTTAAAACAGACTCTGCTATGGGCCTTGCATAATTTAGACTTTGCATTAACCGGTGTTACCCCATCGGGACTATTTTCGGTTTTCGGTTTTCGGTTTTCTGTTCCTCGGTAACAGCAAATATTGTCCGATTGCCACTGAATCAATATGCCAATTTCGGCGATATTTATCCGCGCCTAATTTCCCCTCTCTCTATTCCTTTCCCGAGTAACGCATTCCAACCGAGTTAGTTAGTTGTCTGAATTCAAAATGTCAGGCACGTGGTCGGGAATGGTGTTGGAAGATCGAACACTTGTCTGACATGATCTATCGCCTCCTGGCTCAACATCCCGTACCAAAGTTCGGATCAAATAAAGGAACGGAAGCATCATCAGACCACGTTGAGCCAGAGACATCCTCATAGCAGGATTGACCACCGAAGACACGCAATGAAATTTCCAGAAGAAAATCGGACTTGGCAGATTATCCATACTGCTAGAAAAGGGGGCTACGCCGTTGGTGGATTTTGCGTGTAGGTGGCCTCTTTGTTCAAATTAGCTGGCCGGCGGGTCGGCGGAAATGTCACCCTCTTGGAGGACAAAGTCTTTACAGGGAGACTTTCGTGTCCGTATTGACTGACTTTGGAGTCTAGGTATAATGTAGAAGGCGTGCTGGCCGTGATTCGAGCCGCCGAGCGATGTCGTTCTCCGGCCGTGATTCAACTCTTCCCTTGGTCTATACACTTCCAAGGCCCTCCATTTGTCAAATACGTCTCTGAAATGGCGCGAGCAGCCTCAGTCCCCATATCTGTTCATCTCGACCACTGCCTCAAGCCTAGGGACGCCGATCTTGCTCTTGAGTGCGCTTTCGATTCTATCATGGTAGATGGCTCAATGTTTGAGGAAGAAGAGAACATCAAGTATGTCCGCTCCGTTGTTGACCGTGCTCGTGTCAAAAATATCACCATTGAGGCAGAACTTGGACGCATGGAAGGTGGCGAAGACGGTATTCCCTTCCTAGACCTCGAGAGTGTCTTGACGAAGCCCGAACACGCAGCACGATTCATTAGGGAGACTGGCACCCATTACCTAGCTCCGAGCTTTGGTAACGTCCACGGCCCATATGGGCCAGGAGGCGCCGAGAAGTATTGGCAGCTGGATAGGTACGCATTTTCAGCGAGACATTAGAAAATGGTCTATTATTTAATTTTATTAACCCGTATTTTTCTCAAATAGACTTGAAAAAATCCACAAAGTGGTCGGCACCGACGTTCCCCTCGTTCTTCATGGAACGCACCCTCTTTCAGACGAGCTCGTCCAGCAATCCATAAAACAAGGCATGGTCAAGATCAACCAGAATAGAAATGTGCGGCTTGATTTTCATCGGTACATCGAAGGAAATTGCTCCAAAGTCGACCTCACGGTCCTGCAGTCTCAGGGGGTTGAAGTTTACAGCAAGGAGATTGAACGCATGATGGTGGAAGTTTTCAAGTCTGCAAATAAAGCATAGGGCTTCGCAGTTTGCCTTGATGTCTTGTAAAGCTTTATAAAATACTTTAGCAGACTTATTGCGAAACGCAAAACAAGATCCACGCCATTTCGCACAAATGACAAGCAACACACCTCTATAAACGAGTCTACTGAGAGAAATTGGATATTACATTTACTACGAGCAGTTAGGCCTGAAATAAAACCTTGAGTCGAAATGATGAAAGATTTAAGAATCAGCCCTTTAACTTGCTTTGAACCATTTATATTCCATAAGTCTCTTAAGGTATAATTCACAGGTGCCATATTGTTCCTAATGATTTCGATACTAGACCCGTGACTCATAGTTTATGAAACGTAATTTAAAGCCTCTTTGAGCTAGTCATGTTAAAGAATCTTGTAGCTGTTAGCAAAGAAGCGTCTACTACAGACCATTGAGCATATTCAATCTAAACAGTCTTGCGCAGAAGCATCGGAGAAACCCTATTACACAGCAATAAATGTCTATATTGCTACTAGTAAAAAGTCCCTTTACTACTAGCATTAGCCAGCTGATGACGTAAGTCCGCCATCCACGACAATCTTCTGGCCAGTGATATATCTCGATTGCTGCGACGCCAAAAAGGCTGAAGTCATGGCTACGTCGATAGATTCGCCCATCTTGCCCATAGGGACAGCTTTATTGCGCTTAGCCTTGAAGCCCTCCAAATCGCCACCAGCATACTTGTCAGCCAGCATGCCAACGAGAGGCGTATTCATGAGGCCAGGTACAACCACATTTAAGCGTATACCCTTTCGGGCGTATAGCACCGCCGTGGCCTTAGTGAATTATATCACAGCAGCCTTAGTCGCCGAATAGGCTACTTGTGGCTTTCCAATGTAGCGCAGAGCTGCGACTGAGGCTACATTGACCACAGTGCCGCTGCGCTGCTTCTCCATCAGAGGCAGGACATGATGGCAGCAGAGGTACACGGACTTGAGATTGACGTCTGTCTGCGCATCCCATATCTTCTCTGACATCTCGCTTGGGCCACCGGGTTCAGACCGACCGACATTGCTATAAAAATATCAGACATTGATGAAGCACACAAAGTTGTATCTTTACCACTCCCACGGTGGTATATTGTGTTCTGATCTTCTTACTTAATCAAGATATCTATGCGGCCGTATTTGGCTATGCAGGTGTCAACTGTGGCCTTGACAGACGTGTCCTTGGTCACATCCGCCGAAATGACGGTGATGTTGCCCCCTTCGGCTCTGATGCGGTTCTCAGTATGCTGAGCAGCCTCAAGGTTAAGATCGCAGCCAAAGATCTTGGCCCCATTGTGCGAGAGGATCCGAGCCACGGCCGCTCCATTCCCCCACATGCTAGGATCCCCCGTCTGGCCAATGCCCGTTACTGTTATTTGAGAGAAGTAGCATCAGTCAGCTGTCGTGCCTTTTGATAAAGAGAGATTGGAATAGGCTTACAAAATACCACCTTGTCTTTTAGATCAGGGTATATTGGAAATTCGACGTCTTCTTTGTTCGCCATGCTGAGTGGATATAAACGCGTTGAATCGAAATCTGTTCAACTGTTTTTAACCTCGTGAAGTAAGAAAATCGAGAGGATTGTTCGATTGTAGGATTGCGTTGAAGTCTCCTGTAGATGTTGGGGTTGCTTGAGGCAGTCTACTTTTAAGAGTGGCTGACAGGTGAAACCGGCATTTGATCTATACTTTTTGCGCTATGGATAGTTGCTCTTGATTTGGGCCGATACTTGATGCAATGAATTTCAGTTCAAATCCGGCATCCTACTACGGTACACCGGGCTGTAACACAACAGCCGGGGTATACCCGAACGATACAAACCTCTTCGGCTTTACCCAACCTGCGACCCGGTCCCACTCAGGCTTCTGATCTTCTCTGCTGCCAAAACGAGGAGTCTTTCCCACGACAATTTGCCAACAGGAGAAATCCAAATGCAATGTCCTTCCAGAGTTCTAGGCTCAAATGCCATATATTCATCTCTTACCGCTGTTTATGCAAGCATTTTCCGACCAGATCGGACAAAACATGGTAAAAATTGGTGAACCGAAAAACTTGTCCCACGTTAGAGACTAGTAACTGGCTGATCGCACCCTAACAACGGTTGAAGCACTACTATGCCCTTAGCGCAACCAATGCTTGAGGGCTAAGTGGATCACTGAGCCAGCCTACAGCCACGTCCATCTCTCCCATCGACTTATGCAGCAGGGCCAAGCTCAACTTATACTTGCGCTTATGCTCCAGCTTCTCCTTCGCGAAGTCCAGTCTGCCCGCAGTCGAAACATCACCAGTATATACAGGGTGCAGGATAACCACTTGTCCGTTAAATACGAGGCACTGAGAGATCAGCTGTGCAATATTACTACCTGTCTCCAAAAAATAAAAATAAAAATAAAAATAATCAAAAAAGGAAAAAAAAAAGGCCCAGACTGCTGATATTTAATGAAATCATCCTTTTTGGCTGCCTTCAGCCGAATCCAGTACTTGGGTCTCCTCCCTTCAGCGTCAACTGCCATCTTTCAGTCATCGCCGTCGCAACCAATCAAGGCCCAAAGTCAATGGCTTGACACAAATTTCGACTCTCTCACAGAAAGAGTTTCTCACCAGGCCAGCGCACCCATCTATTGGGACGGCACCAGTCTCGACTCCAATGGAAAATCAGTGGTACACAATCGGGCCTGGAATTTGGGTGTTGGTCCTTAGCGGAGATGCAAAGACGGATCACAAGTCTTGCCTCCAGTGGTACAAGCCAAATGCCAAATCCGTCACAGACGACATCATCACTCACACCTACATCGAGGACGTGTGCTTCGTCAAGGGCGGCTTGTCAGATGTCACCCTTGGCCAAGGCTGGGGCCCTGGGGCCTGTGCCTACAGACAGCCTGGTATGAAGCATGGCACATACAAGGCATTTGCAGTCTGTTAAATTGGTGCCTCCAAGCAAATTGTAGATCATCACTTTGGGACAGAGTCCGGGTATCATCTGTGGCGATGGAAAGCCGGTTTGAGCAGTCTTTTATGATTGTCAAATGGGATCAGGTATATGAATACTGGTAGCCTTCTCCTCATCCAACGCAATACACCAGTTGGGCGTGTATTTATATTGGCCATTGAATATAGATCACAGTTACGTGCTACTTAATAACCGCCTAATTGCGTATCCTAGGACCCGAGTTGCTGAGACATTCTCGGACGCCAGTGAAGACCAATCAATAGGATTGCACTAGTACCTAGCCTGTGGAGGAATGACTAAACTGAATATGGAGATATCTGGAAAACACGTCCGCAACCTCGCTCTAAACCGATACATCTTTTGATACGTCGGCTGAGCCTGCGTTGTGGATGCCAGTGGCGATGCGACAAAATTTGCCGAGAGCTTCTTCCTGGATGTAAATTGCCGACGCTGACAATCCCGAAGTGGGCCGGCTTTTGATGCCGACACGCGAACGCCGGCCAAGTCGCTGCTCTCAATGGAGTCATGGTCTTAATAAAGCTACTTGTCAGTAAAGTCATAATCTTAGAACACGTAGCCTGTAGACGTCGAATACTATATTAAGAGCTAATTCAGTTTGCTCGTCTTGATCTCATTTTGTGACATTCATTGGTGCTGATCCAGATCTATCTTATGCCAAGTTGTGCTACCGATGAAGTTACACAAGAAAACCATGTCGAATACCAGTTCGGTCGGGCAGCCGCAAGCCTTGATGATGGGTAAAATCCTCCACGCCAAGGACGCGTTCGATGGGCTATGCAGATCAAATTATATCGAGGTGCAGTACCAGTTGGATGAGGACGCTGTAGACTCGATGAAAGCGACTTATTGACTCGCTAGTCTGCAGCAAATAGCAACGGGAACCAGGAGCCAATTCTTTGAGGATTGCGACTCCGGAGTCTACGACAACGTCGTTACTATTGGACGGACCGTAGACTCAGTACAGGTATGCATGTGATCTTCCGATCAAACCATCCCAAGCTCAAAGCTTAGTCTTCTTTCCTTTACTATGCCTAGTTTACGGGTCTTTTTGACGCCGAGTTGATTGCCAAATTACCCAGTTCTGTCAAGTTTATATGTCACAACGGCGCTGGCTATGACCAAATTGACGTGGAAGCGTGCATAGAGAAAGGTATTTTGCATATATCCTTACCATAACGGTGTGAAGACGCTCGTTTAAGCTTTCTATACTAAATAGCGGAATGTCCCTGATCAGGTATCTTGGTTTCCAATACGCCTTCCGTTGTCAATGACGCCACCGCAGATACCACGATTCTCCTCCTTCTCGCCGCTCTTCGTCGCGCCTGGATCCCTCAATATGCTCTTCGAAACGGCTTATGGAGTAGTAGTAGCCCACTGGGTCGCGATCCCGAGGGGTTGGTTCTGGGGATCCTCGGCCTGGGTGGTATTGGGTCCGCCGTGGCCAAGCGAGCTGCCTCATTTGATCTCAGACTTCAGTACCATAACCAATCGCCAGTTTCAGCTTCGGTCATGAGTCGTCTTAGTCTTGATGCTGCTGATGAGCCCAAATACGTCAGTTTCGAGGAGCTGCTGCGCACAAGCGACATCATCTCTGTCCATGTGCCGCTGTCGCCTAAGACAATACACTTGATCGGCAAGAAGGAAATCGACATGATGAAAGATAACGCCATAATAATCAACACGGCTCGAGGGCCCGTTATAGACGAAAGTGCCCTGGTCGGAGGCCTTGAAAGTGGCAAAATCTGGAGCGCTGGGCTGGATGTCTTTGAGCGAGAACCTAACATCCACCCGGAGCTGATGACTAATGAAAACGTTATCTTGCTACCCCATATTGGGACAGCGACAGTTGACACTCGGGTGAGGCATCCTATTTTCAAGGTTCTTGGGAGACCCAAAAAGCAAAAGGAAGCTAATTGGGGTTAGAAACGCATGGAGGCTACAATGCTGGAGAACGTGAGAAACAGTCTTATCCACAAGCAGCTTCTCACCCCTATCCCAGAACTTGAGCAAACTGGCCGCTGAATAAAGACAAAGAAATTTTCATACTTGACCTGCTTCAACATGAGGTAACGAATAAAACCAAAACAAGGCCGATCCATCGTAGGTAGATGTTCTCGCCCTAACCGGGCAGCACCTGGCCACTGGATTGACGTGCAATTGAATCAATCATGTCCTCCCACGTACCCAAATCAGTCGGACCAGGAAAGGCAAACCCTTCTGAAAATGCCTCGCCTGGTCGTATCGGCATCGTGCCATCTGATATAGGTCCAAACCATCTGTCGTTCATGTCCCACGCAGGCGCAGACTCATCCCGAAATAATGGCTGCCACAATGGTTGCGGCGCTCCCTCAGCCAGCGCCGAGGAGAAGCTCTGAGAGCATGTACCATCTGAGGACTGCGTAACAGGGTTAAATTGAACTGATTCGTTTCCTTTGTCCCCTTGCCGCTGCCGCTGCTGCTGCGGTTCTTGGTCGTGCGATCCGCCTGTAGAATATTGTTGCTGTTGCTGCTGCTGCCTGCGGAGACCGTCTGCTTCCCAACCTCCTGCTCGGCGCTTCAACCTGTCAATACACAACTCCACTACGTCGACCTCTGCGAGGCGAAAGTCATTGGCCCATATTTCATTTCTCTCCTTGTCACAGAAGGACTGAAGATCATTAATTACTGGGTGTAAGTCTCTGGGAAATGGCGGCTGCTCTTGAATGGCCAGCAGCCCAAGGATAATGGCGCTGTTAAACAACCGGGGTGCGCCAAGACACCATGTGTAATGGTCAGCGGGCTCACAGTTGTCGTCGTGTTCGAGCCGCGTCTTGAGATCAGCGCAGGCCGATGCAAAACACACCTCTCGACTGTATCGATGTTGATCCGTGACGGAGATGCGCCAGATATATGGCCGGTGCAGCGTGATGCAGGCAAAATGAAACGCCGTGTGCAAATAGACGCGATGCCATTTGAGGAACGGGTATGTCTGGTCCAGTGACAAATCCGGCCCGTCCATGTCGAAGTAGGCTGGCAGACTCTTTTTCCAGGCAATGAGCTGGGCATCTAGCCTCATGACTTGCCCATACGAGGCAGCATGCAAGCCAAATGTTTGCTCCTGGATCCTTCCAATGACCTTGGCGAGTCGGTACGAGAAGATAGCCAGTACACTGGGAGTGGGATTTGTGACGAGAGATTCCTGCCGGTAGGCACTAGTGTCATCGTCCTTGAAGTCGTCTAGAAACACGTTTTCGGGCTCGCGGGTGGCCGAAAGGTTGTCGAGAATACAATACGGTCTCCCCAACGCAAGGGCTATCATGCGGTCTAGGAGATACAGGTGGCACCAGAGTCGCCGCCGTGCTTCGGTGACGCGGCGTGGCAGTTTCCAGTGGGTCCCGTCGATATGGAACCCCTGGGCCATGGCGATGCGGGAGGCAAATCCGACGGTGAGCCAGCTTTCGGTAATACGCTGAGAAAAGAGACAGTACCGCGTGACCAGTATGCCGGCGCGGACGAGATCAGTGCTTTCACCATAGAAAGACGGGGCAATTACGATAGCCCTGCGACAGGCCCAGAAGAAGCTCAACGAGGCCTCTTCGTGTTCCCTCTGTACCTCTGGGCGTGCGTCTCGAGGACAGTCGAGGTATGTGCCAATAGCAAGGACAATAAAGAGCAACGCCAGCCATCGTATATCCACGGTTGTCACATCATCAAACCCGGCTTTGCGGCTATAGAAGCGTTCATATTCCTTCCGAAAAGACGACGGGTGGACGGCGTCGACAGGGGAGGTCACGTCGCGCAGGAAGAGGTCCACCAAGCGGTCAACAGTAGCCCGCTGGCGCGGGAGCATGCCCAGCAAGTCCCACAGCTGAGAGAAAGGACCGGCTTCGTCCCGAAAGGGTCGCGCCATAGAGCTCCGGATCGACGTGCTTGCGCCAGGCTGGATATAGGGCGCCGAGGTGTCAAGAAGGGCAGCCGCCACCTGTGGCCCAAAGTAGGAGTTACCAAAGAAGGACGGCGCGCCGCGAGACTTCCATAGTCGACCGACAATAGCAGGGTCGCTTCGGTCGGCAGTGCTCTGGGCAGGGTCCCCAGCTTCTCGGTCCGCTGCGGCGGCGGCTGTCGGCGTCGTCTGTTTCCGGCCGCCTGTTGATGGGGGTCCGGGCTCTAGACCCCGACGGTGGCGCCCCCGGAGGCCCCCTTGGCGACCCCGGAGACCCGACCCACGACTAGGTCTGGAGGATGTCATTGGCACCTCTGGCTGCGACGGTTGCAAGCCGGTAGAGTCTTGTGTTTGCACCCAGGGCTTGCACAAGCCCTGGACCTGGCGAGCTACGCAGTTGCGACAGGGGAGCGATCCGTCACACTAAGACAGGGAATCACATTAGCTAGCTACAAGGACGACACGGAAAATGAAAGCCAAAACCGGAGCCCAAACCAACCTTTTGTTTCCGGGCATGACACTCCGAGCAGGCCTTGGCAATCCGGCCCCGTCGGCGGGGACCAGGCCGAAATGGTCGATATTCGGATCTAGTTACCTGTCGGAGGTAGACGTCGGTGGCGTCACAGTCTACGGTTTCTGCTTGAGTGGGAAACGGTTCTTGTAAAACCCACTGCATGGCCATCTCGCAGGGTTGTCCTATGGGGCGCTAGTCAAACTTCCCGGGCATATGGAGTCAGTGTGTCTCCGTTTTTGCCGACGGGTCGACTTTTGGATGTCAAGAGTCGCGTAGTGGAAAACTGGCTTTCTTTAATGTTTGGCCGACCATGCATGGGAAACCAGATGCTATCGGCAATTTGACATGTGGTCTGGTCCCGTGATCGCCTGGTGGCTAAGAGCGAAGGGTTGATGGGGCGGTATTTTCGGACAATTCAGCCGTCGGACAAATCACTTCTTCTCCTACTCGTTCAAAGGTTCCTAGGTTCCATTCATAGGCTTCGCCGAGGTCGCTGTCGCATTCATGTAATCCGATTAGCAAGGCATTTAAGGGTTAATAAATCTAACTTGCTAGTGAGACAGAATCGCCCAGATGATTCTCTCGTGTCTGCTGTTGGTAGTTGAAAGAACTACCAGTTCAGCATTTCCCCCTTTGTTTCACTGCCTCGTCACGCCCTGCAAAAGTGCCTTCTTATTAAATCCATCGATATCTTCAGGATGCCTGATCAGTCCAATATCGCTCTCGAGGCGGAACAGAAGGCCTTTGACGAGACGGCGCGGGCCATTGAAGAGTGGTGGAGCACACCCCGGCAGCGACATATTAAGAGGCCGTACTCGGCCCGGGCCATCGCCGCGTTGCGTGGCTCCGAAACTGTACCCTGCGTCTCCTCCCCGGCAGCATTGAAGCTCTGGGCTATGCTGTGCGAACACCGTCGAAATGGCACCGCCGAGATGACCTTTGGCGCGACCGACCCCGTGGCCGTGAGCCAGATGGCCAAGCACATGCGGACCGTCTACGTGTCTGGCGGCCTTTGTGGTTTCAGCGAAAATAACTACCCGGGCATGGATCACGCCGACTATGTGAGTTGAGATGCCGCCTCAGCTGGGCCAGCCATAGGCACTATAGCCAGCTAACAACGGTGCGTCGCCGACGGCAGCCCTGGGACACAGTGCCCAAAGTTGTAGATAAGATCTTCAGGTCTGAGCTCTGGCACGACCAGAGACAATACCAGTTCCGCATGAGCCACAGGCTTCAAGATCGCAGCGTACTCGAAAAGTGGGACTACCTGATGCCTATCATTGCGGACGGTGACATGGGTTTCGGATCTCTGACAACCACCCTCAAATCTACGAAGGCGCTTGCAGAGTTCGGAGCCGCCGGCATTCACATAGACGACCTTGCAATTGGCCTCAAGAAGTTCACCATTGGACAGGGGAGAACTATCGTGCCAACCTCCGAGTACGTTGACCGCGTTAAGGCTATGCGCCTCCAGCTGGACATCATGGGTGCCGAGACGCTCATCTTTGCCCGCTGCGACACGGATCACGCCGACTACATAACATCTGTGGTGGACCCGCGGGATCATGAGTACGTTTTGGGGGCTACAAGGGACGTCAGGCCTCTTCAGCAAGTCGTGAGTGACGCCATCGCGGCCGGAGAGAGTGTCCTCGATGCAAGGTCCCAGTGGATTGCTTCTGCGGGACTGAAGACCTTCGATGAAACGGTCCAGGCCGTGGCCACCGAGGCCCAATTCGATGCGTACAAGCTCGACTCTCGCGTCAGTTACGGTTCGTCTCTCCGTCAGCGTCGGGAGGCTGCAAGGGATGTCACAGGAGCCGATGTCACGTTCGACTGGGAGCTCCCGCGCTCTTCAAATGGCCAGTACATGTTTCGCCAAACCGTAAAGACCATTGTCGAACGCGCCCTCCTCGTCGCCCCCTTGAGCGACCTTTCCTGGTCGAGAATGGACAGCCCCAACTACCACGATATAAAGGAGTATCACGAAACGATGCTATCTTATCTGCCCAGCCGCATGTTTGCCTTTGCCTGGGGAGGCGAGTGGTCGTTCCCCCAGTCGGCTGGATGGACACCTGAGCGGCGTAAGAATGCATCAGCCATCATGGCCAAGGACTTTGGCGTCGTCTGGCAGGTTCAGCCCATGTACATGATTCAGGGTGTCAACATGGAAATTGAAAGGTCTGCAGATATGTGGACAAGTGAAGGCATTGGCGGGTACTACGAGAAGATTCAGGCGGCGGCTATTTCAAGGAAGCCGTTCAAGGTAGATGGGTACGAGAAGATGAGCTGGTGTGGTGGATCTCTTAGTGATGCATTTTTTGCGGCCGTGGCGGGGGAGGAAATCTCACAGATATAAAAAATCGTGGGATACCGTGGTGGAGGATATTTAGAAGGGCGATGTTCGGAGGTAACGTTGCACATCAACTGCCGACTTAATTTTTGTAGCTATCTTTCATTCCCACCCATATCGGGCTATACCAAGGGAGATAGATTCATGGCACTATCCGTGAAAGGACCATTACACTACTCCCGAAAGTCGCACCTTAGTAGCCACAAATAAAAGGTCAACTCACGTTATCTGTATGCATTGTCGTGTAAGTCAAATCTTGACGGGCTTCATCAGGGGGCGCGAACTAGTACCCGCCTCCAAATGTCAGGCCCTCACCGCTCTCGCTGGTGAGGGCCTTCCACAGTCTAATCATATTTCAGTCTAATGATAATTTTCCCTTCCCCCCCAACTTCTACCTATTATTTCCAACCACCACGATGTCAGAAAATTCTAGCGATAGTGAGGATCGAATGAGTAATGCCTTACAAGCATACCATGATCGTGGCAAGCCAAAAATTGCGCAATTGGCTCGGGAATTTCGCGTTCCGTACCAGAGGCTTTTAGGACGCGTACAGGGTCGCGTTTCTCGTTCGGCTCGCCCTGGCCCAAATAAAGTGCTTGACAAATCCCAAGAGCAGGCATTGATAGACTGGGTGACCCTTCTTGATAATGCAAATGCGTCATTGACCGCACAAGAGGTTGAGGCGACTGCAAATGAGATTTTGTTGCGAGGTGGTTCCGACCGACGCGTCAGCAAAAACTAGGCCTATCGCTTCCTTAAACGCCTCCCCCCGATTTCGAGCATATCGTTAAAAAACCAATGGAAGCGGAGCGAATGGATGCAGAGAGATTACCAACAATAATTGAGTGGTTTCATAAAGTAGAGGGGATCGTACGCGACTACAAAGTTGGACCAAAGAATATCTATAATTTCGACGAGACGGGCTTCCAACTTGGCCAGGGAAAATCACAGCGAGTTGTTACAAGGCATAAGCAAGCAAAAAACATTCCGACTGGTGGGATAGGCGAATTAGTGACAGCTACTGAATGTATCGCAGCAGACGGATGGGTAATGGCACCAATGATTCTATTCGCGGGTTTAGTGCATCTTGAGGATTGGTATCGTGACCAGCCAGATTTACCAGATGATTATATCATTGGCACGTCGCCAACAGGGTGGAATAATGAGGTAAGCGCTTACTACTCTATTAATTGATTGATTAATTGATTGATTAATTGATTGATTAATTGATTGATTAATGGATTAGGTGCGCGCATATCAATGGCTCCTACATTTTGACGAGCATACAAAACTACGACTTCCTCGTCGTACAGACTATCGATTATTATTTCTTGATGGGCATGAGTCCCATAGGAAGTACGATTTCATAAACTATTGCTCAAAGAATCGGATTATCCTATACTGCTTCCCCCTAAACTTACCCATCGACTTCAACCACTCGATTCGAAGCCCTTTCAGGCCTACAAGCACTACTATAAGGTTGAAAATAATCAGACGAAGCTATAGGGAGGTTCAGTCTCAAGCAAAGCAGATTTTCTACGGTCTATTCACTAGATTCGGATGAAGACTTTCAAAGAATCGACCGTCCGGCATTCATTTAAGCACTGTGGGCTTTGGCCCTTCGATCCTGAGGTTATTTGCAAAGATCTTCGACCAGACGTGCTAGACCTAGTTATCTATGATGAAGGCAAAGAATACAGGCTTCCAGAATGGGATTTTAGCCATAGTCGGCCAGTTCAGGAGGTAGGGGGGAAAGGGGAGGGGGGAAGGGGACGATTCACAAAATACAACTCCACCCCTAGCATCAAGTTCTACAATCAATTCGCCACCAAAAACGCTTACAAAACTACGGGAAAAAATTACTAAGGCAAGAGAGCGCTTCCTAGATAGTCCAACAAGCGATTTTTCGAAGTTACAGCGTCGTTTGGAGGCAATTTTTGAGGGTAGTCTTACCCAAGCGGAAATGGCAGCCCAGGCATCTGCTGGGCTCACCAGGTTATTTAACAACCAGCAGCAGGCCAATACCCCTAAATCTAGGCGACAGGTTAGTAAAGGGGGTGTTCTCGCTGTCAGGGACTCCAATACTATGATTAGGTCAAGGGATATTGCAGAGGCAGCTAAACAAACTCGGAAGTGGGCGCGGGAGGCGAAACAGCAGCGGGATGAATGGGCTCGCCAGGACCAAATTAGGAAGCAGGAAAATCGGAGAAGAGAGAGGGAGCTTAGTTGAGTGACTGGAGATGACGGCCAGCCACTTTATTGTGTAGACAGACAGGGGATGGCGCTGTAAATAGCATCAAAAGTTGGTAGGTAGGGAAATAATTATCATTAGACTGAAATATGATTAGACTGTGGAAGGCCCTCACCAGCGAGAGCGGTGAGGGCCTGACATTTGGAGGCGGGTATTGAGAGATTTTCGTAAGCTCAAATCACGATAAGAATTTGGACCCTTCAAGCTTAAGTCTTGGAGACATGCAGAGATAGAGCAGCTCGATCGAACCGACCCCAAGTTCTAACTCGCCGCTTACCTTATTTTGACACTCCTATTGTTATAGACCCAGTGATCGGTTGCAGCCCCACTTTGCCGGCCGAGGTCTCTCTGAGCTGGTAGCATAGCTCGTGACTATGGTCTTCGCGCAGGTGAATTGCGCGAAGACTAATCGATAACACCTGTACATCTCGCTGACGGGTGAAGGGCACGACGTACGGCGCCTTTGAGCCGAATACATGCTAGATAGTTGTGCGTAAGTTGGAAAGGAGTCTCTATGAAGGGACCTGTGTGGCTTCCTGCCTCCGGCGCTTAAACACAATAATAATATAATAATAATAGAGCAAGTGACTCTAATGCAAAGACTATTCATTTCCACCTGTTAAACCAAACACCAGTTCAGCTTATGTACAAGCTCCAGTTGGTCTTACCCCTAGTTTCCCTCCCCCTAAATCAAACAACTTAGCAGCTTTAAGGACACCTAAGTCATCGAAGCGTCGACCGATAATTTGCATGCCTACGGGTAATTTGTAGCCACCATGTGTTGACGTAGCCCAACCACAGGGAACCGACAGGGCCGGATGGCCCGACGCATTGAATGGAGAGGTGTTGTTTGTTGAACCGACCGCTAGTCTGAGCATCTTCTCTACGGTACTTGGAGATGTGGGGTCAGCTGCTCCAGAAGAAGAATCTTCTATGTCCGGTAGCGGTGGCGCAACTGTGGGCGTCGTCGGCGTAATAAGGACATCGAATCTTCCAAGGGCATCATCATACGCAGCTCGAAGCTCTAACACGTGGCGATGAGCCTTCCTCTGGGCGGACAATGGTATGACATCCTCTAGCATGGTTTCGCCAAGCATAGTCAGGATAACAGCCGGGTTATGGCGGGATAGAACGTCGTACATCTCTTGGTTAGGCGGCCAGATGGGCGTGAGATGCGGCAAATCGTGCGTTAATGAATCAGTGGCACGCCCACCAAAGGCGTGAGAAGCCATTTGGTTACGCACTGCAGCTGTCCAGATCGCAGCGCCGAGAGAGTGTATAGGGATAGATACTTCAGATACCTCAGCTCCCTGGGCAGTAAAGTGCTCCATGGCTGCGGCTCGAACAGTCTCAGCAACCTCTTCGGACATGCCAGGGAGCTGGAATCCCTCGATGATCAACCCTACACGGAGTGGCGGCTCGACGGTCCCAGAGCGAGCAGAGCAATGTTTCGACCGCGCTGTTTGCGTGGCAAAGGACGCCAACTCGTCGTGGTACTGTTTTACATTATCTCTCAAGGGGCTTTCTGGGTTCATACGTTCGTCGAGGCCGTCATAACCAGCGAGGACGGTCAACAATAGAGCAATATCCTCAAGGTTGGTTGCCAGGGGTCCAGCGTGATCAATCATAGGAAGCAATCCGGCGATACCAGTATACGGCACCAGGCCGTACGTAGGTTTGAGGCCGTAGATGCCGCAGTACGAGGCCGGCACCCGTATCGAGCCCGCTTGGTCGCCCCCAATAGCCAATTCAACGTCTGGCCCTGAGCCCTCTAGGTTCTTCGCTCCAGCCGCGCGAGCGACCTTAAGAGCCACAAGGGCAGCAGAGCCACTGCTGCTTCCGCCACTGTTAAAGCCTTGTTGCCAAGGATTATGAACCGGTCCAGACATAGAGGTGTACGACATAGGCGAGAAGGAATAGTTCTCGCATGTTGTTGTCCCTGTTAAAGTGGCTCCCGCCAATAGTAGCCTTCGAACAATAGTTGCATCGATTTGGGAACACTGATACTCGCTCTTTCCTGAGACGAAGCTAGGAAGCGTGCCTAGGGTCTGAGGGATACAGCCAACGGCAATCGTGTCTTTAAGAGCAATAGAGCGGTTCTCTAGCAGTCGCGTCTCCGGCACTGTGGCACGGAGGCTAAAGACATGGCACCAAGCAGATAGTCCATTGCTGTTCGGTTCTGGCTTGCTATACTGGCGTGGACCTCCAAACGTGGGCACTATCTCTAACCGCGGGTCGATGTAATCAGGCAATAATTCCACCTGTTTTGCGACAGCGTACGAAGACCGAAGACCGAGCAGGTAAGCGTCCTCGTGGAGAGGTGAGATAGCAAACCCGCTACGATGTGCAACTTTATGCAGCAACTCGCGTGAGACTACCGAATCTTGCCTGGATTTGTGCGAAGTCAGCAAGGGTACCAATGAGAACACTGTTGTTGCTATTATACCATGATGCGAACCCAGTGGGCTCAAACAGCGAAGCCAGAGACATGTTTTGCTTTTACCCTGGCACGTTGGCCCGGTTTAGACGTGATTTCAAGTGGACTTGAGAGTTGATGAATAGGATTGTCCTGTAAATGGATAGGACATATTAGATTCAAGCATGTTTCAAGAGACACGGTTGTTGATCAAACACCACATTAGAAACCTTTATTAACCATTCTTGTCCGATATCGCTCTAAGCTCAAGTATACTCACCTTAACCTGGAATAATGGGTGGGCCATGGGCCCCGCGGGGTTTTCTCCGACCATTGGCAAAAGTACGTCTGGCATTCCCGAGCTGGAGATCATTGCCAATGACGAGCAGCTTCATTCCGCGTATATTGCCGACTATCTGTAGTTTTGACAAGCCCGAGGCGGCAGTAATATCTCGAGAATACAAATCGTAGGCTTAAAAATAACCTCAACCAGAAACCCAATCATGTGCAAAAACCAGCCATATGGAGTGACAAAAAGCACTGTACTAGAACGGGCTCACACGATGGTAGAGTGGAAGAAAATCCAAGACAGGCCGATACACTAATAGAACCATAGGCGAGCTATATGAAGAAATCTGGGAATAATTAGAGAACACTGCATGGCCTGTTAACGTGGATAGCGAAACAGCGGTAGTACCACGTCGGGAAATGGCCAACTCTAGCTTTTGCCGATCAAGAAAAGCCGCTTCCAATTTCCCGACAGATACACGCCATCAGGCCGAAAAGTGTTGCTATCAGCTCAATTTCATTGCCTACTTTCTAGAACTCGCACTAGCTGGCTTTGTCCCATTTCCCACGAAGCACAGAGTACTTACTTGGACAACTCGGTTAATCCAAGAATCCTTACCCCACCGCCGCAGAGGTACCACCGTCTACATTTCAAGATGCTCTCGTCAGCTCTCGTCATCCATCGCTTTAAAACGGTCTTCTGAGAAAAGGGAGTTGCTACAACGAATATCGGCTTAAAATGCGACCTTCCTCTGCCATCGCAGATTCACCCCGCAAAAAGGTAGGCATCAAGGCCATCTTTTCCGACTGCATGGGCAGTTGCCTACGTTAGCACACTAGCATCATAATGCATTCCTCGCTATGCTCTGTAAATAGCATAAATCAGACCTCGCTTTAGAGTGGCGCGATGCCCTCTTCGATGCAATCCGCAGCCTTCCAGTACTATGCGCTAAGCTTTAATGAATTCGGATACTTTCTCTTAAGGCATGTCAGGCTAGGCAAGCTATGAATGCGCGTCGATTACGGTGTAATGAGTTCTGTACCACTTTAGTTTATCGATTTGAGCTTCGTGTTGTTTTTCATGACTGGAGAAAGTCAGCAGAACAGTGACAATAGCGTGGCAGCAAGATAGCCAGAAAAAAGCCGGAATTAGGGGCTCGGTTGCGGGGATTTAGTGACGGTGTGGGGTCCCTGGGAGGCTTGTCCTTATTGGACGCGCCCGTTCAGTACGTAATGACCCCGCAAGATGCAGCCCTGGGGAAGGTTTTGGAAAGTCTCGAGCGAACATTACAGATTTCAACATGAGTGATATACCGGATTCTGAAGGGCCACGGAACGGATTGATCGCTTGAAACTACCGCCTTTTTAGTCTCTGAAATTCAAAGAAACCCTTGTTCGCAGAACCACTTTCCACCCATATCGATGTGGCGATGCAGACTCCACCCCGGACATCTTTGCCACATGGCCAAAGCCCAACTTCCTCAATCATGTGACTCATGGGCATGCAGTTATTGCTGCGAATATAGTCATCTGTAACTTGGGCACGAAGTCAGTGAGTCTTCGCGTTTATACGCGAACTCGCATTACCCATTCTCCGAGCTTGGATGATGCGTTTTCTGTTCTTGGGTTGGTAAGCTTCTCTCTCTTTTACTCTTCTGTCCTCTCATGTACTGACTAATTGGATCAAGGGAACAGCTATTGTCATGTTCACAGTCTAGTGTATCTCAATTGAGCACTTTGGCTGGAACCGACACATTTGGGATATCCCTTTTCCAGCGATTACGGATGGGATGAGACTGAATCTTATTTCGATGCTTCTCTTCGGCTTCTCCTCGACATTTATTCGGATATCATTACTATGGTTCTTCCTACTCCTGCTCGGTCCTTGTGTCAGAACGGATATCCGGGTCTGGAAATATTTCTTGGTCATAGCTATTGTTCTGGTATCAGCTCTGGCAATTATCTTCGTGCTCCTATTGCTGGTCCAGTGCATGGAAGTTCCTACTTTGACCCTGCACACTGTATTCTCCCATTCATTTCTAATTTATGACAACATGAATCAGCCCCATACGCGAGCGTGAGATATTTATCCAACCTATCATTTACCAATGCTTGAGTGAACCCTCCATTCTTCTAGCAGCTAACTTGCAAAACATTTTCACTGATTCCCTAGCAGTGTTAACGCCCATCCCAGTCATGTGCCGACTCAAGGTCTCTAGGCGCAAGCGTCTCATCGTGGTTGGCCTGTTTAGCCTCAGACTCGGTGCTCTAGCTACTGGAATCTACCGCACTATTTATATGCATAGTCTCCATCGCGGACGTGGACCTTAGTTGGCATACAACGACGGCTTTTATCACCTCTACTGTTGAACTGGGTCTAGGCATAGTGAGTTCCTCACATTTCCGTATTCCTCCATTTTTATCACATATCCCCCTTTTTTCATTCTTTTCTTTCTTCTCCTTTTTTTTCGTGCATGAATGTTGAACTATGAGTTTTGTGTTAATGAAGACGCAGATTGGGAACTGTGCCCCTGCATTCACCCCTTCTTGGTCACTGTACTGCCAGGATTGGTAAAGTCCTCTGCGGTGCCAACTGCGCCGCCTGGTGATACCATTGCAAGTTATCAATATAGACCTCGAGGACTGCCATCGTACCATGACGAACTGTATGCTTTAGTTGGCGCCCTCCTCTTGGTGGAACGGAGAGAATTCAACACGATGGATCCGCTAAGTTCCGGGATTTGAGCAGTCAAAGACCTTCTCTCCCCAGTCATTCTCGACACTAGAGCCATCGGTCTCCCACCAGTCGAGTTTGGTTTCCACAGAAAAACGGGTTCGAGTCGCACAATAGGACACATAATTTAGGTCGGATATAAATAATTCCATTCAGCTAAGGTCTAAAAGTTCATATTTTCTGAACACTTTCAGAAACTCTTGTGCCTCCAAAGGAAGGCAGGCATCCTTTCGCTTGCAGTTTGTTGGTCTTTCTGATAAATCCGGTTAGAATCGCGTAGTGCAGTCCACTTTTAATGGTTATTACGGTATGTACCGGCTATTGAAACTGTACCATCTAGCAGAGATGCCCTACTTACTATTCCGCGGCCTTCCTCAGGTTATAAAATTACTAAGCTTTCCAGTCCCCACTCGTACCCTCCGTAGTTGGTTTAAACTTTGGCCGTCACCCCTTATTGATGCGGGGGTGCTCGGATTCCTGCCGAGCAAACTTCCTAGTATTATTTTGTTATTTGTGCCATTTCTTGTTTTTTCTTTTTCTTTTTCCCCAACTTTTCTGAGGTCCACCATGAGCGAATTAATCAAAGCTGATCTCGAACATCTGGAGAAGAACGGAGAAGAGTCAAACGACAAAATTGCCATTGAGATTGATGCCGGTGTTTATTATGAGATAAATGAGACCCAAATCGATGTGGATATCGTCACGCTGGAGGAAGAGTTGGTGAGAAGCGGCAAGGAGCCGTATCTTTTAGGTCGACTCATTAAGAATCCAAACGTGTTTATCTGGATTTTAGCACTGCTTGCCAGTACCTCGGGTTTCTTGTTTGGAGTTGATCAATCACTTATCTCCGGGGCGTCAATTTACCTTCCATCAGGCTTGAATCTTAACGATTCGGAGATGTCTATGGTTGTGGGGTTTACTCCTTTAGGGGCCATTTTCGGTGCGTTGCTTATTATGCCCGTCAATGAAGCAATTGGGAGGAAATACACAATCGTTTGCTCGGCACTTTTGTTCACAGCAGGTGCGATTCTCGAAGCTGCGGCAAAGTCGTTTGTTGTCTTGTTGGTGGGCCGAATGATTCTTGGGTCTGCCTTAGGGTTGGTGTCAGGTACTGTGCCCGCCTATGTTGCCGAGAATTGTGCAATCAAGTGGAGAGGTGGATTGGTTACCCTATACCAATGCATGGTAGCATTTGGAGTGATGTGTGGCTACGTTACTGCTGCTGTTTTCGATGGGGTCAAGGGCAACTGGAGATATATGTTGGGTAGTTCGGTTGTGTATTCAACAGTTTTATTCTTTGGCATGCTATTAATGCCTGAAAGTTCCCGGTGGTTGATGCAGAAAGGCAGGAAACTGGATGCCTATCAAGTGTGGAAGACTGCCCGAGGATTTGAGACACTTGATGAACGCAGGGAGTTCTTCATTATGGAAAGAGTCATCCTTTACGAAAAGGACATGGCAAAGGGACGATGTGTCGCTCTGGATCTGTTTACGCGTCCTCGCTGCCTTCGAGCAATGACCATCGCAGTCAGCTACCAGTTTTTGGGTCAACAATTATCAGGAATCAACTCGATTGAATACTACCAAGCAACTTTGATGGAAGCCACTGGGCTGAGTCCTCAGAATGCGGTATATTCAAGTCTGATTGGCGGCGGTGCAATGTTTCTCTCGACAATACCGGTCATTTTCTTGATCGATCGACTGGGTCGACGAACAATGGCTCTCACATTCATCCCTGGAGTCTGTGCAGGACTGTTTATCACCGGATTTTCTTTCATGGCAACTAGCTTGGGAACACGGATGGGCATCTACCTCACCGGCATGATCTTGTTTACAGCCTTCTGGTCTCTTGCTGTCGGAGCCGGGCCTTGGGTTGTTGCCAGTGAGGTATATCCTTCTTATCTGCGAAGTTATGGAGTCAGTATAGCAGCGTTGAGTGACTGGCTTGGAACTTTCATCACAACTTATCCGTTCCAACAGATGTCGGTGGCCATGACGCCGACAGGAGTATTTGCCGGATTCTACTGTGGATTAACAGTCCTGATTGGCTTGATTATATTGCTGTTCATGCCCGAAACAAAGAATCTATCGCTCGAGGCAATCAACCAGGTGTTTGAGATGTCTGCACCGGAGATCATGAGAATGAACATGAATAACTTGAAGGTGACTTGGAGTGACTTGATGCACCTCAGGTTCAAGAAGGTTTGGGCATATCAGTAGCTTGGATACCCTGGTGTCGCCTAACGTTTCTCAACCATGAAAGACATGAAGTCAAAGGGTATTAGAAGTGGCCGATTGGGAGATAATTTTGTTTTGATATTGTTCTATTTGATACGCCCTGTTGCTGCGTCGTGGTCTATTTAGGTGTAGATTTGGCAACGTTGCCATGCCGCAATATAGTAAATGCTTTCAACTTAGGTTCCGAGTGCAGGACTTAGCCATCCACTCGTTATAACAAAGAGCTTTTCAGGTTTCTCATTAACCCACGTTCTTAACCCTTCGACGCTTTTCTACACGCATGTCCATCTCCATGCGATCCCTTAAATACAACCGTAATTATTATTCCATACACCCCATGAAATCACCAACGTTAAGCCGCGTATCACACCTCATTAAACCACGGGCCATCAAGCTTCACAATATATTTCTGCTGGAACCTGTCTCGCACGCTTGATTTTCTCGAAGGATGGGCAGATGCTGGCGTCGCCATTGATGGATCGCACAGTACGGTTCTGGGTCTCAACCACCGGAAGTGCCTGCAGACAGCTGCACATAATCTCACGTCGCTGCTCGCTCACTGAGAATAGCATGGCCTAAGTACATGACCTGGGCCATCACCCAGCGTCCGCTGATCCGCTGATCGATCAATAAGTACTACTGAGAGCTCACTGGGCGCTCAGCCCGTGCTGTGAAATACTCAGGGCTTTAGGGCTTTAGATGCCCATTGCCATTAGAGTATAGGTGCGACTCCGCGTTGCTACTAGAGTATAGGCCTTTTACACGATCCGTTGGCTCACTGTGCTTGTTGTTCTGCAGTCATGCTAGCTTGTAACATAACCTCATCTTGACCTAAATTTGCCTCGAACTCCGGTCTGACTTCGTCAATAGAATCAACATTTGACTTCTTTGAATCCTTACTGGAAAGGCACTCAATTTCCACTCCGTTGCCAGGACATCACCAGGAGTATACCATCGACATTACAGCATCGAGAGGAAGCATCAATTTGACAGCATCAACTAGGACTACATATAGGACAACGCCAACAAGGAGCATCGACAGGCTAACATAAACAGGATACCATACAGGAGGTACCGTCAGGTGGTATCAACAGGCAAACACATCGGGCAAATGAATGATGATACTACTACTACTACTACTACTACTACTACTACTACTACTACTACTACTACTACTACTACTACTACTACTACTACTACTACTACTACTACTACTACTACTACTACTACTATTTACTGAATAAATGGTAACCAATTCACTGCTCATGTTCCTGTTCATGGAATAATTCAAATAACAGCCTATGGTAGTAGTATAAGTGCAAATCAGTGAACCTCAAAATGAATTGTCTGCTGTATCACATTCGGCTGGTTCACTAATCCCTCCGTACTTTCGGTATCGTCCTTTAATGACTCGCGCCATCCACTAGTCACTTGTACGGACATTCCAGGGCTGAGAGGTTCTATGGGGAAATCTCGATTGAAGGATTTTCTCACGGATGAGACATTGCGCTTATTGCTTGCCGACCGGCCATCGACAAAATCCTCATGAATGGTGAATGCGTGGACGCTGGGCTGGAGTTCAACAACGAGGCGCCCGAGTGATGGGATGGTAGTGGTGATGATACTCAAATTCATCATAACTCTACGAGAGCATATCGTCAGTCGTCCATATACCATTGTGAATATAAGCTTAGTGTATGCTCAGATGGACACTTACTGATCCCAAATTGTGGAGTTAGTATTTTCCCCTTGAGTTCGCATTGGGTCAGATAACGTTCGTAAGCCTCAAACAGAAAGGCTACTCACATGGGATATCAGACGAACTGAGCATGGTGGCAGTATAATGGACTTCAATTCCTGTCGCCACGCAGACCCTATTGATTGTTAATGTCGGTGGCTGGAAGTTGTGAGACCTTTTCGTCTTACAAAATTCTACTGGCGAGGAGTGCCATTATATGTTCAACGCTGCAATGGCTCGGAAAAGCGCGGTCTGCGAGTGGCCCCAGTAGCCATACGGTCAGCGCGCCAATCCAAGAAGATGAAAGGGCCAAGTCTCACCTGATCGATACAGTGGTCTGGCAGATTCCACTTCCAGGGTGCGGACACAGTGCATCGCAGAGCTAATGCTATGATAGATGCTAAGCCCCATGCAAGAATGACTACCATTAAAGCCTGGTTTGTTCGTGAATATCGGCGTGATGTCATCAAATTCTTGAACAGTAACCCCAAGGAGAGCTTGCTTAAAGCTGTCGTCGCGATCAGGAGAATCTGTGCTGAATACTCATACTGCGATCTGGATTAGCATACGGTTTAAATAAAGCCTGGCTTAATTTCGCCTTTGTTTATTACAAACCTTTAGATACAGCGACAGCTGGTGGTTCCCTATGGTGGATAGCTTGCGACCGAGTCCATTAGAAATGGCAAGCTGAACGAGTATGCTCTGCAGGATTCCTAATAACTATTGAGACGCAAGGCATCGTATTAGCAGGCCAGATTAAGCACAATAGACAATCCGGGATATTAGGAGAAGTCCAGTCAACACATACTGTAGCAACTGCTAGCAAGATGTCATCGGAATGGATAACGCGTCCGATGAACCACCGCGTGAACAGACGAGCGACAACAATAACGATTGTCAGAGCTAGTAGTGTGTATAGTGTAACAGCAGCATATCCACCATGATCATCGTCAGTGATCTGGAAGAGAGGAGGTAGCGTGCCAGCCATAGCACCATACGAGGATAGAGCCTGCACTGAGAGGCTAGGAAATTGGCAAGAAATGAAAATGGATGGCAGATCGCAGATCGTAGATCGCATGTATATGATGGCTCGTATCCTTATCCAGAGTAGTCAAATTGTGGCATATTGCGCTATGCCCCTGAACCCCTCATATCGCGATTCTCACCCATATACACATCGATTGGCGGCGTGCGGCTCGAACACGCATTTTATTTTTTAAGTTAATGTATTTTGTTTTGTCCTTTCGATGTGTTCTGAGTTTGCGCCCGTGGTGATTCTTATTGGTTGAGACCGAATGCTTCCATAACTCTTTATCGCGCAGCCTCCGTTTCTAAATTAATTTTTCGCCGGACTCCGGTCGGAGTGCGCGCAGGGGCCCTGCATCCCGCTAACTCAAGCCCATGGTTCTAGTTGGAATCAAGCACAGATTATTAACTTTCAATTTCGCTTATTCCTGCCGACTCCGGCTGCAGTACCTTTTCTACGGGCTGAAGCTGAAACGCGCGTTTTTGGGAGCAACAGACCCTGATAGCTCTGGGACCTAGCTTATTACAAGGTAGGCTAGGTTTTCCACGCCCAATCTATCAGTATTCATTGAATTGGTAAGCTTATAATGGCAAGGTATGTTCGTATTCACTGCTAGAATCAGTGGAATACGTGTAAATGTCGGCATGAGTGGGACCCCCCCCGGGGTATCTAGACCTGAGATTCATCAAATCATCGTATATCGTTAAATACTAATCGGAAGTGGCGCTTAACACCCATGAAATTTCAGCGAATCAGAAAGAGACCAAGTCATCTCTGTGCCTGATATTCCTTATCTTATTGAGCCACCGCCCAAATAGTCAAGAGCTCGTGCCTTGGGTCTGACACGATGCCGCCGCACCAAACTCAGAGGATTGCAAAGCTCTTTTATCCCCCAGTCAAAAGGCTTTTTTTGTCCGCATATATTGGCGCCTGGAGCGGAGTGGTGTAGAAGAGAGGAAATATTTACGCTGGGCTGCACTCTGGCTTCCAAGACAGAAAACGGTGGCCTTTGGAAGTGACGTTCCGATTTACATGGCCTCGGGCTGAGAAGCTCTAACTACGCCATGTCGAGCGAAGTTGAAATGCAACGCCTGGGCGTCAAGTCCTCTACCAACCTCAACGTCTTTGAACATCAATCACACAGCCGTACAGGCTCTAATGGGAGTTTTCATGGCGGGGTTTCCACATCCAGGTCCAGTAGGAAGCATTTGGAGGTATTGTTTCTTGCCCCGCCGACGATCAATATTAGAGGGAGGGAATTATACGCTTTGACTGACAAGATGTGCGACTCTAGAGAAGTTTTGGATCACTATCGATCCTCTCCCTGTCGGTCACTTTGCTCTCCTCATGGGAATCCATTGCTAAGTGAGCACCCACGCCGAAGTTTGTCGTTCTCACCGCGCGAGCTGACTATCGCTCCAGTTCGTTTGAGGAGGGACTTGTTAACGGTGGGCCGGCTGGCCTTGTCTGGGGCATGGTGTTGTCAATAACCGGGACGATGGCGATGGCGCTATCGCTGGCCGAGCTGGCGTCCATGTGTCCGCTGGCGGGAGCACAGTACCACTGGACGGCTTTACTGGCACCCCCGCGGATTCGAGCATTCAGTACTTGGATGCAGGGGTGGATCACCGTTTTCGGATGGCAAACAGCAGTGGCAAGTATTTGCTACCTGATAGCAACGCAGATTCAGGGAATGGTTATGCTGAACAATTCGAGCTATGTGCCTCAACAATGGCATGGGACGCTCATTATGTGGGCTATCGTTGTCTTCTCCACCTTCGTTAACATCTACGGGATCAAGGCCATGCCCGCTCTGCAGATGCTCGGAGGTATCATGCACATCACATTCTTTATCGCTATTGTCATCCCGATGCTCCTTCTCGCTCGTCGTAGCACCTCGGAATTTGTCTTCACGGAGTTGCTGACGACGGAGCAAGGATGGCAGTCACCTGGCGTTGCCTGGTGTCTAGGAATGTTGACCGTCACCTATTGCTTCATCGGTAAGTGAACCCTGCAAACCAACCAAAGTTATCCGTCTTGTTGCGCAAGCTAAGATGGCTGACCGTCGTATCGCTGCACTCCGCTAGGTTTTGACGGTGCCATTCATATGAGTGAGGAAGTGAAAAACCCGGCAGTCGTCATCCCACGTATCTTGGTTCAGACCATCGCCATAAATGGCTTAATGGCTTTTGTCTTCCTCCTCATCGTTCTTTTCTGCATTGGCAGCGTCGACGAAGCCTTAAACCCCCCGTACATCTACCCCATAATCGGAATATTTGAGCAGGCCACCAGATCCGTTGGAGCAACCACCGCCATGCAAACAGCGATCACTCTCATTGGCATGGTATCTAACCTTGGTGTGGTTGCATCCGTCTCACGACTCACTTGGGCCTTTGCCCGCGATGGGGGACTGCCGTTCTCAGCCTATTTTGCTCATGTTGGTTCTTCCTCGATCTCTATTTAACTAATTTACTTTTGGGCCACATTGCTAACAGTAAAATCAGGTCGACCGCCAGCACCGCGTACCCAAACGTGCTATTGTATTCGTCTGCTCTGCCGTTGTCATTCTTTCCGTCATCAACGCCGCGTCAGAGACAGCGCTCAGTGCCATTCTTGCACTTTCCACCAGCTCCCTTTACGTGTCATATCTTATTCCAATTGCCATGATGATCATGCGGCGGATGGACACTGACCGCGGGCCGATCCGATTTGGGCCTTGGTCTCTAGGCCGCCATGGCATGATGATTAACATTTACTCCCTCGTCTTTGGTATCTTCGTCTGCATTTTTGTGCCCTTTCCGACGCAGATCCCAGTCACCGCCGCGAATATGAATTGGTCTGGGCCTGTTTTCCTCGGCATATGCGTATTGCTCCTTATAGACTGGGTTTTCCGGGCGAGGAAGAAGTATATAGGGCCAACGAAGTATCTACCGCACTCAGAGGACAAGGACAACACTTCTTGACCACCTATGGCCGAGATATCTTTCCACATACCCATTCTCAGATCATAATTTAGCCCAGCAGCTTGATATAATACCTGATGTTGTAGCTGTTGAGATCCTGACGTCTGATTGTCTGAGGCTCCCATCCCTTAGATGATTAATTGCGCGTTATCGTAGCAATCCGACAAGATCTCAAGGCAGCTATGCGCCCACGGAAGACTGACACTGTATGCAGTCATCAAACTCTTCGGGCCCCAACTCGAATCCAGCTCCGGGGCGGGGTTTTAGGCTTCAGCCAAGACACGTCCCCGGCTATTTCACGAGTGGCTTGTCAATGAGACTAGGAATAATCAAGGCAGCCAGTCCGGTAGCCACGACGCGCAATTTTGTACCTAGCGACGTTTACTCGGGCTACGGAATGGAGGTATTGGAGACGGCTTTTGTCTGAATATGAATCCCTATCGTCGAGGTTAAGATGGCCTCGTACATCTAATCACTATAGAGGATTTAGTGCGTTTACTAAAAGTACAACTAGACAAAAACATTGACCGACGCACGCCCCTTAGAAGCTACTAGCCATATAGTGCGCCATTTAAACTTGTTCCGCATATGGCTATACTATTGTCGGGAAAACAACTAAGTCGGGGCTATGAAAAGAAGTCTCCCACGAGGCGTAGGTATACGAAATCCTACGAAAAGCTCAAGGGTCTGCTATGCCTGTCTTCCATAGTACAATCGACCTAGCAAAAATTCATTTTCTTCACGGCGCTAGTGAGATATGCCACATGCTAGTTATGGGCTAGGGAGGCGAGATTACAACAATGATGGAACTGACGCGGCGGCTGCGCCGAGGGATTAGGACATCGAATAAGGAAATCGACGCTTTAGGGATTTTTCACGAAGATCTTTGGTGGGAGAAATATTCTTTGGAATCAGGAACTCGGACGGGTGCTAGTTATTGGCTTTCACCGCTCTACGTTGAATTGCCGGCCATCATTAAAGCGACCGGGACCGACGAAGAGACTATTGTGTCGGACAAAGTTACTAGACGCAAAGTGTTTACGTGTTGCGTGAACGAGGAACTGTGTTCATTCAGTCGATCAGCGAGTACATAATTATGAGCATGACTTTGAGCTGGCAAAATTTCTGGGGAACCCGTGAAGAATCCCCACTTCCCCGCCTCCACACTTTTACCCAACTGTTACCCACCTGCAGTTCTTTTAGCCAACTGCAGTCCTTTTAGCCAACTGCAGTCCTTTTAGCCAACTACAGTCTTTTTAGCCAACTGCAGTCCTTTTAGCCAACTGCAGTGCCCAGACCGGTAGCTACACCGGAACCCCAGAACTATAGAGCTGTCCCTGGAAACAGGCTCAGGCTCCACACGTTCAACCACCCAAGGTCACGCGGCAAAATGCACATATACGAAACGCTCCGTCATGTAGGGAAAAAGGATAAATAGTTATTTTCGCAGAATATAAATAGAGGTAGAACGGTCTCGCAATATTGACCGGCCCAGGCTTCTCTTCCAGTTACACACATCCATTCACAAGCATTTAATTCTCTTCCATCATCATGAAGGTCACTGCAGCTTTCACAGGCCTGTTGGCCACTGCACTCGCTGCCCCTGCCACCGAACCTGTTCTAGTGCCGCGAAGTGCTGGTATTAACTACGTCCAGAACTACAACGGTAACCTTGGTGACTTCACCTACAACGAGGGTGCCGGAACATTTTCCATGTACTGGGAGGATGGAGTTAGCAACGATTTCGTTGTTGGTTTGGGCTGGAGTACTGGTTCCTCTAAGTGGGTGACTATATCCTTTAACATAAGTCTAGGATCTAACGTTAATCAGGTCTATCACCTACTCTGCCTCCTACAACGCCGCTAGCTCTGGCTCCTACCTCGCTGTGTACGGCTGGATCAACTCTCCTCAGGCTGAATACTACATCGTCGAGGACTACGGCACTTACAACCCTTGCAGCTCGGCCACAAGCCTCGGTACCGTGTCCTCTGATGGAAGCACCTACCAAGTCTGCACCGACACTCGGACCAACCAGCCATCAATCACGGGAACGAGCACGTTCACGCAGTACTTCTCCGTTCGACAGAGCAAGCGCACGTCTGGAACGGTGACTGTTGCCAACCATTTCAACTTCTGGGCGCAGCATGGGTTCGCCAACAGCAACTTCAATTTTCAGGTCATGGCGGTGGAGGCATGGAGTGGTGCTGGCAGCGCCAGTGTCACGATCTCTTCTTAAGAGATGAGTGACTTAGTAGTCGAAAATCTGAAAGCCGAGCTCTCTTTCAGGTGGTGTGATGATTGGACTGGGGGTTTGGCGGTTTCAGATGTCGAGATCGTATATGGTGTGGCGGGGCGGAGCTCTCGGCGGCTGCGTTTTCAACTCGCACAGACAACCTAACTCTTGTTTTCTCCCTCTTGCTTTTTCTCGCTGCTTACTCTATCCCCCGACAACATATTGCCACATAGCCTGCAACAAGATTTTGTGGGTGTGTTGCTGTAGGCGGCTGCGTTTTTAACTCGCACAGACAATTAACACTCATTTTCTCCAATTTTGAAGTGCTTTATAATAGTATCCACCCTATATTTGATTAGAGATCGCCTTATTCCATAGACCAGCCCACTTTTTACCCCTATCCTAATTTACATTTTCTAATTACTGAACGAAATGGGGGCACATCGTAGTTAACATTCTCCCTTCACCATTCTTATCGTTTCACCACCCTCATTTTGTAGCTACCAAGGTATCATTTCTGTGATCACGTTAAAAAGACGGTATCCACCATTTACGGTAAGTATATGACTGCTGTTAGGACATAAAAAATAAGTAAATTAAGTGGAGAACTTAGAGTGATTAAAAGAGGAGGATGAAGAGAGAGTGATTAAGAGAAAGTGGTCAAAACTATAAAGATGAAGACGGGTTAACGCGGCATTAAAATTGTCTGATGTGACGCGCCTGAGCAATTTGGAGCTAGTCTGAGGGTGCTTCCGAACGCACAACTATGGTGAGCGATGTCATTCACACTACTAGCTTCCAAGTCGGCTATACACTGCCGACTTTTGAGTGCGAGTACTTCTGAACGTATTGTCTTCTGATTTTGGATGAAAAAGGAAGATTTCTTTGTTTTTCACGTCGCTTCCCAATTTGGACATGGTTTAAACATGCTTAGATGTGCACTCTGGGGATTAAGCCATAAGTTTAGGTTAATATCCTTTCTGTCGCAAAAGAAAGAAAAGAAAAGCCACGTTTGTCTATTGAAGGCATTAACAAGTTCTTGAACCCCAAAAAATTTTATAGTTTTATGGGGTGCAAATTATTGAGTGCCAAGTTCAGGGTTTTTGGACATCGGGTAGATGTAAATATGCAGGAGTTGTTGTGGGTGAAATTCTCACCCCATGGAGACACCAAACTGTCTTAGATCTCTAATGTCAACTTTTGAACACGGCCTATTTATTTCGGTCAAAATGTAAACATGGCCACGAGAGCCTGTCATTAACTAGAAGATTTGCTGTACAAGTATAGTATGGAACAAAATCAAAATATTACATTACTTCTGGAGAGAACTTTCTCGTATCCTTCTCTATTCTGTGCTGTGGCGGTGCACTATGTAATGCTATATAACTGTGTAATATTAAGTAACTGTGAAATTGTTGCGACCTCTACGATTTTCAAATATGATGAGAAGCAGTCCAAACATCCTATAATGAAGGCGAGCCCTTCCCGTCCTTCTAGACTATATCTAGTGAATAGGGACAAGACAAGTAGCATATAATTGACTCTATAATCTTCTTTAAGTTAAAAAAGATGGAGTATTTTTATTTTGGTCATGCGGCTTAGAAGCACGAAGCAACCATGGATAAGCTTTGGCCTAAGTGTCTTATTTTAGAAAATGCCAAATACTGGCTCTGGTAGGATATAAAATGTCTAGGCTGTCTCTCGTGGACTGCTTTCTTTAGGTTGAGTGCTTGTTTCGACAACATAAGCTATGTTTAGAAAAGCTTCTGGGTTGGATACGGCCAGAAATACATGATCTTCCAGACTCATAGGCTCGGAGTAAAGCCCTCCACTCTTACATTCCAGTCTGTAGGGAAATGTGAGCCTTCATCATCATCCCAGCCGCCCGCCATCATGGCGGTTGCGAGCAACAAACCACCGGCGTCAGGCATATAAGGGGTGGGGACTCGACTGCCGCCCTCAGGGTAGCCTGCATCGTCAAAGACGTAGTAGGCATCGAGGAGATAGGCAATAGCCTGATCTACGTCGCCCAGGCGGAGGCTGTTCATTGCCAACATGCTAAAGTCCCAGCCGTACGAGTCCCCAAAGTCCCATCGTTTCCGGATGAGCTGAGCTGTATTGTGCATTGTGGTTAAGTTGAGAGGGGGACCGGTCAATGGAGGAGGAAGTAGGCCGTAGATGCCAATCATGGCTGGATGGTCCTGTAAGGTGGCGGTCCCAGGCTTCCACATATCCGGAATGCCCTCGTAGACCGCATAGGCATTGTCAATGACAGGAAGCGGTGCGAGATTATCCCGAACAGTGATCCAGTCGTTCGGAATTGGGAGGTCTTGGCGCTCCTTCCACTGAATAGCAACATTTAAACCAAAGCGCCAGTATGCTAGCTCAAATGTCGGGTTGATTGTAGAGTTGGGATTTGTGTTCTCGCTGACTGGATACAGAGGAGGGCCAAGGTCATAAACCTGCGTAGTCGTGTTCCACCACGCATACGATGCCATGAAATTGGCCGTAGCTGTCAGGACTTCATCCCACTCTCGCAATGTATTCTCATTTGGAAACGCTCGATAAACGTACTCGGCAAAGTGCATGACATGAGGCTGCTGCCAGATGAGAAGAGCATTGATTTCACCAGGGGCGCTGCGGCCAGTAGTATCCGTCATCTTACCCCAGCGTGCGCCTGCATAACCCTGTGCAGTAGCCCGGTCGATGCTGGATTGAAGGAATCGCTGGTATGTGTTGGGGACACTCCGGGAAAGGAGGCCATAGTGACCCCATCGGGCGAAGTGTAGGCAATGCCACAGGAACATTTCGAGCTTTTCTGCCATCAGTCAAGTGTTTCAAGGTTTCCTGGCAGGAGAGGAGCGCGGTCCGAGCCGCTCTTTGTGACTGGCAGCAACCGAACTTACGTGAAACTTGCCGTACCATCCGTTATTTACCAATCCTATATGAGGCTTTGTAAGTGCCACGACTATAGGCAGTGCATCTGTAGGGGCCCCATACCTGACTCTATAAAATAAAGTTAACCTATATACTTGAAAATACCTCTTTTCTAAAGCACCGGATACAGGGGACTGACACTAACCTTGTGGAGGGTTATGCGACGCTTCATTTACGGCGACAAGATACTGCGATAGGATAATACGACGCTGAAGCTCTGTTGCATTGGCATTCTTAGTTGCTGAGAGGTCAACAAATGCACCGGATACCCAATAGTCAGTCCACCACTCTTTGGACGCTGCGACAATATTGTCATACGTTGGGAGGTTATCTTGAGAGTTGGCTGTGGCGTCAAAGGCAACCACGAGCCGCAGAGTATCGGAATTGGAGGAGTTGAGAACGAACTTGTTTGAGCCCGGAAGAGGGCCGGAAACGGAAGCCCCCGAATTCCATTTAGCCATAATCTGATTGATATTGCTGTCAATAACATGCTCGAAGGAAGCCGTGCTGGGGTTAGAGTGTAGTTTGACGTTGTTATGCAAAGTGTCGTTCCACACGCCCACATATGGGGCGTCGAACTTGCTGGTGTCGGAGTAAGGGAAGTCAAAAAACACCCCCAAGTTTTCGGTTTTTAGAAGATCGGACTTGATTTCTATGCCCACAGTAGGGAGTGTTGGATGACACCAGACCTGCACAGACACCTCCGACCCCTTGTAGCGGAAGGTAGAATGGATTTTGCCTACCCAAAGATCCAGATCTTGAGACTTTTCTACCAGCTGGTCCTCTGTCACATTGTCTCGCCCAAAAAAGAGACCGATGTTTGCGACACTTAATCTTTGTGGATTTTCGATAAGCCAATTTGAAATATCTTCCTCTGCTGGATTCGGCATATCGTAGTTCACGAGGCGATCATGCGTCCACCAATTTAAACCTGTGAAGTCTATAGCGCGCCATCAAGCAGTAGCTGTCAGCATTCTGGGTGAGGTGTTGCTAAGCTGCTGCAGTAAATACCGGAGGGTAATGTTTGCCCTGGGGTAGTTGGCAAGCTGAAGTTGTGCCAGGCCCATGTACTCTCTATGGCGAAGTGCGAAAATGTCTGCAAGCCGGTGATATCGGCACCAAAGGCGAAATCGCCATTTCCGACTTGCAGAGGTGTTGTTGATGAGCTGACGTTGCGGTGTGGATTGAACGATCTCACCAAGTTTCGCCTCTGGGAGGGTGAGATGCTAGCTTGTACCCTAGCCGTTACAACCAGCAGTGTCAACAACTGACAATGTAAGAGACGCATTGTCGTATTATGTGACAATTAAATGACAGCAATGAACTTGCTGTTTTTGGTAATTGCAAAGTTTTATAAATTTGGGAGAGATAGTACACTTATCAAGACAGATTAATATCCCCCTTCGTGCTGTTTTTCCGTTGAGCTTATCACTGGTGGAAATTGTCAAGAAATAAGCCCGTTTCCCCGCATCCCCCGCCCCGCACCGCAGCTTTGTTGAAGGATCCGCTAGGAGATAGATTCCAACTTTCGTGAATATAAAGTAAGCGCTTCACAGGTAATTTAGGCAAAATGAGTTCCATATAATGAGTCCTAAAAGTAGATAGCATTTCCCTTTGGGGAGATCATTCGGTCAATATAACTCACTTTGCTCCTTTCCTTTCCCTCGCGATCTCGGCTTCTTGTTGTTTCTGTCGTTGAGCAAACCCCGCTGAGATCCCTGTGCCAACCGCCATGGTGTGTTCAACCGTCTTACATGTTCCTCAAAGGGTTGAATAGTGCAAATTGTTTCTCGAACATCTATTTGCATCTATACCAGTAGGGATGATGGCAGTATTAAAGATTGGGCCAATCAAGTAATCCAGCTCGCTTGTTGGATGGACCAACGCTATATTCTGTCTTCTTCTTCCTGTCATGATTCATCAATTTGTTTTACCAGCTCCTCTCACATAAAACATGCAACAAGTCACGGCAAGTTTAAATAACATCCTGACGTTATCGAAAGAAAGTACATTTTGCAACGCTGTGGCTGCTACTGGTTGATATTAGCAAAAAGTAGAGATGATTAGCCTGTTCTTTTTTCTGGGAGGATGGTTCCTTGCAAGCATCTGGTTATTTCTCGTCGAGCTGAGATCGTGGACAGATCTCAAAATCGGGCCTCAATAAACTACATAACTTTGTCATAAACAGGATTCTAGGATACATGTGTTGAATTTGGAAATTAATTCACAAAAAACAAGTCCCCTGGTTATGATTGTTCAACCACACAATGGTAGTAGATCCTGCTGCCGCAGTCCATTAAGCCATGCCGCATTCGGTGGAGGAGCTCAGGGCATTGCTTCCACCATCATTGTCATAGGAACGATAGCAGGTACCAACTGATCCTGCGCCCACGCATGCAATGTACGCGAGTGCACATGCATCGGGGCTATATGTAGTCAGCGACTGATCACTGCCTCCTGCGGTGGTGATCATGAATGACTGGAATCCAGGCACACCAGTGGCGCAAGTGTTGTCCCAAACATTCCGAGATCCTACTGAAATCTGACAGTCCTGATCGCTATACATCTCCACAATTGCAGCATTCGCGAGAAGAGCATAGGCTCCCATAATGGAGACGGACAGTTTTCCGAACATCATTCTGATAAGCAAACTTGTTAGCTTGTCCTTTTGTAAAAGAATGGATGCATGGATAGGAGTAAATACTTGACAAGGTGGGTAGTACTGTGATTCTGGTATATAGACCGAAGTCAAAGGGGACCGCGGGAGTCTGAAGAGAGAAGGATGTGATGGAAGACTCAAGATATGGAGCTATAGTGGAGGGAGATGTGCCCTTTTATGCCAAATAAATTACCAGAAATCCGTAGAGAAACAGTCTCACGGAAAATCACTGTATGTAAAATTGTAAAGTAGGTATCAGCAATAATAGATCAAAAATAATGGCAGATGACACATTGAAGGCCCGTGGGGTCTATTTCTCGATCATATATTTGGGTGGAGTAGGGAAACGAAAATAGAAGTTTTGATATTTGCTGAGATGGGGGCGAGGCAAGGCTTAAGGAATGAAACTAGACAAATGATGGACCGAAACGCTATTAGATACACTAACATTCTAACGTACCGACATATTTCATTTGATATATCAACTTCAAAGGACCACTAACTGTTTTGATATAGCTTACAAACTCTACCGGATGGAAGTGAGCAGAAGCTGGGCCAACACCAGCTGCTGTAGCTCAAAGTTGCCGATGCCGACTTGTGAGGATCCTTTGATTATGATTATGATGTCTAAGGGTATCCCAAGAGCCCTGCAATCCTGATCCTGGCCAAAGAGACCCCACTAGTCAAAACCAACAGAGTAGGAGAAAATATTATAGGCTAACTAAACGGCAAAATGTCAAACCCAGGGGTTATGAAAATAGCAATTTTCTTAGTATGTAGAAATGATCTGCGCAGCTATGCCGTAGGGCACCGACAGATTTACTCAGTATACACTTGCTACTCGGAAATTAAGACGATCCTTCATACAAGCCCGAATTTAGCTTGGTGCACACAGTTTAGAAAATTTGCTGGGTATAATCGGCCCTTCTGAAGGTATGTTGAGATGGAAAAATGCGCAAATCCGCAATCTACGGCTTGAAGTTTCCGCTGTTTTCAGTACCCGGCGAGACGACATTGGTCTAGAGTCTTGCTTTACGTAGATTGGGCGTATGGCAGTCCATACTCTGTAGGTCTGTTGAGTTAATCACAAACATAGATTTCGCATCCTTTTTGGGGGCTCAGTATGGGGGCTGAGTGTAATGGAAGCCACGTGCAGCTTCCGAGAAACGGTATTGGAGCTTATTCTACGCTGGCCCCAAATTAAGAGGTGGGTCTGTTGTTCACAAAGTATGAATCTGGGGCGGAAGGGCAATTAGACTCTACACAACCAGAATGAAATCACTTCGTTATACCCCTTTACGTTGACTTTCAAATACAGGTCCAAAATGATGATAAACAGATCGCTCGTAAAGATAGCTCATAGAAACTGGTTAAAAAATGGGGGCAATATTCTGAAGCCCAGTAATCTTCCCTTGTTGGGCCCCGTGGGTGTTGCCTTAAAGTAGACCATCACAGACGCCCCATTTCTTCGCCACAAGGCCAAGTCCAAAAGTCCACTTGAAGATAGAAGAAATAATTTTGTCATCCGTGGGCGCATATTCATATAATGGAGAAATCACACCCAAATAATTCCATGTACAAATCTCTGCCATCCTTCAAGTTTTGCACTCATCCAGTTTCTTTATGAGCTCCCTTGGAAGTAAAGCGGCTCTTTTTGAGTTCCTGGTCACTTCTGGGCTAGTTTTAAAAGGTGGTAGGTTATTTGTCTCTGTCCTCAGTCAAAAGAGGCTTGGATTCTCCCGAAGCTTCTAGCTACTCAATAGTCCAGGTTCTGATCCAAATATAAACAGAGGCCAGAGTAGAGCAGAATGGACTGCTTTGTTTTGTCCGCCATTGATGACTTCCTCGTATGCTCGCGGCATGGTCTTCCAGACCTCCATCAGTGCAGCCTGCGCCTTGGGGGAGGGATCAAAATTCCACCAGCTCACCCCGTGAGCATACAAACAAAAGCCAAAAGCTTGCCAAATAAATGCTGAATATCTTTTCGACTGCAGACTGCCACGTCAGAGGAGATAGCCCTCACTAAGTTCCCTGTATCCAGTAAGATAATGGTGGGTCTGTGACCCCAAAATTCCCAGAGATCCTTTTCGAACTGTTTTGGCCCCAGAATAACCTCAATTTTGTCGTCTAGCTTGAATCGTATTCAGCCGTGCTTGTGGTATGCCCCGACTCTGCGACTGTATGATTGAGAAGCCAAATACCATTTCAGTGCCGGCTACAGCACGGCGCGCAAGACGACCTGTTTGATGCGGCCGCCGGTAAGGACTGCTGAGAAAAGTGTTCGATGAGAGGAAGCTACCTTTGATAGGGAGTCCGTCCATATAATAACCCCCATCGCCCATCTCTTAATCGTTTGAGCGGACAATCTGGTTGAGATATTGAGACACAATATCTAAAGTCTTTGCGGGCAGCAGCAGTCCACTGCCTAAGTGAATGGCCTCGCTGTCCAGGGTATTGAGCCACGAGAGCAGTTGCCTTGACTGACGATCCCAGTCAGCTTGGTTGGTGATGATGTCCTCCTCCAGGTGCCGAGGAAAGAGGCTGGCGGCACCATCATGGTCCAGAACAACTTCAAACCAAGGAGTAACAACGCTGCCAGTGGCTGTTCCCTCTCTCTGTGGCTCATTTCAGCTTCCTGGGACACCATATCCTGGATCTGGCCGCGTACCGATTGACTCTTGCAACTTTTTGCAGTCCGGCTAAGCCATTTGAATATTTCATCAAGAGTCTCAAGAACCCAGTCACACAGAGTAGAGAGTCAAGAACAGACTTTCTCTTGCTCCTAAGGTCCATCCAAGAATGGTGCAGGTGTCACCACTTTCGCACTCCCCTAATCAAGATTGCTGCGGGGGTTTGTATAGTCCTTGGGAAGGGCCATAGAAGTTCTGTAGCTTCCTGATCATAGCAGAGCATGGCCCCTCGTGCACACGTTCTTGTAATTAACGTACTATAGTTTTCTCTTAGATAGTCGTCCAACATCCGCTCTGACTCCCTGTAGCTTCCGTATGTCTGAATTTGTGGCGGATGTCCCGATAAGGATAACGTTGGCCCATAATCTTTCCTCCCATTGAACTGGTGATCTGGGTAATCAGTGACGTCACTTTTGGTCGGAAACCACAAAGGATCAGCTAGCAATTCTGGGCCGTCTTGTTCATTCTCGTCGGAGTATCATCCATATTCGGCGCTGTTTCCTCTTTTGGTGACAGCCTTGGAATAGAACGGAAGCTACACATTTGGTCGGACCATGGAGTGCCAAAGTCTGGCATAATGTATCATGCAGTAAATGAATCAAATTCTTCCAGCTCTGAGGATGATGAATATGGCCTTACACCCTTTATATCGAGAGATAATTGCGGAACCGTTGGTGTTTACGGGCCTTCTTCAGTCTGGCATTAGGGAGCTCAATTGAAATCGCGAACTCTCCGACATCGAATCCAAATGGGAGCCTGACCGCTACAGATTGATAGCGGACGCTGGGCTGCAGAAGCAAAGAGAGTACGATCTGGGCTGCCAACCAATCATTGCCGGAATCGGAATACCCTCTGAGCTTGCAATGTACCTACTTGATCTCCACCGGAATCGGCAACATCATGGATCACTTCTCGTCTGCTCCAGCATACCCACTGTTGCCGAGTTGCTAATGTTGGGAAGTACGTTCAACGCTCGTTGACAACCCTCTAAAGGTTGGCTTTATACAGGCTATGTACTTCGTATGGTGTATGACCTCGGCCTCTACCTGGATTACGATGCTATTGCAGGAAGCCCTGGGGGATATGTAAGTCCGTTGGAGGGTGTATTGAGCGCATTTATATGTGACAAACTGCAAAGTCTAACTTTGGTCGGCCGTTCACCATTCAACTCCGAGGTTCACATGTCTCGCGATACTTCATGGATTTGTTCGAAGTAGCGAGTTGTGGACAGTTCATGTTGGCCACAACTGCCTGGCACTTCAACAAAAGGCAATCTCATCCCAACACGAGTACATTCAATTTCCGCCTTCCAACAGATGTGTTCGCTCTCAAAGCTGATGACTAGTGTGATTGATCGAGTCTACGTCGTTGGAGCGACTGGTGGTGTTATTCGAAAATATCTCAGTATCATCGATCGCCGGCTGTCTGTTTAGTATCGAAAATTACCACAGGATCTACATTTTGAACCTCTGGTGGCGGCATCGTCAAACACTTGTACCGTCGCTGCTCCAAATGTTATTATCCTTTTGACCACATATAATGCCCTGATCTTCTCTTGCATCTCCCGTTCATTTCCAGCGGACGACTTCATTCTACCTGTAGCTCTGCTGATTCTTGGGGGCGCTGCATTACTGCGGCTCGCAATATTACCCACCTGGTGCTTTCGTGCCGCTCAGCCTACAATTCCGCCGTGCCAACTATATGATGTTACGATGTGTCTGTGGCATGCACTATCCATGCCCACAATCCTGCCATTTGGGAAAGCACCCGACGACGAGAGGCGAGTTCTCCTTTGACGGTGTGTTTGTAATGCCTGGATGAGCTTGCCATACCGAATTGTGGTGTCTCGGCGCCAGCCAGAATTGTTTGGCGATTGATGGACGCAAATGGAATCCCCGTTGAAATCGGTAGGGGCGACCCTCAACTTTCGTGAAGGATTATCGCTGACTTTGCTTCGAAAAATCACGACGTTGATGCTCAAGGGAGTTGCCCTATCGACATCAATCTTGACTTCCAATCATTTTCAGAATTGGCCTTTGATCAAGAGGGACAGGATGATGGTGTCCGAAGTGAGAGATTTCAGGAATTTTCTCGTGATTTGGATTTATTGTTTGGATTTATGAATGGGGCCGACCCCTCTCCTCCGGCGATTTTGAGTGTTATAAATATTTAACATCTCATTCTTGCAACTCATCAACGTTTTCTGTACGCTCAAGATGTTGAAAAAAAGATTATGTCCTCATTCTTAGATAGCCAGTTACAAGAAATCCGGCAATATTGTAATTCAGCGCAATACTTGCATAAATGACCTATTCCAACACTCATGAGTCCTCTTTGATCACCTAGTCAAAGTATGGTTGAAACGCAAGCCACACTTTGCTTGAGTTGCCGCTCTTTTTGGGGGGTCATTTTGGCCTCCTCCTTGTTGATATATTTTTCCTCCCACCCTGGTCAGGATACTGAATTTGCCATCTTTTGGGCATTGCAGCAGCGATCAAGGGCAATGAACAAAAAAGCGGCTTCATCCACCGTTTTGCCACAAGTGATCATGCCGCGGTTCTGAAGGATGACACAGCGGCATTTTGGCCCAAGAGCCTTCGCAATTCGAGCTCCTTCCTCGACCGATCCAACGGTTCCACCGTTTCGCAGGTAGACAGCAAGGTCATTGTAAAAGCGTAGTGCGTCCTGGTCGATCATTTCGATGGGTCTGCCAAAACACGAGAATGCCTTTTCATGGACGGAATACGCATGGCACGCGGCGTTCAGGCCAGGGCGAGCTTTACGGATTTCACTATGAATCAAAGAAGCCGGGCCATTGATGGGATACTGGCGTCACCTGGCTGGACTTCACCGCCCTCATTCACAAGGACGCTGTCAGAGACACGAATCACAGAGAAGTGCAGGCTTAAGGGATTGATCCAGGAATAGTCTAGAAGCCGCCTAGGTCAGTCGTTATTTCCTCATTCTTATATCTCGAAGCTCGCAAGCAACTGACGTGAATTAGAAGGATCTCTCAATTAAATGTGGCCTGCTACACCCTCATCGAAACCTTGCTTGGCAAAACCCTGAAACGCAGCCGCCAAGTGCTGTTTCCGATAGGCAAGAACTTCTAGCTTGTCTTGAACGCAGGGGCAGAGCGGATGACGACTCTTCCCTCTTTGTCGCCTAAAAATGAAAATCTTCAAAGCTGTCCTTGGACATGGTGCCATTCCGTGCTCCTGGGGGTGTTTGGTCGAGTATATTTGACTCAGTAGTGACTGTAGATGCGGCAGTGGCCATTGAGTGGAGCTCAAGTGAAAGGTTTGTGGGATACCAAAAGAAAAAGGTCACCGATTTATGGATGCAGTCCATGAGTAGGCTTGTGTCCCATCATTAATATTTCTCACAGGGCACACTACTGAAAACGATCCGACAACTTGAATCTTAGGTTTAGATGCCAAGAACTATCATTGTCTACCCCAGTATAACGGGCTTGCAGCCTCCGTCTTCGGTCCTCCGACGGCAACTCGTCACCCGTTGTGGGCCCAACGTTGATTGTTAGGTGAGTTGGTCGAGACAAGAATTTGCAACCCCGCACCGGGTTTGCGGCAGTTCCGCCATTGGCTTTCACGTATGTGGAATTGTCGAAAGCAAAGGGGAGGCAAGAGTCTCAGTTTCCCGGGTTTGTGTCGTCAATAATTGAACAAGTATTTAATCCTCATGGAATGGAAGATGTGAGACAGAGGTTTAAAGCGGCTGGGTTATAAACGTACTATGCCTTGTCACAATCCCTTACGGATTTGATATCAACGCATGCGGCGAGGAAAGCAGGTGTGAGGGTATCTAATCTTTGACAGCTTCACCTGAACTACTGTAGAAGTCAATATGTGGCTTCAGAAGTGCAATCAATCAAGTCGAGATAGAACCTGACTGTCAGAAAGGACAACTCATATCTTTGGGGGACCATTTCTTCTACCTCGATGGAGCTATATATGAACCAGTAGGCGGTCTGGTCCGTAACGAATAGAGTCACCCCACGGAGATCAAGACCCCAGATCAACGAATCAGTGTATTCGCCATCACACCGATTTATTGCTTTATGAATTGTGAATAATCATGCCTATTAAAAGCTGCATTGAGCCTGTCATCGCTCGTTGCCCTCCAAGTTGGCGTTTTGGTCGCAGTGCGAGCGGATAAAGCGGGGCCTACAATTTTGCCTCGGATGCCTCGGATATTCGGTAACTTCTTTTTGGACGCGCCCGTTGGCGGGGTCGGGGGGCAGGAAGGGGAATAATTATAATTACACAATATACGCCATCGAGATTTCTCGGACATTGATTCTCGATAGTGGAACAACGATGACATCGCAAAGCACTTCAGGCGCGGCGTACGTTTTGGGAGTGGGTATGACCCAGTTCCTAAAACCGCGCCGCATTCGTGAATGTAAGCCCAAATCACTCTTTCTCATCGAGTGATGTTTGAACGACTCTGATTAAATCAAGACCCCGAACTGGGATACGAGGCTGGAGTCAAGGCTCTGACGGATGCTCACATTACATACGATGATGTCCAAATGGGTGTCGCGTGCTACTGTTATGGCGACACCACTTGTGGACAGCGAATTTTCTACCAATTCGGCATGACAGGTATCCCTATTTATAACACCAACAATGCCTGTGCCACCGGTTCAACCGGCCTGCATTTGGCTCGCACTATGGTAAAAGGAGGCCTTGCGGACTGTGTTTTGGTAATTGGTTTCGAACAGATGCGCCCTGGTTCCATCAAAAGCGTGTGGGATGACCGCCCAAGCCCTTTGGGTCCTTCCACAAAGATGATGGAAGACACTTACGGCAAGCACAATAGCCCTCGCAATGCGCAGTACTTTGGAAACGCAGGACAAGAGTACATGCAGAGGCAAGGTACTCCCAGTCTGTAATTGATCCCTAATGCTAACCCAAAGCGAAGGTTTGGGGCCAAAGCAGAAGACTTCGCCGAAATTGCCCGTATATCGCACGAGCACTCGCAGCGCAACCCATACGCACAATTCCGAACAGCATACTCACTGGAGCAAATCCTTAACTCCGGTGGTATATACGGACCTCTGACCAAGCTTCAATGCAGCCCGACGAGCGATGGAGCAGCAGCTGCGGTTATTGTGTCGCAGCGCTTCCTGGATGCGCGGCCACACCTTAAATCACAAGCTATTCTAATGGCCGGCCAAAATCTTACGACTGATGGGCCGGAAGTTTACTCCCGGAGCGCAATTGATCTAGTGGGGTTCAACATGTCCCGCCAGGCAGCTAAGCTTGCGATGCAAGAAGCAGGCGTGGAGGCCAGGGATGTCAAAGTCTGTGAGCTGCATGATTGTTTCTCCACCAATGAGCTTCTACTTTTGGATTCCTTGGGATTTTCGGAGCCAGGAAAAGCACATGAAATGGTTCGTCGGGGTGATATCACTTATGGCGGCGGCGGTCCGGTTATCAATCCATCGGGCGGGCTGATCTCTAAAGGCCATCCCCTTGGAGCAACAGGACTGGCACAGTGTGCTGAACTTACATGGCAGCTCCGCGGCTGGGCAAATAATCGACTGGTTCAGGGTGCAGACGTTGCACTGCAGCACAATCTAGGATTGGGAGGGGCCGTGGTAGTGACCGTCTATAAGCGAGCTGATGGCCACATCGCTCGTGCAGTCTCAGATGATGAAATCAAGAGGGTCTCTGGTCTGGAGTACAATCCAGCCACTGAGGCACGTTGCATCTCTCCCCGAGATGGTGAACTGGTCCGAAGTCGGATAAAGCGGCATGACTACCCTCTTAAGGAAACCATTGGAAAACTATCCGCTCGTATATAGTTGCGCTAGCATGAATATTGATCGGTAGATAAAGGCGACTCAATTTTGACTTAAAAACGACGATTATGGCAGACATCCTGTAGCTTCACGACCACCGTTATCTTATTATGCGATGGGAACGATGAAGTTGCTTAAACAGAGGGCTCACATGGACCTGTGCAACTGTGGGAAGGAAAGACTTTCACTGACAATGTTTTGGTCAACAACAACATACTACCAGCCCTCAAGTCAGGCTCTCCACCTCTAGTTCGGTTTGCGTCCGACCTGGGGCGAGTGTTCCTTTTCGGGTAAGGGATCGCCCGATGTTGAACCAGCTACATATAAATGAGACATTACTCTCCTTGCCTCCAAATTTCCGCAGTCCTGCTTTTGTGGTCACCATGTTCGTAATCACCATGAAACTGATACTCTTCTCTCAGGTCGTCTCTCCAGCATGCTCACTTATCACCGGTTCTACCCTATTCACAGACCCAAATGAAATCGCTGAGCAGCTTGGGACTATGTCATTGCTGGAGGGCTGGCTGGTCTCACAACTGCGGCAAGGTTGACTGCAGATCCAAACATCACGGTTTTAGTAATTGAAAGTGGTTATTTCCAGTCAAGCCGAGGGCCCATAATTGAAGACGTTACAACCTTCGGTCAGGCCTTCGGTACCTCTGTCGATCACGCATTTGACACCGTTTCACTGGCTATCAACGGGCGCCCTGTAACTATCCACGCAGGCAACGGACTCGGTGGTTCGACATTGATCAATGGGGCGACATGGACTGGTCCAGCAAAGGTGCAGATAGACTCCTGGGAGACTCATCTGGGCAACCCAGGATAGAACTGGAAGAGTGTCTCTCAATATATCCACAAAGCGGAGAAGGCTCGTGCCCCAACTCCAGAGCAAATCGCGGCTGGCCACTACTTTGATCACCAGTGCCATGGCCTCAATGGAGCTGTACATGTCGGCCCACGAGATACAGGAAAACCATGGTCACATATCACACGGACTCTCATGAAGATGGTCAGAAGCCAGGGTATCGCTACAAGGAGAGACCTGAGTTGCGGCGACCCACAAGGGGTGTCCATGTTTCCTAACACCATTCATCCAAATCAGACACGGTCGGATACGGCCCGAGAGTATCTTCTTGACCAGGATGATCGGCCCAATTTGCGAATTCTCATGGGCCAGCAGGTTGGCAAAGTGTTGCTCAATAACAAGATGACCCCTCCCTTGGCCACCGGCGTCCAGTTTGGCACGGATGGCGCTAGATATGAAGTCCATGTCAACCGAGAAGTGCTTCTGGCAGCTGGTGCACTCGTCTCACCTCTGATTCTGGAGAACTCGGGGATAGGCTTGTCAAGCGTGCTCGCCACAGCGGGTGTTCCCCAAGTCGTCGACCTCCCCGTGGGACTCAATTTGCAAGACCAGACCAAAACAACCACGTTAACTAGGGTCCGCAAAGATGGAGAAGGGCAGGGGTAAGCCGCGTATTTCGCAACGTGGAATGAACTATTCGATGCGACGACACGACCAACCGCTCAGGGGCTATTAGATTCCCAGCTGGATCAGTGGGTTGACGATGTCATTTCCGGTGGTGGGTTTAGCAATCGCACAGCCCTGAAAGCACAGCTGGAGCTCTATCGAACATGGCTCCTCGAAGACAAGGTTGCATACGCAGAGCTTTTGCTGGACGTGAGCGAAAACGACATGAGCTTTGGAATCTGGGTGCTCCTGCCGTTTACCCGGGGTTATGTGCATATCGTGGATCACGATCCATACCTCTGGCGTGTTGTGAGGAATCCTCGGTACATGGAAAATGACCTCGATCGTTATGCCCAAGGGGCATCCACATTGTTGGCGCGTAACGTCGCCCGTGCCGAGGCCATGCAGCAGTATGTCGGGGAAGAAGTCCTGCCCGGCTTGTTTGATGTTCCCCTTAATGCGACCATGGACGATTGGGTCACGTATGTTGCGCAGAACTTTCAGCCTAACTTTCATCCGGTGGGGACATGTTCAATGATGTCAAAGGAACTGGGAGGCGTTGTGGACCCTGCTGGTCGGGTGTATGGAGTGCAGAAGCTTCGTGTTATTGACGCCTCCATTGTTCCAACGCAAGTCTCTGCCCATCTGTCTGCCCTGTTGTATGGGGTGGCCGAAAAGCTTGCGGGCCACATTCTCAGGGACCACTATGGTCAGTAATCTGGGTGTTTTAATGAGGCTCCGCTGGGTCGGAACAGCCCTACCGTGTCTGGCACTCGAACGCGAATTATCATTAATGCCGCATTGACTGGGCCTAGCGGATTTATGGGTAAAATGATGGTACAATGGTGGCCAAAACAACTCTTCGCTTAAGAGTGTTCGTTCGCGCAGGATAGGCTAACGTAATCGGCAAGCGAATGGGCCATGCAAGCGGGTGGGCCGCCCCAAAACATACTAAATGCTATGTTCTACAACTTGATATCTCAACAGTAGCTTAATATAATACTTGATTATCTCCTAGAACTATTCTGGTCATATCTAGCTTATTTATAGGAGTCCTAACAAATTTTGAGATTTTGTGGTTTAGATATATATATGTTAAGGGGAGTCGCATTGTTTGGTACCATGAAATAATCTCTTATCCTAAATCCAAGTCAAACCTTACTATTTCTTATACTAAGAAACGATATTCTGCCAACAATCAAATAATCTTAATTATAGTGAATTGCATTTACTATGGTATTTTGGGGTGGCCCACCCGCTTGCATGGCCACTCCCTTGCCGATTACGTTATAAGGTATCCCTCCTAACCCCAAGAAAGGCGGCGGGCTGCGATAACTCGACAGCCAAACGGGGTTCTATTATCCCCTGCGGATCCCTTGTCACGTCATTGCACGCGCCTTAGCGAAAACTCCTATCACTATCCTTCTTCTTAAGTCCCTGTCTCACGTACCTGTCTGTCCGTCTTTTCCCCACGACCACTTGCAGCATTTGTCCAAGGCTTGGTAACTCACTCCTGAATCGCTTGAATTTCGGCCCCGGTTGGAAGCATCTCAGCTTTTTTTTTGCCAATCGTTCAACCTCAGAACCCTTGGCCCTGATTAAAATGCTACCCTTGCCGCCTCTCATTGTTATTTCCATGGCCGCGGTTGTTTCGTTCGGAGAACATGTCACTGCAAACTCGATACCCTGGTCTGTCGAGGGATATTACTCGGTCTCAAATTCCTGTAGGTAACAATCATTCGTGACCTTTGACCCGCTGGTGATTTATCCGTACAGAACCGATTACTTGGGATTACAATCAGACATATGTCAGATCAAGCACATTCGGTCAGTTTTGCTCGGCTCTTTTCCTTAAGGCTGGTGTGCCTAGTCCCAACTTAATGGCCTGACGCTCTGACTAGGCCGATGTTGCGAAAATACGCTGTCAAATTGCGGGTTCGGTACTAGTTGCACAGATTCTACAATCTACTACTCCACTGGCTCGTCTGTTTGGTGAGCTTTGTGCGTACTGCACATCACTGGTATCAGGCTGACCATGACTGTCATCTTCTGCTAGTGTCTCGGGTCAAACATGTGCGATCATGAATATATATGAGTCAAAGATAAGCGACCCATCTATGGTAGACCTATTCTGCTGGTCGGACTGGGAAGCTTCAACCATCTTCCGCACGACCGATGTTACAGCAACTCCCACTTCTGGTAAGATGCATTCCGCAGATTCTTGTACCGCCGTCATCAATATCGACAACTTTTTTGCTGATACTGCGCCTGAAGCACTAACTACATCGACTGGAATCGCCCCCGGGGCTATTATCACGGCGTCTAGTCCGTCTCCCACTACCACTGCCGCCATCACAGCACCGAATCATTCCAAACCTCACGAAAGTAAAACTTGGATTGCCGGTGCTGTCATTGGTCCTATCGCGGGCTGTGCGCTGATTGGGGCCCTTGGGTTCTGGGGCAGGCGTCGAATCTGTGCGAAGAAGAGACTCGGCACGGTAGAGGTCCCAAATCCAGTCCAAAAGTTTCCGTCTGCTCGAGTTGCTGTTGAAATTGGTACATCTGGTACTCAGGGTATCCCTGAATTAGGACCGTCGTCACCGAAGGGCCTGAACAGTACTAGCGGCTCGCCTGCAGTGGAACTTTCAGAATCTAGCAGGTAGTCCAAATAATTCAGTATAATAAGCCTTGATGCTACAATCCAAGTATGATTACAATCCTTAAGAATATAGCTAAGTTAGTTATCGTCCAGTGATTTGCGAATATAGATTCATTGATTTCATTAATTTACACACGATACTCAGTGTACGGCAATCTCCACGGCTCTGTTTTCCCCCTCTTTCTCTTCTTTTCTTTTCTTGGCACTTATTCGGTCAATCATAAACACTCAACCTCGGGTGGGGTTGGGATCCGAGGTATATCCCCGCACAAAGACCACATCGCCCAAGTCGAGCTAAAGCTGCCTAATAATGGAACTTATTAAGAGCACAATTCTCCATTGAATTGCGTGAGCGTAAATCAAGTGTACATGGCCTTCTTCGCACTCGCATAGTCTGCAAAACACCACATCAGCATATTCAGTGATCAAAAATTCCTCATTTCAGACCGCATTTATGGCCCAAAATCTGCAGTCGCAACCACCGGCGAGCCATTTCCTGCAGCTCTCTTTTCCGAGACCGGGAATACTCCTTGTTATGATCAATAGAGAAAAACAACGCAATGCTCTACCCGCCGAGGCGCATTGGGAGGGTCATCACCTGTTTTCCTGGTTTGATGAGGAGCCGTCCTTGCTGGTGGCAGTTGTCACCGGTGCCGGTCAGAAAGCATTCTGTGCCGGTCAGGATTTGGTTGAACAAAGTTTGTCTCGCCGAAAACCACAAACTGCTTCGCAAGTCGCAGTGATGAACCATCCCCCAAGTGGATTCATGGGGTTGAGCCAACGTAGAGGAAGGAAGCCAGTGCTGGCAGCTGTCAATGGGTTTGCTCTAGGAGGCGGATTCGAAATTTGCCTCAATTGGTATGACTGCCCGCCCGACCGATTATCAAAGATTATATTAACATATCATCCCTCAAAGTGATATGGTGGTTGCGGCTCCTAATGCGATTTTTGGACTACCAGAGGTTGCAGTTGGGCTATATGCTGCCGCTGGCGGGCTGCCTCGTTTGATGCGAATTGTCGGGCTTCAGTTGGCGTCCGAGATTGCAATGACAGGCCGCCGATTATCTGCCCAAGATGCATTAGGCTACCACCTAATCAATCAAATTTCGCAGTCAGTCGAATCGGTCGTGGATGAATGCCTTTCCCTCGCAGCAAAAATAACAAGTTTTTCCCCCGACGGGATTATCGTGACACGCCAGGGCCTGCGAGAAACCTGGGATAATCCAAGTGTTGAACATGCAACTTCGCGGACCAGGCACGAATTTGTGAATCGGCTCGTTGCTGGCGAGAACTTCAAGATCGGCGTTGAAGCATTCGCAAATAAGCGTGAACCGAAATGGGTTCCCTCCCGCCTTTAATTTAACAGAGCTGCGGTGATAAGGTTTACATTACATGTTATAGCATTTGAGATTGTGTCGGGCGGAAAGATACCACTAGTTTCTGGGTCGAATGATAGATGACAGTGCCTATAGATCTGATTCTGTATATCTAGTATCCTATAAAAGCTTATCAACAGTATCGGCAACACGGCGGACGCTGCCAATTCTACATATGGTAGGTAATCCATCAAAAGGGACTCGGGCCGAGGGTACAAATTCAAGTGGTTCTCCACATGACCTTTCGTTCCCGAAGGCGGAATCGTGGTTGTCGAAATATGGGCATTATGAAATTCATCTTGGATTCTTAATTATTTTCCCCATGCACTTGCCATCAAAAGCTTTCCATAATGCAGCCAGTGATTATTGGAGTCGCCGATATCAAGAATCGGTCGGTAGCCGTTGAGGATGCGAAAGAACCGGCTGATCTAATGCTGGAGGCTATCAATTCGGCTATTCGAGATGCAAGCGACTGTCCAGAAACTCTTTCGCGTCTACGGTCTAGCATCGATAGCATTAGTGTCGTTCGAACCTGGACTTGGGACTACCCGGACCTTCCAGGGCTTCTCTCTCTGCGTCTTGGGATTAATCCTGGGCATCAGATTTACAGTGACCACGGGGGCAACCAGCCAGCTAAACTTTTTGACGAAGCAGCTCTCCGGCTTGCAACTGGAGATAGCAAGGTTGCTGTACTTACGGGAGGGGAAGCTCTAGCCTCTTGTGAGTACAACCTCATGCAAGCACCAGACGCCAGCTGACTCACACGCCATTCGATAGTGGCCTCATGTGTTAAAGAGAAGAGGATGCCCCCGCCTGGGTGGTCCCGACCGTCCAAATCTGTTAAATATGTTTTCTCGCCCACTACAAGGGAGCTGAAGAAAGGTATGGGTGTTTATAGAATGCATCAAATGACGGTGGCTCTAATAGCACAAATTCCCAGATCTTGGTGGCATTCATTCTGTTGGCTCTCCGATCCATGTATACCCACTGTACGAGCACGGGTTTCGAGCACACCGGGGCCAATCAGTCAGCGAAAATCACGAAGAGTCTGCTATTCTCTATGCCAACTTCAGCCAAGTCGCGGCTCGCAATCCACATGCCTGGAACTATGGACACGACGCCGACACGATTAAGTCTATCGGAACAGTGACAAAAAGAAATCGTATAATTTGTCTTCCATGTATAACATCTCTGCTTCACCGTACTATAATTATCTTACTGATCTATTTTCAGATCCCCTCTTGATGAATGCATTCAACACTGTCAATCTAGCCGCTGCCTGTGTTTTAACGACGACGGAGTATGCACAGCAGCTCCAAATCCCCAAGGATAAATGGATCTACCCACTAAGCGGGGCCGGCTACAAGGACAGCGATTTCTGTATGTTCACGAATGGGTGTATATGGAAATCTTACTAAAATCAAGTTACTCAGTCTGGGAACGCCCAAATTTCTTCGAATCTCCTTCTATATCAAAATCGTTGGACCAGTGCCTCAACTCCAGCCAGATTGATCGTGCCGAGATTGATTTATACGATTTTTACTCGTACAATCTCCTAGACATGTCTTCTCATCTACTGCCTAGGTATCTAACTATTAATTAGGTGTTTTCCAATTGTCCCAAAGCTTGCCTGTCATCATCTAGGGCTTTCTATCACAGAGCCAGCAAAACCTATCACCGTTTTAGGCGGGCTGACGTCGTTCGGTGGTGCAGGAAATAACTATTCGATGCATGTAAGTCTTTCTATTCTTTAGACAAGATATTTCTGCCTCTAACTTACGCATCAGGCTATAACCGAGATGGTCCGTCGGCTGCGGCAAGGGGTTGGCCGCAACGGGATCATTCTTGCCAATGGTGGCGTACTGTCATACCAGCATGCAATCTGTATCTCATCCTCGCCACGACGAAACAATTCCCCTTATCCTGACAGCAATGCATTCCGGAATGTGGTCAAGGAGGCTGTGCCCGTGATTGAAATAGAGGCAGAGGGCAAAGCCATTATTGAAGTGACGCCTCCCTCCCCACGGATATTGAATCTTAATGCTGACAGCCACCAGACATACACGGTTGAGTTTCACCGAGATGGCTCACCGATGAGAGCTTGTGTGGTTGGCCGGTTGATAGACAACCAGCATCGGTTTATTGCGAACGATGGAGATCACTCCACTCTACAGCTGTTAGGGACGACGGGTGATGAGCAGATTGGGAAAGTGGGCGTTGTCATACCAGAATATTCGTCTGGAGAAACGGGTCAGAAAAGAAATCTGTTCTACTTGGAAACTGGTTCGAAGCTATAGTTTCGAATAAATGTGTTCAATGTGACCTTGTCCGAGGATTAACTCTGCGAACAGCCTGTCCAAAGCAATGTAAGAGCTAGTATAGTAAATCATTTGCAAATATAGAATTGTTTTTCGGTGACATTTCCGTACAATGTGCTACCGACCCAATCAAAGACTCGATGTTTTAAGTCGCTTCCTCTTTGATGATAAATGACTCTAGGAACTCATCACCAAGAGCGGCACTGCACTTCTTGAGGTACATGGGGACTCCGCCGAGATAATACATTTGCTCAATGTGTTTTCCAGGAATGTTGGCACCCTGGTACCATGATTTTGCTTGTGGGAACAAGGTCATGCCAGCAATTTCCAGAACTTCCTCTCGCCACGCTTGTGCCGCTTTTTGGCTGGGATCAATGCAGTGAATGCCAGTCGTTTCCATTTTCCGAATCATGTCTTGGATCCACTTGGCCTGGTGCTTGATAAAAACCGGTCCATTGGTTAACGGTGTTGGACACTGTATGGAGTAAGGAAGAAACATATTGGGAAAGCCTGGGACGGTCATGCCGAGGAAGCTGAGGATCCCCTCTCGCCATCTCAATGCAAGGTCCACTCCATCGAGGTCTTGGAGGCCCATTTTCGCTAGTGTACCGGTGCTTGAATCAAACCCTGTGGCAATCGCGATAACATCCACCTCGTAGAGCTTCTGGTCATCGGTGATAATGCCTTTCGGCGTTAGCTCCATGATCGGATGAGCCTGGGTGTCCACAATATGCACGTTGGGCTTGTTAAACTGCTCATAGTAGTTCTGCTCCAACGACGGGCGCTTTGTTCCCCATGGATGTGGTGGTTCTAGCGGCGCCAGGAGGTCGCGCTTGACGGGGTCATGGACTCGTGCCCGGACTCTCTTTGCCCAAACCCCATAGGCAAATCGATTGGCCTCTGTGTTAACCAGAAGGTCTGCCAATCCGCCCCAAAAATGGAAGCCCCCTTTGTCGTACAACTCCCCCAGCATTTTCTCGCACTCCACCGAGGAGTAGTCCGAGAATGCCTTTGTACTGTCTGCGTGTGGCATACCTCCAAATGTGCTCTGGCAGCTATTGAACATTTCTCGGGTCTCTACCAACATCTGGCTTTGGGCGGCACTGTCTAATGACTTCTGCTTCATAGGCAACGCCAGGTTTGGTGTGCGTTGGAACACCAGTGTCTCGGCAGCTTCCTTGGCCCATTCCTGTATAATTTGCACGCCCGTTGCACCGGTTCCAATAACTGCTACCCGTTTCCCCCGTACGTCGACGCCATCATGGGGCCACAGAGAGGTATGGTAAATTGTTCCCTGGAAGGAGTCGAGTCCCTTCCATGCTGGCACGTACTGCTTATCTGCGAAGCCAACAGCGGGTATCAAATATTTCCCGGTCACCGTCTTGCCGTCATCGGTTTTGACAGTCCAGCGCGAACTGGCTTGATCGAAGCGCGCCTCATTCACGCGCGAGTCAAAGAGGCAAATCTTGTCGGACTGACAGCGCTTGATCGACGTGCCGAAAATACGCCTGGAGTTCTTGCTGCGAGGGATACGCTTGCGACCACTTCCAGTCCCTATAGACCTTCTCGATATCAAAGGCATACACCGGAGTAGGACAGTCTACCCGGGCCCCGGGGTATACATTGCGGTTCCAGACGCCGCCCACATCCGAGCGGGCTTCCAAGATCTTGACATTGAGATGCAGTTCGTCGCGCAGGAGATGCAAAATGTAGATTCCTGAGAACCCCGCGCCGACAATTATCGCATCCAGCTCGAGAACAGTCATGGTATTGTTATCGGAATGAAATCTTATCTTTCTGAAATGGTGATGGGGGTGAAAACAATCGTGTCAGTTTGGGTCCGAGAGGAGAGGCGAGGCGTCCCATTGCAGATGATCAACATTCACGTTGCCATCATCAGCAGTAGCCCTTGGATCTGACTCACGGGTTTAGGAACGGAGCTCAGTTCCATCCCGTATAGCCGAACGCGATAGTTATGCATCCATAGTAGGCATAATTTTGCACCCGGATTTTGGCAGGTTATGTTGTCGTCGTGCTAAAGATGAAGGCTCCCAAGGACTCTGGACGAAATGACTTCTACTCTTGGCTTCCCGGAGAATCACGCAGAACTAATATTCCGAACGATTATATTTTACCAATGGCCTACCGCTAGTTAAAAAAGCATCTGAAGCACCGGAGAAAATAGTACGTCTGCAAATTTGTGCACAATCAATCCCAGTAAGAGCTTGACTAAATGTGATCTCAAAGGACAGAGAGTTCTTACAACCGCGGATATAGTGTGGCTGGCAGGTTTACTACACTAGATATTGGTCGGATTTGAGAAACAAAGGGTGGCAATTTTGTTCCAGGGCAGCGGAACGAGCTCGGCACTAGTTCCAGGAAGCTTCGAAATATTGAATCGTCCATTATTTCGGCTACTGTTTCGGATTTGTCCTCGGTTTATAGATGAAAAGTTTCCAAATAGCAACAAACCGGAAAGAATATTGTCCTAGAGAGCCATATTCAAGTTGTTGTACAAGGTACGATGCTATCGCTGCAACCAAAACTGGCCCGTCTACAAGGCTCCCAGCAAATTTTCCTTTTGTCCTATCTTGGCTTATGGTGACAAAACGTCTGTTCATTCTGAGACACTTGATCCATGTCGTGCCCTATTCAAAGTATGGTGACTTACAGAAGTCAGGTTGGCTACCTAGGCTTTTGAGGCACCCAGATAGATACAATATAGTTACAATTTATTCGTTGTGATGAGCTCTCATCTTTGGGAATTAATAGCCAGCTAATGCCAGTTGCTCCCAGCAATCCTACGAGGATCCGCTGTAAGTCTTTAACACCAGTGGGAAGAGGCAATAACGCCAGTGATGGCGGGAAATATGGATCCCTCAATCTGTCCGAGTACAGACACAAAGGCTGTACATATCGTTAGTTCTCTATTAAGCAGTTTAATAATATTGGGCTTTCACACCAAGAGCTGAAGGATGAATATTGGGGGGAAAAGTCTTACATCCTAAGGAGACTCCCTGAAAAAAAGGCTTAGAGATATGTTTTGGTAATCACAGATGTAATTGCAAGCTGACTGTTGCGAAGAATGGACCTGAGAAACCCCCAAGAAGGCTGATTGCAACGGTTTCGGTGATAATGCTAGGTACCCTGTTCATTAGGTGAGCCAAATATCCACAGAATTGCTGACAGGAATAGCGTATATTGCGTACAGCCAAAATATCAACTGTAGGCCTACGCACAACACGGCGTAGATCAAAACCATACGCCGGTCACCAAAAAGATACGTCAGTTCGGCTAACAAAAGTCTCCGTAGTGATCCACCACCATAGAATCCAGCAGGGACATAGCCCATCTCGACGACATCGCCTTAGGACGCGAACCAAGTACTCGACAACCCAGCCTGGGTTGAATTAGCTCACATTTTATACATACTGGAGGCTTTTTCGCGTACCGCCAGCAGTAATATCTGCTCCTAAAAGAAAAAGAAGAAGAGACTTAGCAGCCGCACCCTTAAATTAGCTAGAGTCCGTCGAATTTCGGGAAAGGACATCCTGGCCTCGAGATGTATTAGATGTCGCGGGTATTGCATTTTGGCTACGCCTATTTGCACTGACAATATCATAGAAGGCTGTGGAGGCCAGTATGAGATTCACACACCCTAGGCTCAACGGAGTGGTATAAGATAATGCTTGTTGAATCGAGGGGCTGGCCGATGCCACCGCCGTCGCCACGAATTGACCAACTAGGAAGCCCGCCATGTACATCGCATGAATGAAGCCTAGCCATCGATATGGCCCCATGTACCGGTGCAACAAAGGAATTTGCGTGGGTGTCTTGATAAGCTTGGCCGAGGCTGGCAAAGAAGAAAGTCACCACCAACAAGGGGAATGGGGTCTGCCAGGAACGAAGCGCATGGGCTAGAATTTGGAAGAAGACTAAAGAAGAAGCATGGCGCTGCGGTCGAGATACTGAAGAGGATCGTATTGGTGAATGCCGCCACCAACCATTCCACCAATGTGGTGCCGTATCTACTACCCGATCAGCTCTTGGTCAAGCGCATTGACCACAGTGGCAGACACGGCAGTGACCACATTTGTTCCAATATGATACGTATGTAAGCTATATAGCATCAACGCTCGCAGGCTCCCATCATTGACTCCGGCCACGAAAAATCCAAACCAGCACTGATCAGGCCAAGATACGTGCGCCTCGAGGCGGACGTGTCGACCGCCGCAACAAGACCATGCTCAGGCGGAGATTCGAGCTCATCTAATTCATAGGAAGGCTCCATCTTGTTCCTGCGTGATAGCGGAAGATGGAAAATTGCCATCCAGCCCCGTAATGTGGAGTGGATGTTTGTGTTATTCATCCACGGACGGGCCAGTTTAATCTGATTCTGTTCCGTGTCAATTCGGGATTAAATCAAAGCCAGACATATAGCCCGTCGTCCGCAACTCGTTCTAGAATATAGTTCCGTGTCACGAACTAGGGCTTTATAATTCTGGGGAGCCCTGAATAACCGAGTTGCCTCCCATCCTCCTAAGAAGACATCAACGTTTACTGTTAGAAATAGGCGTGATCTAACGCATGCCAGCTACATCGTGTGCATCTGTGTACTGTACGGTTTGGCCAGCAAGATGAATCAGCGGTCATCACCGATCAAGAAACACGTCATGGTGTAGATTCTACCGTGTTTCTATACACTCCAGCTATCTGTTCCGCCGTAGAAAAAAAAACTTTTCTCTGAAATATCAGACCCTATCGCACTGCTAGCTTCCACCGCCGTTTTATCATCTGTTCTGCTTTGAATGACCTCTTTGGGATTTCATTGAACATTCACTCCACCGTGAAAGTGGCTTCACTCGGCGAGAACCCTCGAAACCGTCGATGCAACAACCAACAATTCCTCTTCACGCATATTCCTCCCCACAACCTGCACACAGCAGGGAGCTCCTTCAACTGCATCCGCTGTGTCTATACTCTGCAGTTAGAATATGGAGCCAAACGCGTTAGACATGCAAGGGCAACACTCACAGGGTGGCTTATACTCGACATCATCACGAGAAAAGGCTGCATCGAGACCTTTGTCGGCCTTGCCATATGGGATAATACATCCCGGATACTCAGGTCGGTGAGCTGAAGCCAGTCAAGGAATTCAGTATTAACTTACGTCCATCAAATTCCACAAGACCGTATAGGGGACAAAGCCAAACAGATCATGTGGCTGGGCAGTCCCTTGGTAGCCTGGCATGATAATCGCATCCACGTTGGCCTCCACTATTAGTGAGCGGAATGCCTCCTTGAACCTTTGTCGCTCTTCATTCAAGTCGTACAGCGCCTGGAGCGTCATTGGTGCGGGATCGTACTGCATGTACTCGTGCGGCAAGGTTGTTGATGCCAATGCCGGGATGATGGGCTCCCCACTAGCAGCAATATGTTTAAACGGTGTTTTGGCAGGGTCCATGGAAAACATGCGAAACGCCAAAGCGCAGGCATCTCGGATGGAGGGAGTGGTCAGCAGCACAACTTCATGGCCCGCGGCTCGCAGCTTGTCAGCTGCCTGCGTCAGGGTCCGCAAAACTGGAGGATGCAGCGGAAAATGGGGGTCCTCTTGGATGAGTCCCAATCGCAGCGTGGATTTCGGCGCTACCGAGCGCCATGGGGCAAAAATTACTGAGGAGTCAGCTTGCCAGGGATCTGCATTGGCCACCACGCGCATCAATAGCTCCAGGTCCCTCACTGAAGTTGCCAATGGTCCGGCGCAAGCTTTGATTCCTGCCAGGCCACCACGCGCAGAGCTGGTCTGGCCCCCGTATGGAATGCGATCAGCGGAAGGCCTCAATGCAAAGATTCCATTACAGATCGCAGGGATCCGAATCGAACCTGCAATATCGGTTCCAATGCCCAATACGGAGCCTCTCATCGCGATGAGCGCGCCCTCTCCACCAGAAGATCCGCCGGCGTTGAGGTTGGATCGATGCGGGTTAAGAGTTCGCCCGAAAACGTTGTTATGGGAGTCTGCCGCCTGGAAGTGATTCAGCACTACTTTATGGATTGTATGAGAGACAAGAGTACCATCATAGTCTGTGGGATGTTCGTCTTTACAAACGGAACCGCCCCCAGTTCCAGTAGAACTTGAACCATGGCGGAATTGGATTTCACGGGCCCATTCTTGATGAACGAAGTGAACCCGATTGAGGAGGGGATGCCTTGGATGTTGAAACAGTCCTATTGACGGTGTCAATAGATCTATTGAAAGTTTACGCTCTCCTTTACCTTGAAACTGATTGGCAGGCCATGCAAAGGTCCGATGGGGGTGCCAGTTCGCTGCATTTCCTCGTCCAGTTGCTTTGCACGCTGGAGGGCACGGTCAAAAAACATTTCCGTTAAGCAATGTGTCTATCATGAATCCATTAAGAATCCAATCCGTACGAGTGTTCTGTAAGCTGTGAGTAACATACCACCTGCTGGGCGATGGCAGCGCGAATGCAAAACGCCTCGGTCACTTCGTAGGCCGATAATTCCTGGTGGTGGATCTTTTCGAGCAGAGCCGTGGCATCATACTTCTCCGTGATTTCCAGCTGTTTGGGCGACAGGAGGCCACACCGGCGAGGTACATCGAGCACATTGGTGGACTTGGTCTGCGAGATATCTGTATACTCGGCCGGCAGACGCCAGGCGGGCGGAATCTGGGTGGCGACCTCGGCCTGCTTCTGCTTCACGATCTTGGTCCAGCTTTCAATTGTCATGATGAAAGTTTTGGTGTCCCTGGGGGAGGGGAGGGGTGGATCAGGGCTGGGAAGTTGGTGTTGTGGGGGAAGTGACGGAAAGAGTTGGGTATTTATGTGGGGAGAGAGCGCGGATACGAGACCAGGAGGCAACTGCCGAATATATGAACTGGGCTTAGGGCAAGGAGTAGGCCCGGACATAGATGGAAGAAACAACTTATTCTGATTGCTCTGGTGTTCGACTACTATCTCCAGGTCTCGGCAGCGACTCGCCGGCCAATCAGCGCAAATACCGCGGTGGATGCAGGGGCCGCTAATGAACTACCGTAACTAAACCAGCCGATCGCATCAATCCATCGTGGTCACGGCGCGGAACCGGACACTCCCCTGGCACATGGCTTCTCTGAAACCAGCGCCCGATCAAGACCTAGGGACAGAAGCTCACCGAAGGCTTCGCGGGCTTTCTGCAGCGGATAGGTCTCCACCATGTAGTTGATGCCCTCCAATTCCGTGAATTGAATGGCATCCTCGGAGTCAATCGCGTGACCGCTGGGCCATCCATGAATCGACAGGCCGCGTTCGATCTACATGGGTCAGTGTCAGCCATCTCGAGGACCTTGTAGGAATCCCGGATCAATATCGGGTAGGTCCACCCACCGTCGGCCGGATATCAATGGACACTTCTCCCGGAACTACGCCGCGAGCTAGCTCTCTCGGTCTCGGTGATTGACGCCGAACTCCTTACCTGCCAGTAACAACAACTTACCCATAATACCGGGCCCGTTCACCAGAGGCGAAATGACTTGGGCATTCGGCGCTGTGGCGACGATGAGGGAAGCACCTCCGAGCTTCTGCAGTGCCTGCGCCGCTTCTTCCTTACTGCTATCAATGTATTCGTGAGCACCTAGTTCCCGCACAAACTTTTCCTTCGTCGAATCCCGGGACAGGGCCACGACCGGTAGCCGAACCGGTTCGCATATTGAATGGCGAGGTGGCCGAGACCGCCCAGTCCTTAAATGGGAACATTCATTTGGCGCATCGAGTTGAAGACGGTGACTCCGGGTGCAGAGGATCGGGGCGTACCTAGCTTCGTCCATATGTTGGGGAATGCGGACGCCCGCTTCCCCTCGAAGGATACAGTATTGAGCATCTGGTCTTCAGTTAGTCGGTTCCTGTAGTTAGATGTGGGCCATAGCCATACATCCACCGCTCTTGGTCACGCCGTTGATAATCCCCAACTGGCACATTTGGAAATGGCCCTTGCGACAGGTCTGGCAATTGCCTGAGAGTCCGATCAATTCGTCATCTTCACCAGTTCGAAAGACGTACCGTCATGGCCCCCGTGCCAGGGTCCACCAACTCGGTCGCTTACCTTCCACTGGGACATTGTCGGCTAGGGCCGCCACGCGCCTGATGATCTCGTGGCCGGGAGTGATGGGGCTACTTAATGGTTGTCAGTGGATGCATTCGGAATGATCGATCCGAGCCACGTACAATTGGCCCTTCATTCAATGGGCTTGTACGGTCGTGTCGGAGAAGCTAGGCGCGGTCAACCAAAACCATCACCATCGCAAGGGAAAGATAAGTACGCCACACTCCGCAGGCCTCCACCTTGGCCAGCACCTTACCTTCACCGGGTGCCGTCATGGGTGTGTCTTCGATGATCAGAGGGACACCGGCGTCTTTGAAGACTGCGTGCTTGTAAGTATAGGGAAAAGCCGTGGTGATGATGATGGTGGTGGTGATGGCGAGTGTAGGAGGGAAGGGAAAGGGGGAGAAAGAGATGTTGGAAAACCCAGAGCATTTATAGCCAGATGGAAGTACATTGGATGAGTCCGCGATGTATACTCCTACGGAGCTAACCGCGTTCAGCCGGACCGATCGCCCGGGGATCGATCGCTGTTATCGCCGCCTCGGCATTTACGAAGTTCAGCTGGCCTTGGTCCGGCGGGGATCTATCGACAACTATCACTTCTACTACTCGGCCTTGTGTTGTCGGATCCCGCGATTGAGTGTCCATGAAGACTAATAGCAGCTAAATCCGCCTCTCTGCGGCCAGTAAGAGGGATTTCCCATAGGAAGATAGCTCTTTTCTAATTTCCATGCGTATACACCCTTGGTTTACATACATCCGGAAATATAGCTCCATCGTGGGTAGTTGCTCCAATCTTGATGCCAGTATCCTGCCTTGACCAAGTTGGCATCGGATCCGCCGACCACGGTACATACGTCGAGCTCGCGAACCTCCCCTCTATTGGGACTCAAGAGTCTCAGCGCCACAAAGGGGTCTCGGCCTTTGACATCGCCCCCGGGGGAGAGACCATGACGGTCAATATCCTGGGTGTGACCTATCTGGTGACTGCAGCTACCTACAATGCCAAAGATGTGGACTCGGGAGGTGCCGTGTATCCGACTTGGAATTTTTTATGTACTATGTATCTCTATGGATAACCCTCTAATCCAGGAAAGTACTTGTTTCTTTTTCCATGGGACAATGTCCTGCTTAAACAACGACCTTATGGCCGGCAGACTGCTCCTCGGGCTCGCCGAAGATGTTGATGTTCCAACGCGGCTTGTCTGCATGGTGTTAGGCACATCAAAACGTGGGCTGATCACTGGGGTGTAAAACGTACTTGCAGTGAGAGGGATGTTGAAGCGCCTCCGGTCCTTGCCCAGAGCGCTGACCTTCTGGACCTCCTCGGGGGTAAGCTCCACCTCCTTGAAGTTGTCACGGATGCGCGACGGCGTAACCGACTTGGGGATGACACTGTGGCCACCAACCTGGGACCAAGCGAGACTGGGAGAAGATTAGAACGGGTAGTTTATAAAAGCTGAAGGGCATCGAGAAGCATACATGACATGAGCGCCGGTGACCACGCTGCCAGTGCGCTTGGAAACCGACTCGGCGACCTCCTTGACCTCGGGGCGGGTGATAAGCAGCGGAAGGCCGAGCATATTGTTACCGAAGGCCTAGGGAAATTAGCAGTGTTCTCATGAAGATGACTGTCTTAATACATACCGAGTAGGCAGTGATGTGGATGCCCTTCTGCTGGCAGTATTCAATCAAGTCATTGCTCTGGAGCACGGGGTGGCGCTCAATCTGGTTAGCAGCGGGCACGACACCGGTGGCCTTGATGAGGGCCTCGAGCTATTGGTGCGGTCAGCACGGATCCCACGATTTATGGCAGGGAGACAAACATGAGGAATGGTGTGGTTGGAGACACCGACGGAGCGGACCTTGCTCTTGGGCAGTTGGGTCATTGCTGGAGGATGTGAGTTTGGGCTATCAACGATATCCTAGTGGCTACCTACCCTTCCAGGTATCGACGATGGACACGCCATCGTCAATGACCACATCGCCACCCTCAACAGTGCTGTTGGCGATCAGAGGAAAGTAGTCATCGCCCTTCTGGAACGCGACAGGCCAGTGCACCAGGTACAAGTCCAGGTAGTCGAGCTCCAGCTCAGCCAGGCACGCGTCCAGCGACGCCTCGACAACCTCCGGGCGGTGCTGGCTGTTCCACAACTTCGAGGTCTAACCCCGCGAAAAGAAAAGTTAGCGTACAGTTCCGTCGACACAGGCCTGGCGGGCAACCTTACGATGAACAGGTCCTCCCGCTTCAGGCCGGGAACATCCTGGAAGGCGCGCTTGATGCCGGCGGCAACTTCGCGCTGGTTCTGGTAGCTGGAAATGAGAGTAGTCAGTATCGGTCTCTCAAGGACTGTTGCTACCGTGAAGGGATCCGGATAGCATACATGGTGGCGAGATCCTAGGACGCGTCAGCACTGTTTGCGCTACGGGAGGATCGATCAACATACCAGATGACGGTAGCCCGCTTTCAGGGCCTCGTAGACCGCCTCACCAACCTGGCCGGGAGCCGACTGCCAGGTGCCAAATCCCAACTGGCTATGTTCTCGTCAGAATCGAGCTGGAAACGTAGCGTGGGGGTGGTTGTAGCACGGAGTGAGCACTTACGGGATCTGGTGGCCGGTATTGAGGGTAACCTTCTTGCCTAGAGACATTATGTGTGAGAAATGTGGGTAGGAGGATGTAGTGGTAACTAATAGTTAGTGAGAAGGGTAAGGAGATGATGGGCGAGAGAAAGAGAACACCGGGGCATCCCCGATTAATAAATGCTACAGGTGCTGATCCCCCTCGGTGGAGACAGGGAGGGGCGGCGTGGGATGTTAGACAGTAGGAAGAAGATTCCAGACAGAGTACTACTACTAAGGTAGGTAGGGTATACTATAGGACAATACATTATTCTCTGTTTCGTACCGAGCTATACATCCTATTTCCTGTCGTCGGTGCTGCTCGGCGCACTCCAAAACTGTCTAAGGCACGGCTAGATATCCTCCCATGGCCATGATGTCAGTGAGGTTTTTATCCGTAGAATTAGCCGACGGGACCGAGAGGCACTAGACCGCGTCCAGAAGGTGGGCGCCGAGGGCAAAGAATATTAGTGGTAGAAGGTCAAGATCACCAGGCTGCGGAGCATCCGTCGAGCATTCTCATGGTAGACTGAAATTGCCCGAAAACGCCACGGCCGCGATCCTATCGGCGCGATCGCTCCGGCCGGTCCTTCGGGCTCGGAGGTTGTCCGATCGGAGAGAAAAAGTAGAGTAGTATGTACTAGGAATTATTACTCGCCATGCAATTACAGAGTCCGATGGAAATCAAAGTCGGCAATCATAGTCAAAGGGTGAGATTGATTAAGGTGTACTATATGCAAGACCAACCGTCGTGGTCCATCACAATGGAACTCCCTAGCTCATGAAGACCTTCAGCAGGGCAGGGTAGTTGGGCGTGCCCAGTCCGGTCACGGGGTCCCAGCCCTCGGTGGCATTGAAGCCGTTGGTACCGCAGCCCGCGTTGTCACCGGAGGTGATATCGAAGAAAGCCTCTGGGTGCGCGTACAAGGTAGGGTTGACGAAACCCACGGTCTTCTTGCCGGCTGCCAGACGCTCCTCGTTAATCCGGGTGAGGATGGAAGCGAACACAGGCGAGGAAGCAGAGGTACCACCTATCGAGGTGGGAGCACCCGCGTTGAAAATGACCACATTGTCGCCAATGGCAGAGACATCGGGATAGGCGCGGCCAATGCGGTTATAGATACCGCCATTGGCGCCAAAGCTGTTGTTGTTGACGCTCTCGTAGTAGGGATAGGTGGGCTGGGCCTTGTTGAAATAGTCCTTCACAGCCTGCGCCTGGTAATTCGGCCGCTCGTAAATGTTGCTGAAACCACCGCCCGATGGGAAACGCGACACGGCCACCTCATTACTGCCCTTGGCGCTAGCGCCCGGGGGAAGGTAAGTCGCACCCACAGCCGTCAGATACGGGCAGCTGGCAGGGAAGTCAGGGGCAAAGATTTGGCCATCCTTGCCCAGACAGTTGCTGGGAGTAGGATCCCCACCGCGACCGGCCACACCGGAGTCGCCCGAGGCGACCACGACCGACACACCCTGGAGTCCGAGCTTCATGAACTCCTGGCACTGGCGACGCTGGTAAGAGATGGGAAGGTCGGCCTCGGCGCTGCCGTACGAGATGGAGATGACATTTGTCGGCTTATAGACGCCGCACATCAGCTTACCCTTGTAGCCTTTGGGGTCCGGATACTTCGGGTCGAGAGGAGAGATCTCGCTGCAGTAGGAGCCATCAATGGCATCCAGGAAAGTGTTCAGGAAACCCTGGAAAGTGTAGTCGTTCTCGTAGTGCATATCGTCAGTCTGGAAGAGCACCGAGTTCTGCGGCCAGATGATGGGGTATGAGATCTGGAAATCCAGGTCCGACTCGGGACCAGCGTTCGTCACCGTGGTCGGTGCCTTGGCACCATCGACGGCCTTGAGGATGGGATGAGTGCCCGTAGGAATATTCCTAGTTGATTGTTAGCAGAAGTATTGAGCCAATCGAAACAGGGGCTAGGTAACATACATCGCCAGCGTGGTGAAGAACAGGTCCAAGTCATCTTGGGCATAGACATCGCCAATGTCCTCGAAAATGCCCAGCTCGTTACCCTTGGTGGATGTCGTGCCCTCGGGGATGTTGTACATTTCTGCAGTTTGTGCTTCGCTTGAGTATATATCCAGGTATCACCGGTCTGGGGAACTTACGCTTGATACAGGTTGGGGTAACGGCAAGGTCACAGAGGTCGAGAAGGTTGTCCAAGAGCTGCTCGAGGGACACTGCCAGCTTTTCGATGATAGGGGGCAGGCCATTAAAGCCACGCTTCTGGAGACTGCTGCGGGCCTTAGAAATGCCATTCACCTCGCGCAGGGCAATACCCGGGGTGATGTAGTCAATGTGGTCACGCAGGTGCTGCGGAACATGGTATCTAATCCACAGAATTAGCCAGATACACGATCAGATCCAAAGGGCCAGCTTTACTCTCGGCACGCGATATGGGAATTGCCACTCTCCGCGTGGGAGTACATATAGTACTCAGCATTGATCAGCTTCTCCACCTCCTCGGCATCTGCATCGAACTGAATCCACTGCTTGTTCACCGACTGCGAGATACGATCGGCCGGGATGCCAGACTCCTCCAACCAGGAGCGGACGCCATCCACACTGTCCTTAGCAGGCGCAAACAGGTCGTGCACCTCCTCGACGGACAGGTGTTGCCCATAATTCGGGGAAAACGGATCCGACCTTTTGGGTTCATGTAAGTCGCCGGCTTTGTGTGGTGAAATGGATAGATCCGGTAACATACACATCCATGAGCAGGTCATGGCCATGGTCCAGGTTGGACTGGGTCAGCCCGATTCTCACGGGAAGTAACGTCTTGCCATCCAGTCTCGCACCCTCAATCCAGGAACTGGGGATCACGTCGCGACGTTCGTGCAACTGATAGTTGTGGGTAGCGGGCGCGGCCATCACAGCAGTGGCCGCCCCAAGGAGCATAATGGAAGTCTTCATTATTCTGATCAAAACAGGTCCAGCTCAAACTCCCTTCAGCAGTCGAAGGCCGGATGAGGAACGGGCCACCCCCGGACCAGGGGGTAAGAGCTTTATACTGTCTGGTATAGCGGGCCCCGCTGTGCCTAGAGACCCATAGTTCTCCCAGATCGGACCTCACCTCGGCCCATGGCGTGATATGCCCAATAGGTCGTCTGCGTGGCGGACAACTCAAATTCCACGCCGACCTTTGGCTTGAGTGGTGGAACCGTGATAACCATCTACAGTGGGTCTAAAAGGGGCCATATCACGCCCGTAGCGCAGCTGCCTGTGGACGGGAACCACTCAACAGGAAGGTGGAGGAGCCGATCTGCTCCTGCTAAGACCGCGACGGGGCAAGGCACGGGGTAGACCGGGCTTTTGCGTTTGAGTCTTGGGGCTACTGGCGCCTCGCCGTCATCCAGCGCGCATGCAACTTCCAGGAGGACCGTGATGGCCCCATCCGTTGAAGAGTTGGAGACACCGATGGGGGTAAAACTATCCGTAGGTAATAAAAGCCATGTGAAAGCCATGGTGTATGAAGAGAGAGCTCGGTGATACCTATCCGTAGTCCGTAGTCGAATCCTCTGATGATTTCAAATGGTGTGGAGGGACTAGCAGTTGTTAGCTCACTCCCTGAGCAGGGATACGGATACCCGCCAGTCAACGACGGTCCACCCCGGGGAAAGGTGACCTATCCTCCACCCGTTCCTAGACATCAATGCCATAGTTAATTTCCATCAAGGCATCTTCCAGCCTGACTCCCAGACAAGCCACAGTCACAACGAAAGACAGCCTCGGGCGGCACACTAGTTACTGCCATGTGAATCCTTCAGCTACCACAACAAGAATGAGGCCCCCTCCTCGTGCACAGACCAGGGTACGGCTCAAAATGCGCTCGGGACTTGGAAAAAAGGGGGACCATGCAATACTCCACAGGGCGGTGTTGTTGTCCAGTTGGCCATGTCCACGGCCAGGCGTTCCGACGCTTTTCTTGATCGGGCAAGGCGGTGTTGACTCCTAATCACAATCCCTTCCCGTCCAACTCACTGATTCGGCCAGGTCCCGTCTCCGGCGGGGTCCATCTGTCGATCCTGATGAGATGCCCCTGAGACCCGCCCGCATAGTCTCGGGGGCCAGGCTCCTTCCAGCCTGATCCAGTATAATTAGCAGGCGCCCACTGATCTTCCCACGCCAGCAGCGGGAGATCATTGTTGAGGCGTACGTAGACTTAATCATTTCCAGTAACTAACTCACTAATCAATCTGCGCAACATTGTTATTGTACTGTATACAGTAATAAGGTGTGTAGATGATGAGAGAGCCAAGAAACGCTAAGCGGAAAGTTACTGGGAGTTCATGATCTGCTATAAACAACAGAAGTACGGAGAACCTACATGCAAATAAATAAAAAAAAAACCAAACTACTCGATCCTTCCGGTATCTAGTTAAGAGGTTGCAGTGCTTCTTGTCACCCTGCAGGCGTCGATGACAAGAGGCCGGCAGATGTCAGGGTCAATAGTTCCTTTACTAGTAGTAATGTTCTGTACAAGGTAGGGCCTGGCGTGGCAGTCCCACTGCCCCCACCTTCCCCGCACATAGCATTCGACCGAGACCTAGGTAGGCATCATCACTTGTAACTAGAAACGATGTACAGTTGGGGAGCCTTGGAGGACTCTCGGTCCTCGCGCATGCATATCCGCGGTTGCCCACGTTCTTTAGGAGCGCCCATTACTATTAGTATTGGGGGAGAACAGTTTTGTGGATACAGTGCAGTAACGGCTGTGCCATCCATGCACAGACAGCAAAGTCAGGAGATACAGGAGGCTGTCACTCTTCACAGGCCCACAATTCAAAACCATAGCATGGACCGGTCCCAGCAGAAGTGAGGTCCACGGTTCTGGCCGGAGCTTGACATCGGCAGGCACATGGGAAATCGCACGCCATGGTTTCGCACAGCCCGGTTTCGGACAGTGATGGCTACTGCGAGCTGGTTAGCTCGACATCAACGGAACCAAAGTTGGCAAAAAACAAACCACTTACCGAAATATCACATGGACCGACGCCCCGAGGTGCAATGACTCTGGTCCACCGGATTGCTCGGATCAATTTCAGTTCGTTTACTGAGACTGTCGCCATCAAATAATGGCCCAATTACCTTCACCAGCTTATGACGGGTCTATTTCAACAACCGTCTGACAGACAGCGGCGCCTGGTTTGAGAGAACGGCGGGTTGGCGATCTTCACAGAGACGCCATGAGAAAAGTCGGTTGCAGCTACGCTCGCTGAATCAAGATCCTTCAAACCACTTCCACAGAAGTTCGACCAGCTGCTGGCGATGCAAGGGTTTCGCAATGTAGTCACTCATTCCTTTTGCCAAATAGGTCTCAGCATCTCCTTTCAGGGCATTTCCAGTGAGTGCGATGATGGGCAAGTCGTTATGGGTCAGGCGGATCTGCGCGGTGGCTTCTAAGCCGTCCATAACAGGCATGTTGATATCCATCAGAATCAGATTATATGCCAGTGGTTTCTGCTTCACCATCCGCACGGCTTCTGCGCCATCCCAAGCAGCATCGACTCGTCCGAAGCCCAGGCTGCCGAGCAGCTTGAGCATGATCGTTTGGTTCACCTTGTTGTCCTCAACGAGCAGGATGTGCTTTTGTGAGGCAATCTTCTGAAGCAAGTCCGACAAGTCGCTATGTGTGTCAATCACCGGCCAGACTCGGGACCTCTCCTGGAGAACGGGCACGTCGAGGCGACCCATTCTTGCTGTCGCCCAGAACACACTGCCAGGCCCATCAGGGTTCGAATGGAATCCCACCGCCCCTTCCATAAGCTCAGCCAAACTCTTGCAAATCGAAAGTCCCAGTCCTGTGCCTTGGTATCGCTTCGTCGCGGTGTCTGCGTATCGAGTAAATGGTGTGAAGAGGGTGTTGACGGCATCCTCAGGAACACCGATCCCGGAGTCTACCACTTGGGTTGAGACGTTATACATGTCAGGGTCATTTCCATCCACTGAGAAGGTAGTATCGACACGAACGTAGCCGCTGTCCGTGAACTTGATGGCATTGCTGACCAAATTTTGCAAAACTTGGCGGAATCGTAGAGGGTCACCTTTGACGATTTCAGGAAATTCGGGGCTGATAGTGCTCTCCAGAACGACCCCGGGTTTCAGCGAAGCCTTGCAGTTGCGGATGACTGCATTGACTACGCTGGGTATGTTGATTACATCCGCGTTCAGGGAGAAGGACCCGGAAGACAATTTTGAGTAGTCCAGCACGTCATTAATGACTTGTAACAGGATAGCCGTTGAATCCTCGAGGACGGAGACGTACTCCTTCTGCTCATCATTCAACGGCGTCCGACTAAGCATGGTCAGCGCCAGTGACATCCCGTTCATCGGTGTCCGGATCTCGTGACTCATGTTGGCCAAAAAGTCGGTTTTTAATTTTGAAGATTCCTCAAAAGCATCAATCAGACGTGCCTCGGCGGCCTTGCGCTCGGTCAGGTCGCGGGTCACCTTCACGAAGCCAACGTGCCGATCGAATTGATAGATGGGCGTGATCATGACGTTGGCCCAGAATCGACTCCCGTCTTTTCGATAACGCCACCCTTCGTCTTCCACCTTGCCTTCCTGCAGACACACCTCCAGCTCCTTCGCAGGCTTGTCATTTAGGCGATCCTCGCGCCCATAAAAGACAGAAAAGTGCTTGTCGATGATTTCGTTGGGTTTGTAGCCCTTGAGAATTTGAGCACCCGAGTTCCAAGTTGCAATGTAACCCCGTGTATCTAGCATAAAAATGGCGTAGTCCTTCACCGTGTCGATCAAGATTTTGTATGTCTCGTTGAGGTACGTCTGCTCACTAATTGCCTTTGATGCGGGCTGTCCGCGCTTGGAGTTCTGCGCTTCGAGGAGCACGTATATCAGGGTATCGCCCTCGTAGATCGGAGTCACTCGAAGTGAGAAGAATGCATCGCAGGCATGGACGTAGACGGGGTCAATGGTCTGAGCGGCTCGGGAGATAAACGCCGCACCCAAGGCACCGCTCAACAACGCGATATCTGGCGCTGGAACTATGTGTGGTGCCAGGTCATACACGCTGGTATGTATTAGCTGCCCCCTAGTTGATTTAAAGATATCCAAGTGACTATCGGACACCTCGGCGACCCGCAAGGAGCCGTCCAAGATGATTGTCGGGGTAGGAGTTCGACGATAGATCCGGCACATTGTGTCGTCGGTAGGGGTCGGGGTCGGGCATGCCGCCACGGGAGTGGCCTCGGTGGTGGCGATTGAAGGGTCTTGCACAGTAGTGTCTTGCACAGTAGTGTCCTGCACCTTGATTCCGGAGTCCCGGCCATCCTGCCGCATGATCAACTCACTCTCCGACGGAGGCGTGATAACCGCGGCAAAATTGATCGGCCGACAGTCTTCACCAATATTGAGATGGAGCATCTGCTGATCCAGAACCATCTTCACACGACCGACCTGCCACGAGGCAGGAACAGCACACAGGGGAAGGAAGCGGCGTCTTTTGACTCATTCGAACCGGTCGCGATGTCAAAAGTCCGAGGAACCCACGAGAGACGTGCAAAAAGCAGATCAAGGGAGGACTGGATGGTTCGAGATTTCCGGCGCAAAGACAAGTAAACAAGGCAAGGCCAGGGTGAAAACAGGGCAGGGCGTCGATCAGTCTCCAAACCAACAGGCGACGACAGCAGAGATTTTCCCGTGGCGGGGGGTGGCTATTATTATTGTTGAATTTCCAAATAGCAGTGCACACACACAAAAACCGGGCATTCGACCACGCCGGACTACTGAGGGCCAGCCAGAGTGTGGAAGCGCTCTGCCGGTCGCTTACTGGCTGGCAAAAAGCGCCGTTGGGTTCCCCGCCACTGCGTGCCAACGAGAACGCACAACAGCCGGTAACGCCGATGGGAGGGAATTCAGTCTTTGCGCGGATAGGTGCCAATGAACCACGGTCAGTCTTCCCGGATCGATCTGGGCCGAGGCTGGACGACGAGTAGGATATGAATTCAAATCAGGAACTCGAAGGACGGGTGGGCTCGAAGAACGGGGGGTGGGCGAGGCACCGGATCAACGCCAATGACGTCATGCACGGCTTTTCTTGTCTCGCCCTTTGCTGCCTCAGGGATCAGCCGCGGCAACAACACAACCACGCTTGTCATTGTCAATCTCACGTACGCTATCTTGGGGCCAGGGGGGTTGTTCTTTCTTGGTTTTGTTCTAGCTTCCGGAGGAGCAAAATACTGACGGTCCAACTGGGTCACACGGAGGGGCGAAGAATCCAAACAAACAAGTGACTAGTAAACTGGTCTCGGGACGAAGGAGAGGAAGGGAGAGATGGATGATGAGGCAGAGGATTATGAACAATAAGGAACAGCACGGCGAGGGCAAGTACCGGAAGGTCACGAGGTGTTCTACGGGAGAAGAACAGGAGAGACGATGGATATAGATGATTTGCAGCGTGCATCAACGCATGGCTATAAGACGTTGGCTTCAGACAATGACGTTCTCGCGCTCCGTCTTCTCCACCATCTTGACCAGCGCATCGGCAATCCCGTAGGAAAAGGCATACCCTCCACCGCCGAAGCCGTAAGCAGACAGCACGGTGCGGCTCCCAGGTACCTGCGCTGCGTCCAGACGGAAGCCCCCTCTGCGCGATGGACGGATGCCGATGATGTGGCTCAGCTCATGCGCGGCAGGCTGTTCGGGGACAATCTCAGGGGCTAGACGATGAGCTCGGGCGATCTCATCCCGCGCAATGTCCATGTCCACATCGGGTGAGCTAAGAAGAACAAAGAAAGAAGACCAGCCGTTAGCCTCAGATGTGGTTTTCAAGCGGGACTGTTCTCACAGGTTATCCGGCTGCTTGACGCCACCCAAGACCACCCCTTGGGAGAAGGGCCGGGGAATGATATATGTGTACTCCTGGCCGTTCCGGAAGTACAGCGTGTGGCATCGATCGGTGCGCAGGAATACATTCTGCCCGCGCTCAGGGTAGCAACGGTCATCTTGCACATCGGTCAACGTCTTACTTCCCAGCCCGCTCGCATTGATAAACACCCGCGACTCTGGGAACATATCGTACAGCTCCTGCAACGACTCCACGCGTTTCCGAATGAACCGACCGCCGAGTGAAGTTACCAGTTTTCCGAGATAGGGCATGTGGCGTGTGGGATCAGTCACGAGAGTCTCGTAAGCCCATGCACAGTTGAACTCCGAAGGATATTCCCCCGGGTTCAACTCGCGAAACTGTGAGAATACAATGAGCAAGGATATCCCGAAACCCGGCGAGACATACACACCTTGGACACGACAGTCCTGCCCCAAATCGCCGAGTCCGGCTTCGGCTCTTGCTCGAGATATTCGCGAGCATCGACGACACTGACGCCCGAGTTCGGGTCGTCCTGCGCCATCTTGAGCAACACGCGATGGGTCACGGCCTGGAAATAACGCTGATCCGGCGTGATGCCGCCAGCAGCATGCCACGCCGCACCTGCCCATGCGGATGCGTAGTAGATGTTCTGGTCGCCCGGCAGATATTCGGCCACCAGCACGACCGGGAAGCCGTGGAGTAGCAGTTGTCGGGCTGTCGCACACCCAATGATCCCCGCGCCTAAGATTATGACAGGCCGCTGAGAGAAGGGCACATCGAACGTGGCGATGGCACTTTCGTCCATGATGGCGATGAGCAGGTACCGTGTGAAAGACGCCCGGGAACAATGGGAGCAGCGGTAGGCACGGCCTTGCGTATAGGGGGCATTCAGAGCCCGTCGCCGAATGACGATACCCGGGGCATTATTTGGCGTCTTGGGACGCTTTATATCGGCCGTTTGGTTCGTGACGATCATCCAGCAGTTCCTTTTTCTCTTTCGCCTTATCAGGTATTATCATTGGGTGACCGAGCAAGTCGCACGGCGGGCTGGCCCGATCGCCCAGCATTCAGCCTCTGATAAACACAAGTTGGGCGGGTCAAGCCGCCACCCGGGACCGACTTCTCACCACATGCAACCACCTCTTCGCTCGCATTATCCGGGGACTCTGGGCCTACATACATAACTCTAGCACCACACCATTCAGGCTGTCATACGCAATTTCGCCCGACAGACCTGGGCGACATTCCAAATTATGTCATAAAGCTGCCCCAGATTTGTTCTGGCTATCCGATCCTTGCCCTCCGTCTGTCACGGCTGCAGGCGCGCCAAGTCTGGGGTAGCGCCGGAGCCGCCTGCACGTCTCGCTCCATCGCCGCCGGATTATTGGGGCCGCGTCGGATCCTCGCTCTCAGTTCCCTGTCCTGGGGCGTCTCCCGGTCATCTCCGGCCTCGTGGGCGCGATGGAGCCCACGACCGAGGATGAGAAAAATCGGCGAAATTCATGGTCCCAGGTGGGTTGCACTCGCTTTCTTTGTATACTGTGATGATGGATCTCCACCTGCACGATCGCGACCTTCTCGCCCCTCGCGAACTATGTAATGCATGTTACGTATGTGCTGGGCTAGCTCTGAGGGGATCCACGAGCATCATCGCATTGTCATTCATCATCATGCAACGGTCGTTTTTTAATTAACGGATTCGGGTTGCTAGGAACCTCTCGCAGACCACGTCTGCGACGAGGCTGCCATCCTCCGCGATCAGGATGCAAAGAAAATCCTACCCTATGAAGCGGAGAATTCGCCCTACCCTGAGGTGCGCGCCGTCGTCCAGCCAGTCAATGATATGACGCTGCCGGTAAACACCGTCCGCATGTGGACGATTGGCCTTGTGTTCACTATTGTAAGTTCAAGTCATGGATGCCACCGCTGCGATGGACATTGCTCACACTCTATTAATTCCAGGTCGGGAGCGGACTGAACCAGTTCTTTAGCTTGCGCCAGCCGAGTGTCACCATCAGCGCTCTGGTAGCGCAGCTTTTGGCATTCCCCGTCGGGCGAGCATGGGGCAGATGGATGCCTCTCGGTATCCTGAACCCCGACCGGCACTTCAACATCAAGGAGCATGCGCTGATCACTATCATGGCCAATGTCGCCTTTGGCTCCGCCGCTGCCACCCAGGTCATTGAGGCAGTGGTCAAATTTTATGGTATGCCGTCCCAAGGCGGGTTTGAGGTTCTTCTCTGCATCACCACGCAGCTGCTCGGGTTTGGCATCGCCGGGATGGCTGCTCGCTGGCTGGTTGGCCCGGCGTCAATGATCTGGCCCGGGGTGCTGTCGAATGCGGCACTCCTGGCGACGCTACATTCTCGTACAAATCAGATCGCTGACGGCTGGCGGATCTCCCGTCTCCGATTTTTTCTGTTCATCTTCATCGGCGGCTCTGTCTGGTACTTTGTGCCAGGATATCTCTTCACTGGCCTAAGTACGTTCAGTTTCATCTGCTGGATTGTGCCATCCAACGTCGTGGTGAATCAATTGTTTGGACAGACCACGGGACTGGGCATGTCGATGTTGACCTTCGACTGGGCGCAGGTCGTTTATGCCAACCAAAGCCCACTTCTAGTGCCCTTTTGGGCCGGCCTCAATGTGATGGGATCGTTTGCACTTTTCTTCTGGCTCATTTGCCCCATCATTTACTACACCAACACTTGGTATTCAGCATACCTACCGCTCCTTAACTCCAATACTTTTGACAATATGGGGAACAGCTATGACACCAGCCGCATCATGACTCCGAAAGGCACAGTCAACCAGACCGCATATCGGGATTATTCGCCCATGTTTCTGCCGGCCGGGTATGCCGTCACGTACGGCGTCGCCTTCGCCAACCTGACAGGGATCTTTGTCCACGTCAGCCTATACCATGGTGGGGATATATGGCGGCAGTGGAAGGGCACGAACAAGCTGGACGTTCACTCGCGACTCATGTCTGTATATCAGGGCGTGCCGTGGTGGTGGTTCGGTGCGGTGACCGTGTTAATGTTCGTGCTGAGCATTGTAACCAACGAAGTGTGGCATACCGGTCTGCCCGTGTGGGGTGTGCTGTTGGCATTTGTGCTTCCCATCATTTATTTTGTCCCGGTGGGCATTGTCAAAGCCGTCACCAACATCAGCAGCAACCAACTTAACTTGCTCACCGAGTTTATCGGTGGCTACGCCTTTCTCGGAAGACCAATGGCCAACATGACGTTCAAATTCTATGGCTATGTCGCCGTCTCCCAAGGCCTAGAGTTAGTACCCACTACGCACCCCTGCATAATTCTTCTCGCTGACCTTTCCCAGATTCGTCTCGGATATGAAGCTGGCACACTATATGCATATTGCACCGCGTACGTTGTTTTTTGCCCAGGGAATCGCCACGCTCGTCGGAGCCGTTGTCCAATGTGGGGTGACCGTCTTCATGATCACCCGTATCAACGGCGTCTGTACATCGGACGCGGAAGGCAATTTTATCTGTCCTCATGGGCGGGTGACCTATTCATCTTCTCTCATCTGGGGTATTTATTCCTGGCAGACCTAAGTTGCCATCCTGAACCGTTGCTAAATCGAGTCGTCTAGGCGCTATCGGCCCCAGTCGATTGTTCTCCCCCGGGCAGATTTATAGCAATCTGCTGTGGTTCTTTCTCGCCGGGCCTGTTGTGGTGGTCGTCACCTATCTCCTAGGCCGAAAATGGAAAAGAATTAATTATCTTTCCTGGCCCGTTGCGTTCGGGGCCATGAGTCTTGTCCCTCCGGCCACCGGTGTGAGTTTCTCCTCGTGGTGGGTGATCAATGTGATCTTCAACGGCGTACTTCGCTGGCGGAAGCCCGCTTGGTGGTCGAAATACAGTTAGTCTATCTCTTTCTTGTTTCCGCCACTTGCTAAGTGCTGTTACAGACTACGTGCTATCTGCCGCACTGGACTGCGGCGTCGCAGTGGCTACCGTCATCATTTTCTTCTGCATTACGCTCCCAGCCGGTTCTTTCAACTGGTGGGGCAATATCGTGTATACCAAGACGGCCGATGGGCAAGGTACGCCGTACCAGAGCATTCCGCCGCGAGGCTATTTTGGACCCCCAAAGGGGTCGTGGCATTAGCATCATCCGTGCGGACCGGTGGCTTGGAGTGAACGTCGGTGAAATTTGAAAAAAAGGGGGCTCTGAAAAGTAGAGACCTCTCGAGATGGAGTTGATCCTCGTCCAGCAAGCCATTAAAACCTCCACAGAGATTGGCCCTCGATCTGTATATAACCTAATGATAATGAACTGTCACAGCTTTATCCCCTCCGACATGCTCATTTCCGCTACACTTCCCTCCTGCTGCAGCTGCCTTCTCGGCATCCAATTGATCTCTTCTCAAACACCTATTTCAAAGTGGACTATAGCGGGGTGGTATATCGATTGTATATCCTCCTATTCACTTGGCTGGAACCGGGTCGCGCATCATCAGGGTAAACGTCTCCCGTCCGGAGGCACCATGGGCGTCCAAATCCAGGGTGACCTCCTCCACGATCTTCCAGCCGTGCTTGAGGTAGACGGGAATACCCTCTGGCGTTGCTTCCAGGAAGATGCGTGCCTGCCAGGCATCGGCCTTCTCCGTGCCCCATCGGAGCAGCGCAGACCCAATACCGCGCCCCTGGTGGGATGGCAACGTGGCTAGTAGGTCCAGGACTGGAGAGATTGGTCAATCATCCACTATCAATGGCAGAGAAAGACTACTACGACTACTTACTCATGTCGCGATCGGTGGTGTGTCTCCCGCGTGCCTCCTCCAGCATCTTGCGGAAGCCATTGTAAACGCTCTCATTGACGGGCTGAGGCGCATGTTGTAGGGGATTCTTGGCCGCCTCGGCCAGGGCCAGTCCCCTCTCGCTCAGATCCGGCGTGCTAGGGGTGAAGCCCAGGGATTTGGGAATCAGCCAGCGGGTATAGGACACGGCCTCCTTGGTCACCGGGTCATCAACAGTCAAGACATTCATCTGAGGGTTGGCCAAGTGCTTCATGGCATTGAGCACTTTGAACTCCATCAGGGTAGGCACATCGCTCTGGGGAAACATGGCCCGGAGCATGCCGTACTGCTGAAAGCAGACAACGTTGATGCGGGTCAGGGCCTTGACGTCGGCCTCGGTGGCATAGCGAACGATGAGAGCCATGGTGATGATAGTAGCGAGAGAGGAAGCAATAATCTTTTAGTCAACTAGTTAGTTAACTTAGAGATGATGAGTCAGAGCTTATGCCTTTCATTGCATTTCCTCCTTTGGGACTCCGCAATTCCGACTCGGTCTGGCCCCACAACGTTCGTGGGCTCGATGCTAAGCGATCTCGATCCCCTGAATCTCTGGCACTAAACATCCGATCTGGGACCAAAAGTGGCCGGGCCGGATTCGGTGTCTACCTATCAGGTGTCCAAGGACTTTTTCCTGCGGATGAGACTCGGGCCACCCTCCTCATCCTCCCCACTTCGGCCCGAGACCCTCGTCTCCCTTGACTACTGGGCCATCGGAGCGGCGTGCCTGGTCATGGTTCCCGAGTTTACGGCGCTGGTGTATATGGCGGGCAAATACTCGTTGCCCCCGTTGCAAGGCGTCGAGCACGCATGGAATGATCTTTCTGCGCGAGCAGGTTGGACCTTTGGTGGCGTTTCTGGAAAACGGAAACATAGACAGACTGACAGCCTCGTTGATGAGTGCGCGGATAGATCCAGACGGGCCCTGGCACGGCAGCAGATGCAGCACGTGGGATTGCGGTCTAGCCGGGATTCAACACGTGGGCCTACTGGTTTGAAGAGGACGACCCCCGGAAGTTGAAGGCCGAGCATACACGACTGCTCGCGGCAAGCGACACAAATGGTACTAATAGATGATGATCCCCATACTTTCTTTACACTCGACCCTTCTGTACACATAAATATAGACTTGGAAGGTTATGTGCAAATATACTGAATTCAGTGTATATACGGCGGTAGCGACAGACATATCTACAGTTCTCTAATCCAACAGAGGCCTATGTCCTTTCCGTCTCCTAGCCCTTGGCGAAGGTGGAGAGCGAGTCCGAGTCGCCGTTCCAGATGTCGGAATCACCACCATAGGTGTAGCTATCGGCGTTCTGCCAGAAGCTCTGGTAGGGCCAGCCACCGGGCACGGTGCTGATGGAGCTGGCATACTGCGCCAGCACCAGCGGGTAGTCGGTGCTGAAGGCGGTGCTATCACCAGTGCAGGTGCTCCACCAGTCAGCCGTCGAGTAGATCATAGGGTATCGACCGGTCTTGCTGTTATACGTCTCGCCAAAGTCCGAGATCCAGGAGACCATGTCGGATGCGCTCAGCCCGTAGCACTCGGAGCCGTCCGGGTTATATTCAATGTCCAACATGCCCGGCAGGGTCTGGCCGTCATTGGTCCAGCCGCCACCGTGTGCGAGGAAGTAGGTGGCCTGGTCCGCACCGGAGCTGTCGTCCGGGTGGGCGAAGTGGTAGCCTCCACGGATCAGACCTGCGCTGGTCGCACCCTCATAGTGGCTGGAAAACTCCGAGTCGATATAGCTGGTGCCCTCGGTGGCCTGGCCGAGTCAGTCGGGTGCCACCAAATCGCAGGACGGGTACCCTTACCTTGATGATCACAAAGCGGGCTCCCGAGCTGTAAGCTCCGGAGAAGTCGACGGTGCCCTGATAGCTGGAAATATCAAAACCCTGGACTCCACCGGAGCGGGGAGCGAGGGGGCTGGCCGTGGCTATGCCAGCGGACAGCAGCAGTGAGACAGCGGTGGTCTTCATCCTGATCAATATATAAGAAAGAATCGTATATAGTAATGGAAGTTGATCTTCGTTATTAGTTCGTAGCGAATGAATTGGAGAGAGAAGAGAGCGTCGATGGCTCTATTTATGCGCCAGCTAAAACCAAGATTCGTATCAAAGATGCAGATCAATCGTATCCGTAAAGAAACAAACTCGGCAGATCGTTGGGGGCGACGAGTCTCTGCAGGCACTGTGAGGCAGTGCCGGCCAGTGAGGGCTACCGGGAGTGTTTCATCGCCGGACCCTGAACGAGGGTTCCACTACTGGGCTCGCAGAATGCTGCCCTTGTCGTCACCGATCGGCAGAGCCTGGGTTTCACGTCTTCTCACCTCTTCATTCTCTCTCCCCCAATAATACCACCATGGGCTGCGGTTCTAGCCGCCCTCACCATGAGCACCGGCAACAAAGACTTCCGCGACCAGTTGGGCAAGTTTCGCCTCGACTCCAATAATCCCCCGTCCCTCCCCTCGTCCTGGTCGCATCTGCCCGCTCCCGTCTCCCCTCTCGACTCCAGCCCCGCGCGCAGCAAGCGCGTGTCTACGGCCTGCGATTTCTGTCGCAAGCGCAAGAAGAAATGTGACTTTCGCTATCCCAACTGCTCCGCGTGTACGCGCGCCGGCGTGCGCTGCACCATCCCGCCGCCGGGCCCGCAAGTCGCCAACACCTCCGTGCCCCGCGATCAGCTGGAGAACCTGCAGAAGCGAGTGCAATGGCTGGAGGAGATCGTGCGCCGCAAGTCGGGTATCTCGGTGGCCGACTTGGCCACGGGCACCCCGGTCGATGGTGAGGGAGACCCGGACTGGTGGTACCAAGTGCCGGCAATGATCGCGACGGGCAGTCGTGCGCCGCCATCGATTCCCAGTCCTGCCGGCAGTAGCGGCTCGCCTGCACCAGCTGGTCCGACGGGGTCCGAGACGACGACCGGGGTGGGCACCGAGCTCCCCAACGTCGGGGAGATTTTTCGCGATCAATTAGAACATCGTCGCCCATCCGTCGCGCGCCCCACATCCGCCCCGCGGGTCCTGCGCCTGTCGTCGTTGGAGGAAGCAGAGCAGGTGGCCGGCCAGTATTTTGACAGCATAGGGTATCAGTACCCATTCATGTCCCGCTTGGACTTTATGAACCATTTGCGCCACATCTATAGCGGCGGGGTGCCAACGTCCGAGGTGCACAATGCCTACCACATAACCATGGCTATTGCGCTGCTGATCGGGTCTGTAGACTCGGCTAAGCCGGCGGAGTTTTACCACGCTAGCCAGGAGACCCTGCCGCTAGCGTTGCAGAATGAAGACCTACCGTCGGTCCGGGCCTTGCTGGGGTTAGCGCTTTATACGTCCTTTGCGACCGCAGGCCCAAGTATCTGGCATGTGTTGGGAACCGCCATGCGCCTGGCGACGAGCCTGGGCCTGCACAAGGCCCGGTCTTATCCGACCATGGAGGAAGATGAAATGGCCAAACGAGCCTTCTGGAGTCTCTACAATCTCGATCGGCTGATTGCCAGCACTCTGGGTCGACCTTTAGGAATTGCCGACGAGGATATCAGTGTGAGTCTCCCGCGAGAGCTCAATGACGATGGCACCGAAGTTCCCGGGGCTAGTGCCATGACCATTCCGGTGCAGGTGATACGCTTGCGCCGCATCTTTTCGCGCATCTACCGATACTGTAAGTGGTCCCTCCATGGGCCTGGACTGGTTTTCTTTTCTCATTTGTCCGTCAGTATACAGCAGTCGACCACAGCCACCTCCACGCGAAGTCGCGGCCACTCTCAGCCAATTCCGCCGGGAGGTTGATGACTGGCGCATGTCTGCCCCGGTGTTCCCATCGGCGCTTCTGTATTCCACCTCCTACTACGATTATCTGTACTATACGACCCTGCTGCTGATGTATCGCCCGAGTCAGCACAATCCGACCCCCGACACGACCAGTATTATCAGCTGCGGGGACTCCAGCATCCAGGTCATCCGGTCCTACTGGGACAGCTATTCGGTCGGCAAGCTCAAGTGGATCTGGTTGACCTTGAGCCAAGTGTATTTTGCGGGTATCACCATCCTGTGGTGTCTGGAACAGAATGCGCGTGCCTTGCGGGAAGCTCGACCGGCCCCTTGGCACCCGGACGAACAGATGATGCGCCGGGCCACCCAGGCGGTGGTTGTGCTGCTGGAGGAGTTTGGCAAGCGGCGACCAGGGGTCGATCGGTTGGCGGAGACCTTCCGGCATCAGAGCACGACGATTTTCAGCCAGATGGCCCACCAGCAACAGCAGATGGAGCCAAGTCAGCCGGTTCCGCAGCCTCCAGCTCCCGGTCCGCCCCAACCTCCCATCTCTCTGGCCGCGCCGCCACCTCCTCCACTCCCATTGGCGCCAATTCTCGATGATGTCCTGCTTGTGGATAGCAGCGGGACTGTACCAATGATCGACCCGCAGATGGCGGAGCAGCTGTCCTACTCTTACAATTGGTTCCAGGAGGAGATGGCGTCGTACTATACCATTTAAGTCGGTTCATAGATGTTTTCGCTAGAGGGAGTTTTTTGTCGGGGCGGAATTCTGTATATTCTTTGATTCGCGGCCCGTGTATAGATCCAAGAAAACTTGATTGTTTTGAATAACTATAGCGTCATCCCTGCGTATCGCCGATAAGCCGAGTGGAGAAGATAAAGCGCGGGACTCGCCCTCGGATCATGATTGTTGATCGATTCACCACGATGGACGAGTTGGACAAAATCACCACGCCGGCATCTGGTCTCCCGCTGGGCTTCCATGGCACTGTCGTCCACTCGCACAGCCTCGACGAGCTCGAGATTCTGCAGGACTGTTTCGTGCTCGTCGATAAAGCGGGCACCATCCAGGCCCTCCAGGCCGACACACATCCACACCGCATCAATGCCATCGTGGCGGAGCATGGCTATGCCCCCGATGTCTTCCCCGTGAAGTATCTTCGCCGCGGCGAGTTTCTTTGTCCAGGTGAATGTCCTTGATCGATCTGTCCAGGAGGAGTTTCAAGCTAATCTGTACTTCTTTGTAGGCTTCATCGACACCCACAATCAGTAATGTTCAGAGCTCATTCTGGAGTGTTTGTATCAACTAACACCGTACAGTGCACCTCAATGGGCCCAGCGCGGAGTTGGCCGCGGCCTGACGCTCCTCGACTGGCTGGACCAGGTTACTTTCACGCATGAGGCCAAGTTCGCCGATCCGGAGTATGCCCGTCGCATGTACACCTCCTGCGTCACTGGATTCCTCCAGCAGGGCATCACCATGGCTTCCTATTATGGCTCCTTTCACGGCGAAGGTTCGCGCATCCTCGCCGATGTCTGCTTGGACAAAGGACAACGGGCGTTTATCGGCAAGTGCAACATGAACCGGAACGCGCCAGACTGGTACCGCGACCAGTCGGCGTCCGAATCTCTGCTAGAAACGCGTGCCCTGATCAAGCACGTTCAACAGCTCGACCCCAACAATCTCTTGATCAAACCGATCATCACGCCCCGCTTCGCGATCTGCTGTGACCCGCCACTGCTCGAGGGTCTCGGGGAAATCGTCCGCGAACACCCCGATCTGCCTATCCAGACACACTTCAATGAAGCCAAGGATGAAATAAAGTATACCCATCAACTATTCCCAGAATTTGGGACGGAGACCGACCTTTACCAGAGATTTGGCTTGCTCAACGAGCGGTCCATTCTGGCACACTGCATCTTCTTGCAGGAGGAAGAGATCCATCGCCTACAAGAGCTTCGCTGTGGCATTTCTCACTGCCCTGTCTCCAACACTACCATGCAAGACTTCATGGTCGCCCCGATCCGCGAGTACCTGCGCCGTGGAATCAAGGTTGGACTCGGCACGGACAGTGGCGGCGGGCATTCATCGTCGATGCTGGAGGTCATGAAGCAGGCCTTTGTGGTCTCGAATGCGCAGCAGATGCTGACCCAGGGTCAGGATCCGGCTCTGTCGCTGCATGAAGGCTTCTTCCTAGCCACTTTAGGGGGAGCTCAGGTCTGTGGTCTCGATGACCGGATCGGCAATTTTGTGGTTGGTAAGGAGTTTGATGCGCTGGAGATCCATACGATGGACCTAGAAAATCTGGCAGTGATGACTCCCGTCGAAGAGGAGGACTCCATCTCCGTGATCTTTGAGAAGTTTCTCATGACCGGCGACGACCGCAACATCGCCAAGGTGTATGTGAGAGGACGGTCGGTGAAAGTATGATATAGTGCGTCTTGTTACCCATTTCTGCACCTGTTAAAGCGTATCATGATCAATTATTATTATTTATAATCGTATGTATTTTACGACGGAAGTTCAAAGTCCGGCGGAAGAGCCAACTGCCGCAGTGGGGAACTTCATCCCCCGGCTATAGTAGTTAGATACTTAGGAACGACTCGAGACTCATGTTGCACACTCTCACCCTCACACTATGGCCAAACTTAAGTTCGCCATCCTAGATGACTATCAGGGCATCGCACCACCCTACTTTGCCCATCTAGCCTCGCGTGTCGACGTCGTCAGTTTCCCCGAAACCCTCGACCCGCGAGTCCCCGCACAGCACGATGAGCTCATCCGGCGCCTCGAGCCTTTTGACGGCGTGTTGGCCATGCGTGAGCGCACGCCCTTCGCTGCCCAGACCATCGCCGCGCTGCCGAACTTAAAGCTGCTGCTGACCACGGGCACGCGCAACCTGTCCCTTGACCTGCAAGCATGCGCCGATCGAAACATTCCCGTGGCCGGCACGGCAGGCCGGCCCCCGGGCGTTAATTCAACGTATGAAAATGGACCATCAGAATATCTTGAGCATTCGGGGTGCTTACGCTCATTCATACAGGGTGCAACATACGTGGGCATTGATCCTAGCCCTAGCCCGACATGTGGCGCGCGACGATGCCGCCGTCAAACGAGGGGCATGGCAGGGCTCGCTGGGCATGAATCTGTCCAACAAGACCCTGGCACTGCTGGGTCTCGGGAAGCTGGGATCGCAGGTGGGCAAGATTGCCGTGCAGGCCTTTGGCATGAAGGTTATCGCCTGGTCCGCGAACTTGACCCAGGCCAAAGCGGACGAACAGGCCGCGGCACAAGGTCTCCCGGCGGGCACCTTCGAAGTGGTCGCATCCAAGCGCGACTTCTTTTCCCGCGCCGACGTTGTCAGCGTTCATTATGTCCTCAGCGAGCGCTCCCGTGGAATCGTCGGCAAGGCCGAACTCGCGACCATGCGCCCGACGGCCATGATTTTGAACACGTCTCGCGGGCCGTTGATTGACGAGTCCGCTCTCCTGGACGCTCTCAACGCTGGTCAAATCCGGGGCGCCGCCTTAGATGTGTTTGATCCGGAGCCACTCCCAGCCAACAGCCCGTGGCGGACGACCGCGTGGGGCGAGGACGGGCGCAGCGAGGTGTTGCTCTCACCGCACATGGGCTACGGAGAAGAGGATCTGATGCACGGGTGGTATCGGGAAGTGGCCGAGAATCTCGAGCGATGGCTGGACGGGAAACCCTTGCAGCTGCCGATGAATGAATTGGGGAAATTGTAGAGAATCTAGCATAGCACGCTGTCATTCTTCGGACATGGTTCCCGTTGTAGCAGTCCTTTTTTTTTCATGTGGATTATGTCTTCCCACTTCCGATGGATCTCCGAGTCTAATGCTGTTTGGCTCCGCGCTGGCGTCATCCCTGTCAGGAACCTAGGAGAAACTCGGACAGCAAAGGCTAATCGTGTTCTTTCTTCCTTGGCCCTCGGCTGAAGGCCTTCGTGTTTCTTATTTAAAGAGCCCTTGACCGGCCCTGTACTTCAGTTAGTGAGCTATTTACCACTCCCGAATCACCTCACTCCTCCCTCCACCATGGCGCCCTCCATTGACCCCCTGCCATTAACGCCTGCCACCCCCGAGCAACCTGCCCCAACGCACCCTGACCGACTGCGCGTCCACCGCAGCCCCAAGCCTTTTGCCAGCGGCGCCTACTCGCTCATCGACCTGCCGGCCGGAGCCGTCTTCGCCCGGATCACCAATTCCAGCCCCGGAAAGAAGGCATACACGACGGTCCAGACCGGCGCCGACACGCACGTCGAGCTCAATTCCGACCTGGTGTACTGTAACCACTCGTGCGCGCCGTCGGTGGTCTTCGACATGGGTCGCATGGAGGTGCGCGTCGTGGATGACCGGCCCTTGAAGGCGGGCGATGCCCTCACCTTCTTCTACCCCAGCACCGAGTGGGAAATGGACCAGCCCTTCCAGTGTACCTGCGGTGCCGGAGACGGGGTCTGCAGGGGCTGGATCTCCGGCGCGGGTGATATGTCCCCCGAAGCCCTGGAGGGATACTGGCTCAATGCGCACATTACGGCAATGTATGATCGCAAGTAGCCGTGGCGGCTTGGATCCTAGTCTCGACGACCTAAAAGAATAGATGATAGAAAAATAAAAAGAGAATAATAGTACTGAGGATTCGTATACAACATGTTAACTTGCACCGCCACCGCCAATCATCGCGAATTGAAGTGCCCTGCGCCGGTCGATCTCTCGCTTCATCATGATAAGGCTGGTTGCAACGACCACGGCTTCCTTCAGCTGGGCGGAAGTCAGAGCGTTTTCGTCAATCTGGAGCTCGCCGCCATTGCCCGCTCGACAGCGCGATGTTCCCGGGGTGCGAGTATCCTCTCCACGCACCAGCTTCGCCACGATCCGGCCATTTGTCGGTTCTTTGGCCTGGCTGACGGTATCCACCATTCGCAGGATGATCAGGTTCACGTGCTTGCCTTCGCGCTTCTCTTTAGCATAGCTCCACTCGAACCGAGTGCCATTGGGCATCGTGAACCTGGTACTTCGGGACGTCCATTTTCCAGAGACCTGCAACTCTTCAGGTCGGACATCGGTGGACTGGAGCAGGCGCAAAACTGGATCTCTGTTCGGGCCGAAGAAGTAGTCCGTGTGGATCAGATTGCCGTGCTTTGAGCTGCTCAGCACGGAGCTGCCCGACCAGCGCTTGGAGCGTGTAGAACCTGATTCCTGGTCAGTGCAGGTCGAATGGAGTGTCGCAACGAAACTTACTATAAGCGACGACGCCATCTTCATCATAGACGGGGATCTCGGTCTGGCTGTCCGGCAGTGGGAGGCGAAATGCCCGGATGCCGTGTGCATCAATGTATAACTTGCGACTGGATGTGAACGACTCGTCGGTGATGGTCGGACAGAGGGTGCTGGCCGAGGAGCCGATCGACGCCACGTCGGAACCGACTTTATAGTCGAGCTTGGTGATTGAAGTAGTAGCCATGATGATTTTAATAGTTTCCCGTGGTATCAAGTCCCGGTTTTTATACATGGGTTGCGGGTCATCTGCAGTCTTTCGTCAGATACGAGACTTGCCCGATCGGGAAGGGCTGTGAGAGGGCCCGTCCGTGGATCGCCCATCCCGACTCGCATGCTCATACTCGCTGAGCCACAAATGAGCAGGCAGTGTCAACTTTATCAATGAGGCTATGGTAAATGCCACTGGGGATATTGATGGGTATCATCGGGTATGTTGGGGAAACCTTCCCAGGGTCAATGTACAGAAAGTGAAGAACGCCTCGAAGTAATGAGCATTGCTGCAGGGCTGGGGGCATTATTTCGTTGTACGAACCAGGGTGCGGGAAGGTCTTAGAGAGGATAGTGAAGCAGGATCTAGGATAGTGAGATCTATCAGACCTCTAGCCATGGTCTGATTTGGGCTAGTCCTAGGCAGTATTCGCCCCGCTACAGTAGGTAACCCCCGTGTGTCCGTCCCGCAAACCACCTGTGACCACCATGGCCCTTTTGGAGTTGATTACGCCACAGATGCATTGGGATCATCGGATTTGTCCAGATCGGGTGCAGGTGGTAGCAGAGCCGAAACGGTAACGCACCAACCCATGGAGTGCGTGTTCTTGTAAAATGCTAAAACCTATATTAAGATAGGTCCGACCGTTCTTATCGAATGGGCTTGTGGTCTAGTGGTATGATTTTCCCTTAGCATGGGAGAGGTCCGGGGTTCAATTCCCCGCGAGTCCATTTTTTTTTCCCTGCCCATTTTTGAGATATGTGTGGTTATTTTTATTTTTGAGTGTTAGGAAAGGTTTTTGTTTTATGGGGCGATGTGTGGGTGACATAGCCTTGTGAAAAGGTATATTTTTTCGAGTCAGTGACCATCACTACAAAATAATAGGGCCAGCGAGATGTAAGAAGTGACTCCCCTTAGCATAGGGGGATTCTAGCTTTGGTTCCTTATGCTCTATTTCTTGTCCATTTTCTGAGATCCAGTAGTGTATTTTAGTTCTTTGGGGGTTAGCAAGGTTTGCTATGCTCTATGCGCTGCTATGTGGGTGACACCGCCTCACAAATTATATATATAGTTCACGGTGGTCATCACAACAAAACCATAGGGCTAGCAAGATATAAACATTTCCCATGAGGCTTTTTTGGTATTTCTATCCATTTTCCAGTGGATTGGATGCGACGGGAGCTAGGGTTGGGTGTGCCACGCGCCTTATTCTCTCAGGGCCTCGTCAATATTTATCTCTCTGGCGATTGAACGACTTTCAAGAGATAGCCTCTGGTTTATTGAACCCTCTAATATTTATTATTAACATGATCTAGGTCTATCTAGCTGGACCATAGCTCTGTCCTTACTGGTTCTGCGCAGCCCAAACCTGTTGGCCGGTGATCAATGTGCTCACCACTGTGCTCACACCGACGGCAAGGTCCCCCAAGGGAATCCAGCCAAGGAATGACCCCGGCAGCAGCAGATCGCAGCTATCAGCAACGAGCTGTTTCATCAGCGGCACGGCAGGCGAAGCACATGGCTTCTTCTTCTCAGAGACTACATTTTTTCTCTGCCTCTGGTCCTTAGCGGGCCTAGTTGTCTCTGCAGGCTTGGAAGAGGTAAACAAGAGGCACCAAGCACTTCTTGCAACAGACAGAGCCAAAGCATAGAACCAGAACTGGAATGCTTCGCGCAGAATACGATGATTCCAGGGCACTGGGTGAACCCCTGTTGCGTGAAGCTAGAATCTAGGTCAGTACGCCATTGGTCACTTGTCTGGTTTCTGTAGGGAAACGAACCCCCATGCCCAGGTAAAGGGTCAGAGGTCAATCGGAGTCACCTACAATCGTCAAATCTTCCAGCACAATATATAGTCCAAAGGACGTACATTTGGCCATTTCCAGCCACACGGGCATCGAGCCGGCCCCGTCTTGACTAAGGAGCGCGGCCACGCGCTGGAATGAGGGTATGAAGCCAAAGAGCCGGAGGAACCGGCGCGCTGAACACATTAGCAACATTCCAATCAATTACTGAAGAAATAGCCTACTCAATGCCAATTGCAGCTTGGCCGTCGTGAACTGCACGGCGAGAGTTCCGACGCTGAAAACTGCGGCGATCTGTGCAAGGGCCTGGAACAGACGTAGGGTCTTGTCCAGGCCGGCGGTGCAATTGACGAAGCGGGTGAACTGGTGAATCATCTTAGAAGGGCGAGGACGTGGTTGAATGCAGTGTGGTAGAGACCGCGGGTGAATTATCCCGCTAGAAATAAGCGTGACCAGCTAGCTGGTCAACCCGTTGTTGTCCCACGCTAGACTAGTTAGATCGAAGGCCCTTGCTTATTCAGCCCCTTGGTAGAACAAGAAACCATCCATAGTGGACATGATATTCAATAAATGCACTAATAGACCGCGGTCCATGTCGTACGAGCTCTCAATTAACCCGGTGAAGCACCGGGAGTACGCTGGATTGTCTCCCGTCCAGCTGGGCAATGTACACAGGAAGCCCGAAAGGGATCAGCAATGGATAACGGGGCTCAGATTCTGGCAGATATTGATAAACATATGACGATGCGGCAGCGGCTTCATCGTCCCTTTCCGCCAGAAATGTCCTGTCCCAACCGGTAACCCCCGACCTTTTCCCACTCGACCTTCTGCCGCGTGATGGGCAGCTGTCGCCGCAGGTTCTTAAACGCTCCCTCGGCCATCTGCACAAATGCCCGGTTCAAATCCTCCTGGTAATCGCGCTCCGCCGTCGCAATGCGGGAAATGATCGACTCGGCTGACACGGAGGGAACGGCGATGTTGACGGGCTTGGTGGTGTTGAGAGACACGTTGCCATCCTCGTAGTAGTGCACGTCCACGTGGATCTTGCCAGTGACGGTGGTGGACGCAGATGAGATAGAAACCTGGTAGATGGCGCGGAAACGACCGTTCCTGAAGGCAAGGGACACCCATTGGCTTCGGTTCATTTTCATATAAACCGTGGTGGTCACTCACCAGAAATTGCTAGGCGAATAGCGGTTTGCAACCAGAACAATGGCGACTGCAGAATCGTTCTCGATTGGGTAAACCCCGTACGAGCAGCTGGGATAATGTTCACGGGCATGCACGCCAAGCGACTTGAGCAGCGATTTACTGTGGCTTGTCAGCACTATCCTTTCTGCGTACCTCCAACACTCACATCAAGTCGGCATTCTGAGACTCCAACGGTGATGATTGTGCCCCGGATGCGGTCTGTTCCATGTCAGTCGACGGGTGCCGGCAACCGAGGACCACCCAAACCTACCTGTGTGGTATGGTCGACCTCGAACGATGTCTGGCTTTCCGTGTCAAAGTAGCGGTTGCCTTCCAGCTTGTTAAACTCGCTGACCAGAACCTTGAGGAAAGCATCAGCATCTCCGCAGAAACACGGTCAATCACGAATTCCCCACCTCCTGACTGGATCCTGGCAGCTTCACCGTCGTAAGTTGGCTCTCATTGTATCTTTCAAAGGCGGGGGTGAGTGAAGGGATGATATTCTCGCCCTCGGAGGTCAGGGCTTGCACGTCTGTAGCGGTATTGAGCTTAGCACGGGGTGACCGAAGCGAACAGGCAAGGTACACAGTGCGGCGGGGTAGGGAGGAAGACAGGTCAAGAGGAAGGTCAATTACCGGCAACGACATCCGCAAGCTGAAGAGATCCTGGTCAGCGAGTCTTTTGAGGTAACAGCCACGAATGGGGGTAGTGGCCGCGGGGTGTTGAGGTGCATACCTCGCCAGGCGGGGCACCCTCGATGAAGGAGGATGCGAGTTCGGCAGTGGATGCCATGGTGCAATGGCGGGTGGGTGAGATGATTCAACCGTAGCCGCACGCTTTATGAGTTGGGTAGTGGTTGTGGTTGTTGTCCGATGTTGTTGCGGAGGGAAACAGGCCAAGGCGGAGAAGCAATCGGCACGTGGTCAGCTGTACACATGGATAAGGGAAGAACCGAGTATAACAATAACAACAGAGATAACCACAAGGATATGATATGATATGATATTGAAGACAAATAATATTAAATATTGTGAGAAGGAATATGCTATCCCCGACGCCAGCCAGATCCCCAAGAAACAAAAGTACCCCTTACTCAATGCTCATGTTCATGAATCCATCACTAGCTTCCGTCATGCCTTGTAGTCCCACGCGTTTCGGCGTCCCCGTATGGGGGTTCGTTCGTTTGTCGCTCTCCGTACTGGTGCGCTCCGAGAAGGGCGCTCCGAGCGATGGCTTCGGCGGGGGGCCCCAGGGATTCGGCCCCGTGTCGTTGACGGCGGAGGAATGCGTCAGCACGGGACTGCTCTGAGCACTCACACTGGGCGACACGGCGCGACGCTTGAATAGGTTGGGGTCAAAGTCGTCCTCACGACGCCGTTTGCGCGTAATCTCGATGGCGGCCGTGTTGGGGGCATGGGGAGTGGAGGAGCGAGATCGCACTTTGACCGAGTCGGCCACAGAAGAACCCATCGTGGTCGACGGGGTCATATCCAAGGACATCTCGTCATCTGGAGCCGACGAGGCGCCCATCTGGCGCAGGGGCGGCGGGGTGCGATATTGGTCATCGAACGAGTTCCAAAACTCCACACCTCCCGAGTTACGACTGGCTTGTTTGCTGAAACTGGGCGCAGTTGGGGTTGCCGTTTTTGTTGAAGCCGTGTCGAATTCCGATGTCACATCCTGTGGTGGTTGCATGGTTGATGGGAAAGTATCCAGTGTGGGAGACGTCTCAGGCTCCGTGTCCCGGACCTGACGAATGACTTCGGCCTCCCGTTTCATATCGCTGTCAACCGGGGCGCCCTCTTCCATGAGGGCTGCGCGAATGCGAGCAAAAGTCTTGGTTTTGGGCTGAAGGCATTTGTTAGATACCATGAAATGGAGTAAACTCAGATAGCACTCACCAGTAAACTTCCGCGTCTAGTAACCGCACGGCGGATCACACCCAAAGGTCCGCCTTCCGTATGCGTCGCGGCAGTGGGACTCCCGCCACGAGCGCGGCTTTCACCGTCATCACTCAGATCTGACAGACGCAAGTCGCGCGTGCTCAGGCTGAGACTCTCTCGTCGCGCATGCCCGGTCTGTCGCGGGGCGAAATAGCCCCCTGTGGGATTCTCCACGCTCTTCATGACGGGAGGAGACTGAGGTCCAGGACTGGGTTTGGAGCTGTTGCCGCTTGCGCTACTCGAGCTGTGTCGGCTTCGTCCTTTGGTGTTGCGGAACCGCGCCCGCTGAAAGCTCATGAGGCTCGCTGTCGCCTGGTGGCATCCAGCCATCCAGTCGTTGCCGGGGCTTTGGATGTTGCCCGTTGCAAAGGGACTTGGTCCACTGCCCATTCTTACCGCCTGCGGTGTATTGAGCATGATATCATCTCGATCACCCATCATGGGATCATCGTCTTCCTCGCTCGTACTGGTGTCAGATTCCATCATGTTGACGCTGGACACAGAGCCCGAGATCGCCGTGCGGTCTGTGGGACCAGAGGTTGTAAACGGTGGCACTGAGGTGGAGCCCAGAGAGCCGCGGCGCTGAGGAATGGTCATACCCCGGCCACCGATGGTGGGCGACGAATCGGGGGATGATTCAGCTAGAGTCGAGTGGTGGAGATTCGTGCATGCGCGCGAAAAGTCCAGGCCGCGTGAGCGTCGCGGAAGCACGGAGCTTGGTGAGCCATATGTGTGGGAGGAGTCGAGTTGGGGAGAGAGCGGCGGTGCGCGGTTGGGGACGGATGGAGAGGCGGTCTTGGAGGGGAGGTTGAGGGACAGGCTGGGTTGGTGAAGAGAGGAACGCCGGGGAGTGGAGGGTAAAGAGGGGATCACACTGTCATCCTTGCTGGGTGGGCGACTGAGATCACCGGTGGAGGGTTGGGATGAGGTCGTTGGCTTGGAAGCGTCGGATAGAGAGCGCGACTTGGGCGAGCGCGAGGGTTGTTGGAGTTGCTCGGTGAGTTTGCTGTCAAAGGCGAGGCGGCCCCCAGACGGGTGGACGTCTGTCATGGTCAGGTCGGGGCAATCATGGTGCTGGTGAACCGGTCACGCCAGACGAACTGATGGTCGATGCGGAGATCACGGGGGCGCTAACCGGATGCGGTAGGGGACTACTAGGTATACTCGAGTCACGTACCCTCGGTATGATATATAGTATTGTACAGATATGCAGAGTAGACCACTTCATGCTAAACTCATCGCCGTGCTGATGGGAGCCACATACCTCTCCCAGTCGTTGCAGCCGGGCGGAGCAGCCCCCGGCGTCTTGACCAGATCGAGATCGCGGGCCTGCCAGACTTTCGCGATGACGGCCCGCGTGCGCGCGACATTGGAGATGGTCGACTCGGCCATGACAGCTAGGGCCTGTAGCACCAGGGGTCGCCCCGACATCGCATCGCTCTCTAAGTCCGCCCAGAGTTCGTCCTGCGAAGGATCGAGCTCCACGGCGGCTACAAAGACGGGCCATGTCACGCTAGCGTGCGACCCTTGGTCGAGCAACTCGGAGACGAGGCGTAGAATCCGGCGCACGTATTCCACAACTAAAGGGGTAGTCGGACAGGCTTCATACAGCGCACAGTGAAGGTAGAGAACAGCAGCTAATCGTTTGGCCTCAGCCACCGACGCCAGAGTCTCGTCGTCTCCATCCTCGACTTCTTGAACCAAGCCATCCAGCTGGCGCTCCAGGGTCGCAGCACGCAGCGAGAATGAGATTCGGTCCGCATCAGAGCTTAGTTTGCGCCGTGTCCGGCTCAGCTCTGTGATGGCGGAGAGCACCGACACCAGTTCGGGGCTACACCCCATCCAGAGATCAATGTTTCGATCATCGGCTCTCCAGTAGTCGGTGCCAAACAATACCTCTTCGCCGCAGGCCGTGCGACCCATGACGTCTTGAAAGGCAAAGAAATGCTCGGCGAACGCGGTGACTGGATCGCGGGCGGATTGAGATTGAGCAATCATCTGTTGTCTGCGCAACCGAATCAACTCCTTCGCACCCTTGAGATGGATCGTCCAGTGGTGATCGCATTTATCCACGATCTCGTAAAGGCACAGCATCATCATGATGACTAGGACTTCGGGATCCGCGCTGCAGGTCAGAGACCCTTCAGAGAAGAGTCGACGGCGAAGATCCTTTAATGTTGCAGATTTGAGGCGCAGCCCCATGGCACTGTAGGTCGGATCAAAACGAGACCAGTGACAAGCACCCAAGGCCTGAATGGCTTGAAACAGCGTCGGGGAGGCGGAGACACAAAAAGGTAGGATTACGGAGGCGAATGGCGAGGGTGACGTCGAGCTGGCCGTCGTCCGAGGGCACACTTGTTGGAGATAGTATTCGAAGAGCGGGCCATGACCCGACTCAGGAGCATTGGGAAATAAGGACAGAGACGGCATGGGCTGTGGGCTCCGAATATAATTGGCCTGCAACCAGGAGGCAATTTCTTGACTGTTAACAGGTACGACGGCGCCGAGTTCGTTCAGCGCAACATCCACCTGGTCCGGTTGGTCGAATGTAGAAACGCCGCTATTGATGAAGGCCCAGGGACGCACCCCGGGCACGGGGCACCACTCGCGAACGTCGTCTAGCGAGAGCGATGCGGAGGGAGAGGGCGAGCTGGTGGACTGACCGCCATCCGCTGCGCGGGCTTTATTCCAGACGCCCGCGCGACCAAAGGCCAGGCCTCGACTGGCGAATTCAGACTGCCATTTGAGGACAAAGTGTGTCGAGCACGGCAGGCCACGCTCCAAGCAGCGCGTGCACACGGGTTTCTTGGTATCACACCGGACCCGACTCGCCCGGCATTCCCGGCAGCCGCTGCGGGACCGTGTCTTGACCGGGACCGTTCGATCCGCGGCCTTTTTGCGTGGCATCCGAAGAGTCGAAGAGAGGGGGGTTGTTCTTTCACATGGCCTGGACGCAGGCCCCGGTCAAGTGGTGGGTGGCGGAGACGGTGTCGACTTGCGGGGGATTGGTTGGCTGTTTACAGCGATCCCTGTCTGAGCGGGAAATTCTTATTGTTGCACAGCCAAAAAATACCGAGGGATGTGGTGGTGGTGGTGAGTCGTGAGGGAGTGAGGAGAAGAAAACGCTGGCGATAAGAGGTGATTATCGGTGGGCCCCCGCATGTTACATATTTACAACTGATTCAATCCACCATGAGCTACATAGTTCAATGTCCCTAATGGCTTCGGGATCCTTCGGCCTCTTCTAGCGCATAGCTCTCCTCTGACGGGGCTCCCTCGTGGAAAGATCGCGACAGAGCCTGCTCCTCGTCGCCCAACCTGGCAAATCCATCCGGGGGGATAATCTCGGACTTGTCGTAAGGCACATCGCAGCGGACCGAGCGCAGAGGCGGATAGTAGCGACGGTAGGAAAACCAGGCGACCAAGAGGCCCAGCAGCCCGCCGCAGGTGACATCGTAGACATCATGCCGGTAATCATCCAGGCGAGAGATGGCAATCATCAACGCGCACAGCAGCGGTAAGAAGGCCAGCAGACACCGCGCGAGGTCCGTCCGGGGACGATACACATGCATCTGACCAGAGAAGAAGCTACAATGGGTTAGCGGGCTTGCTTCGGACAGCAACGTGGACACTTACAGAGACAGATAGCCTAGGCCACTAAACGCGAAGCTGCTGTGTCCACTCGGGAAGCTCCGCCAGCCCTCCTGCAAAATGTGCTGGTCGGGCTGCGTGCAGACGGTCCATGCGACCAGCGCATTACCGGCCGTGCCTCGAGAGGGTATGCAGCGCGAGAGCAGATCAGGGCGTGGCCGGCCCACGGCATTCTTGACAACATCCGTCAGGAACGACGTCAACATCAAGGCGACGAGGAGCCCCAGCACCGTCACCTGTGTCTTTTGCGCGCCGGGACGGAACATGGCAGACCAGATGATAATGATGCAGAAGGGAATGACGCCGGCGTAGAAGATCGACCACGCTGGGCCAAGAGAGATCAGTTTATTGGAGGTGTATGGGGAGGTGCAGGAGCAGCTCGTACCGACTGGAACCCGCTCATGGACGGCAAACGGATACTGAATGGAGCGATTGTCGAGGGAGAACATGCGATGGAAGGGGACGATAAAGACCTGGATCTGTTTTGTTATTAGCATCCCTCTCTATCTCTCTCTCACTCTCTCTCGCTCTGACACGGCTAGGAACTGACCAAGGTCCATAAAGCGACCAGCAACCCTAGCGCAATATAGTCGGCCGCATACGACCGCTGCCAAAATCGAGCCACAGCACCCGCGAGGCCAGCCTGGTGAGCCAAAGGCGTTGATCCCAGGCCCGGGCGAGACATTTTTATTGTTTTTGGGGGAGATGAAAGAGGTCAGGTGCCTCCGGTCGGCGACAGATCAACAACGGAAGCACAGACCATCGTCACTCACCAAATTCCAAATTACTCTCTCACTCTCTCTCTCTCTCTCTCTCTCTCTCTCTCTCTCTCTCTCTCTCTCTCTCTCTCTCTGCCACTCCCCGTTGGTCGTCCTCCAGCAATCCCTCCCACAATGGCCGACGCTAGCCAGCAGCGAACCGTCACAGCGGCATTCGCACCACCACCGCCTTTGTGGAAACACTTCACCCGCGACAAGCTCGACCAGCTGGAACGCATCAAGGACGAGGCCGCCAAGGGCGAGAACGGATCGCCCAACACGAACAAGAACTGGACCCCGGAAGAATTGCGCACGCTGGACCTGCCTGCGGAGCTACGATATTTGGTGCCACCGGAGATGCCCACCTCGGGCCAGTATAGCGTCTTCGGTGAACTGCAAAGCGTAAGTCTGACAAGTGATCTCGTGCCTGAGACTTGGCTGACAGGACCGCATGTAGCTCTCGACCACTCTACCTTCCCTGAAAGAACAAGGAATCGAACAGCTCTATCCAGATTCTCCTGTCGCAGATGCCAGCGCAGACGGCCCCACGAGCCCGTCGCAGCCGTCGCCGCCACTCAACCACGCGTACTATCTGCTCAAGATCAGCAAGTCCCTGCTTCTCAATTTTCTCGAGTTTGTCGGCATTCTGTCGGGGTCACCGGAGCAGTTCGAGTCCAAAGTGGAGGATATGCGCAATCTCTTCATCAACGCCCACCACCTGCTGAACCTCTACCGCCCTCACCAGGCACGCGAGTCACTGATCATGATGATGGAGGAGCAATTGGCCCGCAGTCGAGAGGAGATCAAGCAGATGGACAAGATCAAGGCGGACATTGAAGGCGTCCTCGAACGGCTGCAGACAGAAGGCACCCAAACGGCCACCGCACCATCATCGGACGCCATTCAGTCGAAGGAGCAGGACAGAAAGGCCGACAGCGGTTCCCGTTTGATCTGGGACCTCCTGGATCAAGAAGTCTGAAGGGAATGGGTGTTTGGATTGCTACCAAACCCTCCGGACCTCCAACAGTCACAACGACCGAGTCCGGGCTAAAGACTCGACACCCCTCAATTGTCTGATTGAAGCCCACCAACCTCGTGCAGTGCCACCGTATTTGCTCCGGGAAGCATCACGCGCCGATCTATGATTGCGCCGGACACGACACGCTCCGAGTCAGGGCCCATGCGAGAGCTTCAGGCAGACACCTAACTCCAAACCCGCCCTCGGAATCGCTCTCTGCAGATAAAGATCAACCCGGTCTTTGCAGCTGGGCCCATTCGAACCCACAAGCATTGGTTGGAATGAACTGGGGCAAAGTGGAGGTGGCCGATTTCTGCCCACGCAGGGCTATATGTATGCTCTTATCCACACTATCTTCGAAATGTAAATAACCGGTTATAGCCAACCATCAATCCCCCATTGTTATGATTTTTCTTATGCATACAATCATTGAGCCTAACTGGGCCCGGTTTAGCTGAGGGAAGTGTGGCAGGGCGACGCTAGATAGGCAATTCAAGTTGATTTCAGATGAACTTTGCTTCTGTACTGCGCAAGGGACTTCACCGTGCGTAGGATTTGTTTCATTAAGTTTGTGTAGTCTATCCTTTTTGTATCCCCAAGACGCCTTGTGCCCTATACGCCGCTTGATCCCGATTCCAATACGGATAAAAGCACCAAATACGCAGAAATCATCAACCGTACTCATTCCGGCATTCGTGATCCGGCGCTCTGCTCGACCCAGGCCTTCTCAATGGCACACGCAGCCAGTTGCTTCAGCTCCACAACAAAATCTGCCACCAATTTCACATGTACGGCTTCGTTCACAGAGGATAGCTGGCGTGAAAAAACGCGCTCGACCATGCCCGACGCAATCTTCAGCAGGTCGAGATCCTTGCGTGACTGCGGATCCAGAGGGTTCTGCAGGATGTTGCAGAAGATGGAGAGTAGTGCAGACATCGGGTAGAAAATCAATGTCCTAGAAGCAGGATTAGCCGTGCATAAAAGATCTTCACAGGGTCAAAAATACTCACCAGAAAATGCCATCAACAAGCACATGCTCTGCCGCCTCTAGATAGCACAAGGTCGAGCGGCTCGCCTCGACGGATAGCGCAAGAGATGAGCTCACGCCTTCCATAATTCCACTTTGGACGTTAACCCAAGCCTTGCATCGACTGCTTGCCTGGTGGATAATACTCATGCAGAGGTGATAGTTCAGACGCAGCATGACCGAATGCATGCTAGCAGTGGGATCAGGGGCCTCAAACTTGAAGGACATGGTTGGGCGCCACTCGGGAGGCACCGACAACCGCCATTGTTCTAATTCATCATCCAGCTCCCGAATAGCCTTGAGGAGCTCGGCATCAGATTTCTGGAGGGAGCGCACCGAATAAAGCGCAGTATGAGCCCGGGACTTGATGATACTCAAGCGTAAGTCAAACGGAAAGACAGGTTGGTCATAGGGGCTGTTTTCGTCTTCAATGGCATGCCACAAGCGCTCCATGTAGCCCTCTGGAAGAGTCAGGTCGCAATTCTCATCGGAGATGGTGGGTGGTTGTCCCGTGCGCAAGGCGACATCCTTATCAATCGTGTAGCAGATCCAGAAGAGATTGCGGATATGTCGTCGCTTGCGTTGGCTGCGATCATCGGATGGATGAATGGTTCTTCCCGATGTCAAATTGCCACCGAGCATGAAAAGGAACCGAGCAGCGATAGCCCCATAGTAACTGGCGGCACGCATAGTGCCCGAGGATAGTTCAAACAGCGCCTGGATGGTGGAATTAGTGTTGGCCTGCACTCGCGAATAAGAAACTTACCAGCATGGTCACAGTTTGGATTCCCTCCAGACTGGCAGGCTCTTGCAGAACTTGTGCAAGGAGAAACTCTGCTTTAGTAGCCATAGCCTCACTATCTATCGGAGTGCGAGAAAACGATCCAAGTTGGGATTTGACGGGAGGGAGGCGAGAGACAAAGGCAACAAACGCAAACATACAAGCTCGAATGCCAGCCTGGCCGTATGAAAAGCGAGATTGAGACTCATGGTACGCTGCATTCATGGTTTCTTGGAATAGCACTGCATCAATAACCGGAAAGATGCGCTGCATCACGTTGGAGTTGAGAAAAGCTTGGTAATAGCTTTGGACAACGCCCCACTCGGGCAGTTCGAAGTGTTTTTGGGCCTGCATGCTCATTAGCAGCTCATTGGAGCTCTGGACTCGTTCCTTCTCCCATGGTGGCCGGACTGGCGTGAGTTTATCGACCGAAATGGGCTGTCCAGTTCGGGACTCGATCCATGCCTGACCTTCCGGCAGAAGGAACGGAAGCCCGGTGAGCAGGCTGATGACGCCGAGCTCTCGGCCAGCGAAGTGCACAGCAACTGATGATGAGGCCGGAGGCCGGCTGCCGCTGCTGCTGGGCGAGCTACCAGTTGTAGTGATAGTTTCGGGCGTATGGCAAGACTCCCGCAGGATAGGTGGCGGCCCTGCAGAGTGGTCAGACATGTCACCCATCCGTGAAAGAACTAATTTATACCCGAGCTTGAGTTTTGTATGAGGTTATCTGTCAAAAGCTGCTCTATACGACTGATCCGATCCGACAGTTGCGAAGCCTTGGGCCGCCTGCGTTGGATTTGTGAGGCGTCTGCTTGATGGATGCTGAGGGATAGGATAGGCTCTTACCCATCATCGTCTCGGTCTTTTTTGCGCCGCACTACTCTGTCAAAAGTACAAGGGATATTATGATGACTGCACCAATTGCACTGCGGCAGCGCTGCGTCACATTTGATCTGCGCTTGTTAGCATTCTTATAGAGATCGCAGGCTGCCGGGACAATGTACCTTTCGTCTGTAGCATGAATCGCAAGCACGCGCGATACGCTTGCGCGACTGGGCGTCCGAGATCCCCGCCACTGGATCCATCCCGCCTGATGCAATGATCCTAGCGAGACAGTAGGAAGAACCATGCAGCGAATGAAGCGTGAAACTATCATGCCCGGAAGCCGCAGATCTTCCGAGCCGCTGACAAATCCCCTGACTCAGCGTTAGAGATTTCCACTCATCCATGATCATGTTCAATTACTATAGGAAGAACAGAAATGGAGAAAAGGTGGTGTGTATAAATTAACTGGCATCTGCATCTCAATTTATTCATCTTCTCTGCGATAAAAAGTCTGAGTCTGTCCCCACCTGAAAAATAGTACTTGACTACGCAACAACCCTATGAATCCGATACTCGAATAGTCATTTTCGTAATATATCATTGAAACTATCATTTCACCCCCGACCAACTATTCCAGACCTTTAGTAATGATAACTTGGACCATATATACACTCAAATCAATGCAAGGCAGAACCGAAAAAAGGCAGAGACTAAAATCAAATTGCAGTCCACCGCTATGCACCATCCGATTAAGCCGTAGTGTCTCTCCAAGCAACGCGAACATATCAAGCCTTCTCCTGTGTTCGACTGTCTATATATGCTCGGAGTTAGACTGGGTGATCTCACATCACAGTGCAGATGCAGCAGTCGCACTCCTCGCCGCCGCAGTCACATCCGAAGCACGGTTTCGACACCGTCTTGATAGGCTTCTTCACCGAACCACCCGAGTCGGAAGAGGGCAGTGTCCAGTTGATCGGGGTTAAGATAGTGGGGGCCATGGTGGGGGAGGATGTGCAGCGTGATAGATGGGACGGACTAGGGGCCGTGGGTTAACTTGTTTCAAAAGAGACTGGATACTTCGAACTAACAGACGGAGAGGTTTCCTGGATAAGTGATGTTCTTCCAAGGACATAAGGAAGGACACGGAGAAAGATCTCTCAGGCGTCCAGGCAGCCACAATATGTACGTGGTTCCACAGCCCTTGGCACAAGGTAAACAAGTTTGGACATGCGCTATATATATAACCTGGTGCATCCCTGCATCTACTTCCCAAGCCACTCACGTCATGAATAAACATGCGGAAAAAGGTTAAGCAAATTCGGGTCAATTGGCAAAGTATGTACAACAGCACTTTTTGTTTCATCAAATCGTGGATATCACCGCAGATACCACAGGGTATCGTCTAGTCATAGTCATCCGTCTATCCAAATCCATTACGAGGTCATCGTCCCATTCACAGCTGCTCCACCCAGGGGGCGGCACCGGCCTGCACCTGGTTCAGCCACTTGACCAGCTCGATGAGCTCCGCGCGGCGCTCGTCCTCGAGCTGGTCCTCGTCGCCGGTGAGGACGGCCTGGAAGACGGGCAGCAGGCGAGGGGTGAGTTCGCGGATGGTGGCATCCTCCCATTTGTCTGGAAACATAGTCAGCATAGGTGCTCGAAGAATTGAAAAGCAAATAAATACATACACATCTGGCAGATCATGCGATACAGAGGGTCGTTCTCCTCGTAGTCGTTCTTCAAGGGCAGAATGTCCACAAGAACGGGCAGCACGTCCTTGATCGGGACGTTGTCACGGTGGCGTAGAATCATGCGGCTGACACAGCCCGTGGCATTATCCTGCAGACGGGAGACATTCATTTGCAGGCAGGACTCCAGACGGCCAAGGATGGTGGGGAACTCCTTGACAATGTCGGCATCCGCGTTGGAGTGTTGGATCAGTCGACCGACGGCGTACGCGGCGTTCGACTTGGTCTGGGGGTCTTCATCGCCGAGGCGGTGAAGCAGCAGCTTGAGGAACGTGGAGGTGAAAGGAGTCACCGCGGCGCCCATGCCGTTGATGCACTCTGCGATCACACCCACGGCAGTAGCCCGCTCAAGGGACTCGGTGCTGCCAGCGTAACGGAGGATGGTCTTCTCAAATACCTTCCAGAGCTCGGCGAAGCTCTGGCCGAGAGCGGCAGCCATGCCCGACACGACGTCCAGGGCGGTGTCCACTACGACCCAGTCAAACTCAGAGGACTCGTCACCAGCTTCAAGGGTCTCCTCCTCGGGAGCGAACTCCATCTGGCAAGGGTGCTTCTTGGTGATGATGTCGGTGACCATTTGGATCACATTGTGGAGCACAGTCTCATCAGCAATCAGCGCAGGACCGCAGTAGCGCAGGTTCTCGGCCATGTTGCGGTTGATGTCGGCGACGGTAGCCCTAGGATTCTTCGAGTCAGCGATATATTCTCGAGAAAAATCTGCTTGAACAACATGACAATAATAGCAATGGCAATCAGACGTGATAAACGTGTTTCGCATCAATCACGCTCTTTTGGCGCGTCAAAGTGAGCTGGGTTAAACGAGAAGTCTCATCATGCAAAGAAAATAGTCGGACAAAAATAACAAGAAAATCATGAAACATACCGATCATCTTCCTCGGTCCACATCTTGAGGGTAGCGGTCATCAGGATCTCACCGAAATTCTTCACTTCCTTAGCCGGCTGAACCTGCAGAGGCAGACCGGCCTGCCACTTGGGCATCTGGCCACTCTCCTCAGCAATGGCAAACAGCATAGCGTAAGAGCGGTGCATGGTGCTAATGGTGCTCTTGCGGACACCCTCGTAAGGGTGATCAGCCAGAGGCATCACCGTTTCAATCGTCTTCTCGAAGTAGGGCAGGTAAGAGCTGCGGGTGTGAGTGACAAGGTCACCGATAACCTCGACGGCGATCTCCTTCTCCAGCGACATAGGAGTGGTGGCAGTGATGTCGTCCCAGTTGTCCTCATCATCATCGAAATCAACATCCTCGATCTCGCCTTCAACCTCGTCATCGTCATCGGCACTGGCAACCTTGACCTTGCGGCCGGCAACGGTCACCTCCTGGCCAACAAGATCCTTGGCAGCTTCGCCGAGAGAAACCTCGAGATCGTCCTCGTCCTGCTCGATACAAGCGAACAGACCCTTCACAACACCATCAAGGAAAGGCGAGAAGTGCTCAGCATAGACCTTGGCCATGGAACCCCAGAAGATGTAGGTGCTTTCCTTGAGACGGGAGTGATCGAGGTGAAGAGCCTCCTCGGTGGCACGCATAAGGGGCTCCACGTACGGCTGGTACCGCTCGGGACCAGCAGCAGCGGCCATCTCACCCATGGCGTCGGTGACGCAGGCACGGAGGTCGAGCTCCTCCTCACTGTCCTTGACGGTAGCGAACTCCTGCAGCAGGTGCATGGACTCGTCAAAGAACGACAGGAAGGACTCGCCAGCAGAAGAGGCAAGCGAGCCGAGGGCACCGGCAGCGAGACCCTTGATCTTGAAATCGGGGTGCTGGAACAGCTTGTGCAGGATGGGAACAAGCTCGGCCTGGTAGGGCGCAACGTCCTTCTCGTCCAGACCGTCCACGACAGCGTCGATGGCGCTGATTCCAGCCTTCATAATGTTCATGGTGGGGCCGTCCTCCTCACCCTTGTACTCCTGCATGGCACTGGCCAAGTTCTTGAAGAGCAGGGGCATGAGACGTTCGTGCTCGGCGCTGAGGTCCTCGGCCAGATCATCAGCCAGACGAGCGACAGCATGAAGCGAAGCCTGGCGGACCTTGGGCTCCGAGTCGGCGAGCAGCTGAAGAACCATGGGGAAGATCTCTTTCATCTGAGTGCTGATGAAGTCGGGAGCACCCTCAACACACATGCCCAGGGCCATGATGCCGGCCCGACGGTAGTTGGGGTCGTTGCTGTTGAAGTACTGACCGAGAGCCTGGAGGAGGGGAACGACCACCTGGCTGGGAGGAAGGCTTTGGGCAAGGATGTCGAGCATGCCCAGGGCCGAGCTCGCGGGACTGATCTCGTCATCGGTAGACGGGGACTCCTCCAGCTCCGTGACAATGTGCAGGGCGGTGCGGGTGAGCTGCTCGCCAATCCGCATGCCTTGGATCTTGAGCTTGCGGTACTGCACACACTGCATGAGGAAGCTGATCGCCTGAGTACGAGTGTCCTCATCGGCCTCGGTGTTGGCAGCAATCTCGTTCATGAAGATGACCAGGTCCTTCAGATAGACGGTCATCAGCTGGGGGTCACAGCCGAGCAGGGTCTGGAAGACCTCGAAGGCCTGCATGATTCGGTCATCATCATTCTGGTCAATGGCGTCCTTGAGGACAGCAACCATTGACGGTAGCATGTCCTGGAAAGCCTTGACGGGAGCCATGTTCTCCTCCGAGTCAAGGTGCATGGCAAGCTTGCTCAAAGCGAGGAGGGTGTTGATCCGAACTTCCGCGCTTTCCGGGTCCTGGATGGTCTTGGCAAACAGGTTGAACAGATCCTGGAACTTCTCTTCAAAGCCCTCTCCCAGAGTCTCCAGAATAGTGAAAAGGATGTAGATGGCGACGGCGCGCTCGTCCTGGTTGCCGCTGTTGCCAGCCTGCAGCAGAATGTTGGGCAGGTCCACCCACTCGCCGTCGTCCAGATCGATCTTGGCGATGGTCGAGATGATCTGTGCCACCGAGTGCCGTACCAGGGCCTCGCTCTCGCCCATAGTCGACCGGAGCAGCTGCTCGCGGATCTGGGGCTTCTGGTCGGCAGCAACCTTCAGCCAGAGCTTGGAGATCAGCCCGCGGCACTCGACGGCAGCGAGCTGACGTAGAGCAGGATCCTCATGGCCCGTGGCAATCTGAATGAGGAAGACAAGGGACTGAGCCTGGTTGTAGAACTCCCGCTGTAGGATGCCGGTGGCCTCCTTGACGTTGCCCTGGGAAGCTGCAAACGAAGGATTAGCGGCGTGGGTGTTAAATGCATAAATTCCAGGGCTTACGGTTCAGGACGACCTGCAATTGCTGCAGGAACCGTTGCTGGTCCATGGTCGGATGATATTAAGAAAAAGGGGATTGTTTTGGGATGAACAGATCGCCGTCGTGGGGTCGTCCGAGGCCCCTTCGTCAGGCCGATAGGGCAGCAATGACACGAATGAGCAGCTTGTACCGATGCAAACCGCTCAGGGGGGTATCACAAAAAAGCAATATAGACAGGAAGAACAAGGAAAAAAAGGAGAGAGGAAAGGAGGGTAGTTGTGTAGTGGGGAGGAAGAGAAAAAAAATAAAGCGGGACGGAAAAAAGTTGTCAGGGGTGGGCTGGGCCTGATCGGGTTTAGCGTGGGATGGGCCTCGAGGTCTCTAGGTCCTGATTAGTTAGGAGCTACAGTATAACAAACTACATTAGCTAGTTAGTTAGTTAGTTCACGTAACTCGGGCAGCAGTACAAGAGGAATTGCGCAGAATACCATACCGGACAGAATTCGAGTGTCGTGGTCTTGTTCGCTAACCCTACCCAAATGGTGATGCTACAAGATGCGAAGACTAAACTACTTAAGGCCAAACATGTTCCTAAATGATTTTGTAAACTTCAAAAGAACCGACGCCTGACTGAACCGCACTCTATGGACAGGAAACTCCGAGGTTCGAGGGGCGTGAACTGCATCTACATCGCCAGATATTCCGTTAGCGACGAGGACAATGTAAAATCAAGATGATGATCGTGAAGAGATGGAAACAAAAAGAAAAAAAAATAGCCAACCACCAGAGGCCCGCCTGAAAACACATCAGAACCGGGTATCGGCCTCCTAGTAGCCCTCATCGTCCGCCTGCTGGTATGTATGCCGTGTCCGGGTCGGGTCCTTGCGCATCTGTTGGCCAGAGCCGGTAAATCCCACTAGAAAGCATCGAGTCAGCACCGGACGCAATGTAGAGGGCCCATAGAGTACATCCAACGTACCTCGAGCATTCACGCCCTCGCCCGTGCGGAACATGCTATCCTTCTTGCCAAACTTGCCCTTGCCCTTGCTCTTATTGGCAAAGTCCTTCCACTTCATCTTCCCCTCCTCGAGTTCCTTATTTGCCTTGACTTTGCGTGGCGCCTTGGCGGGACGAGCTGGTCCGTCGGTGGCCTTGCCGGGCTCCGTTCGGGCCTGGGTGGCCAGCGCGGGGTTGATGTCTGCAGCCGCCGAGATCACACTCGGGTGAGGGGGCGCCGGGGACGGGGACGCCGAACTGCCTGGGGTTCCATCAGCCTTGCGCTTCCGTGAATCTGGGCCCGAGATGGGTCGGATGTCCTTGGCGTGCAGGGTCTCAACCGTCGCGTACGACTTGAACGACACAATGTACACCGGATTGGTGGAGGAGCCGGTGATCGAGGTGATGCGGGCTGGGTAGAAGGCGCCGTCCCCAGAGACCCAGCGCGCCAGGATATTCTCATTGACGGTGAAGGTGGCTGGGGCCGCGAGGGCTTCCTCCGTCCGGTCGGCTGTTGGCTTTCCCGTGTCCTTGGACCATCTCTCTTGGGGGGGCGCTGGGGTGGATTTGGCTGGCGCGGCGGGTTTCAGTTCCGCGATGGAAGTTTCGGTAAGGGATATAAGTTCTTCGAGTTCAGTCTTGAGGCTTTCAAGCTCTGTGTTGTCGGGGTCTACCTGCAAGCTTGACTGCACCGTTTCAAGCTGTGGGGAGTGTCAGTGGCACGGTCTCCCCCGACGATGGCATTGCCTACCTGAAGCTTGAATTCTTTGACCTCCGCCTCGAGGGCGGCCACATCGGACATTGTGCGGGCGAGAGGGTCAATCAATCACGGTGGTCGAACACGGGTGGAGAGTTCACAGGTCGGAGTTGGATCCCGCCGAGAGAGAAATCATCCTTGCCTGATTGGGAGTCTCCGATCACGTGTCGTCCGACCGCCTGTTGGACGTCGTAACAGTGATGGACGTCGGAGTGATGGCACCAACTAACGATGACATCCCGATCCACCTCGTAGTATCTCCAATCGAGTCTCTACAAATCCGGAGGGTCGATCAGGCATCTTATCAGCATCACTGATCCCTCCCGCGGGAAGCCGCCACTCGAGGTCGCCACCGCCGATGGATACGAGGGGGCCCAGACCCGGAGACGGTGAGTCAGGGAGGGAAGCCAAATGTGCTTCTGGAACCGGTCACGGGGAATCCTGATACCTCGTCGTAGGCCCGCAATAGGTTAGTCCGCAGAAAAGGGTGGAAAGCGATTTCTAAGCAGGCCCGTGGGGCAGGCCTGGTCATTGGTCCCCCGACGCTGCCGATCCGCCTCCCTCTCCCCTCTTCCATCATCATCGATCGAGTCCGACTTTTTTCTTCCTCAACCTCGCTGCTGCTCACTGCACCCCCCAGCCTTGTTCTCTTCGGGCCTAGTAGTAGCCACACTTGCTGGCCACCTGCCCCAGGCACCAGCCTCGTCGTCTCACTCGACTCACCCACTATTCCTCCATCCATCCATCCCTCCCTCACTCCTTCCCTTCCTCTCCTCTATCCCTTTACCATCCCCCCTCCCACCTCCTCTGATCTCACACCTGCTGCCTCGGGTTGCCCGATCAAATATTACAATCCACGCAATCCCGTGGAATCGTTGGCCTCCGATCCAACTCGAACGGGCTAATAATCGACAAGCTTGACGGCCGAAGGAACGCTGGCCCGTAGCGCATCGACTACTTCGGGCGGGAAGCCCGGCCTTTTGCGTGGAACCGATTCACCTCGAACCCTACACAACACAATGGGTGACTACAACCAGTACAACCAGGGTCTGTACCTCTCCCCGAACGAACAGGATCTCCTTCTCGCTGCTCTCTCCTCCAACAACCCCGCGCACGACCCGTCGGGTGGTACAGCCCACGTGAAATCCGAACACGACACCTCCCCGGATCATCGCTCCTCCCACAGCATGAGTGGTCCGCCGTCGGGTGGTTTCGACGACGCCTTCCCACATCCCAACACCTTCGGAATGGCGGATGACGAAAGCCCGTACCTCGACTTCAACCCTGAGGTGGACTTTGAATTCCCCGGCTCCGCCAGTCTCATTGGCGATCTTCCGGAAACCACCCCCGGCCTGGGCGACTACGAACTGGGCGAAAAACGCAAGTCGATCGATAGCCAGTCGGAGACGAACGGGGAGGACTCCGGAAACAAACGGAGAGAGAGCGAGGCAAAGAAGCCCGGAAGGAAGCCGTTGACCTCGGAGCCGACTACGGTATGCTGCCTCAGTGTGATGGTGTAGCGGTTCCTGGTGGGGGTCTTGATGCTAATGGATAGATTAGAAGCGCAAAGCTCAAAATCGTGCGGCGCAGCGGGCTTTCCGGGAGCGCAAGGAGAAGCACCTAAAGGATTTGGAAACAAAAGTGGAAGACCTGCAGAAGTCGTCGGATTCGGCAAACCAGGAGAACAGCGTGCTGCGTGCTCAGATTGAGCGGTTGCAGGTGGAACTGCGCGAGTATCGTAAACGGCTCTCGTGGGCGACGACCAGCTCTGGTATTTCAGCAATGAGTGCCATTCCCAGTGCTCAATCCAAGGGAGGCCCTGGTCTCCAAAACTCCGAGTTCCTCTTTGATTTCCCCAAGTTTGGCGACTTGCCGGGCAGCCGCATCTTCAACAAAAACGAACAGTCCAACGTCTCGAACGGTCTTCCACCAGCCCCGGGTGTGCTGAGCCGCGGTTCTTTCAGCAGTCCGACCAACGTCTCCCCCCCCAAGTCTAATGTCTCTCCTAGCACACAGGGACCCAGTGGCAGCCCGGCTGGAGCTGATCATGGTCGATCGAGCACCGTGGGGTCCAACGGCGCCCCGAGCAGCATGGCCCAAATGGCTCGCTCCACCATCAAGCCTTTTGCCCAGGATACCTCGACTTCGGACTCTCCATCCTCCTCGTCCGATTCTCACCAGAGCCAGTTTCTTTCATCGAACGGGACTTCGCCCGAACCAAGCCTCAATTCCCCTCGGGAATCCAAGCCGCAGTATGCGACTCATAAGGACGATTGTGGATGCGGAAAGACGACCCCCAGTGATGGTGAGAAATCCTTCTGCGCCCAGCTCGGCCTCGCCTGCGGCAACATCAGTAACCCCATTCCAGCTGCTCGGGAGCACAAGGTGCAAAACCCGAATGACTCCGGGAACGCCGCGGGGTCCATGGACGGATCAACGGATGAATCCTTGGGGATTGATTGGCTTACACAGCAGAATGGTGGCCAGTTTGACCCGGTCCTGTTTGGTGACTGGCGCGAGCCCCAAGATGCCATTCTCTCCCAGGACTTTGGCACTTTCTTCAATGATGCGTTCCCTCTTCCGGACTTGGGTAGCCCGTCGCATAACATCACCGAGGCCACGAATGAGCCAGGCCACAAGAAAGATCTGATCTCCCTGATTGACGACAAGCTGAATGAGGATGAAGTCGTGCCGGGCGAGGATAGGTCAAAGATGCTCTCATGTAACAAGATCTGGTATGCTCTCTACTCGTGGACTGCCTTGCTGTCATTGTGATTACTGACATCATCCCCTGCAGGGATCGTTTGCAATCCATGGAGAAGTTCCGCAACGGCGAGATCGACGTTGACAATCTCTGCTCCGAACTCCGTACCAAGGCGCGGTGTTCCGAGGGCGGAGTGGTCGTGAACCAGAGCGATGTCGATGCTATCATGGGCCGCGCCAAGTAGCGCTTGTACTCAGCATACAATCTCACTTCACGATCAGCGGAACGATAACGCCCACTCATGCATCATCTATTCTTGCACTCATACCCTATCTTTCATTTGGATTTGAACCTCACACGGCGTCATGAAATTAAAAACAACAGGAGCAAATAAGAGGAAACGGTTAGGAAATAAGCACCCCCAAATACGTGTCTGGTTTTTGGAATTGATTGAATTCGCGCGTTCACACGGCGTGTCGCTCGCTGCCCCGTTCTGGGATTTTCTGATTTTATCTGCCTCCCTTCGTGCCCTTTCTTCAGTAGTTTGTCCTTTGATTGATTTTTTCCATCTCGCGCGGCGAATGGCCATCTGCTTTCAGTATCTCGTTGAATCTGGCCGGCGGGTTGTATTGGAGCTGAAACTCGGTGGACCGGCGAACATGAATTTCTAGGTCTGGTTGGGACGGCTCGAGGTCTTTTTGCAATGTCTCCGAAATGCATCTACTCCGTGTAAACAAAGCAATTGCGTTTCTGCAATCCATCTCACCTCTTACAATCTACGAGGATGTCTAGCACAGCGTGAAGCGGTGTAAGGGTATCGATATTGGTCTCTTGCAAATGAAAAAAAGAAGTAAAGTACAGAAAAATGTGGTGATTTTTTTGGGCTTTTTTTTTGGGTGTTTTTGTGGGGGGGACCTTTCATTCATTTTTCTGGCATCGTTCATCAGACACACTCTCTTTCCCTCTCCGTGGCCAGCAGCAAGTCCACGCTCGAAAAAGTGGTAAATGGAATGGAGGAATTTGCATATCACAAAAAAAGGGGGAGGGAAGAAGACACAAAAGAATTCAAAGATAGGGTAAAGGGGGAAGGGAGCATGGGGACAACATGAAGGGAGGCGTATGAAAGACGAGCTCGCAATGCTCGCCAACAGCCCGAAAGACGCAGAAGTAAAATCAAGTAGGGCGGGTCCCATGCTCTACGCTTCACCACCGGAGGGAGCAGGCTTGTCACCGGAAGGAGTCGATGGAGCAGGCGAATCAGCCGATCCGGAACCTCCCTTGTTGAGGCCACCACGGCCCCGGCCGCCACGACCACGGTCACCCCGGCCGCGACCCCGACCGCCGAATCCGCCACGGCGAGCGCCTTCGCTGTCACTGGCGCTCTGGTAGCCGCGCTGGCCACCGGTAGCTCCACCGCGAGTGCTTGACCCCCATGTGCCGGCGTTACCTTGGCCACGGCCTCGCTCCTCGAAGAACTTGAAGTTGGGCTTGCGAGGCTGACCGGCGGGAGAAGGCTTCTTGTATTCGGCGGGCTGGCGATCCAGAGCAGCCTTGGCCTCTTCAACAGTCGAAAACGTAACGACATAGTTGTTAAACTTGCCCCACTTCTCGACCTTCACAACCTTGGCCTTGTCCTCCTCAGGAAGCAGATCCCGGACGGCCTGCTCGCCCTCGACGTTGGACACAAAGAGTCCGTTGCTGGGCTTCTTCTCACCCCGAGGGGCGGGAGACTCACCAGCTTTCTCGGGCTGAGCGGCGCCATTCGTGTCGGCGGCAGCCTTTTCTTCGCCGCCGGGCTGGGCAGAAGAGGTGACAGGAGGTTGGGGGGTAGCGACCTTGGGAATGACCGGCGCCGGAGAGCCCTTGGCCTGGGCGTTGGCAGGGGCGCCACCGCGCGCAGGCTGACCGAACTGGCTCACCGCAGGTGGGCGAGCGGCGCTGGTAGGGGCGGGAGACGCAGTGGTAGCTGGAGGGCCGGTAGCAATTGGGGCAGCTCCGCCCGCCTGAGGCTTGCTGCTGCGGTGAGCAAAGTTGAAGCCTTGGGCACGCATCTCCGTCGCAATGCGGCCACCCTCAACCTCCAGGACCAGGTATCCAAAGGCAGCATCCGCAAGGTTGAAGTTCCACATGTTCTTGAACGCACTCTCATCAACCTGGCCAGCTGCATTTCCAGCAGCCACAGGGCCGCCGAAGGGGTTCCCACCGTTGGCAATCGAGGGCATCTTCTGCACCACGTCAAGCGCATTGTCTAGCAGCGTCTTCTGCGCCTCGTTGGATGAGATTGCCGACTCAACCTCGCCGCGAACAGTCTCCCAAACATCGTTGAACGAGGCCTTGGAGGCAGCCAGCTTGCCGCGGTAGTGATCCAAGGACGGGTTGACGGAAAACTCGTTGTAAGAAGAGCCGTAACGGAAGTGGAGACCAGCAGAGATGGAAAAGTCCGCCTTGAGGGTGACAGAGAGCTGGTTCAGCATGCCCTCGCGAGCGGGCGATGCGTGGGTCACAAACACACGGGTCTCGGACGGATCATAGACGCGATTGGCGGTGTCAATCAGCTCTCCCATCTGCAGAAGCGTTGTCCACATCGTGCCCTGGCCACCAGCAATCGTCGTCTTTCCTTCGCCATTATCGAAAAGCTTGTGCATCACCACCGCACCACCCAGGCCCAGAAGACGCAGCTTCACACCGCCAATATCCAGCAACCGCGAGTTGGCCTCGTCGATGATGTGCAGCTTGTCAACCTTGTACTCGCCGGAGCGGAACTTCTCCAGCACACGCACGTCTTCGCATGCACCCCAAACTGTATAGACCGGAACGTCAAGAGTAATCCGCTTGTCGAGCAGCATAGAGAGTTCAGAGAGGGGCAGCTGGTCCGGGGTAAAACGCTGCTTGATCGATTGTTGAGGAGGAACCTGTGCGATCGTCCGCTTCACGTTCTCGGGCAACAGGGGGGAGTACTGTGCCACATGCTTGAGGGTCCTGCGAAGCAGATGCGATGTTAGCTGATCCCGCCCACTTTTTTGGTCATGCCAAGGTGGCGCCTCGCGTTGGGCCGCAAGGGCGCGTGGGAGAAAAAGAACTATCGAGACCACTCACTTGTCTGCAATGCGCTCCAGCGAGGTATCATCGTAGAAACCAAAATCACCGGTGTGGATGATGTGGTCTGCGCGAGCCTGCCTGGCCAGCTCGTTCAGAGACTTCAGGTTGCCTACATTGAAGATCAAATTAGCTTCGCTGGTAGTCGGGATCTCCTCAGATAGCCCGTACCTCGAACATCTGCAATGCACAGAATCCGAGTTGGTCCGTTCTGAATCACTCGGCCATTGTTGGGGAGAAGCGGCGTGGCCCCGGGGACCGGGTTTGAGTTCGGAGCGCCGTTCGAGAGAGGATATCCTTGGGCACCGAAGTTGTGAGGAGGACGGGGCTGGACATTGAAGGTATTAACATTAGTCTGAAGGTTGCGGTGCCCAACGCGTGGGATTTGTCCGATCGACTTAATCGGCTGGCGCGAAGCCGCGGTGAGCGGACGGGGAAGGTGAGGGAAAGAGAACTTACAGAAGCCATGGGTAGGGCTGGGGAGGATCACAGAGGACGGGGACAGTACAGGAATAAAGGAAGAGGAGGGAAGAAGAGATGACGGGGGCGAGAAGGAAGATTAAGTTGAGCTGGGTTGGTTTGGTTTTGTTCGAGAGGAAGGCGAGAGGGAGGCGTGACAGGGAGATTAGGTAAGCCCCCTTGGACAGCACGCTGAGGCTTGGTTAGGGTTACAGCCATAAACTGTCCTACGTGATGGATGGATGGCCTTTGGTTACACTAGGAGGGAGAATAGACTATAACCATAATCGACGTTCAGTGGTGTACAGTTAAATTCCACGCAAAGGAGATGCATCGAGTGCAGTATTTGGGCATGGCAAAATCGGTTCATGACTACGTTGTCAACCCTCTGTGGAACGATTTCACCAGCTGGAGGTTAGAGGTGTGCATATCGAAAGGCTAATGGCATTTCACACATGTGGACTATGTACCCAGACATCTCAATGTGAGAATCTGGCTTTGAGCCGCCTATATCGCCACAAAAATCACAGCTCTTCGATGCGGCTCCTAAACCGAGCCTCCGCCTTGCCATAGCCTTGATTCGAAATGCCAGGTCCAGATGGATATCGAGACAAAGATTTCATGGACCGTGGGCCTTGTAAAGCAAGCAAAGCGAAGTGGCCGCCGACCGTTGGGCGAGCTCGGCACAATATGGGGGTGCCAGGGTCGGCTCCCTTCTTCGATGTGGCAACATAGCGATCAGAGAACGGCCAGGTATGTTTGCCGCTGGTCATGAACGCCCAAAGGTCATCGACAAACTCGTCACGGGTCGTCATCCCAAAGGTGCCGGCCAACCACATGTTCCAGTCGGACTTGGCCCAGTCCTGCCGGTTATCCAGCGGCACACCATACTCCCCCCGGACAGATTTAGATCGGAAGAAACCATCATTCATCTTGTAAGCCTCCTCCGGGAAGGTAGCCAAATCGAAGAGCACGTCCGGGAAGAGGTTGTACGGTGTCTTCCAAGTCTTTGGCCGATCTGGGTATCTTAGCACAAAATGAGTCTTCTCATCGTCCGTACCCAGGCCCTGCTCGAAGAAGAGGTTTGCATGCTCGTTGCCAACACGCGAGTAATACTCGTAGCCGCTCATTTCACCAAAGGCCTTGAGGCCGACAGCGGCCTTGATCGCCAAGTTGGTCTCGTTGGGCAGTGGGCCAGCAGCATCATTGGACGACAGCTGATTGGCGATGTCAATGCTGTTGTGGGCGAGGTAGTCTGCGTACTTCTTGAAGATCTCAGTATACTGGGCAGCCCAGCTGACATCGCCGGTGGCGCGAACGTAGGCAAGTGCCAGGATGAGCAGATTTCCACATTCCTCTATGGGCATTGGCTCTGCGCGCTGGTCATCATGTCCAATGGCGTGCGGATAGCTTGATCCAAGGTCATGGATGGTGTACGGGAGTTGCCAACGGCCAGCATCCAAGTACTTCATCACGGGTTCAAGCAGTAGCCGAATGTAATCGGGATCCATAACATAATAGATGGGGAACGCGGGCATGATCACATCGATTGTATTGACATTTCCGTCGCTGGACAGCTCCTTGATAAACGCCAATACTTCATTGGTGTCAAGTGAGTCGGCGGGAATGGTCACGTCAATTCCTCCATAGGCCTGGCGAGTGGACAAGGTTACAATATCCGCGTATTTTGGTCCTGCTGCAGCTGTGGCCGAAGAAGCCAGCTCCTGGTCCAGCTTCAAGGACTCCAACAATGCATCTCCATAGTCGTCCATAAAGAATGAAAGGGCCTTCGACGTCGTTGGGTACTCTGCCCGGTAGTAGCCTGTCTGCGGCTCTCCCAAATAATTGATGGCATGATCTCGTTCGTAGCCAACAACAAAATTCACCGAGGCACCACCATCCACTTTACCCAGATCATGGGCCAGCGCGACTACACTTTCATGAGACCATGTCCCGTGCACTCCAGCGAGGGCACCCTCTCCGGCGAACGAACCACGCACTGCAGCAGCGTTCCCTGAGGAAGCAGTGAGCGTGCTGGAGTCTGACGGACGAGATGCAAGAATTGCCTGGCCCCAGAGCGCCATATCGTTGGCCTCGGCATATTTTCTTGCGGTTGGGACGGTAAGCGAGTAATAAGCGAGCCCATCTGCCTCTTCAAAAGCACTTTGCGAGCGCCGTGGTCGGCCTGTCCATCTGCCGTCGATGTCTGAGTAGACCTGGATCTCGTGTCCACGAGACTTGGTAACATGCACCGTCAGGTAGCCTGGCACCGCCCTGTTAGTTCCAATGAAATCCATGTGGATCGAATGTGAGATACTCACTGAAGGGAAGAGAGTGTCGCAGGTAATTTGACGGTGAAACAGGCGAGAAAAAGTCCAAGGTCAGCGCCACCGGTCCAGCCGAGAGATCAAAAACCGAGTGCGACGCCGTGAACTCGGCGCGGTGCACGATGGCAGGGTGGATGCCGCTGGCGTTGGCGTTCTGTACGCCCATCAGGCTATATGCTCGACCATCTACCCGCACGATCACGGACCATCCCAGGTTCTGGCCTGCCCAGAATTGAGGCTCAGCATGCGGCAGATTCTGGACCCGGTCGCTGGGCATCCATGTCGATAGGTACGGGTTGCGCACAGCCAGCGGATAGGATGGCGGCAGGGCGGGATGGTGTGAGACGGCGCCCTGCTGCTCGCTACAGAAGAAGGAGAGCACCGAGGCACAGAGGGATCCCAGTCCCAGCGGGGCCTGCCAGTCGAGACGCATGCTGAGTTCGGCTAGATCTTGGATCCCAAAGGGCCGGACACAGCGCACCGGGCGCTTAACTCAACAAGATAAAAATAAAAATAAAACACAAAGAGCAGAAAAGTCTGGCAAGAGATCTCGACCTGGAGACTCGAGCGAGATGAGCAGTTGTCGAGAGAGGTCACGGCTGACCGGACGCGGAGAAAGCAACGCCCCTTGTTGGATCGATCGGCATGTGGGGAAGCCATGACGCCATTGTTTCAAGCACGAAATACCGCGACGGATGACGGAAGTGATGATGACAATAAGCATAGTATCTGAGCAAGAAAATCTCTGGGATGGAAGATTCAGCGAGTGGCCAGGATTGGCAGCGGTGATTGCGATCAGGCCCCGTGACCGCGATGCCCTAAGGCCGTGTCACCCTCATCGGCTTAATCTACCAATTTAGATAGTCATGGTCAACTCCAGGGGGATTGTGGCGTTGACGGCATCTCACTACTCGCATTTTTAGACGGAACTGGACACGATCTGATATGCCCCCAAGCTCGGAGATTGGATCAGAAAGGCCTCTTGAAGATAGGGCCAATCTCCAACGGCCTGAACGGCGTTGGACAGATGACAGCCTCGAAGTCTGACATAGCAAAGTCGAGGTAGAAAGTTGATTATGCTGCTTGCAGTACAATTAAAAGCATGTACAAACTCTCGGATCTATATTGTGGACATGCATCATCGCTATCTATACACAAGAAAGGACATGGAGGCCTATAGACTGTTCATTTAGGTGCGAAACAGTCTCAATCCGCTCTCTTCACGGTCATCATCACTGTCCTCGCCACTGGCACTCTCGTCTCCCTCACCCAGCAGGCCACTGGCTGTCTTGCCAAGCAGAGAGGCGAAAAACTCGTCGCGGGCCCGAGTAGCCCACGCGCCACGATCTTCCGGGGCCATGAAGTTCTGCAGCTTCTCGTGAACATTGAATCGCATCTTGCGGCCTTTGGAGGCGCGAGTGTCGATGTCGCGCTTCACCTTGTCGTTACGCATACCAGTGACGGGGTGAATGGGCAGACGAGACGGCAGTTGGTGAAGAGTGTCCAGACCGTTGGTCATGGCGTCCGATGAGGACATTCGTTGCTCGACGAGGTCTCGAAGAAGGGACTGGTAGAAAATGGTGTCGTCGTAAACAGGCTCATGGTGACCATCTGACTGGCGAGAACGTTTGGGAGCGCGTTCTCCGATTTCTGTGGCAATGTGCGCATCGAGGACGGTAGTGATGGTTTGCTGGCCAGAGGCAGAGCCCAGAAGCTTGCCTCGGGCATTGGGGAGAGATGTGGAGCCGCCTCGCACTTTGACAGACCACTTATCGAGCACAGCACGACGATGGGCGCGAGACTCGGCCTCCAGCTCCTCCATGCGTGTCCAGAGGGATGGCAAGGAAGTCGTTGAAGAGACGGAGGAAAGTCTCTTGCGTTTTTTGGTCTCGTCTTTGGCGTGGGATACAGTTAATGCGAGACGTAGCTCCTCCAGCGTAGACCATAGGGCGAGGGCTGCCGATTCAGCGGCCTTGATTGCCTCCCCGTTCCCTTCCTTTTCCTTTTCCCCTTCTCCTTCCACCCCATCATCCTCTTCCCCAATCACCCCGACCGCTTCGTTCATCACCGTCAAGCCTTTCTGAAGCTTGATCCTCGTGTTCAACAAAGCGTCAAACACTGTACGTTGCTCCTTGACTGCCCTCCCCTTTGCCGCATCTGCCTTGGCAGCTTGTGAGATCGTTGCCGCGATGGTCTTCTGATCAGAGGCCATCAGCTTTCGTAATTCTTCCCGATCATCCGTCGTTTCGTTCGACCGAGACTTCTTGAAATGGACCCGCTTGCTGCCTTTCTTGTTGAGCCGCTCATCTTCATCATCCTCCATACCTTCTGCATCGCGGCCCTCTGCCTGTGCTCCCTGCTGATTATCCGCTTCGTCCGACACATCATCATCCTGTGCCTCTCCAAGAACATCGTCCGTGTCTACGTCGAAGTCTTCCATTTCGACGTCCTCGACAACCTCACCGAGCTGATCCCCGATGATACCCTCATCCCCGACAATGTCGAGCTCGTCATCCGATATGGAGGGGAGGAGTACCGATTCTGAGTCGGACTCATCCGCCGAGGTGGTGAGGTCCTCTTTCCCTCGGCTCGTGGACGAGTTGTGTGACGATACTATCTGGTACCTTGACGGGGATTGTGATGTCACGGTTGTTTCTTTGTTTTTCGAGGCCTTCTTTTTCGGCAGCGTGGATTTCCCGCCTATTTGGCCTGTCTTTGAGTTGTGTTCTGAGTGCTCCGCTGTTCCGTCTCCGGGCCCACTAGGGCCGGTGGACGACTCCTCGCTCGAGGACTCAATCTCATCGCTGACGCTTTGATCACTCTCATCGGTAAGTGCCGCAAATGGATCGTCATCACTGTCTGCCTCAAGGGCAGCCCGACTAACCCGTGCACCTGCGTATTGTTTTCCCAGTGCAGCCGGGTCCTGCTTCCGCAGCTTTGCTTTTCTGTTCCGCCCTCATCAGCTCCCTATCGTTTTGGTTTGCTTTGGTAAGACACTCTACTCACCCGACTGCTTGATAATGCTCTCGGCCAGCATTCACATCTGACGGGTTGCAAGTCTCTTCATCGCTGGACTGACCACCCCGGTCAAGATCTTCCGGGTCGAAATCTGGGTTCCCACGTCAGCTCTCGATGTCCTCCAGTGAGGAAAAGATAAGCCATGCTGTTGCTTACCCTTGGGAGTCGGATCTTCGAGATCCGCCAGCTGGTCTGCCAGCGACCGTCCTGGGTGCGTCTTGCCTGGCGCCATGGTGGATGGAAGGAAAGCTCAAGTTCGGTTTTTTCTTTTTTGGTTTGCGATAAGCGGATCACGGCCAAACTATCCTCATCAGGCCTAGTCGGGCGGTCTCCAGGGCGGTGGCTATCTACTGGCTGGCAGAATCGGGCCTTTTGCTTCATCCTGTCCGTGGGTTTAGTCACTTCTCCTGTTCATCCGCGCCTTTGTGTTTCCTCCTCGTCGTGAATTTCACGTCATTTTATCTCGCAGTTTGCTCGGACTTAGTATCCTGGCTAACATGATACTATCGCCAGGTGGTATATCCCTAGTGCGTGGGAGGTTCTTTTCCACAATGCGAGTCCTCCAGCATGACAATCCCCTGGTAAGTGTGCTCCCTTGTTCCCGTCATATTACTCGCCCTAAAACATTTGCTAGGGACTCCCACGCTCTGGCACACCACCATCTTTTCCTCGCCGGCGTGGACTGCCTGAGAAGCGCAAGATTCGAGATGTCAAGAAAGTGGTTGCTGTTTCCTCGGCCAAGGGAGGGGTGGGCAAGTCGACTGTCGCGGGTTGGTTGATTCTTTTTATTGTTATTTGCTTTTCATCTTCCCCCAGATCAAGGACCATTTGTTTAAACTTGGAGCTGTCCGGAGGTAACAGAGCTAAAACATTCCCCTAATATTAGTAAATCTCGCCCTCTCATTTGCTCGCCGCGGTATCCGGACTGGAATCCTCGATACAGACATCTTCGGCCCATCTATTCCAACCCTGCTGAATCTATCAGGCGAACCTCGCCTAGACGAAAGTGAGACGACCTTGCTGGACAGGCCCATAAGCCAGAACGATCACAATATATTGATATTTCTTCTAAAATTCCAGATAACTGCCTCATCCCACTAACAAACTACGGCCTCAAGTCCATGTCAATGGGATACCTCCTCCCCCAAACACAGTCCGACAACCCAACCGCCGAAGCACCCATGGACACAACCCCGATCTCCTGGCGCGGGCTCATGGTGACAAAAGCGATGCACCAGCTGCTACACTCCGTCTCGTGGGGTCCGCTTGATGTCCTCGTTCTGGATCTTCCACCAGGCACAGGCGACGTCCAGCTCACCATCAACCAAGAAGTCATCATCGACGGGGCTGTGATCGTGACGACGCCACAAGACATCGCGCTGCGGGATGCCGTGCGTGGGTTTGGCATGTTCCAGCGCATGGATGTACCCGTGCTCGGGATGGTTCGAAATATGGCCTATTTCGCGTGTCCGCAGTGCGGGCATCAGACTCGAATCTTCTCGCACGGTGAGCATAGCGGTCATGCGCATGCTGAGGACCGTGGTGTGGTGGCCGAATGCAAGCGGTTAGGTGTAGATTTTCTCGGTGATATTCCGCTTGATGCACAGGTGTGCGAAGATGCAGATCGTGGAATGCCCACTGTTGTGGCGGAGGAGACAGCCGAGCGGAGTGCACGACGCCAGGCTTTTGTAGATGTCGCGGAGCAGGTGGCCCGGAAGATTGGTCTAGAATGGCGCTGATAGCCTAGGCTTGGGGTATTATGATTTCTCTGTACATTACTCGACATTGTATAGCTACGTGTATGCCGGAGTATGGGAGTTGGCTTGTATGATATTGTGTTATCACATGTCTATCCCCGGCCACGATGACGGTTTTATCAGATTCGAAGTAGTTAGTCAGTCGATGCAAGATTGATTGCGAAACTAGGTATGGGGTATTCACAAATGAAGAATTAAGGATGGGAAATGCAACCCTGCAACACCCAAATCGTGTATATCCAACAATTTAGCGGCTGGTTCTGCGATGAAGGACAACCAGATGAAATGTCTCAGGGGTATGATCAAAGCTCTCGCAACTGGTGAAAAAAACAAAGATAGGAATCAAAAGACTGTATACAGATGGTGATAGATGGTTGTAAATCGTGTGCGGTTACGGATGCTCTTCGGCGCTTTTGAACTCGTCTCTCGACGGCATGCCGGGTCGCAGCGATATCGAATCGCGACCAGCGACAGACAAAGTATCCGTGGACAGGCGAACACCATCACTGGTCTTGACCTCGCCAATAATGCCCCTGGCGTGGACTACAGCGCGCGTGCTGGCTGCATCTGGAGCGACACTGGTCACGGCCATGGAGTCAGTGTCTCCACCGATAGTACTAGCATTGTCCGACATAAGCTCGCTGCGGCCAGTCACAGATCCATTAACAGACCCTGGGCGGTGTTTGCTGAGCGACAAAGAGACATCGGAGGTCATGGCGGCATGGAAAAGGGCCCGTGTACTAGCGTTCTCGTGCTGGAGCTTCTGGTTGTCCATCTCTGGCAAAACGAGAAGCGGTCCCGCGCTTTTCTCCGACCCAGGACGTGTATATGCTGAGCCAGCTTCACCAGAGAACCGTCCCGACAAGGCATCCGTGCTTGGATGCGCCTTTTCATCCCAGGTGATCGTTCCGGGCTCAGCAGATTTCGATTTTCCGTTGACGGAAGAGTCTTGGATATCTCGCTCTTTTTTCTTGGACGGCTCACTAGACCAGTCGCCAGCCTGCCCAGCATCCACGCTTGTGCGGGTAGAGGGCTGTCCAGATTTCTCGGCCTGTTGCTCCCTTTCCAACGTGTGTTCATCATGCTTGCTTCCCCAGCCGCTCCAGACCATCAGCCCGTAGTTCTTCTTGGCCTGCCGTTTCGGTAGCACTCCTGGGGCAGCTCTTCGGGCAGCAAGCGAGCTCGGAGGTGGATGCTCGCCTTCAAAATCCTGGAATCCATGCGCCATCTCCTTGATACGCCGACTCTGGAAGCGCAGCTTCTCTTTCGCAAACTTGACGTCCCACTCGTGCTTGGCATCGAGCCATTTGCGGATGAGCACCGGATTGATGGCTCCAACTTGAGCAGGCGGAATGTCCAGTACGGGATATGACGAAGGTGGTTCCAGATGGTAGATACGCCCACGTTTGTCGACTCTCTGACGGATCATGTATTTATAGAACGCAGGCAAGGGGTCTCCAGCCTTTCCCACAGAGTCCACCGGCGGTCTGTCGGCGGAGGCAGATCCAGAACCTTGGTTGTCCGGGGCGTCTGAGCCACTGGTCGAGATAGGTGAGAGAGCGCTCTCATCCACAATTTCAACCTCTGATTTTTGAGCACGCGCCAGTGCCCAAGAGCCAAACTGCGAAATCGAACGGAACATGTACTTGGCCGGTCTTGTAAAGCTGAGAGTGGGAGCCACATGGCATAAATTGTCCCACACTTGAAGTTGCACATAGGTGGGGCCATACTGGTTGAGTATTTCTCGGTCAGGGTCGTGCTCGTTGAGGTAGACGTCGCTTGGAGGGTACGCAGACGGATCCGCTGCTTTGTGGGCCAGGTAGAACTGCTCATCACGGAGTGTCTCGCCACCACCGCTCAGAATTTGCAGAGGCGGAAGGCCACCCAACGATGGTTGCAAAACGGGCGAGACGAGAGGATGCGAGATCAGCTGGTTGGTCGTGTACATCTGGATCTGATCCTTCAGCTCCACAGTCTTGCCATCTAAGACAACGTGGATATTGTCTGGCTCGGTGTACAAGGTGGCCGGGTTGGGATTCTGCTGCTGCCCAGGATACGCAGGCTCCGTGGACACCGGCTTTTTCTCGTGGAGGGTGTAGCCGCGAACTGCGGTCTCCTCTGCCTCGGTGTTTGCAGCCGGAACGGCCTTCTCCACGTCCTGAGCGGTCACTGTCTCCTTCCGAGATAGTCGTTTGATCTTGAAAATTTCGTCGGCGTTGGGTGGAGGCCAGGCAACGGACGGCCTGTGTCTGAATCCATACGGAGGGATATAGTCTCCGGGGTTGTCTGCGACAATACTCGGGAAGGAATGCGTTAGATCCGCCCAGGGGGAAATCAGAATTGCCCCCGCTGGCAAAGGGATACCCTGATCGCGCATGATGACCAGCATCGACAAGGCCATCCCGCCGCCCGCGGAGTCCCCAGTAAGGATGATTTCCTTGGGCTCGTATGTTTCCAGGAGCCAGAGATACGCCGCCAGGGAGTCCTGGAGCGCACACGGAAAAGGGAACTGCGGTGCCAACCGATAATCCGGCGCAAAGACGCGGCCCTTCAGCTTTCGCGCATGACGCTGCAGCATATACCGATGAGTGTCCACGCTTCCAAAGAAGTAGGCACCACCGTGGATATACAGCATGACGCGGTTGCTGCGCTGGCCCGACTTCTTGGTCTTGTTGTAGTCACTGCGCATCTCAATCCACTCCCCCTTCAGCTCTTCGGACGGCCCCCGCCATTGCCACCACTTCTCACCACCCACCCGCGCAATCCCCCTGGGACCCAGCTGTTTTGAGAGGGCATCTGCAGCCGCCGACAAGGATTCCTCTGGGATCGTCACCGTCTCGGTCCTCACCCAGTGGGGGCTCGGCACCGACTGAGACGTAAAGGATTGGAGATCCTCGATCGGGTGCTTGGAAGCGTAGACCAAGAACTTGCGGATAATCTGAATGCCTTCATCGTAGGTGATGTGGACGGAGGGCTGATTGCGGAGAGACTTGCGATGCAGGTACTGGCGGGTCACAGCGGGCATGCGATCAGCACATTGCCTCCTTGCAAAGAACAAGACTTACATGATTGATGAGGGTATGTAGCACGGTAGGAGTCAAAGCGGCGCCGAGGGCGACCGTGTGCAATGGCATTGTGTGGCCATCTAGGAGGGAGAGATTGGGAGGGAGAAGTCGGGGGATGTTTGTTTGTCCGGGGTCAGGGGCGCAACGTCATAAGCTAAATTGGTCCGTGGTGAAGCCGATCATGATGTCACCGCTAACCCTAAGTCTTCACGATCCTAAACTATGGTACGCGCGCCCACCACCAACACATATCCCACGCCCACTACGCCTGCCACGACACTGTATGCAATCATTACTGCTCGAGGCGCTGCCCCCGGGTTGGCCTCTCTAGTCATGCGGAATCCCAAGCCCGCATTGACAATCCCCAAAACGATCATTGCACGGCCAAACCACCGGTGCAGAGACGCAAAGGCGCTCTTGCCGCCTGTCTTGCGGAAATGCCGGTGCTGAAGAAGGCCCATCAGGGGCTGGAACAGAACCAGTCCACTGACTACCACGAGGCCAATGATCGGGTGGTGGTGCTGAAGCATCTCGAACGCGTGCGCCATGGAGACCCCAAGACCCATACCGGCAATGGATATCATTAGCACGAAACTTTGCGCGAGCCCATGGATCTTCGGCGTCCACGAGGCTGGGCAAAGATGCAGCCCCAAAGCAAAGAACGGAAAGAAGACCACAAACGCTATAATCATCAGCACAGCGTGGGCGATTCGTTGCCGATATATTGACTCGATGTCAAACGGTGGCCCGACAGCCTCTGCTACGCTCGAGTCGAACACATCGGAAAATGGGTTGGTGAGGTGACCGCCGGTGGCTTTTCTCATGTTGACGATAGCACCTCCCATATCATCATGTTTGGTGATGGTCGCCGTCACGTCGCTGGTGTCTAGCGGCGGCCCATATTTCACGGCCCAGATGTAGGGACTAGTGGTGCTAGTGACGTTTTCACTTCCATCCGACCAGGAAATACAGGTGTCGCATCGAATATTGGCCGTGATGGTTCCATCCCTCACCCCGCTACCGTCGAGGAGCGACACCCGTGCGTCTCGGTTGTATCGTGGCTCGAAGTGGCCTTCACCCAGCCGAGGAGACACCGTCACATTATTATTGTCGCCCGAGACATACACCACGAAAATGTTTGCACCTTGCATTTGGTCGCCCTGGCCCCATGCAAACCACTGGACGGGACTCGTGGATTTGAGTTGGAAGTAAACGGGCCCCGAACCGGATGTCGCGGTGTCCTCGGGGATGTTGACGCTATATGTGATCTCAGTCTGTCCTGGAGGAGTGAAGACTTGGACGTGGGCCAGGGTCGAGAGGGGCCCCAGAAGCCATAACAAGGGATATACGGCCATGACGGGCATGGTTTGGGGAAGTGGCTGTAAATTTCCCGATCCGGAGGGGGGTGAGGGATTGGAAATATAAGAGCTGTTGCTGGTGTGTCAGATTGGCCGCGTTAGTTACACAACCACCGCCTGTTTGTTTTTATATAAACCGGGGCCATGCAGACATGATCTTGACTCTCTTTGTATGGCCGAGGTCGGGCGAAACGGGCCAACTTGTGCAACACTCGATCGCAGCACAAGGGCATTGCATCGAAATGGCAGCCTACGAGATACCTACTCGATCCAGCATGGCCATAGAACATATCTTCCTTCTGGGACCCCTTAACAGACCAGGATCACCGAAAACCATTATGACCTTCCTGTTGCGCCGGAAGCCCTGAGATTTTTATTTTTGGAGGTTAGTGTGCTGCGCCTCGTGAAACCAGCAGCTTATCGGACGAACCGCAGAACCGGGGTCAGGATCTATGGCAGTATTGATCATCTTGTAGTCTGTAGAACATGTGGGTTGACCTAGTACATAGTCGTACCTTTCAAACACAGTAACCTTGTAGTCTGTAGAACATGTGCGTTGCACTTTTTGTACTGTTGGAAAGTATTGCTTATCTCTTTCCCGAAGAGCGATAGCCAACGACAGGCCAGATATGCCCGCTGTACCTCGATCAGTTGAGATTCCTAGCATGCCCTAGGCTTTTCTCACCTCTCACAATGGCAATGGACTTGGATTCGGCCATTTTTGATTGTGTCTACTTGATAATTTCTCATTGATGAGGTGATCACCCACCCCGCGCTTCCGTTTGAGAGACCCACTAACAGTGCTGGGCACAGACGTTAGTTGGCGGTACAGGGTGCTGGGCGGCCAAGGCGGCGCCTCACCCTTCGAGGTTCCGGGTGGGAAGGCGGCCGTTTCTGGCCTCAGAAAGCGGTCATTTTCGGACTCAATTCCACAGACCCCGATGTTCTACGTGTAATAGTAATAAACATGCCAAGCTTCATAAGTCCAACCCCGCTTAGATTGTAACGCTTGAGTAACTTTGACTCCTGTAAGTTTGGATCCCGAAAGTTTTTTCTCTTGATCTGCGAGAATTCACGTGTAAGACCCCGGATTGTTCCAATCTGTATTCAGCCAACCATGCAACACATGGACAATCCTGTCTCGGTCTGTTCCCGCTCACCAGGGTGTCTGTCTCTCCTTCAGAAGTTCCTCAATTTTCCCATACTTTCTGAAAATGAAAGTGCGAGGGCTCAACCGATTACCATCTCGGGGAAGGTGGGCCACGGTCTCCGCTAACATACGAATCTGCCACCCGGCGAAAGCCCCAGAACTGGCTAGCCAAGAGTCGCCTTGCATGAGCAAAATGGCCCACATAGTAGAAGGGCGTTTTTGAGAGTCCCAGAGCGGGAAGTTTCCAAGATCGTCTTCAGGCTAAAAGCAATACTCCACCGCCCCACCGCTCCACCGCTCCGCCAGCTAAGCAATCGCTCACAAACCAAAAAACGCACCAGTGCCGATGCCCAGGAAGTGATTGGACAGTTTCTGGACACAATTAAACGAGAAACGGTACCATCCTGGCTCTTACGGCCCATATTGCAGATCAACGATATCATTGCGGGTGGTATCTTGTGAAGAATTATTCTGGGTCTTCGGTACCGAGGCAGGGTCGGCAATTAGTCGCCAAATCCACGTGCTATTATCCACACGGGGAGGAAGACTCTGCACAATCGTGCGTGGATGAATTGGGTTGTTGAATATAGATTTTCATATATTAAAAAAGTTAACCAGTAGGTGATGGGCATAAAATGCGTAAAGTAGATACAGAGAGATATAATGAATGTACAATGAATGGTCATGGACAGGGAATGGACAGTGAATTATGGACTCCTGCGCTCGGGATGCTCGACCGACTCTGCCGAAGTGGCGGGCTCGTGCAAAATCTCAATGGTTGTCTGTTGATACACGCCGTGGAAGTTTTGGAGCTCAACATCCTTGTTGTTGGGGACGATGTTCTCCGTGGAGCCGCCCAGAGGGCTCTGCGTATCGTCCATGTCGACGGTCTTTGGATTCTGACGGAGCCGCGTGTTCAAGCGAGAGGTGAGGCCGAATCCCTTACGGGACTTGGGGTGCGCAGAGATCTGTGTTTGGTAGCGGGATTCGGTGAGGTTGTCGTAGTTAGGGTCGGTGGCACTGTGCTCGGTGTCCATCAACAGGTGGCGGCGAGTTAGGGTGTATACGGCCACATCGACGAAACCCGAGAACGCCATCAGGCAGCCAGCGACACCAAAGTAGGTCCTGCTGGGGGGCACGCCCCGCATAGTGGACATACGACCTGCTGACAGCGGCAGCGACAAGCAAAGATACACAACGGGATAGATAACCATGTAGACGACAACCCGGTTGAGGCGTTGGAGGTTCTCTTGCTGGCCGCGACGCAGCATTTTGGCCTGCTGCATACGGCGACGAAGCCAGAAGAACATGAAGGTGTAGAGTACGACTGTGCCAAACTCGGAGAGGAAGATCCAGAAATAATGGCCCCAGAGACGCTCGTTTTCATGGGTTGGACTCAGCCAACACTGGAGAGAGATCAGCTGACAGCCACAACGAACGAGAGAAAGATCTCAACATACCCAGCCAGCCTCGGAAATGACGAAGGCCTTTGATCCCCAGAGCCCCACGGGAATGAAGCCGATGACTAGAATGAACATCCAGATTCCGATGACCACGTAGACAAATATGTGAAAGGGGAGCTGGCGACCACGAAGCACGACGGCGCTGGTGTGGAGGGCAATAGACAGCACGAACAGACCGCTGCCGGGGTCTCCTGTCTGAATCCACCATCCTTGCAGGTAGCAGGCTGCCTCACCAAAGTGGACGCTTCCCTTCGAAACCCAGTAGAGGGACAGCAGGAAGGCGATGGACTGCTGCAAGTCAACCAGCAGGAGGTTGTAGATGAGGACGACGTATTGGTTCTGGGCCAATGGGTGCTTGTAATAGCGCTTCCAGAAGATGAAACGGTAGGTAAGGAAAGACAGTAGAGACAGCGTTGAGATCAAAGAGAGTAAGGCCACCGTGCCAATGGCAATAAAGAGTGATCGGTCCGTACCGGCAAGGGGATCCCATTCCTGGAACTCCCAGCGACGAGCGAGAGAACCATCTTGGCCCTGAGCGAGCGAACGGAGAAGATGGGTCAACATTACCATGATGAAGATGCTGCAACGCTGCGACAAGGAACATGGGCCGAGGGACCCTGGATATTTAATTGTTTGTGGGAGATCCCGTGGGGAGCTACCACGACCAGCGTGCCGGTGTCGGTTGATCGGCCAGCAGCGCAGCCTTTTCCTCCTTCTGAATCTTCTCGATCCTTCACTCCAAAAGATGAACGCCGTCGGTCATTAGCTGCCCGGGAAATCCACGGTTTCTGGTCGACGATACTAGTTAGTTAGTTAGTGGCCTTTGGTCAGCACCGTATACCAAATTGGGACAAGAATGAACGCGTCCCCTGAGCTCTCTTCCCGGTATTTCGAGAAATTGTGCCGAACCTTGTCCACATCGCAAGCGCGCTATAAGTTGGGTGTGGATGATAGTGGGGATTTGGATGGACTTTTTAGTGTCCCAATAGAAATAGGGTGACGATCGCTCGGGAGAATTGAAGGATTTGGCTAACCTCGCGGAGCCCTCCGTTCGCCTCGAGACCCAGATCGCAAGTCGAGATGCAAAGAGCTAAACGCACCATCGACAGACTAAGTGGATTCGCTCGTATTAGGCCTAATCTTACGCCAATAGAACCCCGTCGATCCACCAATGGGAAGATTCATGAGGCTCGTGCGGGCTATTAGTTTAGCAGTGTGCGGTTCCTGGGCTCGTTCTCACGGGGAAGGTTCTTTTTTTTTTTTTTTTTTTCACGACTAAACTATCTCCAGTTTGATCCTGAACTTTGACATCTGCCACCGCGTGCTAGCAACATTGGACGCAGAGCCGACGACGATCATCACCGATTAGTATTCTGGGCTAGCTTCGCACACTTTCCGCGCACAAACAGGTTTGAAACTGGCCCACTGCTACATCGGTGGGGATTTGAATCACCGGACTAGTTTTGGCAGTGAAGTGGTTGAAATATGGCAGGTTGCGATCTTGATTTCTAGTGGGGTCCTACACATGCACGCTCGAAGCACCCTGGCAAGGCTAGGGGAGTGTTGCTCTGTGATGAGTCAAGGCCAGACCCCGGAAAGATGTCGATCCAGGTGAAAGGGGTGAACTCAAGCAAATGGTAACACATAAGGGAGTTGTTGTGCAAGCTGGCCATCTAAGTAGTTCTCGGTCTGTGAATGGTTCCTTTACAAATAACCAACAGACTATTGACTCTCGCTACCAGGCTACACGCTACACTCTACTATCAATAATTCCGGAACTCAAAACAGACGCGATTTCAATAGTTGAGCTTTTAGCCGCCCCGTGTCCCAGTAGTCTGGCAAGCTTTTGACAAGTGCGGAGAAAACGTTGGCATTGCATCGAGCTGCAGGGCAAGGGTGGGATATCATACTTTTGTTTCGGCCCCTAAAGTCAGTTACTAGGGCAATTTATAGCGATATTTGCCAACAAGTCTTGAGTTAGTGTCTACTCCAGGTATTGTCATTATATTACCAACTGCGAGGACTTAGACTTTCAACCTTTCAGTAGTTTGCTGAATAACATGGCCACCCAACGAAGAACGAGTTTAAACTGCATGACCCCTTGTGTTGGCACTAGTGAGTCTCCCTTCGTTCACGCGCCGTGGGTTCTGCTGACCTTGAATCTACTGTACTAGGCTTATATAATCTGGCCTGATCCCCTCGTGAGGCCATCCATTCCTCGTCGACAATCTCTTCAACTCGAAGCATCTTCCGCAGGAGATTCACTCGTGACTTTCAAATCACTACTGCCGCAAGCATTATTAGGGAGCTCGTTAACAAGGATGCCATCAAAGATAGCACGAAAGCAAAGATTTCACACATTTGATTGACCGATTTGGCTGTGTTTTACGCGCTTAAGCGCTCGGGGAAAACAGATTGCTTTACCCGATTCCCCTGGGACTTCGCTAGTGGTGGGCCAGTTTCGCTCTTTATCCCACGGGAACCGACTGCGATATTCGAAGTTGACAATTTTCCCTTCTACGCATCTGTCCGCGGTTATGTTCTCCACGGAAGAGATTACCAAGGAGCCTTTGAAACTACGACGAGGACACGCTCAAGCCTAAGCTGCCACTCATCCAACTCAGTAAGGTTATGCCGTGTACGCAGGCTCTGAGTAATACCACTAGTAGCCTCATTGCGAGCCGATTCAGTCAACCGAATGTAGGTTTGGCGAGGTATGGAGTAGGTGAACAGGCTGCTGGGGGTTCTTATGGGCGTCCCGTACCACCTACCTGGCCCGCTTGACCATAAATGGCAAACTCGTCCATTCTGAGCCGACCACTAAGTAAGAGCTGCATACCTTTGAGCAAAAGGCTGCTTAGAAGCAAGACTATGTGGTGTCGACGTCTGCAGCTCGCGCGAACTGAACCCCCCCCCTCCTCTCCCTTTAAGCCTCGTTTCAATCTGACCACGAGGAGATTCAATATGCATACATCTTTCTTATCGGCTGGACCTTAGGCGGCAAAGGCTGCCTTGCCATCGACCGTAAGAGGACTTTATGGCGAGCCCATTACCTTGGACGGTTGGACCTTTACAAACCAACTCCCCCTCCCCAGTATCAAAATCCCATGAGGAGGTTAGCGTTAATTGGAAATTGTGCCAAATTCTACCCACATGTTCACTTCTTACAGTGAGTACATCATGCTACACTATAACATGATTTCATACTAGGAATGATATGGAACGCTATAGAGTCCATACTATAGAAAATGCCAGTGTGTAGACATAGGCAAGCACACTGTTTATAATTACATGTTCCTCTTATCAACGCTTAGCAAATATTCGCAGCTATTATGCTAGCTTTCCTTCCAGCCTTACCTAAAGCCTTGTGAGAAACAATCTTATTGGGGGTTTGAGTGACTATACTTCCTTTTTCTGTGCACAGTTTGCTCTTCCCCTTCGACCCTCCTTCATCTCCGTATATAGTAGCCGTGAGCGCCATGCTATGCACTAGTCCAGCTCTGCTAGCCCTTGCCGACAAAGATATACCCGGTCCTGGTTTGTGGTATGCTTCCTCGTCCAAGCGAGATTGGACAACAATGGCTTTGATTGAGAGACATTCATAACATGGTACCAATCAATAATCGTCTCCGTGGCGCAATTGGTTAGCGCGTCTGACTGTTAATCAGGAGGTTGGAAGTTCGAGCCTTCCCGGGGACGGTCTTTTTTGTCTAACAAAATAGGTCATTTTTTGATACTCTGTCTGCCTTTTTTTTTTTTTTTTTTTTTTTCACCAAATGTGAGAATGGACTTTAATCTATACAATGTGTTAGGGGCCTGGCTTCAAGTTGGTCATAAATTTTGATTGAGTTATCCGTCGAATCACGGTCAACTGGAACACGGTGTGCACTTTCGCCAATTCCAGAGACCAGGAAAATGCAACCGGAGCTGCGGCCACCTACCCGCATGTGCAAGTCTACGGTGGCATGGAATCAAAGTCCGAAAATTCCTTCCAGTAAGTGGATCTGTTGTACTTCCCTCGCCTGCACAGAGTCAGATTGTCTCACTTGGTAGCCCGCTGGTACCCGTATTCCCCGCACGTTGGCCTCGCCTCATTGCACCGGTTTCTCCAGATGGCGGGCCTCGTGAAGGTACCTCTGAAATCTCATGTCGAGTGCAACTATATTTGGATTCTCAGAAGTGTCAGATGCAGCAAGTTGAGCCGATAGTAATTGCTACGGCTGGGAGGGTTTGGGATCGGAGAAAATATATATAAAGCCCTTGGGGGAATGTCAATAGTCTCTGTCAGTAATCCCCACCACAAAAACATCCCTCTTATCCTCACATCCTTGACCTGCTGAACCAGCTTGTTCTCTATCATGAAGTCCATCAATATCTTCACCTGCGCACTCCTGGCGACTCTTGCTAGCGCTGCCCCCACCACCCCGGTCGAGACAACGGGAAATGTCACCCCCAAAGCGGTCTCAGTCTCATATGATCCCAAGTACGACGATGGATCTATGTCGCTCAACACTGTTGCTTGCTCGAATGGAGCGAATGGCCTTGAGCACCTGGGCTATACCAACTTTAAGTCGCTGCCCACATTCCCGCTGATTGGAGGGGCGCCCACTATCAAAGGCTGGAACAGCCCTAACTGCGGCAAATGCTACCAGCTGCACTATAATTCCGGCAAGATCAGCCGTTCTATTCATGTCTTGGCCATTGATGCGGCGCCGGGCGGCTTCAACATCGGCGTCACCGCCATGAACCGGCTTACCGATGGCATGGCTGTGGAGCTGGGACGCGTCGAGGCGACTTTTGTGCCTGTGGCGGATAGTGTATGTGGATTGTAGGGTCTGGATGAGACGCGATGGTGTGAGACGGAATTTAGAGAGTATTACTATACATGAGTGATGATGGTCAATGATATCTACCAACTACCAGTACAAGAAAAATGATTTACTCTAATAATACATCCAACATCTCTTGTACACGTCCAAACTTATCTCGCACCTTGCCCTTTTTCTGACCGCACTCCCGCTCCGCGGCGTCGATGCGCTGCCAGTCTTGCCACGATGTCGCGCGGAGACCACGAGACTCAGCCTCAGCCCGTAACCCATCCCAGCCTAGCCCACTGCTTTGGCCAGGCGCATGCAGCAAGGAACCTTGACTGTCTGCCAGATCTTTGACAATCGCATCGGCAGTGGTGAAGGCGTCGGTCATAGTCGAGGCAATCACGCCAGTTGGACCGCGCTTGACCCAGCCGGCACAGTATACACCGGGTACGTGGGAGATGGACGAGCCGTCAGGTAGCTGCCGGGTCTCCCCCTCATGCGAGAGGTTAGTCACGCGGCCAAATCCATCATTGGGAATCACGCCACGGCTGGCATCAAACTGAACCCCCAGATCTTCAAGCCCCGGCAGCGGAAGCGACTTGTACCCGACGCTGCGGAAGAATACACTGGCAGGCAGGTTGACCTGAGCGCGTTTCCCACTGGACATGAGCTTGGGGGAGACTTTGGAGCTGGGGTTGTACGGGTCAGATGGGTCAAGCTCGTTGCGGGAGAACTTGACGTGCGATAGGTGATAGGGATACATAGGCGACCAGTGCAGGCACTCTGGTGCAAGAAGAAATTCGAGAGACCAGGATTTGGTTGCAGTCTTGGGGTCATTAGGGGAGCCTTTGGCAAGCAGCTGCATAAGGCGCTTCTGTGCTCTGGGAAGGGCAGATATGACCGAATCCGGTGGCATAATATCCCCCGGTATCGGATCGAACGAGACAGAAGGAAGATTCAAAAGCTCACGAACTTCCTTGATAGTGAATGCGACCTGCAAAGGTCCGCGGCGGCCGACGACGCGCACCCGCTTGATGCGGCTCTTGGACAATGTCTCTAGAGCATAGTCAGCAATATCAGTGCTCCGAAGAGCATCCACATCGGAAAGCAGAATCCTGGCCACGTCGAGCGCCACGTTGCCTTGGCCCACAATCACGGCGTCTTCTCCGCTGGTTAGGTCTGGATCCAGATCACGGTGCTCGGGGAGACCATTGTACCAGCCGACAAAAGCACGGGCCGAGTAGACGCTACGGAGAGCCTGTTCTCCCGGAATTCCCAATTCCTTGTCCTTGGAAGCTCCGTAGGCGAAGAGAATGGCGTCATAGTGTGGCTTGAGGCTCGAGAGTGGTAGATCATTCCCGAGGTCAACGTTTCCAACAAAGTTGAAACGCGGAGAAGATGCGACCTCTGTAAACTTCTCTTCGCAATTCTATTTCCACTGTCAGCAAAGCGCCATGAAATCCGCGATCGCTACGCAACCTACCTTAACCTCAGGATGGTCCGGGGCTACACCGTACCGAGCCAGACCAAATGGAACCGGGAGTTTCTCGTACATGTCCACCACTGCACTTTGCTGTTTGGCCAGCAGACGAGAGGCAGCGTAGAATCCCGCCGGCCCAGAGCCCACAATGGCAATACGGAACGGCCGCGTTGAAGCGACATTGCTATTCAGACGCCGAAGAGATTGCCACAGCGACACCGACAAGCGCCCAGCGGAGAGCAACGGCCGTCCACCAAGCTGGGCCGTGCAATGCGCACAAACGAAAGACGCTCTTTCCAGTCGCATGGTGCTGTCCGGAGAACAAAGCCGGTACCTGAAGAGTCACCCGCCGGTCTTATCGGAGACGTCATGTGACCCTTATCGGTAGTTGCCCGGACGACAATCAGCGGTGTTGACAGCCTCACCTCCTTCATTCCTCGCCGTTTTGTCTCTCTCGCGTGGATGCCATTCACTTCCAATCGCGAAAATGGGCAGATCGTCGCCTCCATTCCTTTACGATCGTCCCTCCAACTACAACTTTGATGGCCCTATCGGCCACTCTTTCGACCCCAGGGCCGTAACACGGGCGAGCTGGGCTCCCGCGCAGCTCAAGCCACAACCTGAAGGCCCGCTGATCAACTTCAACAACGGTCGGACACATTCGGTATGTACAAGTCGTTTGGATTTCAAGGGCAAGACTAATTGTGATTAGTACGTCAGTGTCGAGAAGCCAACATGGACGCCGATGAGTCCACACACCAAGACTCGAGTCCAATATGCGCGGTCAACACAGTTGGTTCTGCGGCTGGTGGCCTTTGTGGGCGCGCTGGGATCACTCTTCTGCTCAATTGTCATGACACATGTCCCGACTACGGTCATCTGGATCATTCGGGCTGGGGTAAGTGCTCACTTTGTTTATCGTGCTAGCTTCTCGCGCTGACTGTAGCATTAGCCCATCGTCGCGATTCTTCACACGATCTACGGAATCTACCATATGTCCCGCTCCGCTGTAACCAGACCACCCTTCTCACAGGCTAGCTATGGCTTGTTCGCTTCGACTCTGGATGCTGGACTGATCCCGTTCTATATCTTCACGGCATTCATGGCCCACGAGGAATGGGCAGACAACGCATACAACTGGGGCACTCTTTTCCAAAACGCGAGTTTTACAGTGGATTTTGCGGAAGCCATGTTCATTTGCGGCGCTGCTAACGCGGGACTGCACTTGATTTCATTCACATTGTCTATCTTCCTTGCGGTCATTTTCCGGAAGATCGCACATCTGCCCCCAGACATGAACCCGCTTGAGGACAATCTCACAGCTCGTCCTCGCAAGAAGCGCATTAGAGATGAGATGGCCGAAAAGCATATGAGTCAATCCACGCTGAATTCCACCCTCGAAGACCCCCTGATTGATCCTCCTCGCACTATACCCTTCATGCATACCCGAGGCCAGTCGTTGGGTAGTGATATGAATCATGAATTCGTGGATGTGACCAACAGTCGGCAGTCCCAGCCAGGCTTTTATACGAATCGACTATCAAACCCTGAGACGCTCTTCCACCAGCCAGCCAGCCAGCCATATGATCTGACCTCTGCGATCCCAGCGCCGGGATATGGCAATGTGACCATGCACTCTCCAGAATTCGTCAATCCTAGTACCCACACCCGCCAATTGACATCGCGTGCGGCCAATCGAACCGACACTGTAAGTCCTCTATCAGAGAACTGGGTGGCATATTCCGATCGCTCGCCGTCGCCAGTGAGTGAGATCTATAATGAAAAGACCACCGAGCTTCGTCAATCATCGTCCGTCTACAGCCGGAAAACCAACACGACCACCACGTCGAACGGCAGCGGCATTCGAGACTGGTTTGGATATGGCCGGAAAGCTAGTCTTGGAAGTGCCATTCTGGAGGACACTCGCGGGGAGTACGAGTCACTGGCGGTACAGGAGTATTATGGCAACGACGAAGAGAAGCGTGAGCAGGATCTAGGCGATCGCCGCATCAACATCTTCCCTGACCCAGAGGAGCATGACCGCGACAACGAAGATGATAGTCAAAGCAACCTCCGATTCAACCCACTCATGCTCAACCCACCAACACCCCAGCCTGTCCTGAGTGATACTGCCGAGAACACCGATCCGATTCGACGTGCCGCGCTGAGTGATAACCCGAACTTGTCTCACAACTCCAAGGCGCAAGTGCCTGTTCCCGATTTCGAGGATATTGAAGAAAAGAAGTCTTCACGGAAACGCAACAAGATGGCCGCATACCAATCTCTCAGAAAGAGCGACAGTGACGATGAGGACGAGCACCTAAGCACCAATGACACCTCGCCTGGCATCGCCGAGGGAGATCGCCAGGGCCGTGTCGTCAGTAACTCAGGTGCAGACACGGCACGCTTGGGCGTTGTGGCGGGTGTCGGAGCATCTCTGTCCTCGTATGGAAGCTACATCGCCGGTCTGGGCGTGGGTCGCCGCCGCGATGTGAGCGGCAAGGTCGCTGAAGAAGGACGCAGTGGTGCAGACAAAAACGAGAGTCCCAGCCCGAGTCCGACACAGAGCAAGGGCTCTGAACCCGTTCGAGCTGCTGGATGGGCACGATTCGCGGGACTGTGAGCAATTCGCGCAAGTTTAAGGATTCAGCGATGAGAAGGGTAATGGACTATTTTTGCTCATGGAGTTTGAGATTTTGAAATAGGGTTCATGAAGGCATGTAGCGAAATATTGGGCGGATTTGGATTTGATGGATTACAATTGGTTCTTGTACTTTGGGGGTTTGATTTACTTCTTTTTCTTGGTGTTTCATGATTTGACCTTGCTGTATGTATTTAGACAATTCAGAAAATCCAATCCATAATGGTAACATGTTGTACAAATAGCTTTTATTGTGACGGATTACGAGGGAATACCTTCGTACTCCCATCCCTCGATGATACGCTTCCGTCGTCTCGAGTTCCGGCGGTTGGCGTTGCACTTGATAAACACGGTCAAGGCCGTGATAATCAAAATCACAATCCCTGTAATGGCAGCAACCAAAACAGTTCGCCGCTCCAACTGCTGTGGATCAGCGGCATACGGACATTCGGCACCAGGTCCGCCCGAGACCCAACAGGATTCGACGTTAATAGAGTTGAAGTCGATATAAATATCGCGGAATGTGGGATCGGTGGATGCCGGATTGATGGCTGTCCTGTGTTCGGAAATTAGAGTTTCGTAGAGGTACGTGTTTTCAAGTCCTGTGCGCGGAACGGAGAAGACGGAGCCGGAGGGGCAGCTTCTCGCAATGTCCGAGTAAGATGCAGTGGAGTCAGAGAGGGTCCAAGAGAAAGGGGAATGGTCCACGCGGCAGGCGGCGCGCCGGACATCGCTGCAGTTGGTCGCGCGCCAGCGCCCCTTTAAGGACATATCCATGACGGCACATCGGTCGATTTGGGGTGCGTTCTCTCCTCCGGCGTACGCTGCGCCTCGAGGTTCGCCGAGGGCCCAGGCCCAGCTCGCCGAGAGGGAGACGTTGCGGTAGTGAGCGACGTTGGTGTCTGCGGTCTCGTTGAAGAGAGTCGTGTTGAGAACCGGCGATATACCACATGCCGTGATGCCGGAGATGGTGTTGGTCAATGCGTCCATTGTGTTCTCTGTGGACGAGCTATGGATGACTGGGAGACGGCTGGACAGTGCCCAGGATGAGTTGGCTTGAGAGACATTCACAGCGCCAGCATGGTAAAGGCATCCGGAGGTGACGCTTCCATTCTGCGATTGGGAAATAGGCACACTCGAGGTGAGGTAACCAGGAGGGAAGACGGAATCTTCGTCTTGAGACAGATCGTATGCCGACAGCTGTGGGTCCACGGTACCGTATTCGATCAGTACTCGATCGCGTTTGGCCAACTGGATGTACTTTGACGACGGCCATCCGTCAGGGGTGCTCTGTTGGCCCGACTCGTCTTCATGGAGTGTGTAGTACTCCATGATCGGCATGTAGCTCTGATCCACCTCGTACCAAGACTCGTTCAAATTGCTTCGGTCCTGAGCGAGCTCGGCTGGACTGTAGAGAAACTCCCGGAGAGTCAGCCCGAGGTATGAGCCGGCGCGTTCCGTCTGCGAGGATGGCAGTTGATCGCCGGAAATGGCAGAAGCGGGTTCATTCGGTGCAGAATCGCTGGCAGCCACATGCAGATTCAACACGAGATAGGTCGTGTACACTTCCAGGTCGGTGGTGGTGTCTTGAAAATATGTAACAAGCACTTCGGCCAATGTATATAGGTCCAGGTGATCTGTGCATCTATATTTTCCCAGCTCATAGACTGTGTCCCCGTGGGAGTCATCATAGCCTGTTCCGGATGCTTCCTCCGTATCAGATGTGGTTGACGGGGATTTTGCGACAATCGGTGTCGGAGTGGAGTCGGGGGAGACTTCGGGAGCAGCTCCAGCGGGAATGGTGACCGGGCAAAATGTCCATGTCCTCCGCTCTACCGACCAATATATGTCGAGAATGAGGCGTCGGTAGCCAACTGCTAGGAGATTGGAGATGCATTTCGCGGCGGCTTTTTCATCGTAGAAGTCATTGCCAAAGCAGGCGGCCGACAGGGTCACGGCTGGACTGGTGACGAAGTTGATAGGGATCTGGCCGGCGACATCTCGTTCGCTCTATTTAATTGCATGAGTGAGTTATCCCGTCAGCAAGCAAAAGCGAGCTGCGTACCAGCAGGACGGCCACCCAGGTAGCGTCGACGATGGTGGCCTCGGAATCATAGCCGACAGACATGGCGAGAAACCAGAGAAAGCCAGTCGCATGAAGGGCATTGCGACTGTACAAATTCGGGTGGTCATGTCAAGCCATCACTAAGTGAAGTTGCGCGAAAGACAAAGAAAGACGTAGGGGGAAAGAAAGCTAGGTCTTGGCCCGCGTCACCTGAGCCGATCTGGCCTCTTCGAGTTCGTTTGTTTCTTTCAACTTCTCAATCACACCTCGACCGTTTCCCTATTAATTCTCCCACCCCATATTTATTAATTCCCTCGCCATGGCGACTCCTCCCACACCTCCAGGCCAGCCGTCGCCCCAGCAGATGGCGGCCATGCAGCAACAGTTCGCCGCCGAGGCCGCCAAACGAGGGTTGACGCCCGAGGAATTCGCCAAAAAGCAGCGTGAACAGCTGGCTGCCGATGCCGCCAAACTCGGTCTCACACCTGAACAATACGTTGCGCAGCTGCGCATGCGAGCGATGCAGCAGGCACAGCAGCAGCAACAAGCCCAGCGCCAGGGTCAGGCGTCCCCACAGCCCGGAGCGCAGCAGGGCCAGTCGCCCGCTCCGCAGCAGCAGCAACCACAGCAGCCTCAGCAACACCAGGTGCCCGTCAATGCAGGCCAGCCACCGGATCCCAAAGCACTGGCTGTTGCCCACTTCCTGAAGTCGCAGAACCTCAAGCCGCGGACGTGTATTCTGGATGGACAGCGGAAGGACATGATCAAGGGTGAGTAGTCTGTTGTAGGTGTATATCTCACCAAGCTAACGTCTATGATAATCCACAGTCAAGCGAGCCATCCGTGCAATTGAATCCCCCGCCTACACCAAAGCAGCAGCGAAGAAGAACTCCCTGCTTCCGCCCGTGACAGACCGCGCCTCCGCCGAGAACGTGTTCAAGCTGCTGCCGATGTCCCTGCTAGCACTGCGAGTGAGCAAGATTGACCCGCACGAGGGCCACAACCACGCCAAGCCCAAGAACCGAACCAAGGGCCTGTGGACCGTGAAGATCGAGCAGCACCAGGAGACCGACCCAATGATGCACTATGTCTGGCTGTACGAGGGTCCGCAGTGGAAACAAAAGGCCATGGCGGCCGCTGTTGTGGCGGGTATCTTTGCCGTCGTGCTCTTCCCCCTGTGGCCTATCATGCTCCGTCAGGGCGTGTGGTATCTGAGTGTGGGCATGATGGGCCTGCTCGGCCTGTTCTTCGCCATGTCTATCTTCCGTTTGATTCTGTTCTGCATCACCGTCTTCGCGGTGCCGCCTGGTCTCTGGCTGTTTCCCAATCTGTTCGAGGATGTCGGATTCTTCGACAGCTTCAAGCCCCTGTGGGGCTGGCAAGAGGTCCGTTTATCTAGTGTTGTTCTCATTGCAAGGCTAACATCTGATAATTACAGAGCAAGAAGAGTAAAAAGAGCAAGAAGTCCAAGTCATCGATCTCCGCTGCCCCGGCCACTGCCACAGCTCCCTCGGCCACGACCACGTCGGCGGATACTGCGTCTGCCTCAGCCTCAGCAGCGGTGAGGCGGGACCTGAGTGCTCGGGTGGAGGAGGTGGAAGAGTAGATGCTGCTAGCTTGCGGGTTTGCCGGTACCAGGCGAATTGAAAGGGTATTCGTCTTCAAATATCTTCATTGGGTGTTTTTTGTTCTTATTTCATTCCAAAACGAATGCTTATTTCGGAGTTTCTATTGTGTATTATTTTCTTGATTCCTTCGTCATTGTGTGTCTTTTCGTCGGCCTGTGCACGGCATGGGCCATGGGTTTAGCGCTACAGTGAGAGCCATCATCAACTATATGGGTCAATTGAAGTATCTTGACTTGTATGAAAGCAGGAATCATATACTCTCCGTGGCACAGATTGCACTACAGTATATCCCAGGCATCCCAGAAAGGCCCTATTTTTTTGTAGATGTACATTCTAACTCCGCCCACTATATGCATCTTCTACTACCAGACAGAGACACCAGCCGGATCCCAAAATCATGTACATGGCCCGGGTAGGGTAACAAAAAAGAAAAAGCACAAAGATGTGTACACATAGTATCTTCTCAAAGACATAGGCAAGGAAAGCAATCGGGGGTATATATTGGTACACAGACAAACGACAAGGCTGAAAACAGCACAAGCACGAGAATATATGGATAGGACACAAACACAGAGGTGGGTATCGTGAGAAAGAGCGTAGGTGGAACTTCCGTAAATGAAAGGCTTCAAGACGATAAGCCATGACAAGCTATGCAGGCGAGACTCGCTTCGGGGTGTATCTGAGTGAACGAGGGTACAAAGAGAGGCCAGAGTAGACCTGGCTGGAAGCATGATTGGCTGAAATCATGGGACGTAGGACAAGTGTATCATCTTAGCCTAGGAGAAGCGATTTTCGGCCCGGACATGAAAGTGCTTTTCCGCTGATCAACACGCTCGCGTACGTCCGACAACCCGTAGAACCGATCCTGCGGCGGCGGCGGACTTGAGGACCACGGTGCCGGTGCCTGCGCCTGCGCAGAAATAGGCGAAGGGATCTTCGGGAGCGGGCAGTTAGGAGGCGGAGCGGCGGGGGGGCCGACGAGCAAGCCCGGCATGCTCTTGCGGCGTGACACGCTCTGTGCCTGGCTTTCCGCATAGAGAGCAGAGCCGCGGGGCCGGGGAATTGGCTCTGGAGGAGGAGAAAGGGTTTGAACCCGTGTTTCGCTGTTGACTTGGGGTTTCATGCCTGGACGCATCACCACGCTGACAGGTCGCTGGGTGAAGCTGCTGCTGGAGTCTGGTGACCCCGGCGCTGTGGATCGAGGTACCCGAGAGAAATTTGTGGGGGCATGAGAAGAGCGTAAAGTCTTCGTCAGGGCGTCTTCAGAGCTGGACGTTCGTAGTGTGCGTCGGCCGGCCAGATCCCGGGACATCAGGGGGGTTCCGTTGAATCGGTATGCCGTGAGCTGGCAATACTAAATGTGGGAGACTGAGGAGGGGACGAAGAAAATGTGGAGGCAGGGAGAAAGCCGGCAGCAGAAGAGGGGGGTGAAAACTGATTGATGGGAGTCGGGCCCGGTCTTGCAACGAACTTTTTGCTGAACGATGGGACACTGAAGTTTGGAGCTGGAGGCGAGGCACACCGGATCAAGGTGTCCGGGCGAGGAGTTGTTTGGGAAGCATCCACGGTTCTGGGAGTAGGTGTGAATTGGCCGTAAGGGGACCCGAGTAACGATTGACGTTTACCCTGGACGGACGAGGATGGGCTGCGAGGGTTGGTACGATCGATCTCCACGAGACGATCCTCTGCAACGGGAGAGCTGGGACCAATTGGGGAGGTAGGATTTGCAGATGTGAACGAGGGAGTGCGGGGATCATTAGAAGTAAATGAACCCGCACCATTCGTAGGCGCTGTAGCCTCTGTCGGACCAGTGGATACTGACGAAACGTCGACCATCGAGCGGCGAATGTCCGACATGTATGAGTTTGACCGAGACGGTAAGGTCAACCCTCCGACAGACTGAAGGTCCTCCTCCTCTTCCCGCATCTGAGGTTGAAGGAACACGCTGGAAACGCGGTTCGGATCCTTCTGCACGATCTGGCGCACGCTGGATCTGGGACGCAGCTGCGGCGTGAACTCATCCTCGGAGTGCTTTTCCGTAGGAAGCTTGGGCCCTCCGCGAGCCTCGATCTCGGTGCGGATCGCCATCAGCCAGGAAATCATGGCGTCAGGGTTGTCGAAAACGAGGAGCATGCTTCGTGTAAATCGGCGCACTTGGGATCGTTGGAAGAGTGAGAACCGGGACTTGGAAGGTTCAGGGCCCGGAGGTGTGGCAGCATCTGCCGCTGGATTCTGGGAGATCTGAACCACCCAATGTTTGCCGGGGATGGCATCGCTGGCAAATGCCACAGACTGAGGGCCGAGTTGGAGCATTTTCTCGGGGAGTCGATCATGTTTCCCTTGCGCCCCATACTGAAGAATGAAACCGGCAGTTGCGAGCACAAAGATTTTACGCGACCACTCCACCTTGTTCATCGTGCTCGAAACCGTCCGCTGGTGCTTTCGTTCTCTTTGCTCCTTTTTACGGTCGTCTCCACTGCGGTTATCATCCACAGTGCCTTTTCCAGCCGCCGCATTGAGTCGTAGAATCGAGTCCGCGGACAGCGCGGGTGCTGGAAGACATTCATGCTTGATAGACTGTGGATACGCTTGGAAGAGGGGTGGAGGCTTCCAGCCGTACTGCTCCTGCGAGGGCGGCTTCTGCTCAAAGGTTCTCGCGCGAGGCGACTTGAGTGTGTTGCGATGACGTTTGTGTTCGACCTTGTGCTCGACGATCGGGGAGGTCAGACCTGGAGTGGAGGTGGCTGTCCGGGGAGTTGGGCAGGGAGGCGACGACAATGGAGCTTCCGACATGGAGACCACCTCCAGGTCTGGTCGTTCGGCCTCGTCGATTTCGGCTAGCTTGCTATCGAGCTGCGGCGCGGCGGCCTGCGAGCTCTTATCACGGCCACCAAAAAGACCACGCAAGCTGGTCTTGGAAGTTTGGCGTTTCGGCTGAAGCGGGACTCGAGGAGCCTCAGGGCCATAGTCGGAGTCGGTTGGTCGAGCACGGCGTAGTCGCGAGGATGTAGGTTTGGCGGGCTGGCCGGCCGTTGGGCGACTGAAGTTGGTCTGCAACGGGGCAAGATGATGTCCTCTGCGTTCGCCGAACGATTGCGAGACAGGGGGGTCGGCAGTCATGGTGGGCGATAGAATTGGCGACCCCGTCAATCACCGGAGATAGATCAATAAATAGGGCACGGATCCTCAGGGGAACGTGGGAGTTATCTGCACGACCGTTGAGGGCCGCAGCGTCACGTCATGGTCGCTGCGAAGAAAGGCCTGTTTGGACAGTTGGAGCACAGAAGGGGAAAGTCCAAATTTCATTCAGGGGAGAGAAAAAGAGATGAGTGTTTCCATCCCGGCTAAGACGAGACTAGGGGGGGACCGGGATCGGGGGACGAACAAGAAAACCATCAATTCTGGCCCCCCTGAGAATCTTGAAATGATCTCCTGAACCGGAGTGTCGGGGCGGATGGCTGGTACACTATTTTCATTCTGATTAACTATTCCCACACAACTCCTACAATCAACATTTCTGTCCCTGTCCGGCTTCCACGGCCCTCATCAGCACTGCTCCCTGGTCGCAATGCCGGGCCATTGCCGTATCCTTGACCGTTAGGCCGCGCGGGTGATGCGTCGTCCAGTGGACATCCACCGAGCCGATACGCTAGTTGCGTCAGCCTCTGACCGTTTAATTATGCTGCGGGTCACAACTTACGACGGTTATGGTCGGATGGTGCTTCTTGACCGCGCTCTCCGAGGCAATCAGATTCACAAACGACTGGAAAAGAAGGGCTTAGCGGCGAGGTTGCCCCCGGTCGGCCAACCAACAATCACAATCACGTACCACGGCCTTGAAGTAGCTCTTGAAATAAAATGTCTTGGTCAAGCCAAGGGCGTCGGCGTCCAGCGCCCACCCGCCCTGCAGCAGGGCCTGGGTGTCTTGTCCGAGCTGGTGCGGGTCTTCGCCTTCCGCAAACCGGGGAGTGGCGGTAGCCTTGGAGAGGGGACGAGTGAAGGTAATCGGACGAGCGACAGAAGAAGAGAAAGATCTCGAGCACAGACGCCGCGCGGAGAGAGGAACCCTGATCATGATGATGATTATGTACAGGTTCGTTCTGGTGGTTAATCGCCGTCACTCGTCGGACAAGGGTTTGGCGGTTCACGTGCACGGGCCACCATAGTAAACACCGAGGACCATCAACGAAACATTGGACATCATTTTGGGATAAATATATATTGATAGAGGTGATGGAGCTGACTGCAATTTCGGCAGATAGGAGGGAAATGGTCGGCTATATATTCAGACACTCCGTGGCGCGAACGCACTATACGAACGGGAAACATATATTATCCGTCACTAGAGAAACCAAGTGCCATTGAACCCTTTTGACCGGACCTTGCAGTAGACACAGGACAAATGAAGCTGAAAAAGGATACCAGGGTAGGAATCCATCATATTATAGTCAATTCCCTATGGCCTAGAATCAAACCCCACGGGGTCGGAATGTGGAGGATTGGCACCGGAGTTTCCTAAAAGAAGCTGCATACCGCTGGACTGACGACTCTTGTCCAGGCCAACAAAGTAGAGATACGGATTGTCAAACTCTGATACCGTGGGAGATAAACATCGAGTCAGCTCTTTGCCCCAGTGTTCTTCCTCTTCTGGGTGTGTTCCGGTTCTCAGGCGGACAAAAGAACGCGGGCTTGTTTCTTCATAGGCTGATCCTGTTAGATTGACCGAGCCAGAACCATATAACACACGGCGGCATGCTGTATTGCAATGGGATTGAATTCATCTGGTATAATGGCGGGGGTTGATATCCAAATCCAAAAGGTCCTCTGTTCATGGAAGGAAGCCTAGGTAGAGTCCCATATAGACCGGCACACAATAACTATTATTATCATCATCCCCTTTGCCAGAAGAGAGCCACAGCATCTGCAAGGGTTTAGTATTCACATACGTCCGCCTGCATGAGAGCTCTGTCTTGACCCTGCAGTACAGCTGCAACCGAACACAACAATTGCAGTTGACTCTGAGACATACCGATCTAGGCCGTGCCCTCAAGGAAAGGGTTGAGGTAACCTCGATGAGATGTGACCCAAGACCAAGCCACCAGGGCAAGACAACACCAGATAGCGCTTTTCTGCACCTATCACGCGCACGCCAGGTGATGGGGTACCACCGCGTCCGGAGCGATAGGAGATTTGACATTTCCCCCATCCGGACCTCTCTTGGACTCTGCACCACCGGAACCGGTGCTTGATAGGGAGAAGGCCACCCTGTGGCTGTGTGGCGCATCGCGCATAGACCCTCAGGATTGTGGAGGGCTCATTCGGCAGGATCTCCAGGTCGTGGCTCAGTCCGTTCGATCTGAGTGGGGGTCCCAAGTTGACTTTTAGGTTATATCCGGAAAAGGAAAGTGTCTACAATTTTGGAAATCTGGGTTGAGCAAAACGCAAAGAAATTTCACTTGACCACTGGGTAAAAATACATAATGGCCGTAGAAGAGAATCGCATGGCAGCGAAAGCTCTAGAAGACACAAATCCGCCATAAATCCTGAAAAAGCAACAACAGCAAAGAAAGGGGTATTAATGAAAACAAACACTCCCCATTCCCGAACCCTCACACCGAAAGAATGCATTCAGCGTAAAACCCTTGCGGGGAGGCTAAGCCTGCTGATCAGGAAAAGAAAGCAAAAGCCAGCAACACGCCCAGCGCATTTAGCATGCGGGTTAAAAAAAAACATACAAACAGGAAGAAATGGAAACTTAGATCACCCTTTTAAACCAGCACGCAATCTCCTTCTTTCTGAACCATACACCATTGTTGTTTTCTTGCGCCAGCCCTAGGCAGGTTGGGCGCGTAAACAGATCAGCCTCTTATACGTCGACGCTGTTGCGACGCGAATTGGCACGGGAATTGGCACGGGAATTGGCGCGGGAATTGGCACGCGAATTGGCACGGGAGCCAGCGCGGCTGCCACCCATCTGCTGGATGCGGAGGTCCTGCTGGGAGCGCGCGTACGAGTGGGCTCGAGACACATCAGGGACCTTGGAGACGCGACGACCCTGTGCTCCCAACTCATGCTGAGCATCCGCCAGCTGCTGAGCGAAGGGCGAGCGCTTGCGCAGAGTAGGACCCTTCCAGTAGATAACGTAGACGGCGACGACGAGGGGAACCGCAATGCAGAAGAGGATGGTCGAGGCGTATTCGAGATGGAGCTTGCCACCGATGTCTATGAAGAGAGAGGTTAGCATGATAAGAAACACCCCATACCCGGGATATACTGACTGGTAAAGAAGGGAGTCGCAGGGATGGTCAGAACACCAGCCAGGAAGTCACGAGCCCAGCCATTGCCACCAGTTGCAGATGCCGAATATGGACCGTAGGCACAGATCATGTAGTCAATGGTGGCCATGTAGATCGAGTAGTTGGCAATGCCAATCAACGCAGCAAAGATCATGGTTCCGATCCAGTGGCACTGGGGAAGGCTGGTCCACGCGAAGCCGATCAGGCCAATCGGCAGAAGGGGCGCAGTGTAGAGCAGCCACCAGAGACGGGACTCGTATTGCGCACGTTCGCTGTGAGGGTTGTCGCGACGCTCTTTGATGTTGCGCTTAATCACGGGGATGAATGAAAACCAGGCGATGAAGTAGCCGACCAGAATTGGGATGAACGCCAAACCCTTCTGCCAGGTGTTGAATCCCCACTGGCCGTACACCAGAGAAAGAGACTGGACGAACATGAAAATCAGAGCGTCACTGAAACCAGAGAGCAGAGAGAGACACAGAACGATGGGCTCCGTGAGGAACATGCGGAAGGGTCGGACCCAGGTGTAGATGAGTTCCTTGGGCGGGAAGCGCTCCCGGAACGAGATTCCCTCAGTAGGACCGTAGATGTTAGGGTTCTCCCCCGACTTGCGCATCTCCTTCGCGATGTTGTTCATCATGACGGTGCTCCGGGTCTCAGGGACAACAAACCAGTGCATAGCTTGGACAACAGCACCAAAGATTAGCTGAATCCAAATGCACCATCGCCAATCAGGAACAAAGGCCTGAACAAAACCACCGACCACAGGGCCTAGCACTGATCCACCGACAGACGAGAACACAACACAGGCCACGGCGTACTGCTGGGAGTCAGCCTCCCACAGGTCAGCGATCATGCCGAGAGTGACCGATCCACCAGCAGAGGAAAGCCCCCCGAGGGCACGGCCAACCATCAGCGTGGCAAAGTTGGGTGCAAAGCCGACCATAAACTGAAATACATTCACAAGGAACAGGGATGCCTGGAGGATGGGCTTTCGTCCGAGTTCCTCAGACCACGGGGCCCAGAGCTCACAGCCGAAGGCGTACAGCACGAGAAAAATCATCGCACCACAACGGGCGCCCTGCATAGAAACGCCGAACTTCTCAGAGATACCATCCAGCGCATTGGAATACAGCGAGGTGTTGAAGTTCATCGAAGTTTGCACGGCGAAAATGACCATGATGATGGCCCACTTGCGCGCTTCGCTGAAAGAATAACCAAGCTTGTCGTAGCACTGGTCCTCAGTCAGGTACTGACGGCCATCGGGGCTCGTATTCTCCAGCTGCGCCGCTGCCTCAGACTTCTCGTCCTTCTCCTTCAGAGACACGTCGACGATGGCATCCGCTTGAGTGACGCTAGAGGTCTCAGACGCATGAACAGCGTCCATGGTGGGACTCTGTTTCTTCGGGGTGCTTGCAGCCATGATCTAGAAGGACATGTTAATGAGCGTTCGTGAGGGTTTCGTGACGATCTCGTGCACGTGGACGCTACATACCGTGAGCCGATCGGTGAAAACGGCAGGTGTTACTCAAAACGGTAAAGCGGCTGAGGAAGACACAGAGTAAGGGAAATGGGAGAACAACCGAAGACTACGGAAAACAGTCCACTGTTGTGAGGATGGGGGTGGAAGGGAAAGGGGAGAAAGAAGGGAAAGAGAGAAAGGAAGAAAGGGTGGGGGGAGGAAACAACCAGGGCTCGTGGGTTTGATTATATAGGGACGCCGCAGCCAGCGAACAGAACAGGGCAGGTACGATGCAACAGGAACAGGGCCAGTGAGAATGCTCCTACATCGCCCCGCCCCAAGACTTCCTAATTGGTCTCTCCAGAGTCTCCACCGACTACTTTTTTCTACGCTCGCTGTACACTTTCCCTTTACTGGTTCCCGGGATGCCGAACAACCGTCCGGTAGGCTGTGGATTGCCCACCTACCCACTTGGTTTCGTCACGCCCCGGACTGGCCCCCATGCTCTAAACCCCCAGATGGAACGGACTGGAGTGATAAGGCGCACGCATGGCGCTCGTTCTGGAAACTCCAGGAGTGAAAGTTCCCAATCCTGCAATCGTTCGCCGCCTCCTCTACGCGCATAACCTCCCAATCCGCCCCAGGATGACCTCCGCCGAAACGGGCTTTAGCCCCATGGGAAAAGTCCCGCATTGGGTGGTTCCACCTGGAGAAATGGAGAAAACGATGACTGATGACTGATGCGTGCTTCGGTGTGCGCCAGTCGAGAAGAGACCGAGTACCACCCATGGCACCGTTTTAGGCCAGGAATGTCCGCATCGGGCATCGCAGTCATGGGCGATAACCATGCTCGGATCTATCTACCTGGTTTGCACAGGCGCATGCAACAGTGGAACCGACAGTACACCCAGATCGATCGGGGCTACCATGCTTTTTTTTTGGCTGATCGACTGGCACGACGCAAGGAGTCGGCAGTCTTTACCGAACATCCCCGGATCGCATGGCATTGACAGGACACCCCACTACATAGTCGATGAAGAATGACGCACCAAATGTCCTCCAACATCGAATCCTGCTGTGAGGGCCGACTGGTTCCTGATCTCCTGGGGCGATGTTGTCCAAGATTTGCATGTTCTCGGGCCACCCATGGCTGACGTCAGGGTCGACGGGCCCGGGCCTATCAGAGGCCCGGGATGTTCAGGGATGGCCGGGGGCCAGCCCGGGCGTGGCGCTCTGGTGATCGTCATGCCGGTAGGGGCTGAAGAGCCTGTTCCGACGCGATGATCATCATCGTCATTTACACATGGCGGAATCCATCGTGTGTCTCGCCATGATGATGATGACTGGACACCAATTCCTTTGTTCTCCACAGTCCCCCACCCTTTGCCCTCCTTGCTTTCCAGAAAACTGAATCGAAGCCTGTCAACCATACGACGCATGGGAGGCTCGATCGCATTTGTCTTGCCACCCCCATGCATCATAATAGCCTGAGGGCTTTGCGTGAGCTTCGTTTGTCTCTTCTGTTTATTTTGGTTCATTATTCCGACTCCAATTGAGGACCGAAGAGAAAGCTCTGCAACAAAGTTTTCTTGGGGTCCACCAAGTTGCATTGTTGTCGAGGTGGATCACTGCCTCCAGGCCGTTTTTCCCTCATACACCCCCCGAGCTGGGCGTGTGTGGCCATGCACTATAGTAGGAGGGTTGCCCTGAACCCTAACCATGGGAAACCGAAAGTTTCGACCGACTCTACCAATGGTTGTTGTCTGTACCAGGAGCCCGCGCCATAATAGCATTTGCGCCACCCGCAGCCATCCGATGACGCCGGCCACCCAGGCCAGCGGATGCCGCCTTGTAGGATTATCTTCCTAGTCTGTCATTCCCTACGGCGTTGAATCGTCATACCCAAGGACGAGAGATATTCGCCGGTGGCTGGTGAGTAGGTAACACGATGGCATCGAATTTCGAAGGCTGTGCCACCTGAACTCCATCCATCCAGCGTTCCATCCCTTGGCAATGCCTCAGGCTACCACACCCTGTTCGCGGGAAGTCATGTGAACCCCCGGCCTCCTGAGTCAGCACGATTGATGCCTGAGGCTTCGGCCGCAACCAAACTCGCGCGTCACCGCCATCGACAGTACTTGGTTGCCTCGTCCCACGCAAGTTCCTCAACATGCCACCCGATCTCAACTCGCTTCCTCCCTCCCGTTCTTCCTCGTCATCCTCATCTCTCCCGCACCGTAACATCCCGCAACCTGTGTCGCCCGGAAGCGGTTCTATCGCGATGAACGCCAATACATCTCCTCGCCCGTCCCGAGCGTCCCCGAGTGTAGGCCGACTATCGGTCTCTGAGCGGCGCCGGTCAGCGGCAGGCATGAATCTAAACCTGAACGAGTCGGGCACTGGCCCGAGCAACAATGGCGATGTCCCGCTGACGGACCACCGGTCCTCTATCGGCCAAGCTTTGCGAACGGCCAGTCCCTCCAGCCACGGAGGAAGCCCGATCTTTGCAACCGCCGACCCTCATCACCAACGAGCCCCATCACTAGGAGAGCTACATCAAGAACTGGAGCAGGAGCAAGAAGCACAAGTGGTGGGTTTTGGGCCCTTCAATAATCAGTGGAACACACTTCTTAACGATTTATCTTTGTAGAATCGTCTGTTGCAGATGATCCGCAGTCAGCAGACCCAATTACAACAACTTCAGAATCAGCAACAACAAAACCCACAGTCTGCCCAATCCGGGACAGCCGTTGTGGACGATACCCCGCCGTCGGAGCGGTCGGCCTTCTTTCACCCCATCCCCCCACCTGCAGGGACCAGCAACCGGCCCTCAATATCCTCCGTCTCCAATCGCCGGTCATCACGAACGTCGAGCCAAGCAACATCCCCGAACTTGCGACCGTTGGATTCCTCGCGGGGACCAGAAGCGGTAGAAAATCTCCCCGCGGCGCGCGAGAGCGTGTCTCGGCGGGGCAGCCGTGATGAAGGTGCATACTACCAGGCCGAGGCAGCGATGCTCAGTCGAGAAAACCAGATGCTGCGGCAGAGGATTCGAGAATTAGGTCAGTGGAACCCTGCTCTTGCGTGATTGTGAATTACGGCGAGAGGCTGTCGGAGGGACAGCGCACCGGAGCCAAGTCCGTTATATTTCTGTGGACCGCTGGATACTGACTCGCCTACAGAACGCCAGATTAACGACCTCACAACATCGTCTTCCGCTACCCGGCCAGAAGTTGCGTCTGGGCAAGCGGGACCGGAGACTGGGGATCCACCGGGCGCAGGATCAACAAGGAAAGAGTGAGATTAGGCCCCACGGACTGTTCACGTCGCATCGGAACATCAGAGCTTGGCACTGCATGTTGAAGCTCGCCGGATCGCCAGGAGAAGGGTTTTTTTTTGTCTTGATATTCTTCAGGAAGTGATTTTCAGCGTAAGTGCCGGGCATGCGAAGGGACGCTCTGCCGCACATACATTTACTTCTCTTTTCCCGGAGCGGCTTCACGAAAGGCAGTGGGGATGCCGAGAAGTTCCTATTCTCTTTTGGTAATATATCTCGGGAGCGGGACATTCCTACATCTTGCTTGTTCCCTGGTTCGTGTACGGAGTATCCCTCGAAGGATTCAGCCCAGTCAGATAGCCCTTCCCGCGTGCAGCGCTAGACACACCAGGCGTCCAGTCTGAGCAGTGCCGGGCCTGTTCTCACGCAGTCGAGGTCCCCCAGCCACTGCGATGATTTGGCGGCCGATGCAGCAAAAGCGACGCCGCGAGTAGCACTGTGCATTAGGGCTAGAATAGGGACCAGACCCGGTCGAGGCGATAGGCGAGCAGCTGCTGTGATTCGAGGAGATGCGTCCGAGGACCCTGGCAGGGTCCGGGTAATAGGTGATGGTGATCCCCGCAGATGGGGAGCATAGACTAGTCAAGGATTTCGTCGAATCTGCTCGTCGGATGTCGTGACGCCCCGCCAATGAGAGGTCATATGAGGTTATGAGGTCAGACCGCGATGTGATAGATGCATACGCGGGGAATGTTTACTTGAGCTATAAAAGCGTCGTCTCGTTTCTTTCGTATTCGCTTTTCCCCCTCTGGAGCTGCTAGTTCTAGGTATCAGACATTTGACCAAGTAAAACCCTTAAGCTCAAGATGCACCTCACGAGTCTTTGCTTGTCTTTGGCTCCGGTGGTAGCCCTATTCGGGGACTATGCCTCGGCAGCCAGCAGCTCGCGTCCGAATGTGTTGTTCATCATAACGGACGACCAAGGTAAATGGCTGAGATGGCCTAAATTGTGCAATATTGACTTCATTTAGACCTGCTCATGAACTCCATGGACTATATGCCGAACGTCAAAAGGCTCATCGGGGAAAATGGAGTGACCTTTCCCAAGCACTACTGCACAAGTGCATTTTGCTGTCCGTCACGAATGAGCTTGTTTACGGGGAAATGTGTCCAGTAAGGCCCAACGCCCCGGTCTATAGATTCTCATGCTGATATCGACAGCAACACCAACATTACCGACGTGGCTGTCCCATGGGGTAGGACATTCATTCACTCTTGTCTGCAAGGAAACATGCTGAGTCTTGCCAGGTGGCTATCCAAAGTTCATTACGCAAGGCTTCAATGAAGACTACCTGCCTCTCTGGCTACAGGAGGGAGGCGTGAACACATACTATGTGGGCAAATTTTCCAATGCCCACAGTGTCACCAACTACCTCGACCCTCCATGTGCAGGATGGACTGGCAGCAAGTATGTTTAGGAGAAGAGCCCGGCGTTGCCTTGTAGCATTACTGACCGATATAGCTTTCTCCTAGAACCTGGTGTGTACGACTACCTCAACACCTCATGGGCGAAGGATAATGGCCCTTGGAGCTTCTTCCTCGGAGAACACGCAATCAACGTCACTACCAACCATGCGCTGGATATGCTGGACACCGCTGTCAACGGCGGAGAGCCTTGGTTCCTCACCGTGGCGCCTGCAGTGCCTCACGTTGGGATCAATGCCAGTAACGGGGAGGTATACTTCCCGATCGCACAGCCCGAATGGGCAGATGCATTCCCAGATGCGAAGGTCCCACGTACACCGAACTGGAATCCCACGCAGGCGAGCGGTGCGTCGTTTCTCCTGGATCTTCCGTACCAGAACCAGACGATTGTGGATGAACTGGATGAGCTCTACCGCGCGCGACTTCGGGTCGTTGCTGGACTGGATGTTATGGTCAGCCAGTTGGTCGAGGCATTGGATAACTATGGCGTGCTTGATAACACGCATATTATCTACACCACCGACAACGGATACCACATCAGCCAGCACCGTCTGGGATGCGGTAAGAAAGAAGGATATGAGACCGACATTAACATCCCCTTCTTATGGCGCGGACCCGGTGTGCCCAGAAACGAGACTAGCAAGTCTGTATCGACGCATACCGACCTTGCCCCGACATTCTTGAAGCTATTCGGGCTTCCACAACGAACCAGGCTGGATGGACAGATCATCCCGCTTACGAATGAGAGATCCGCTCGAGCCACCGAGCACGTCAACATTGAGCTCTGGGGCGCCGCAGCCGTATATGAGACCAAGGTATTCAGACAAATTAAACTGCCCGCAAACGTGAGCAACAACACCTACAAGGGGCTCCGTATCATCGCCGACGACTACAGTCTGTACTACTCAGTCTGGTGCACAAACGAGCACGAGCTCTACGATATGGTGAATGACTACTACCAGATGGACAATCTGCTCTCCGATACAACAGACATTAGCAACGTACCCTCAGGGACATACCTTGACCGCCCACTGAGCGACGTTGTCGCGCGCCTCGATGCCCTGATGATGGTGCTGAAGACATGCGTCGGGATAGAGTGCACAAAGCCCTGGCTCCAGCTTCACCCTCAGGGTAACGTCCAGAGTTTGCAAGATGCGCTGGATGACAAGTATGATGATTTTTATCGCGCCCAGCCTCATGTGTCTTTCAGTGCGTGCAAGATGGGTTATCTTACCGAGTATGAGGGCCCCACGGGTGTTATGCAGTATGGCGGGGATTCTTCTTATGGGTATGGCCAGCAGCAATCTCTGAATCGGATGATGGTCTAAGCTTGGAACTGGACAATTTGGGGTTGGACATCACGCTTGGAGTAGCTGCTCGCCGATGTTTGACCTTTGTATGTATGGATCGGAGAACTTCGCTCCCTAAATGAGCATGAACATATATGATTAAGTATCAATGCTGAAATAATCTCAGATTAAGAGTTGTGACTTAAAAGAGCATTATCTGCCGTTCAAACTCATTCCAATCCGTCTCCACGGCACCTGTTATAGTTAATCCGTCACTGCGATCTCAATTGCGCGAATGAACTAGTTATTTGTTGCAGTTTACAATAAACAAATATTACCTTAGAGCACAAACATAGCCACAACAGCTGTCGAAGAGAGAAATAGGGCGACGAACGTCTCATCTCAGGAATGTCAATTCTAGCATCCCCACCGATTCAAGGGTGAACATAAAGTGACTATCACCGCTTCACTGGCGCCGACAGTAACCAGTACATGTCCATCCCAAACTAACGCTTCTGTGTATCTTTGGTGTACGGCTTGCCCAACACCATCGTTTGCGTAGGTCCACGTCTGCCCGGCCCAATAGAAATCGCTGGTAGCGCTCGCTCCACCAGGAGAAGTCAAGGTAGAGATACGGACAGATCGGATACCGTCAGGGACTTTTAAATAAATTTTCCGAGTAGGACGCTCGCCATCGCCCGTGTTCCACACCTCATAATTCATGATGGCAATGCGTTTGAGGTGATCATACTCATAGCCGGCGTAGGCAGCAAGCAGATCGTCATTCGATTGAATTTCACTCACTCGAAAATTACTTGAGCCGTTCATAAAATCAGCAACGAGGAGGTGGCCATAATATGGTGCGATAACCGCCGGCTCAAGATCATCATAGGCTACTGGGTGCCAAGCGGCATAGCCGAATGCCATGCTCAATTGCATATTGACGCGCGTTACGTTCTATATACCCTCAAATCGTTAGCTGTTATCGTAATTGAATTGGAGGAAAGTCCGAGTCCTACCAATGACATAGTGTATAGTAAATAATCGGCGGTCCACAACGCAGACCCGAAAATCCCTTCGGATTGATCCAGGGATCCCCCGCCGTCACGGAAGCGGCCAACCTCACCAAGCACTATCTGGATTTCCGGGAAATTTGTTTTCATGTATTCAAAGTCAGAAAGAAAGGCATTATCCACACCGCTCGTGACAAAAGTGTGGTTCATGAGAGTTTCTGCTCTGTTATCAACAAACACGCCATGAACTGTCAGGCGAAAACACTGACCTTGCAGAGTGGTGGTTGTATTCGTGTACTCGTAACTGGATGACATTAGCGGCTGTCAACAAGGGAGACAGAATATCTCGCGTACTGGTGTAAGGAGACCGATTTGACTCGGTTGCCTTGTGTGATGCCATCCTCGAACACCGCTTGTCTAGTTCCGTTAGAGAGTGATACGAACAAAAAAAGAGAGAGGAAAACCCACGCGGTCCACGGCGGCACCCTAGCCGATGACAAGGCCATCGTCTGGAAAATCGGCCAGGCCGGCAGATTTAATGCATCCGTGAGAAATTCCGCATAGTCCAAGAACTCAACGGTGTAATTCTGCGGTCCCCATCCGGCAGGGCGCATACCCTGGCCGATATAATGGTCTATCTCATTGCCAATTTCCAGGGCATCCAGGTTCTGGAAGCCTATCTGGTCGACTGCAGCGCGCCCCTGATCAAGAGAGTCCGTATGGTTTTGGTTGGCAAAGGGGATATCATAGACCCAGCGGGTGTCGGGAAAATTGCCGAAGCCTTCATAAAAATCAGGCCCCAGGACGAATTTCTGCTGGACGCCACTTCCCTGCATTGGGGGTTCGATAGGGCTTGTTTGGGCGGGGTTGAAATTGGAAAAGTCCCTTTGAGCACTTAGAGGAAATCGAGTTAACGGTTAAAATGACTTACCCATTTGTCCCACCGACGCGAATAACCAAAGGGCCCCCTGTGCGCTCTTCGATTGCACGGACTAGGTTGATAGAAAAGGTATTGGGATGCGAGGCATTGCCTAGACAGGTTCTTAGTATGTTCAACGACCATGTGAGGAATTCACGCACCTGAATAGGCCGGAAATGAGCTGACTTGAATCGCAAAACTAGGGAAAGACGGGTCAACCAGCTGAGATGCGCCAATAGGCACATGAGCTTCTGGAGCGAGGGTGTATGGTTGACTGCTGGAGAGAGACACCTCCGTGAGGCCGAGGGCAAGAGTCGGATCCATCTCGAAAGGTTGGATTTCTCCGTCTGTTTACAATAAGACTCGCTCCCAGAGTACCTGCTGACAATATTTCTGGCCTTATATATGTCAACAAGCAAGCTTCACGGATAGACACAGCGTGATTGGGCTGCAGCGTAGTTGACTCCGCAATACGCTACTCATATTGCGTTTCTGCGTGGTGGATTTAGCGGGCGAATTGGATTCCGAGTTCCTTGCAGAAACGAATCATTATTGCAGTCAGGTGAAGGGGTCGCTTGATGCCCCGCAGAGACAAACTGCACGCGTGCTTGCCGAGATCCGCTCGACAATCGGCTATTTAGGTTAGTTTGAGACGATCAAGTTGAAGTACATTATGGGGTCGACCCTTAGTAGTACCGTCATCCAAGACAGGCTAATATTGTTAATCTCACCTCTTTGCAATAACCTTCCCGCAATGGCGTCTTAAGGTGCAACCATTCAGCGAGATCCGTACCTCAGAGCGACACAGCCTGGGCGATCAGCTGATGACTTGTCAGCCGTGACCTGTCAACCACGAATATTAGTTACCCTGTAGAGCTGATATCTTGTCATGACTTTTTTTTTGCCTACCGGTACATTTTGGTCGATCTATCTTATCAAGGCTATGACTGTAAATCCGAGATTTGCTCCTGAACGAGGGATACTGGGGCAAGCAAGCAAGGCCAATCTGTGGCCTTGCGCAAGGGATACTTTGAGCGGTCAGAACACTACCCCTGCGAGGGACGGATGCGATACAAAAATGTGCTTGGAACAGTGAAACTTCTGGCTTTTCGCAGTGTTCTTCTCTCCGTGATATTTTTTTTGCAGTGAGATTCGGCGCTTTGAAAACGACCCAGTTAGTTAAGAGGTCAGCTATTGCAGTGGACCAAAGTGCGCGACCGTGCCATTCAAATCCGGACATGCCCCCAAAACTCGTGGTCAAAAGCAGCACCACGAAAAATCTACAGCTGACCGCGATCGCAGTACATATGGAAAATCCTCGGGCCGCTGGTCGCACAAAGAAGGGACTCAGCCACTATTGCCATGACAGTGACAGCACATCCATTTACCCAATCGAGAATGACGTTATGGAAAGAGTTCCGATTAGAATTTCGACAGACCCAATGCGGCGGCAGATGAATCCGGTCATCCATGGATTGCGCCATTGGAAATTGTAAGCAGCATAGCGATTATTAACCAGTCCGACTAACGTTATGTTACTCACGCCACACCTCATTATTAATCTATTCTTATCTCCGTCGGAGCCATCCGAGGCGAATCACAAGTAGTTAATGGATCCTTTCGATCTCTGGGCGCATCGGGATCGGGGCAATTCAACGGGCCATGTTAGTCTCGACTTGGTAAATGGTCCAATCATCTACACTGTTCAATGAGTCAACCTGCATTGAGAAGTTTCGATGCCTGATTTATAATTTTGTTGGTTTCAGGCATGGATTAGCAAGCACCCTTCGTGATAACCCACGTCATGGTTTTGGATGGAGTGAAACGAAGTGAAGACAATTATAAAGAGCGTGTCACACCTCAATGTACATATTGTATTTCATATAGCCTTCCATTGCATACTTTGCTTCCGAGTGTCGCCAAAAAAATTCTTTAATTCGTTCGCGGTCGATCTATTCACAGTATGGAGGCTGTCCTCCGAGAATCCCCCTTCGGGCAGCTCGTCCGTCTGGTAACAAAAAACAAATACTTTCAATATCCTGAGGAGAAGGCCGACTTCAAGCTACCTGACGAATGGATCAAGGTCATGGACGGGTCGGGCTCTGCAACCGGCTCCGAAGACACTCAGATCGAAGCTCAACCCGAAGCTCCAGCCCCAGCACAACAATCCGACAGTGACGAAAGTCCCAGTGATGAGAGTCCCAATGATGAAAGTCTCAGTCACGTCACGACCCAAAATAGTCTACCATTCACAGAAGCCCGCCTCGAAGCGGACGAGCAACACGAAATCGAAAAAACCAAGTCGATTCCCATTTGCCCGAAAAAGACCAAAGATGGCGCTATCCTCGTCGACTGGTACTATACCGATGACGCCGAGAATCCACACAACTGGTCCAATCTCAAGCGTGCTGTGATGGCAACCATCATCTGTCTCTATACTTTCGTGGTATACACCACATCCGCCATCTACACCTCGTCGGAGGGAGGCATCATGCAGGAATTCGGCGTTAGCGAGGTGCTCGCTACATTAGGTCTCTCGCTGTATGTGCTTGGATACGGAACCGGTCCCTTGCTCTTCTCACCGATGAGTGAGATCCCCATTATTGGCCGCAACCCAGTCTATATCGTGACCATGTTCCTCTTCGTCATCATCTCTATCCCCACAGCTTTCGTGGGTAACTTCCCTGGCCTGATGGTGCTCCGGTTTCTGCAGGGATTCTTCGGCTCACCATGTCTTGCCTCGGGCGGTGCTTCGATCGGCGATATGTATAGTCTTATGTCTCTGCCCTACGCCATGATGGCTTGGGTTGCTGCCGCATATTGCGGACGTAAGTCTACCCCCCAGTTCTTTCTGTTCAGTTTCCTCGATACTAACACTATGATATAGCTGCCCTCGGTCCACTCCTCAGTGGCTTCTCCGTCCCTGCCAAGTCCTGGCGCTGGTCTCTCTTCGAATCGATCTGGGCCTCAGCCCCCGTGTTCCTCCTCATGTTCTTCTTCCTTCCCGAGACCAGTACCCCGACGATCCTGCTCAGGCGCGCAAGCCGTCTCCGTCGAATCTACAACGATGATCGCTTCATGTCCCAGTCTGAGATCGACCAGCGCAATATGCGTGTTTCGGATATTACCGTGGATGCGCTGATAAAGCCCATGGAAATCACGATCAAGGATCCCGCTGTGCTCTTCGTCCAGATCTACACGGCCATCATTTACGGCATCTACTACTCCTTCTTCGAGGTCTTCCCGCTGGTCTACCCGGTTGACTACAACATGAACCTCGGCCAGATCGGTCTAGTCTTCCTGTGTGTCTTGGTATCTTGCCTTATCGCCATCGCCGTCTACTTCTCCTACCTATACTTCTGGATGAATCCGCGCATCCGCCGCTTTGGATTCCCGGTGCAAGAGCAGCGCCTGATCCCGGCGCTGCCCGCCTCGTTCGGTCCAACAATTGGTCTCTTCCTCTTCGCCTGGACAGCTCGCGCCTCGATCCACTGGATCGCGCCTACGATCGGAATCACCATCTACGGCGCGACGGTGTTCGTCATCATGCAGTGTATTTTCGTTTATATCCCGCTCAGCTACCCCAAATACGCAGCCAGTCTGTTTGCTGCGAATGATTTCTTCCGCAGTGCGTTGGCTTGTGGCAGTGTGCTCATTGCGCATCCTTTATTCGGCAACTTGGGCGTTGCTCGCGGTGTCAGCCTCCTTGGTGGGCTGAGCGTTACTGGTATCATTGGTATCTGGCTGCTTTACTTCCATGGTGCGAAACTGCGTTCTATGAGCAAGTTTGCTCTCTCGCCCGGGGCCGCGTTTGAATAAGGCGCTGAGCAGTGGGGATCGAGGTTAAGGGAGCTAAAATTTAATTAATGCCTGTTAAGTGTGTATGGAAAGTAGGGGGGTGTGCGTTTTTGGAGTCTTTTTAGACTGGAAGTTGTCTGTCGAATTCCATTTGATTCAAATAAGAAACGGGGATAAGAACAATAAATATTCCTTGGAAGAAATTATATAACGAATGACTTCCTCAACAAACTATGACCAAATCTACAAGACAAGAAGTATATTCATCTATGGTAGTCGCTGGACCAAACCAAAACCGAATCCGATCAAAAACCGATATACACAGCAAATACAAAGAAACTAAAGCTTCGCCTTCTCGGACTGGGCAGCCAGATCAGGCATGAGCAGGTCACGCAGCTCGGAGGCAGCCTCGTTCAGGAAGTAGCTCATGCGGTGAGCGCCGAGGCGCTTGCAGACGATGTTGAAGTTGAGGCTGCATCGTCATTAGCATCTCATATTATATTGAAAAACGAAATAAAACTCACCTGTTCTCGTTGATCATGTAGGCAATGCCCCATCCATCGGGGATGACCTCACTCCAGCCGTAGCCGTTGAAGTATTCGGAGCTCAGCTGCGAGGAGGAAATGTACCAGGAGCTAGAGTAGGTGTAGGCCGGGTCCTCGAAAAGGGCGGGAAGCTTCTCACCGGGCTGCAGAAGCTTCTTCAGACCGAAGAGGTGGCGATCCACACCGCGGGCGTCGCTAGCCTCGAGGGTGTACTTGGTGTGCTGGGAGAGGGCGGCGCGGAACAACCGAACGACCTCCTCGCGAGGCACGTTCGCATCCTGGTGGGCCTTGCAGAAGGCGACACTCTCGTCCGAAACGGTGCGGGTGGTCTCGGTGCGGCCCTCCTGGAACTTGCGGGTGGCGGCGGACTCGTAAGTAGGGCGGTTCTTGCCGTACATCTTGAAGTAGGCCAGCTGAATGAGCATCTGGACAAAGGCATCGGGGCTGCACTTGAACTTCTTGATGAGACCCTTGCCGTAGCCCTGGAAGGCTTGGACAACGAGCTCGTGGTCGGCAATCTGCTTGCGGTGGTATTGAGCAGCAACATCCACGGCCTCGTTGACCTCCTCATTCAGGTGGAAGGTGATGGGCTTAGGCTCTGCCAGCGAAGAGCGCACAGGTTTGGCAGAGAGATCAATCTTCTTATTGAAGATGGTGGCGTTGACAAAGTCGCTGAGGCGGTGCGTAGGGGTACCGTCCATCATGCTGTGTTCGCCCAGGAAACCAGCAGTGCCGTTCTCGTTGACAATAAAATTCAGAGGCTTGTCGAACCAACGGTTGGAGCCATCGCCGTGCCAGTACTGGCGGGCGCGCTCCTCCAGGGTGACGGGTTTAGCGTCATCCAGGCAGACCACGAACCCGGCAGACTCGATGTCGCGCAGAGCATTCTCGTTGGCTGGATCAGCGGCAACAAGCTTCTTGCGAGCAGCGGCCCAGTGGTCACGGTCCGCAACGGTCAACACGCCGACCGGCGGCGCGGGTTGGGCGGTCTCGTAGACGTGCTGGAACTGCTGCTCTAGCTCGGAGACATTCAGGGCCTGTCCGTCGACGACCAAAGGCACCTTGAAGAACTGGTTCTTGCGCACCACCACAATGTGCTGGTTCTCGGCCGCCGCGTACTTGCGGGGAAGTCCGCGCCGTCGGCGGGGATACGGCAGCAGTTGAACATGTACTCGTAGGAGCTCATGGCCATGGGCTGGCCACGCATGTACTCGGGCTCCAGGGAGCCATCATCCACCTGGCGCTTGAACTCCAGCACAGCCGAGGTAATCGCTGCCGCACGCTGGGCCGGGTTGCGGCGCAGCCGGTCATCCTTGTAGGAATAGAAATAGGAGACGTAGGGAATGACGGGGTCGCGGTAGCCCAGGTACGCGGCCTGGTTCCACCACTCGGCCAGCCAGTTCTTGATCTTGGGGTCGGCTGCGCGCGCCAGCAGCCGCTTCTGCAGGGGCTCGCCCTCACCGCCGGGGCGAATGAACGCCTCGACAGCCTTCTTGGTGCGCTCGTACTCGGTCTCGGAGACAACGGCGTGAACGGACTTCAGGTATCGGGCGCCCGTTTCCTCGAGGGAGGGAACAGGTAGACGGGGCAGGGAATCTTCGAATCTGAGCATCTTGCCCTTGGAGAGATCCTCCTTGTATCCTGGGCATGTCGGTCAGCCATGACGAGGGTCCCGCTGTGGAGACCTGGGAGCGGTCAACATGTGAATCGAATCACTCACCCTCAGGGACCGAAGACGCCTTTCGCTGGGGAGCCATTGTAGGAGTCTGTTGGAGGGTCAGTCAATTGATCCTGCGCAGCCTCTTACGAGCTGGAAGCTAGATCGGAGGCGGCCGTCTTACCACAGAGCGAGCGAGGAGAGAGACTGTCGGAGGGTGCCGGGGCCGTGACAAGGTAGAGAGACGGCTTCTCGCAGAAGCTGTGAACATCCCTCTCAGTGGTGGTAGGATATAAGGGGAGAGAGTAGGAGGTATGAGAAAGAAGTGAAGGAGAAACAATCGCCGGACAGCCAGAACAGCGAACGACAAGGAATAAAGAAAGAGAGTTGCCTCGGTTGAAAGGGAAAGGACCGACGGGTATGGTAATCTCGGGAACCGTAACTATGCCCGACCGTGGGGTTTGCCGCGGAAATGGGGCGAAATACGAGAACGCGTACGGTATGTGTCTCCAGCTCTATCAATGGGCCTCGGTCCATCGGAAGGTGGATGGTCGGGTGGATAGGGACTTGGGTGGATTATAGGACCACGGAGCAGCTGGGTACAGACAGGGGAGAAAGGGAAAAGATGAAGTCCAAAATATTCCATGTACATCGACTTCGAGCCTCGACGCAGTGATCGCCCTAGGCAAAGACAAACCACCAAGAAGAATAATGCGGGGAGAGCTAGTTCACTACGCTCCATCTGGACGAGCCAACCACGACGGAGCATTCCCGCGGACAACAACAACGGTGTAGATGGATTATGATGTATAGATTGAGAAGGCCCTAACGCATGGCCGGAGTACACGCTCCCCTCCCTTCGCCCGTTGGCCAGAATGCGATGACACCAAATCTGGTATCAGCAGATGCAGAACAAAAAGAAACAAGAATGATTCAAAAATTCGCCGAGTCCAAACAGAGTACACCACAAGAAATTCCGTAGTGTCCGGAGAACACCGCCATGGATCGACAACGCCGTAAAAGAACCGCAATGATCAAAAAGCCGTTTAGGAGACCGGCTGCACGGGTGCTAGCTGGTTCTTACCATCAAGAGCCCGGGGAACCTGCACCCCGCTCTGGCGCAGCGCGGCCATCTTCGCCATCGCCGGCCCAGTGCAGATGCGCCCGCTTTGCATCAGAGTGCGCAGGCGTTTGCGTCGGGCCTCGCCGCTTCGCTCTTCTCCGCGACCTACCCCCTCATCCACCCAGTCAATGCGATGCACCTTGAAGCTCATGCCGTCATGCCGGCCGTCCCACACTCGCGACTTGATCCCGAACAACACGGCCGAGTCATACCGCTCGAGACGCGGCAAAATCAAGAGAGTGATGTGGAGATCCTTGTCCGCCGGAGGAACAGGGGGCAGGCGCGGCTCCTTGCTTGCCTGGGCATCTGTTTTGGAAGCGTCGGCTCCATTGACTTCGGGCTGCGGAGCATGTTGGTAGGTGTCTTTGATTTCCAGATCGAGCATGGACTCGTCCACGTCTTCACCCCATGCACCCCGGATGTACCCCGAGTGGATCGCGGCGGCGACTGGATCTGAATCGTCCGTGTAGACACCAGTTCCCCACAACGCACGCCGCGCGCAGATCTCTTCCCTGTGATTTGCGTCGATCCGGAAACGCGGGACGCGGACGGTAAACGTGCAATTTTCGCGCCCTTCAAAACGGGGAAGCGGCTGAGGAATCGTAGTATATCCGAACTTGGCGCTGTCCGCAGATGCCTTGGCTGACGGGGCACTGATGCGCGGGGTGTAGAGCGTCGATCCCAGGTGATGCCGCGGTCGATCAGCCACGCTGGACAGCAAGGGCTCGATATTCACGATGGTTCGGGGTTCCCGTAGAGGCGTTGATACAGCAACTGGGAGGGTGGCCGGTCGGGGAGCATGGTGATGGTGATGATGGTGGTGGTGATGATGACCAGAGGTGGACGCAGGGGCTCCGTCTGCGGGGGTAGAGGTGGAATGGAGATAATTCGCGGCCGACAACGGACGATGGAGTCCAGCCAGTGCCGCCTCCTCTTCAAGCTTATGGCGGTGATGGTGATGACTACAAATAGTGGTTAGCAGAAATGAAGAATCAAGGGCCATCCAAGACTTACTGATGGTGATGGTGATGCTGGTGGGGGTGTCGAGCACGACGGTTTCCACGCGCTGACAGCGTTGATCCCTCCAGATCCATCTGAGGATCCTCATCTTGCGATTTTCGTGCCCGCTTGGAGCTCGTGGCAGATGCGGGTCGGGCGATCTTGGACTCGTCAAACACCTCGCCGCTGCCGGACCGCCCGTTGAAACTGTCACGCTTGAACGGGCTCGATGTCATGGGTGTCGGTGATCCACTATTGGCAGAGGTGGCCGTCACGCCGCCAACGCCGCTTCCGATTCCAGAAAACACTCGTCCAAGCTCGTTCTTGATGCCGGACTCGCCACTGGGCCCGATGAATGGAGCCTGAGCTCCTTGAACAGCCTGAGGAAGAGGCGACGCTCGTCCGCCGCGCTTTCCGTCTGCCCCAACCGCTAGCAAGTTGCGATGATGGAAAAGTTCATCACTTCCCTTGCGTCGCGTGTCTTCTGTGGTTGAGAGACTGAATAGTCCTGGGGCAGCCGATGCCCCAGTTGGGTTCGAGCCCATGCGTGGAGGCTGCGTCTGCTTAAACGGTGATTCATGTGGCGGCGAAGTGGGCTGGCTGTGTCGACTTTGTAAAGACGAAGGAGGCTGGCGGCCCCCGCCGGGCTGAGACCCCAACGACTTGGTGTAGCTCTGAATGGCACCGAATCCAAACCCTGACGCACCTTCCGGTGCAGGGAAACGCCTAGTCTCTGGCGATGCCGGATGTGAACGTTGCTCCCAGGTCGAGGCGCCGGAATGCCGTTCGACCGGTTCTCGATCTCCGTAGAGCGAACCAAACCGGGATGACGCGCCTCGGGAAGCCTTGGCATCGGTCGCATGACTGGCAGTTCGATCTCGGTCACGGTATAGAGGATCTTCTGAGCGGCGATCACCAAAAAGGCTACCGAGCCGGCTGAGCGCAGAATCTTGCCCCATGTAGGATGTGGACGCAGAGCGCGGACCCGACTCAAACGGCCGTTCTGACACACTTCCAGACGGCCGTGAGATTGGGCTGTAGGCTGGCGCGCGCGTGGGCCCGTCGGCATGTGGTGGCTGGCTGCTCGGTCGGGCGATGGGCCCACTCAGACTCATTCGCCGAGGCTCGTTCGGGGGCGCCTCTGCAGACGAGATTCGAGGTGAAGGGTGTGTCGAGTGAGGCTTATCTGGGAATTGTGACGATGACGGTCCGCGCGACAGGCCACCAAATCTGGATTGCTCCGAGAAGAGGTGCGACCCGCTCCCGGATCCAGCCCGGGAAGGCCGGCCGGTCTGGGGCTTGGACGACAAAGACTTTTCGGGGGTACGGGATCGGCGGAAGAGAGGGTGGTCGAGCGGCGATGGTCTTGCTGGTCCACTTGGCGGTGACATGGCACCGGTCGCCGAGGATGGCTGTGCGCTACCAAACAGCGATGATGGGCGTGAGAAAAACGATGGGCCGGCATCTCGGGCTGGACGTTCAGAGTCACCGCCTAACATGGAGGAGATGGACATGCTGCTACCTGGACGGTGGGATTGGCCGGAAGAAGAGTCGCGTGGAAGCATAGAAGATGAGGCGGGCGCGTTCGCAGACTGCGCTCGTGAGCCGTAGGCGTGTGGAGGAGATGGAGGTGGCATTTGGCGATTCCCAAACGCGGGTGGCGCCGAGTTCTCGTGTTGACCTGGATGTAGTGAGAAATGGTCAGCGCATGCTTGTTTTTCGACGAGGCGAATAGCGAGATTCGGCCGCCGGTTGATGCGAGGCCTTTCCAACGCCATGTGACACCGGCGTGCGACGCGACTGGTCCAAGGAGGGGGCAAGACTTACCGGAATACACAGGGCTTCCACTGCTACCGTGAGAGGTACGATGCACAGAGTCGTGGGGGGGAGGATTCATGTCGCGGTGTCCCAGCAGCCCTTTGTCAGTCAGCAAGGTCTGTCCGCTTGGCGCAGGGGAGAATGAATAATGGCAGAATGAAAGGCGGGAAGGGAAGCTCGACTGGCGCTAGGCCGGGAGAGGCAAGGGGGTGCCGCTAATCCACTTTGTGCCTAGCTCCCGAGTCGATCCCGGGGAAAGAAAGCCAGGAGAAGAAGAATGAAGGAATGGGGGGAAATGTACCATCTCGATATCGCAGAAAGGGCTGCGACTGGTTCCGCCGGTGTGTAGCTGAAGGTTCTTTGCGGTCTAGACTGCCATGGCGGCGATGGGATTGGACCGACTTGTCGATGCTCGGGGCATCACCACGCAGGGACGACGGTCGGGAGACAGATCGCTGCCCAAAGCCCGTCGCCGGAGATGTGGGTGATGTGCGCGCATAGAGAGAGGCCGTCGAGCGCGACGGAGCATGATTGCGATGGCTCTCGGTGGAACGGCGAGACTCAGGACTCGAGGCTGGTGTACCGGACGATGGGCGCTGCGGAGAAGACTGCTGCTGCGAGGTGCCCAACGGCGACGGACGGGGAGGGTAACTCTGGTTGAGGCGTCGGAAAAAGTCCATCTCTCCGCGGGTGTGAAAAAAAAAGAAAGAAAAGAAAACGAAAGGAAAGGAAAGAACACGATGATTGAGAGACCCTGGGAAAAGAAATCCAGAGCGGACCCTGGGGTAAGCTCAGCGGGAAAATGGCGGTGGAAAAGGCAAAAAGCACAGCCGACGGGGGCCAGAGCTGGGATGCCGGATCAGCGGCTGCTCGCTTGGAAATAGCGCCAAATTAGGCTTGCGAATCCGAGGTTAGTGGCGGAGAACTTGGTTCAGGATCATGAATGGGTGACAGATAAGAATGGGTTGTGATTTAGCCGCGAGCTGGGGCTAAGACTCTATCGTGCATTGGCAGTGCAGCGTGATCGCCCGGCGCGCCCTCGGCTCGGTTATTCATGGCGGGGAGATCGTAGGGGGGCATCATAGCCTAGGGGAAGCCTGGTTCACATAGAGGCTCCTTGGATCACTTGATCTACCAAAAAAAAAAAAAAAAAAAGGGTCATAAATTAGGGGTTGGTCGGAGCCGGACCCTACGATATGTATTGCTGTCGGTCGCTCATATTTGGTGTCCTAGTTCGTTCCCCAAATCATTTCAGGTTGGACCCCCAATAGATTCCTCGGTTTTCTAGACCCCCTCTCATTCGCTCCAAACGGCACCTGCCTTGAAGCAAATTCCGTGATGTTGGAGCTACACAGCCTGACCAGGATAATACGCTGCACACTTAGAGCAAATTTACCATTGCAGATGCCAATAATAAAGAATGGTGCACATTGGGTATCATTAAAAACAGTAATCATGTAAGACAAATCGGTGATACGTTAGGGAGCACGTCACTCAGATGTGAACCAGTCACCCCCGGGTCCTCCGGCGACGCCAGATAGAAGATGTCAGAGTAGGAATGCGTCGAGCAGTCGGTATCGGAAATGTCATCTCCCGTAACAACAACCGTCACGCGGCGAGAGACAATTCGATCTTGATCCCAGTGGGTCAGGTATCCTTTCTCCCGGAGGGGAGCCAGGTGAGAAATGAGAAGATGGTACAATTCAGGGAGCGGAGATTTGGCATCCAAGATGAGAAAGAATGGCTGAGTTGAATCATCGGACGGATCAGCAGCCGTCAGAGGAGCTTGTGGGTTATCGTTGGGGGTTTCATCGACGAGCCGGGTCAAAAGCGGGTTGAGACTTAGCCGCTGCAGGGCATCCTCTGTGTTGCGACTCGAGGTGGGAGCTCCAATCTTCAGCACGTCTTCGTCTAACCAGAGCGCGGTATTAAGGCCGTCGCATCCAGCAGCGAGAGATCGCGACAGGGCGTTTGGCCGCGTATCCGGACGCGGGAAAATGCATGCATTAGGATAGCTGCGTGGATGTACCCCCGCCACTGTGGGCTGCGGGAATATAGCACCGGCGAGCGCGCGGAGACCCCCGTATGCAGCACTGTCAAGGAGTCAGCAGGCAAGCGACATGGCTTGCAAACGCAAAGACGTACAAGGATGCCAAAATCAGGCAAACCGCGCGAAGCGAGTGCTCCTTCCAGCGCAATCGGAACGATTTGAAGCCGTTTCTCACCACCGGTCCGAGGCCCGGGATACATTGAGTCGGGTATGAGCGCAGTGGATGGTCATCGAGTAACCACGGCTGGTATTCTTGGAGTGATCCCGCAGTGAGCAGCTCTTCCTTGGACAGCTCGCCCCTGGGGAGTATCAGGCTGGACGATGCAGCCATCGCGACCGAGACCAACGAACAAGGTCAGGATTGAGTCGCGCGCGGATGGGGATGCTTCAAGCTGACACGGAAAACTTTGAGAGAAAGAGAACATGGCGCACATAGCTCCGAGCGAACGGGAGTATATAAGTGGGAAAATTGACGTGACCGCCTCTGAGGAGATGGCTGTATGGCGCGATTGGGTGCAGGTGGTGGTGAGAGCACGCCATCAAGATTGGCGATTGCGGATGATCGTCAGACCCAGTCGGGCCTGCGGAATGATCCTGTCATGAGGCCCTCGTGGGTTTTCGGAGAAGAATCATTTCGATTCTAGGAATCTAGGGATATACCCGTGTGCTTCGATGCCACTTGCATTTTTTTTGAAGCCCGAAACTGGTTGATGGTCATGGTGTCCGCCAAGGCCAACAGGATGTGGTCAAGAGGGACTCCGATCACCCAATTGTCTCTCGAGCAATCAGAGCTTGAGCCCAGACACCATTGAGCTGTGGCGGGATCCACTCCGCTAATGATCGGGAGCTTTCCCTTCTTCAAGGGTCTCACCGCGGGGTTCAGGAGTGGACACGATATGCAGCTCCTAAGCACGCAAGCCGGATGGCCCGATTAGGAAAAGTCCTCCCATTGATTAGATGATGTATTCTATGTACAGATCACGCCCAAGTAATAGTCACTTCTTCCTTGATCTGGATCCGCGCATGCGGGGACACCATCTGCTCCCTGCTCTCTCTCGTGCATAGAGTTCCCGCCGGCCAGCCGGGGAAATGCGTCAACTCGACTTCATCTTGCGATAATGCACTGTCAACCGGCGGCGATTTACCTTTCTCGCGCTTGATGCGCCAGATGCCTGACCCCTCGGGACCGCAATCCTCTTTCTTTCTGGAGACGTTTTTGCGAGGCACCAGGGTTGCCCACCAGCGACGGAAGATCGGTGAGAATGTCGGGAGGCAAGCGCAGACAATTCCAATAAACGGTTCGACGCACGACCAGACGAAGACGGGTGCGATGCTCCATGACGGATCGTCCGAATGTGTGTTTTTGTTCAACACGACAATCCGTACGATACCTGCGACACAGACACTGAGGGCTTTTAGTTAGGTCTTCACGCATTCTCGAAGGAGGAAGAAGATATTAAAAAAAAAAAAAAAAAAAAAACTTACAAACCACCCAGGAACAAGATCCCAATGACTGCTGCTCTTTGGCTCCGCGGCATTTGCAGATTCCAAATAATCGGCACTGGCACGCAAAGGATTATAAGGTCAATCAACACGGCCATGACGCCGTTGATCAGGAAGAACTCCGGGACGTTAATACAGCTGCCCTCTGCTGCGTAATTCGTATGCTGCAACCAAAAATATGCGATTGGGCGACACGCCGCTACCATGGTGATGACAACAGAGACAAAGTAGCCGGCAATAATAGACAGAGTGATCCACAGAGAGTATTGCAGGTTGAAGATCCGATGGTAGAACATGATAATCGACGCTTTAGTGCAGCTGACTGTCGTGGCGTAGATCATGACATGGGCAAAGAGTAGTCTCCAGACAACGATAAACTCATGGTTTGTGAGGGCTTGGATATGCCATCCGTTCTTATATTGAACGCCTATGGTTTAATCGGTTAGTATCGCCTGTCAATAGACCAAAGAATGCATGCTTACTGATCAAAACACATATTCCAGTTCCATAGGCAAAGACCTATAAACTGGAGTTAGTTTTTGATTTAATTCCCTGAAAATGATATACTCACTAGCGCAGCAAATACCAAGTAGTCATCAATCCCAAAGTGAGCCTGTGAGGCACTGGTGCGGGTATATATACGCAGAATGACAGCCAGTGTCCCCACGATCATCAGTGTGATGACAGCCCCCAGCATCTCCGAGTTTTGATTATCGGCAAGGTTGACCCCGGGGGGCGCAGGCCCGAAGTCCCCTGTAGCTAACATTGTCGAAACGAGTGCATGGGGAACCGAAAGCGCCTCATGAGTAAATGACCCGGGGACCGGTCCATTTAAAGGTTGTAGGAGTTTAATATGAAAGCCGCGTGGGAGAAGGGGTCCAAACTTTCGATGGGGCAAGCTAAGCTACATTATGGATCAATGGTTTGACACTATTATGACCGCAAAGTTATGCCTTCGAATAGATGGATTCATTTGCCATAAGCCAGATCACTACTGGATCGAGACATTCTGATCGGAGGAGACGCCGGTTTTGTCGAGAGTTTGATAAAAAACTATAAGAAAGTTGACAGCGCACACGAAATGCATCTTGACAGGTCCCGAATGGGAACGACTGTGGAGAGTGGCTGATAACGGCTGAATCCGACCCATGGATCTGGTGGTCATGGCCCGAGAAAGGGCCCAGGGACCACCATCTAGATGAAGTGCTGGTGGGCCCGATTTCATCTATACAATTCTTTTGGCAAATTAATTACCTGGAGGCAAGGAATGTGGACAGCCTTCAGTTTCAGCAATATTCAAAGCGGGTATTCTGCCGGATTCATGTCCCCAGGCCAATCACCTAGGGAAAGACAGGGTCTTCAAAAGTCTAGAACCAGCATCACCGCATCAAGCACTACTTAAAGTCTGCACCGAATTTCTCGTCGCTCTTTCTGTGTTGAATAATGACATAATGCAGACTGCCTTGCTCTACTTGGAATAGACGCCGAGAAGCCTATGCCCTGAAAGAGTTCGCATCGAATATTTTGGAGTTCTCTCCCTTTCTTCCTTTCACTCGCTCATCCCATGAGAACCGTTTCTAGACTTTCTAGAATGGTAAACGGCGTTCCCCTAGATGCTCCCCGTCTCCCACAGAGGTAATATCTTATACTCATACGTTCTTAAAGAAGGCGTATTTCAGTCGCGTGTACTGGGCAATTTGAGCTACATAATATGCTATGCACATAACCTGTTGAACAAAAACTCCCGGACTCTAATACGTCATATTCATTTGCGACATCACTCGTCTTGGTGGTTGATCTAGTAACTTAGCTCCATCGCTGCTCGATTGGGTTTCGGGATTGCCAGTGGGGTGATCCGACATTCCAGAAAAAGATCCAGCTTCTTCGTTCTACCGTCTGGCCACAGACTCTCGCTGTAAATGTCGTACATGGTTTTACTCAGCAACACCACTCGAAAAAAACATCCATATACTCCGACAAGGGCGTTTTCGGGATTGATGGTCTCCATTAGCCGAGAGTCCCCGCAACACCCTGAGTCAGTCAGACCCGCAAAGCTTGACTTGAACTCATAATGAACCTGGGATTGTCTATTCTCTCACATCATGGATAACGATCTGGAGCCAATGCAGCTGGCCGATGGCCAATCTGCTCAGCGCAGTTTATGGGATCGTCTGTATGTTCAGGGAACGCTCTATCCGCCACCACCAGACTGACCATTCCAGACAACCATCACTTATTGTGGCTTCATCAACTGCGCTCGTATTCACAGGATGTGGCATCAATTTCGCGTTTGGTGTGTACCAAGACCTATATGACTCCATGGCGAAAGAACCCGGCACGCCGTTCACGGGTGCCACGCCGGCGCAGATTGACCTGATCGGCACACTCGCCATCGCCCTGATGACCCTGGGGGCGCCTTTCTCGACTGCCTGGACGAAGCGATACTCCCCACGCACAGTCATCTGGGCCGGTGCCCTGGTTTTCGTCGTCTCGCACTGTCTCGCCAGTGTCAGCCAGGCTCTGTGGCAGTTCACCCTCACCCAGGGCCTGCTTTTGGGCTTCGGCACCTGCCTTACATACATGCCCTCTGTCACCGTGGCACCGACCTGGTTTTCGCACCATCGCGGTCTCGCAATGGGGATTATCCTTGCAGGCACCGGTGTTGGTGGTGTCGCGTGGCCACTCGCTTTTCGCTCGCTGATCGTCCGCGTCGGATTCCGTAACACTTTACGCATTACGGGTGCCATCTCTTTTACTTTGATCGCGATCTCAGGTTTTTTTGTCAAGTGGCCTGCCAGTCAAATAACACGGCTTCAAGCCGAGAATGCCGCATCCTCGCGCTCATCGGGCATTCTCCAAATCCCACTGGCTGACTGGCGCGTTGTGCGGACTCGCAAGTTTGGAGCGCATGCATTGGGCGCTGCCCTGCAGTCTGCTGCTTACTATACACCGGTGTTTTTCTTTGCGTCGTTTGCCCGTACGCTAGGATACTCGTCCGCGACGTCAGCAAACTTCATTGCCATTTCAAATGCTGCCAATGCCCTGGGGAAGATTGTGATTGGACACGCCGCCGACCGCATGGGCCGCCTTAACACACTGTTTCTGACAACTATGTTCTCTGCTGTCTCCGTGTTGGCGCTGTGGTTGCCGGCCGCTTTGGTAACCACGCCCTCAAGTGGAAGCGCCCTGTTCATTGCATTCACGATCCTCTATGGCGTATTCGCCTCGGCATACGTGTCGCTATTCCCCACGAGTCTAGTCGAGCTCTTTGGCGTGCAAAATTTTGCTAGTGTCAACGGCGTGCTCTATATGGTGCGCGGCATGGCCACCCTGATAGGAACACCGATTGCCGGTGTTTTGATTCGGAGTAGCCATCACAAAACAGATCCACGCAGCTACGAGAACACTAGTATCCTGGTGGGAGTATTGCTGGTTGCGGCGACCCTAGCCACCGTTTGGGTGCGGATCGAGGCCAGTCTATCACTCGAGGGTGGACAATTACGTCGGAGGAAGTGGCTCATGTAGTTTCTGCGCTGGACATAGAAAACACTCCACTCGAAGCCTATAAAATATAAAATTGCTATCTGTACCTCACCCAAAAGACCCTTTCCCAAACAGAGAGTTTTAATGGAGTTATCAATTGCACCTAGTTGGCGGATATATCTCTGTGTTTGCTGCTGACTGTTGGATCATTGAGCTTAGTGTATAGATAGATTGATTGAACGGAATCCCCAGACTTGCGTGTTATACTCCGAAGGACAATGGTATAATAGCTCTCCTTATAATAGATTGCTGAGGTTAAAGATTGAATGCGCATGTTGAATAAGGAGGAATGAACTACGTATTTAATCGCCTCGGAGCATTCGTCCGGGGATGCCGCTTCTCCCGTTATATGGCCCCCACGGAAATAGAATTTTGGTCCGTGTGAGTGGGGCTTTCTAACTATCACGAGGCTGCAAATAGCCGTCCCAAAACTAAAAAATCCTGAATCCGTAGTATATATTGTTAGGCGTCTCGCCGCCAGTTGCGATCGAACTTGTGCTATTTTCTTATCCATACAATTGCTCACCACCATGTCAATCGAGAAGCCTACCGTCCTCCTCATTCCAGGTGCCTGGCACCAAGGAAGCACATTTGAGCCGGTAGCGAATATACTTCGAGCGCAAGGGTATCAAGCAGAAACTATAACCTTACCTTCTGCGGGTGGACCAGCATCAACCACTGCCTATGATGACGCCGATCATATCCGGAAAGCATATCTTGACGACCTCGTTGCCCAGGGCAAGGAAGTTATCATTGTCATGCACTCATACGGTGGCATTCCTGGGACAGAGAGTGTAAAGGGCTTGGCACGGAAAGATCTCATCGCGAAAGGGAAAAAGGGAGGGGTTATCAGCCTTATATATCAATCGGCTTTCCTGGTTCCCGCTGGAGCAAGTGTCGAGTCATTTTTGCCTGGCGGATTAGATCGCTATATGACAACAGACGTAAGTTCTAGGAGAGATATCATCTCTTTCTCTGAGGAGCGAGTTCTGACCTATCTTACAGGGAGAGAAAATGTATCCCAAGGACCCCAGGGAAAAGTTCTATAGCGACATGGACGATGAAACTGCTTCGAAGTATCTGGCTGCAATAGTGCCCCATGCCCCGGAAACTATGCGGACCCCACTAACGTACGCGGCCTACCATGATGTGCCTACCAACTACATTTTTTGTACTCGGGACGCGGGCTTCCCACTTTTTGCGCAACAGAGGATAGCTGCTATCCCCGGAGAAGGGGTTGTACGCCCGTACACTGTTGACGGGGGGCATTTTGCCATGTTGAGTCAGCCGCAGGCCGTAGCTGATGTGATTCACGATGTTGCAATGAGAGCTGCTGCTGTTTGATTTTGTTGTTACGTTCTATTGTGAAGCAAAAGGTGATCTCTCCTCTCGTTGAAATATAGATGATAACTCGCCGCCGTCTGGTGTAAATTGATTTATCAAAGAGCCTGCTTGACTATACTGTCCAGTGATCAAGCCCGCACTCCGAGGTTCCATAATTGTAAACTCATCAGTATCCAAGACTAGTTTGACGAATGCGCCGATGGGCTAGGCCAGAAGTGGACTTGTGTAATCAGAGTCAACGTTCATCAAAATTGGCAGCTCCTCCTCCCGACTTTGTTAATGATGACATCAAAATCCTTAATCACACTAGCAAGACCATCCTGCATAGGGCCGTCATGTCGATCGCGTAAGCATTGTATAGTGCATTCGCAAGCCTGAGGGCGGCTATGTCGATTTTCTCCATCCACTCAAGGTAGGGAGGAAAGTTTCCGGGTGGCTTAGCGGAAATTGGATCAAGAGCGCTCGGCCCATAAAGCTCGAAGTTTCGCTAGAACATCAAGAGGGACAATATGTCATCCCTTCAACTAATTTCGCAAGATATCCTGAGGATAGGCGAAATCCATTCCCATCATCATCCAAGTACAGTCATCCCGCACGTTGTCTGGCAACCATCGAAGTGGCGTATCGACGGGGAAACCTTCATTGGTCTGCATTGGTGGTGATTCGTTGGATAATATTGTCTCGTTTGGATCCGTGCCCAACTGGTTTGACTCGTATATAGCTGGAAGGCTCAGAAAATGATTAGATAGTCCGTTTAAACAGGTTAAATTCCTACCCGTGCTGTTGACCGGATTTTGGTATTGGGCGTGAGGCGCCAGAAATGACGGCCTGCTATTGACAGGAAGCGATGGAGGTACTGCCAGTTGGGGCGCTCTTTGCTGTTGACGTGGCTCATGATTCGAAGTCTGAGGTGAGCCTAGGGAATGTGGAGTTTTGGATCCTCCGTTCCTCCTCTCTTCACTATGGACTTTACTCGTCGCCTGGTTGTCGTTGCGCAGGCATTGTTCGATGATTTCGACGCATTTAAGAGTGGATGGAGTGCTATGAGCATTTCGCAAAACCTCCATGCTGAAGGCCAATCTAGCATTAGCAGCTTCTGCTTCTTCACCTTCACACTGTTTGAGATCCAAGATATTGATTGTGGCACCGACGAAAACAGTATATGTCTCGAGGTACGTGAGGACTCTGAAACCAAATCGTCGGACATGTAGTGTTAGCAGGCGGTCAATCATCTCCGCAGCTTTTGTTGCCGTTGCCCTCGCGGACGAATCTTGGGTTCGATATGGGCGACAGAGTAAAATAATGGTAGCATGATAGAGAAGGTTGAGGAGAAGAATATGGAGAGGAGGGCATGATATGATCCGGTCATTTTTAGCGATGTATAGATGAGAGGGGAGCTCTTTGGACCAGTCTTCGAGTTTACCCATGATCCGATCTAAATAGCCGTTCAGATGACTTCCGGCGTGATGTGGTCGGGAATACAATGTGTCCAGCACGTCATCTATTATGATGCAAAGAGTGCAATAGGCGGAAAATCGACTGTTGGTGTATGACCTTTGGGATATGCACCCTACATCTGAAGGAATTGAGGAGCGAAAATGAGGGGACCAGGTTTCGTTTTCTGGTTCTTCGTCAAGCCAGGTCTCCGGGCTAGGAACGGGCATCGTTTCATGTATGGTTGGCGCTCGACCAAGACACAGACTCATAGTCTTATCCCAAGTATAGCAACTCCAAAAGATCTGTTGGCGAAGGGCTAGATCTTCCAGTGAAAACTGGCCCTCAAGGTGGCTTAGGGATTTTGGATGGATATGGATTCCGAGATCGCGCATCATACGGAATGCCATGCCTGAGAACAGCCATCCTTGAGATGTTCGTCCTGCAGCGCATTCTCTTGCTGATAGAATTAATAACCCTTGTAAAGTCGGAATGGACGATCCACGATCAATCTCTTCTGCTAGCTCGTTGAGTGCCTTTTTGGCAAAATATGCGCTGAGATCGGACGCGTCTTGCCGATCTGAGAAACGAGCGGCTTGGGCCAGCGTGCAGTTGAGAAGGAAGACTGTCACATACGGCCCTGAATGTATAAGGTCACCTGATTGCCAAATTATCAGTTGTGATGTAGTTGATTTTTTTAGAGATCGGGGGAAGTGAGCTGACGCATAAATATTTTCCGACATAGAACCAGATGGAGATGATGCGGCCAGCACCAGTACACATCCAAAAGCTCACTGACTAGCTCCTGAGAGATATCTGTTGTGAATATAGATCCCCAATCTGTTTGTGGACTTGTTCCTGGAGATGGATCTTTGTGGATAGCGGATCGGTATCGTATAGCCTCAGATAGTCCTCTCTCCGCAGCGCCGGATTCGCAGATCTGCGCCGGATGTAGGTGATAGTGACTGGTACGCCCATAAAAATAGATACGTCCATCTTCCCCAACAGTTGTTTCATTGAGTAGCTCCGTGACTTCATCCTCGGACGAGTCGTCGACCTCAACATTGGCAGCGGCCCGAGGGTCAGCTCTATCCTGGTGGGAATTCATATGTGAATTTGCCTGTGAGGCTCTCCGAGGTTTGTACGACGCGTTACTGTTGTTAAAGTACTCCTCTAAAAGCTGTGATTTCTCTTCGTTGGTGGCAGCATCGTGCAGCTGCTTCAATATTGCTTCCTGGGATTTCAGGCGATCTTGAAGACCTAGCGCATACGAGACAGAGGGAGCCCTAAACTCCATGCACTCCCAGCGTTAGCGAAAGGCCTCAAGACTTGAGTGTTTTATGGAAGACGAAAGAGTGGCTTGCGAGCGTTGGGGTTTATCAAAGTACTGACTTGTCAAAGTAACAGGTCTCGTTGTTTGCTAGGCATCGATCACAGGTAGGCAAATTTCCATTGCATCGAGCTTTGCGGCGTCTACAATTAGCACAGGCAAATCCATATTTGCGGGCCTGGCGGTTCCTCCTTCTTTGGGTGGTGGTGCGGCGCGCTATCAGACTGTCGTTGGGATTGGCTGGAGGCGTTGGATCCGACTGAGAGGCCATCACTGTGCGGATTGTGAATGCGATCCTTGATAGAAACAATCAACGTCTGCATAACCCTGGGTAGTATTTTGCCCGCCGTGGCACATTTGAGGAGCTGTGACTACGCAGCTCCACGAGCGGACTTAAGGCGTTTCCCCGCATTTTGTTCTCCGGAAAGTTTACCAGAATACACGCCTTTTGACAAAGACTCCGGTGGCGTGCAACCCGTATATTTTACTATACCCGGTCCACCACAATGATTCAAGGTGTGCACAAAGCTTCTAGGTTGCATATAACAACGATAGCGGATTGATGGTGAATGGCTGCGTCTCTATTCGACGGGGCCAAATGCGGGGATGTCTGTTCCTTGTGATCAAATGCCCCTGCGAGGACGGCGTCTTCCCAGGGTAGAGTAAAGGGCAAAATGCGGGGTCAATGAAATTAAGATCCTACCGGCTGATTGACGTCACAGTATGAGCGGCATCTCTCCGGAATTAGTGTCTGGAGAACGCAGAAGAGGGGGATTAGGGTGTGCAAGTATCGGGCGACCTGTATATGGGATATCACCAAGATGAGCGATCTGCAGAAAACAACACTTGAAATTGATAATTGATTGTCAGCAGTTGTGGAGCGAAAAAAAAGGGCTAGCACTGAACAGCTACTAACACGAGCACAATATTAATATCTGTTATCAGGGCGACGAAAACGCGGATCTTTTTGAGGAATTCGAGGTCAACGAAAATACCTACTGCTATGGCTGAAGACCAAAAAATTGACCAGACAGTCAAGTGGCTGCTGGGCTTCTATTCACAATTGTCAGAACTGAATGTTTCGACACTCAACATAGGCCTGCGCAAAGGACTGCGATTGTTGGCAGCCAAGAATATGTTGCAGTATACGGTATCTTCCTGCACCAAATTTCGATGGTCATATAATATTATTGACAGTCACTAACACATTACACTGTTCACTATAGCAAGATAACTTGGGCAATATCTACGTCAGCCGTGCAGGCCGCGATGCTGAGCTGGCGCCGATAGGTGTCTGCTTTCCGCTTGACGCATCCATATCTCCCACAGCATTTGAAGGAGCGCTAAGAACGTTTCTCTTGCTGCAGAATCGGAGCCTGGCTTGTGGTATCACTCTGATCGGGTGGTCATCTCCGGGAGGAACAATACTAGGACAGGAGGGGTGGCACAGTTTGGCCTCTGCGGACACTGTTTATTTGCGGCATGTCGATCTTTGCCAATTTTCTGCCATGCCTCGAGTTGACATGTTCAGCATGTCTGCGCTGTTTGAGATTGAAGAGTCCCAATCCCAGCCACTAAGGGTGTGCGGCAGTCCTGTTCTTGTTCAGAAAGCATTGGAGGCTGCCCAAGAAGAAGTCAAAAGCAACCCGCAGATATTGACTCCAGGCAGAGCTCCCAAAGTCAAGATCGAGGGTCCAGGAGCAGTGTCCATAGGGGCAAAGACAGTTGAAGTATATAATGAGTATGTAGTTGCTCTTTTTGATAATTTCGACTAAATTATACCGTTGTTATTCATAATCCATAAGGCCCATCACGTAAGGAGCATATGGTGGTGACCATCGCAAGGCGTCTGATTTATGCACCCATCAGAAGGATGATAAAATACTACTTGAGCGATAGCGTATGCTCTTTTGTCGACAGTGGTAGCTGCATCTCAAGTTCCCCTCTTTAGACGGAGAGTTTCCGGTGGTGCCCACCAACCTCATGGCCTTCTCCAATTATTCACATGATATTCAATTGAGCGAATTTAATGACATATAACAACGTTCATTGCTTTCCACTACTGAATTTCCATTCCCAAACCCATCCACAATCTACTAAGAATTTTCACACACAGCTTCATGAAATATGGCTTCATCAGTGAAGGCGACTGGTCAACTACAGAATGGCAATTTCTCTATATTCTATGAGCAAGAGGGAAGTCAGAATGGGCCGGCGATTCTGGGAATCCATGGACTAGGCGGTACCACCAACTTTTATCAACCGATTGTCTCATCATTTCAAGAGTACAATGTGGTTCGCTTTGACCTCGGTGGCCATGGTAGAAGTGCTCAAGATACAACAAATACCAAAACCAGCATTGAAACCTATGTGGAAGATGCCGAAGGTTAGTTCCGGTTTCTGGAGGAAATAGCTTCTTACGAAGGTGCACAATTCAGAAGATATATTCGCAATTGGCTAACTGTTTATTTCGCAGCTATAATAAGACGCTTTGGTTTGAAAGATGTTACAGTATTGGGGCACTCGCTAGGAGGCCTCATCGCTTTACACTTGGCGGCAAAACTCCCTGAGACGGTTACTCGTCTTGTTCTCTTCGGTCCAGTCAAGCCGCCACCCGAGGCTGGTCAGATTGGACTTCGAGCCCGAGCGAAAACTGTCCGCGATTCTGGAATGGTCGCAGTGGCCGATACCGTTATAGGAGCATCATTGTCTCCTGCAACACTCAAGGCTCGTCCAGAACTCGTTGGATTTGCCCGAGAGTTGCTTTCTCGACAGCAGCCGGAAGGTTACTCACTTGCTTGTGAAGCTCTTGCAGAGAGCTCCGAGCCAGACTGGAACAAGATCACTGCCAAAGTTGTCATTGTGGGTGGTTCTGATGATAAGGTCTCTTCACCGGCCACAGTGGAGTCGATCGCGTCGAACTTGACCGCGACGAAAAAGGAGGTCATATCATTTGAGGATGTGGGCCATTGGCATACTTTGGAAAATCCCACGGGATGCATTCAGGCGATAGAAAAGGCCTTTAAACTTTAAGAGATAGCCAAGCTTGGTCCATAAAACAATTTGGATATTGAATCTTACAATGGGTACTGAATAAATAATGTCATGTAGATTCTTCGCATTCGTTCCAATGGCGACGAACCCCATTTCCATATGGTACATATGCAGGTTTTTACTATGTACCGCAAAGTTCTAAGAAATAAAAGGAAACGGCTGACACGAGATGGCATTTACTTGCCATTGGCGCCATTCATCTCATCATTTGCCTGATGATCCAAGGAGAAGTCCTCTCCTTTAAAAGGCTTCAGCCCAGCAGTCACCCTCATGCCCGCAGCGCAAGAGCTCCAATCTAGACCAGGGCCGCCAATCGCTTTCGCTGTTGTCAAATGACTCCAAGCCTGATCAATGATGGGTGTAGGCGTTGAGGTCTCTGCTCCCAATCGGCGGATAAAATCTGCATCCTTCATGCCTCCGGGCAGAGTAAAACCTGTTTGGCCGCTGAAACTACCATCCCGAATCTTTTTCCCGTAATTCACCCAAGCCGGCGCTGGGAACCATTGCTCTGTGTATGTGATCAGTCCCTTATAACCTACTATGGAAATTGTGAAAAGTAGCAGACGGAGGAGCACTAACGAATGAAGTCGTAGAATAAGTTGACGTCAAAGCCGGTTTTCTCTGCTAGGGTGAAGCTCTCGGAAAGGAGTTCAATGGTTCCCAGTATGCAATTGTTACCGAGAATCTTCAACAATGCTCCGTCCGACGTCTTGGCGCCACAATCAATGACTCCTTTCCCCATTGCGGGCACAATGTACTCCTTGACTATCTCCCGTGTGTCGTCGTTGCCAGATATCGCAATCAGCAAGCCAGCCGCCTTCGCAGCCGCCGGAGGCCCGAACACTGGACACGACAAGAAGTGAACGCCGTGCTTCTGCGCCTCTTCATAGAGCACTTTTGACGTCGTTGGGAAAAGGGTTGAATGGTCGACATAGATGGCCTCGGCCTTGTTCGCGGCAAAAAGTTCTCTGTAGACCAACAGCGCCACTTCGTCGTTGGCCAAACAGCCATGGACGATATCGCAAGATAATGCGAGCTCTTTTAGTGAGCTGACAGCCTGACAATGGCCCTTCGACAGGGACTCGGCTTTCTCGGGAGTACGATTCCACACATGGACCTTGGGCAATCCGTGCTCTGCCGCGTAGGTCGACAGATTAACAGCCATATTGATGCCCATGTTACCCAGGCCAACAAAGCCAAAGGAATAAGACTTGGACGCCATTTCGAGGTTTGGTATCTGGCTACTTTTGCAAAGCGGAGTGAGGGATGGGTAAAATGAATGTGTTTCTTGTCCGTTGAGAAGGTGAAATATTGTTTGCTAAATATGTGACCCTCAGCGGCTCAGCCTACTAGTTCGTATTTTCGGCATGAGTTCATATCATTTCCAAGTCAAATCCAAGGGAATAGGATGGGTCCTCTGAAAGCCGGTATACCTCTTCGGTGGTGCAAAACAGTCCCCGCACCGGCATCTCTCCGCACAGTCCCAGCCCACGAATGACACCAAGGCAACCCCCTCAACTAGTTTAGATTACCCATGAATCGTAGTAATATCTAAATGGGTTCTAGTTGAATCCCAGTAAGCTTGGTTTGGCGAGAATCGCGGAGGCTTTTCTCCCAACCTGCAAAGTACACCGGCTTGTCCCCGCTTGCTCATCACGGGTTCCGTTGCCACCCCATGTTCAAGGTACATATATCAGAGAGGCACTGATAACCCCTCTGTAGGTTGACATATAACATTCGCCACGGCTGAGGGCCATTTTATCCGTGTATTCCAACCAAACAAAGAATCTCTTCGAGTATGACCTCTACGAACGGTGCAAACGGCAATGCCGTCCAACATTACAAACCCACGCCAGCCGATATTGAGATAAGCAACCACAAGCCCGATGATCACGCCAAAATACTGTTCAAGAATGTGAATATCTTGGATTCAACGGGAAGGGAACCATATCTCGGCGATGTTCTGATCGAGGGCGAACGCATTGTGCAGGTTGGAGAAATGGCGGAAAAGGTTCCCTCTCCAGACACTTTCATCATTGATGGGCAGGGTAAGAAAACACTCATGTCCGGACTATGTGATGCGCACACACACCTCAGCTGGAATAACTCCCCGACTCTCGATGGGCTCGTGAGTCTACCCCTCGAAGAGCATGTCCTACACACAGCGCTTTCCGCGAAAACTTATCTGGATTGCGGTTACACCATGTGTTTTGGAGCTGCCTCAGCACAGCCTAGACTGGACGTCTGTATCAAAGGCGCAATAAAGAAGGACATGATTCCTGGACCTCGCACCCTGTCCAACTCCCAAGAAATCTCGACAACCGGTGGTGCCATTGTCCCCAGCATCACCAAGTTTGCCGATGGAGTAGATGAGATGCGACGAGTCGTCCGAGAATTCCTAGCCCTTGGCATTGACAACATCAAGCTCAGCATGACGGGTGACTACATCCACGAATTCATGGGATCCGAGGAGACATACTTCACAATGGAAGAAACCAAGGCCGCCGTCGAAGAAGCCCACAATCGTGGTAAGCGTGTCTGTGCACATGCCAGAAGCAGCGAATCAATCAAGCTTTGCGCCAAAACTGGAGTGGACGTCATATACCATGCTTCTTTCGCCGACCAGGAAGGCCTAGATCTCTTGGAGCAAATCAAGGATCGTGTGTTTGTCGCTCCAGCGATCAACTTCCCTCTGACCTCGTGCACCGGCGAGGCAACTCCATACGGACTAACTCCTGAGATGGCGGCTAAGAAGGGACTCAAGCGCGAGGTTGAGGTCGCCTCTCGAGCTATGAATGAGATGCGGAAGAGGGGCATCAAGGTCCTTCCCGGGGGAGACTTTGGTTTTGCATGGTCCCCACACGGAACCTATGCCAGAGACCTAGCCCACTTTGTGAACCTATTTGGATTTTCTCCTATGGAGTCAATCATTGCGGCCACAGCCTGGGGTGGTGAGATAATGGGCCACCCTGAAGAGCTCGGAAAGGTGGTCCCGGGATACTACGCCGATCTGATTCTGATCGACGGTAATCCGCTTGAGGACATTGAGATCCTCCAGGATACGAACCGAATTCACACCATTGTCATCAATGGCCATATCCACAAGAACATTTCCGGAAATGGTCAACCGGCAAGGGTGATTAAGCCCACAATGTTGCCGGTGATGAGGGGTGATGGAACGGTCGACTGGAAGATGGAGGAGCGACTTGCAAATGCAGCCTTGGTATCGCATGCCTAAAGCAGACCCAAGTTTTATTTGATGTTAAACTTGCGTGTAATTTCCATTTCCATATTGCGTTTTCGATCATTTACAGAACGTCTCCGTTTGTTAGCGGCCTGGATTTATGCGCATCTTGACCTTGAAAATGATAACGAATGAAGATGCATACGCATATTTATTTGTATGCTGGTGATTAAATGGCATTCAGTAATTTAACAAATTAATATTGATCATATTTAGGTCTCTCAAAGCCACTGATAGCAGAAGGGCAACCGCTCTAGTGGAAACTTATTATTCTGAATCGATTTGGGCATGCTTTTAAGCAGACATATAAACCTCGGTCCTATACTATAGATGGCATTTGGTATCAGAATTTTAATGGACATGGTATGATTAGAGACAGAGCTAACTACTGGTAGATATATGTATTTCCAAAAATTACTCGCAGTGTTGAACTTCTGCTTTCTCCGACTCTTTACCGTCCAGCTCAATCTGGTCCTCCAGATGATACCGAGCGGGCCGTTTCACAGAGACTGCCTCATCGTAGCGGAAAACCAAAGGGTCATGGTTTTCGCGGAAAAATTTGTCGATATCTTCGAGGGTTCGATTCGATGTCTCTGGGTATAAGAAGTAGATAGTTGGAATAAAAACAGCATTGCAAACGGCCCAAATAATATAGAACCGCCATCGAATCGAGCTGATTCCTATGGGGGTAATTTGGACAACTATTCGCGTGATTAGACTTCTTGTTCAGTTCCAAAGAGCGGAAGGAATCACTTGCCCATAAAGTTAAAAGCCCAGCTTGTAGCAGTGCTGAGCGCAACCCCTTTGGTACGCATGGCCAAGGAATTGATTTCGGTTGGATAAAGATATGGTATTCCCTGCCATCCGATGGCGAAGAAGACATAATAGAGGAAGAAAAATGCAATTGATGCCTTGGCAGCTTCGGTCTGGTGGGTTTCACTGGGTAGTTCTTTGATTCGAATACAAATGCAGATCATAATATGGGAAAATGCTTGCCCTGCGGCGCCCACAATCATCATCTTTCGTCTACCCCAGCGCTCAATCAATGGGATGCCGAAGAAGCTCGCAATCAGATAGCTGATCGTATTCAGTGAGGTAATAAGTCGGGCCATGGTATTGGAGAGCCCCACAGAGGAGGTGAGTAGTGTAGGAAGATAATAACTGGTGACGTTGATACCAGTAAGTTCCTTCATAGCTAATGTGGCCATAGCAAGAATGAGTCGACGGGTGGCACATGTTCCAGAGTGCGAGCGAGTCCGGTTCAGCAAGATATCCAAGAAACTTGGCTCATTTTCCCTTTCGAACACGATTGCGCCCTCTATCCTCTGTGATTCTCTTGCCACATGGGGGTGGTCATAGTGAACAGCTTCAAGATCAGCAATAATTTGTTTAGCCTCGTCAACCCTCCCTTTGCTGATCAGCCAGCGGGGAGATTCTGGAAGCCATGGCGTGGTAGCCCATATTGTGAATAAAAAGATAAGTTGAAACGCGAGTGGGAATCTCCAAGCGAACGAGCCATTGACAAACGCCAGGCCGAAGTTCAGCCAATTACAAATTGAAAACCCAACAACACACATAATGAGCTGCAAGATTATGAGCTTGCCACGCATTTCTGCACTGGAGGTTTCACTCTGCCAAACTGGAGCTGTTGCACAGTTGAGTCCGTTTCCGAGCCCCGTAACAATGCGCCCGGCTATCATGACACTAATGGTAGAAGCAGCTGTTTGGAGACAGACACCTAGGATCATGATGCTTGTACCCAGCAATAGAGTCTTCTTTCGACCGAGTAGCCCTCCAATGAACAAAGTTAAAACGGCGCCAAAGAATGATCCAACATCGAACAACGCGGATATTGTTCCGATGAGACTGGGGTTATTGACGAGGCCAAGAGTAATCAAGAAGTTGTCAGATACAACCACGCCGCCTATACATGTTAATACATATCTGCAAATATATTGGGAAGTGATTTGCGTCGTTCTTACTGAAAACTCCTTGATCATACCCAAACAATGCCATATTCGTCGCACACGCCACAGTCAACCAAAAAGTGAGCCATCCCCCAGTCAAACCAAAGTAGGGCTTCATGATTTACAGCAACAAACAATGAGATAACGATGGGAAAAGTAGCACAGGGGATGGAAAGTTTAACAACGAACAAACGTAGGCCAAACCCCAGCGTTGGTTCTCTGAAATTCACCATGACTGCCTACATTGATATAGAGTCCATACAGACGGGATGATCCTTGACGCTTGGACACCCATTTACGGAGACATGCCGGCCCCTACAGCGGCGTCGTGAAGACGCCCCGCATTCGTCGAGGTCCCTCTACTTTCTCATCTGACCCGAGATCCAGGACCTACCAAGTACACCCGGTAGATTTGAATTACGACGAGTTCTTCACTCATAATAAAACTCTATATTCTCAGCAGGATTTGTATCTCGGACCTTGGAAATGGGCTTTTTTCTCGAAAGGTACGAGTGCGTATTACGTCATTGAATGGCGGGGAGTTTGACCAGCCTTGAATATAATTGCTTAAACCTAGCCGAATTCGAGCACTTGCTTGCGTTCAGATCATAACACTTATCATTAAAATCCTATCGAAGGATAGAACATTCTCGGAATATATCTCCTTGACACCCTTTCGCTTTCGTCTACCCAGACTGCCCCATGTCCAACTCCAGCGGCATCAATGGCCCGGCGATCTTTGTCGCGCAATACATCTCCGATGAAGCCCCATTTAACACCCTGGAAGGAATCGCCGAGTGGGCCGCAGGCCTCGGGTATAAGGGGATCCAGATCCCTGTTGATGAACGACTCATTGACATCCAGAGGGCCGCAGACGACTTATCATACTGTTCTGCGCTTCTGGAGACTCTCAAACGCTATGGCATCCAACTTACTGAGCTATCCACACATCTTCAAGGACAGCTCATTGCTGTTCATCCGGCCTATGATATTCTCTTCGACGGTTTTGCTCCACAAGACGTTCGCGGGGATCCCTCGCGGCGCGAAGCATGGGCACGCAATATCCTCTTTATGGCAGCAAAAGCATCAAAGAACTTGGGGTTGAGAGCTCATGCAACGTTTAGCGGAGCACTATTGTGGGCATACATGTATCCATGGCCACAGAGACCCCAGTCGTTGGTTGACAAAGGGTTCGACGAGCTCGCAGCGCGCTGGAAGCCGATTCTGGACGCATTTGATGAAGCAGGCGTTGACCTCTGCTATGAGATCCACCCAGGAGAGGATCTCCACGATGGAGTAACATTCGAACGGTTCCTGGAAGCCGTGAATGGTCATAAACGAGCTTGTATTCTCTACGACCCCAGTCACTTCGTTTTACAACAACTCGACTACCTCAGTTTTGTGGACATTTACCATGAACGCATTAAAATCTTCCATGTCAAAGACGCCGAGTTTGTTCCAAATGGTCGCCAAGGTGTTTATGGAGGATATGGCTCATGGACAGAACGGGCGGGGCGCTTCAGAGCTCTCGGAGATGGCCAAGTGCAATTCAAGGGGATTTTCACGCGACTAATCCAACATGGATATTGTGGATGGGCTGTGCTTGAGTCTGAATGTGCGTTTAAGGACAAGATGGTGTGCGCGGAGGAGGGTGCGCCATTTATAGCGAACCACATCTTTCCTCTTGCAAAAACAAGTTTCGATGATTTTGCTGGGTCCGGTATCAATGACTGTCAGGTTAGCCAGATACTAGGAATATCCTAGGTTAGAGGATATCGGATTAATTGATCATTCTACTCTGCATATAGAGGATATGTGGAATAATGTAGCCGACTCATTACCATATGTGAATCTGCTCGTCTTCTGACATGTTATCGAGAGTCATCTGACGCCTTCTCGCAGAGTACAGCATCTCCGTTTATCGGAGCGTGGATACGACATTACCGAGGGATCCAAGTGGGTCGCTCCCGTTTGGTCGGGGCCATCTTATCAGATCAAACATTTCCTCTTGTTGACAACTCTCACTGATCCATTATTTGCGGATGGCTTCACGCCCTCACTCATTTCACATACCCCTGCATTTGCATCCATGACTTAGCGCAGCACACCCGGCACCATCTCCCGTCGGACCGTACGACCATTATGACGAATCATGCCCCGCTGGGCCACGCCGCCAGCCAAACCCGCAATACTGTCCCCACCGAGACGTCCAGTTTCTCGCAAAACGGTTGGGATCGAAGTTATGGGACTATCACAGAAAATAATAACGATCACGTCACGCCGTCATTATTTGGCGCCAAGTCTCCAGGCGTCGCCCGTATCGAAGCCATCAACGCCCAGCTGACGAGGAGAGACCGCATTTTTATCTTTATCGGTATATTCCTGGTTGGATATGCCTACGGTCTCGATAGCCAAGTTCGATACGCATACCAGTCCCATGCGACGTCGAGCTTCGGCCAGCACTCCCTGCTCGCGGCGGTGAATGTGGTTCGCAGTGTCATCGCGGTCGCCGCTCACCCCGCAGCTGCAAGAATCGCCGATGTCTTTGGTCGGTTTGAGATTGTTGGCGTGTCGATGGCGTTCTATGTTGTTGGCACCATTATCGAAAGCAGTGCTTCATCCATTGAAATGTTTTGCCTTGGCACAGTGACCTACCAAATCGGGTACACAGGCATTCTGTTGCTCGTCGAGATCATTCTCTCGGACATCACCTCGATGCGGTCAAGGGTATTGTTCAGCTATCTGCCAGCCACGCCATACATCGTCAACACCTGGATCAGCGGCAGTATCACCTCCGCGGTACTGGCGCGAACATCCTGGAGATGGGGCATAGGCATGTGGGCAATTATTTATTCTGTGTGCTCACTGCCTCTTCTCTGGTCTTTATTCTATACTGGACGTCGAGCCCAAAAGAGCGGTGCACTGGATATGTACCCCAGTCCCATGCAGTTCCTTGGGATGCGTCGATTTGGCACAGATCTTTTTCACCAGTTGGACGTGATAGGAATCATTTTGATCATCCTCGCTTTTGGGTTTATTCTTGCGCCGCTGACCGTCGCCGGTGGAACGGCTTTGCATTGGCAGAAACCGTATATCACTGCCCCCCTCGCCGTGGGCTTACTGTGTATTCCTGCATTCATCCTCTGGGAGATGAAAGGCGCAAGACATCCATTGACGCCATTCCATCTGCTGAAGGATCGTGGTGTCTGGGCTGCGCTCGCCATACGATGTCTGTTGAATTTCTCCTGGTATCTCCAGGCTGACTACCTCTACACCGTCCTGATCGTGGCCTTTGATTTTACTGTCGCCGCCGCAACAAGAGTCCAATCCTTCTACTCATTCTTCGGTCTGATCAGCGGACTCATAACGGGCCTGGTTATCTACAAAGTGCGGAGACTGAAGTACTTCATTGTGGCCGGCACGTGTCTCTTCATGGCCGCATACGGCCTAGTCCTCCATTTCCGAGGTGGTGCCTCCGAAAGCTCCAAAGCAGGTGTCATTGGAGCCCAAGTCCTCTTGGGTCTGGCCGGCGGCTTCTTCGCATATCCCACCCAAGCATCCGTCCAAGCGGCCACAAAACACGAACACATGGCCGTTCTCACGGGGATCTACCTCGCGTCATATAACGTGGGAAGCGCACTGGGGACCTGTGTCTCCGGAGCAATCTGGACTCAGACGCTGTATCCAACGTTGAAAGAAAACCTCTCGTTCCAGTCCAACGCAACACTCGCAAAAGCGGTGTACGGGTCTCCGTTCGAGGTTGTTCCTTCCTATCCGATCGGGACGCCGGAGAGGAGTGGCATAATTGTGAGCTACAGACATGTTCAGAAGATTCTTTGCATAGCGGGTATTTGTCTTGCGGCGCCAATGATATTGTTGGCTTTTGTTCTGAGAGATCCACGGTTGTCGAAGGAGCAGAGCCAGCCTGATGCCGAGATAGATGCGAGAGATACATAGACGGTTGATTATTGCATGATGGTAGAATGATTGCACTTTTACAACTTATGAATTGAAGATAAATGCATTCTCAACTGGTTGGCAGTATTGCCTTTCCGTACTCGCTCTGTATATACAACACTAAAATCACAATATAAAACAATATGAACCGTCGTGAAAGGCCAAGGAATGTACCAAACAACAGCTTAAAAATGTGAAAGTCGTAAATCATATCAGGTCATGTCATGTCAAGTCTATGCGAATCCCTCCCACGGACCGGGTGTCTGCGCTCTCTCGCCGAGTCCCATTAATCCGCCAGCTAATCCATTCATCCTGCGATCGAGGATATCTTCCTCACTGTCGAGAGAACTAATGCTTCGTCCACGGGGACGGGTTGCAACCGGGCTCTCCGGTGCGCTATTTGTCTCATCTGGAGAGAAATAGTCGATTCGGTGAGTTAGGTGGAAGTTTTTGGTTGCAGTTGGCTTGTCATTCAATGTCGTCAGCCGTCCTGGGAGCTCAGACCATGATTTCTTGTTTCGGGGACGAGAATCTGCCGCATTCTCAGGTTGTGTGATTGGTGTTAATTTGCCAATACTCATTTCCAGAGGCCGATCCTCATCGCCTGATGATTCCCCCGTGAGGCTGCGGTAGTGATTTCGGCGCTCGTAAATGCTATTATCAGTGCGCATGGTCGAATTTGGTGACCTTCCGGGCCTGCTCATGGCATGCCTATTGGTCGATTGGAGGAGACTTGACTGCGGGCTCCGCTTGCAGGCTGCATCAAACAGATCTTCAATCCATTTCGCACTGCGATGGATATACTTCCATCCCTCGGGGAAGAAGCCGGCCATCTGCATAAATCCATGCGATACCCCCGGGATCAGGGAGACCTCCACGTGGTCCTTCTCATGGAACTGGCGCTGTGACTTTTCCAACCCCAGATCCTGGCGTTCACGGAACAGATCCAGTTTCGCCTGGCGCAAACGGCCGGCAAAAATCACCGTATCGTCGACTAGTGGATCGCGCTCGCCGGTTAGAATGTATGTTTTGGGGAACTTGGCGAGTAAGGCAGCTGGGGCAAGGACTGGAGAAAGCCAGAAGTCTGTGTTGAAGTCTGGCCGATGGTGTGGTCCGATATACAGGATAATCATGGCACGCATCATTTCGGGCGTGAGGATACGGTCATGGACATAGGAGATCATTGATGAGACGGCAAGTCTGGTCCGCAGAGGCTGGACTTCGTCTGTCTTCTGTGCGGCGACGATATCGCTCTTCTTGATTCTCTCTTCCAGAGATTTGGCTACCTCGCTTGGCACATCAGTTTGTTTGTCTTTCTGCTCGCCATTTGAGGGAGCGAGCTCGGTCAGGGCCTCAACGGAATGACCAGGCGAAGTGAAAGGCGTCAACTTGCGATATTGATCCCGTTTTCGCTCAAGAACACTGCGGTTCGTATGACTCGAGCTTTTATCCTGAATCAACGACATCTGCTCATCGGTCATCCAGCTCGCAACCTGCATATTCAGTGCCGGATACGCGAGTACAACGCCATCCGGTCGCGGGAGCACATCGTCGCCTTGCCAACCCTGTGCCATAGCCGACTGTAGCGCCATCAAGACCATCCCCACTGCAAGGTTACCCCCGGCACTTTCGCCAGTGACCACCACACGCGGACGCGTCTCGCCACTTAGCCCCATACAGCGCCCGGAGGTACGGATGATGGCGTGGTAGACATCGTAGCACTCGTGCAGGGCATACGGGTATGCAAATTCGGGCGCTTTTTTGTAATCAATACTCAATATCGGCACTTTGAGCTGTCCCGCCCAAGCAAGCAGTTTATCCTCGGAGTTGCGCGGACTCATGGCCACGAACCCGCCGCCGGGGACATCCAGCACCAAGCATGTCTGTTCCCGCAGCGCACTCAACGGTCCGTCAAAGTACAACCACGCATTCACAGGCTCGGTATGAACCGACTGCGCAGGACGTGGAATCCGAATTGCCCGCGGCGAGTACCTTGTCAACCGCGGGCGCACCAATTTCGCCATCGCCCACAGGTACGGTGTAGTTGCTTTATTCCACGAGACGCGCAGATGCTCGACGGTCAGGGTGGCGCGCACGCGACGAACTTTATCATCTGCACGCTCCGCAGCAACGAGATAGTAAACGGTGAACACGAGCGATGCCAGATCACGCAGCCACTTGGGCTTGATTTTCATAGCGGTCCAGAAGCCCGCGTCGAGGCCGGTAGCGATCCATGTTGCGCGGAAGAACGAGCGCGAATACAGATTGGACAGCGGCTCGGGGGATTCCAGACCGATGATCTTGGCGAAGTTGCGGCTGACATATAGATAGAGGAAGATGATCACGGTTGTCTGCCAGGTGGTCAACTGGCCTGACAGGCGGGAGGAGATGGAGCGGAAGAGCGGCGGGCCATGCTTGTGGGCTCTATGACGGGTGTTAGTGAACAGCTTGATTATTGAATATAAGTTGGTTCGGTAGCCTTGCCTCCAGAGATATAGTGACCAGAAAGAGACCACGGCGAACACTTGGATCTTGCGGAATCGGGTGGAGGGTCTGCCCAGGACGTGGTCTGTCCATCTGGGTTAGCGACTGCCCATATTCAGGGTAAGGTATGTCGTACCTATCATGGCCAGCAGTAACTGTACAATCCTCTAGTCTATGCAGAAGAAGAATCACCAAAGAACAACCCGAAACCACAGTTCACCATGTCAAGTCACCTTCACATGTAAGATTTCACATGTCAGACTACTGGCTAACATGTGAAAGGTGCCTGAGGCAGAAATTCATGTGACAGGGTAGGGTAGGAGGAACGAGTTGAGAGTTCATGAATAATGTTAGTCACGTTACGGGAGAAAAGGGGTTCACGGTTAGGTATCTAATGTATGACCGAGACAATTCCTCAGGCAAGTTCATAGCTTCAAATGCCGCCGTCCACCGCACACTCTTTAGATACCGTGCAAACTCTACCATGAGGTCATGTGTACAGTGTCTGCCGGATATCCACCGGCGAAACAGATAGTACATACGGTGGTATAGTCATGGAGTCAAGCAAGTATTCTCACCATCCCATCTATTCCTCACAGCTTGCGGCACCAGTCCCGCCCATGCGCAATCTGCCAATTGCACAACCACACCTCCCACCCCATACTCAAGAAGCCGGCAATACAGATGCCCGCCGAGTCACTGACGGTGGTGGCACCGAGCGAAAACTCCCGCTCCTCAATGGGCACACGCTCCCCAATTTCGGCAAAGGTGTTGACATAGACAATGCCGCCGAGCAATCCCTCCCAGAAGATGATGATGAAGACAAGCCAAACGTTGGGAATGAAATTGAAGAGCGCTTGCAATGTGAAGAGCAGCAGATTGACCACCTGCAGCAAGGCGGGGATGTAGACGTTGTGAATGCGCAGGAATGGAGTCGATGACCGAGATAGCCAAGCGCCTATCTGATAGACGGCATTGTAGGCAGGATAGAACGAGCGGAAGTGGGAGAATGGCGAGTCGCGCAGGGGGAAGAGAAGGGTAGGGTATACACCCTGGTTGATCACGTACTCGGCGATGAAGACGATGAGCAAGGGGACCATGCTGGCGTGGGCGAGTTAGTAACTGTAAGGCCAAGATAAGGTAGTTGAGAAAGAACATACAATGGCAGAAACAGCTTCCGCATGCGCTTCAAGCTGGTCTGAACATGCACCCACCAGGACGAAGCCTCGTTCACCCGGATGTCTTTATGGCTGTCTGTTGAATGGACCGCCACGCCGAGCAGCCCGTCGCTCTCTGTACCAGCGTGATCACCATCCAGCCCATCCTCCGCGAGCAATTCCCCGCGCTCAACGGCAGTATATCCATCCTGCGCAAACTCCGCCCGTAGCACCTCACGTGGTAACACGACAAAGAACCCAAAAGCCATAGCAAGAGGTAAGCAAGCCGAAGCCAACAGCGTCGTGCGCACCGAGAACCCCATCAGCGAAGTAGCCAGCGCATAAACACCCGCACCCACGAGTCCCGCCGCACCCGTCCCGCTACTCCACGAAGCAAGACTAAACGGCCCGTAAAAATGGGTTAGGGCCATAAAGCTCAGCTCGCCGCCGCCAGCGGAGAAACTCGCCAGGATAATTCCCGAGATCTTGCTGGCGATGGAAGAGGAGTCGGTTGAGCTGGGGCTCAGTGCCACGACGAGCATCCCGATTGCTGAGAGGAATACGAAGATGACGATGCGGACTGCGTAGGGGACAAGGTGGATAAAGTACGGGGCTGTGAGCTTGGTTGCGAAGGCGGGGATAATGGCCGCGACGAGGATGACACCTTTTGGTACGTCGCCGCCGACTAGGTCCTGCGCTGCGGAGAGGATGATCACGTAGAGCACGTTGTTGACCAAACCTGCCGGTTGTCAGCTCTCTGTCTCGTTAAGAGGCTATCTAGGTATTCCCACCAAACAGCCAAAAGGCGATACAGACTCGCGGGTCTGCACCGCTAAACGGCGCTTTCAGCTTCTCCCAGACGCGAGTCCATCGCGACGATGCTGGGTCTGCGCCGGCGGCGGAGGTCAGCATCGGGGCGTCCTCGGTGGACGCGGGCGGTGGCATATCTGGGAGACGATGGGTGCGTTAGGGGGGAGAGACAACTACTGTTAATAGTAACGGCCGCATGGGGGCTAGTTGGTTATGGGACCTGTGTCATGAACGAAACTCAGGGGATGAAGGTGAGTGGGTGAGTTGATGAGGCTGATCCACCGGGGGGAGAGTGGAGCACTACGTCAGGCGGGTAAACACCATACCCGAACTATACGGAGTTGAATGGGGAGAGAGTGGACTCCAGGAGAGAATATCTTGTAGTATGGTGTATTCAAAATGTGAAGGAGTGCTAGCACCATCTATGCCACGTATATTTCAAAGTAGATCATCATCGATACCATCTCTGTATCCAAATCAAGCCCCATTCTCCTTCTCGGCCTTGGTCGCAAACTCATCTTCATACGCCGCCATCGACGCCGAGCTGCGCACTCGCTGCAGCTGGCTTTCCACATAGTGATTCAAATGCTCGTCATCACCATCCAATCCGGGGGCGTTGCTGCCGCGGCGACTCTGCGGACTAGTGGTGAAGTCGTCGTCCAGAGTCGACGATGCAGCGGGTGTCATATCTCCTGCGATCGTTGAGTTGAAGTCGCTCCGGTTGCCAATTGATCGGGTAATGGACGACCGGCGCACACTGCGTCCCGGAGTTTGCGGGCGGCCGGTGCGCGAGAAGATATCGTCGAAGTAGTGGGATGCCGTGGCGAAGGGGGAGCGTGGGGTTTGCGGGAGACGGCAGTTGATGCTGTAAATCGTGAGTTTGAATATTACGGTGCATGGTAGATGGATTGACTTACCCCGTGTCATGAATCACCTTAGCGATCAACCCAGTCCAGCCGCACTGGTGCGACGCGCCCAGACCGCGGCCGGTATCGCCGTCAAAGAACTCATGGAACCACAAGACGTCCTTCCAGTGCTCATCGAAGTCGAGCAGGTCCGAATGGGCATTGACGGCGCGACGGCCCTCATCGTTGCGAGCAAACAGATGCTGCAGCCGGTGCTGGATCTCCTCCGCCACATGGCCCAGGTGCATGTAATCGCCCGAGCCCGTGGGGCACTCGACCTTGAACGAATCGCCATAGAACATGTAAAAGCGGAGCAGCGATTCAACCAACAGGAAATTGACACACAGCCAGATTGGTCCGCGCCAATTGCTGTTTCCCCCGAACAGAGCGCTATCTGAGTCGCCAGGCACATACCCCACCTTGAAGGTCTGGCCATTAACGTCCATGGAGTAAGGGTGCTCCTCGTGGTATTTGGACATGGAGCGGATGCCGTGTTCTGACAGGAACTCGGTCTCGTCGAGCATGCGCTTCAGGATCATCTCCAGTCGGTCCTTGCTCACGAGCGACAGGAGCAACCGCTCATCCTTCCCGCGCTTTTTAATGCTCGCGATGTTGCGTTCGGCGACATCCGCCTTGTTCTCAATGAACCAGTTCAGTCGGCGCTTGAACGACGGGAACTTGTTGATGAGCTCCGGCTCCAGGGTGAGCACTGCATACAGCGGAATCAGACCCACTAGTGACCTCACGGGTAGCTGTTGGGTCCACGGTCCCCCATAAGAGATGGCATCGTAGTAGAAGCTGGCTTACTGTTAGTCACTCCTTGTGTTGGGAACTTTCCACACTCACTTGTCTTCTTCATTCCAAAGGGACTTGATATTATCCTCTCCAGATCGGAAAGTCATCGCGTCGCTAATGAGGATGAAGTGCTCAAAGAACTTGGATGCAACTGGAATGACGATCAGCACGGAGACACAAAATCATGGGCGCCGACTTACTGTCTTCATATGTACGTCGATGCTTAGCCAACTCCAATGCAATATTGAGCATGCACAAGCAGTAAAACGCCATCCAGCCCGTACTATCAGCCTGCTCCAGAACACCACCTGTGGGCAGGGGCTCCGAGCGATTAAAGAGACCAATATTATCCAGACCCAAGAAGCCACCCTCGAACACATTCTTACCATCGGAGTCCTTGCGGTTCACCCACCACGTGAAGTTCAGCAACAATTTCTGGAAAACACGCTCCAAGAAGTCCAGATCCTGTCGACCGTACATCTTGCGCTCGATCTTGAAGGTACGGAACACGGCCCACGCGTGCACGGGCGGGTTCACATCGCCAAAGTTCCACTCATAGGCTGGCAGCTGGCCGTTCGGGTGCATGTACCATTCGCGCGTCAAGAGGTCCAGCTGCTTCTTGGCGAAGTCGGGATCGATCATCGCCAGCGGGATGCAGTGGAACGCCGTATCCCATGCCGCAAAGAATGGGTACTCCCACGAATCCGGCATTGACAGAATATCGTCGAGGTGCATATGACGCCACTGCTGGTTACGTATGTCCTTGCGCCCCGGCGGAGGCGGAATTTCCGCCGGATCTCCATTGCTCCATTGATCCCAGACGAAGTGGTAGTACTGCTTCGTCCACATCATGCCCGCAAAGGCCTGGCGCTGGATATTGCGCAAATCCTCGCTCATGGGCAGTGGGTTGATGCGATAGTAGAAGTCGTCCGCCTCGGCAAGGCGCTGCTCGATCACATTGTCCAGCTTTTCTTCGTCGACAAATCCCTCCTTTTTCCGGGAGAAGCGGAAGCGAACGACAGCACACTCGCCTGGCGGCACTTCCTGGCCGTTGTCAAAGGCGTACCACGCCGCAAATTTCGTGCCCTCGTTGGCCGGGTTGACGGCTCCTTTCTCCTCATCGACAATGTGACGGTGAAAGGCATCCTTGACGTATGGCTGATCGTTTGGCTGATCCCACAATTTCGTGTTATTGCTTTCGTTCTCCGTGAACAGCATGCGCGGCTGGACATCTACATCGCTCGACCCGACGGGCGGCGACGGTGCAAAGCAGGCATACCGATCCCCGAGCTTGTCGTGGTGAGATTTCACCACCAGCGACCCATCCTTCTTGATGGATGGCTTCTTGCCCTGCTCCTCGTAGCCCCAGGACCAGGTATTGCGGAACCAGACGTGCGGCACAATGTGCAACGGGGCGGGCTCGGGCCCCCGGTTGTACGCGATGACCCGAAAGAGCAGTTCGTCCTCATCGTCGGCCTCCTTGGCCGTCTCGATGAAAATGTCCCAATACCGGTTTTCATCGAACACGCCCGTGTCGAGGATCTGGTATTCGCGCTCCGTGCGGTCTCGGCGGGCGTTCTCGTCAATCAATTGCTGGTAGGGGAATTTCTTCTGGGGGTATTTGTAGAGAAATTTCATATAGGAGTGCTAGACGGGAGGTCAGTCTCTCGCACTTGGTCACAATAGTTCGTGGGAATTTTTACCGTCGGGGTGTTGTCGACATGGAAATGGGCTTCCTTGATACTCTCACCATGGTTGCCCTGCGGATTCGACAGGCCAAAAAGACGCTCTTTCAGGAAATCACTGGGTCGAGATCAGTTCCGATTCTTCATTTCCAACCTCGACTGCACCTACTCCTCTCCGTTCCAGAATGCGAACGCGATGTTCTGCAAGTTGTGGGTGTCCGAGACACCGGCGATGCCATCCTCGCCCCAGCGATAGGTGCGCGACCGAGCATGCTCATGCGAAAAGTCTGAGAATAGTCAGCAACTACTTTTCTTTTTCCATCCCCGAAGACTTACAACTCCAGGCGTCACCGTCCGCCCTGGGTCGTGTTAGCTCTGCTCTCCACAATTTTCTCAAGTCCATCACTTACGAATAGTCTTCGCGCACTAGATTGACACTCCGGTTAGCACAATTGATCTCCATAGAGGATCAGTGAAACGCACCGGTCGCCCATTGTCGCTCGGCCACGTACGGGCCCCAGCGCTTCCAGTACCTCGTGCGCTCGCGGTCCTCCTTCAGGCGCTTCTCCTCTTCGGTGAGGTACTCGTGCTTGTCGATCAACACCATGGCGGAGGGATGATCGGGTTAGCTACGAGCAATGGCAGAGAAAGAGAGGGAGAGAGAAAAATAGAAAAGTGGAAGACAGCCGTCCGGGAAGCAGGATGGAGGGGCAGGATTGGTCTAGTTCATCCTGCGCATGACGGCATGGGTGGATCCTATCGGGGTTCTGATCTGGGGCTTGTGATTGGATGTGGACGGGGTCGATTGGGATCTCGAACTGATAAGCAGTTACACTATGCAAAAAAGCAGGATTATTCTGGTTGGGCACGCATGTACTCCGACTCGGGGAAGTGGATATCCAAAACGATAGACAGAAAAAGACACCCCCTAACACGCCAACTGGACTCTCCCACCAGTCCAGTGATCTCCATTCTGATTATATAGAAGAAAGAGAGAGAAGAGGGGAAAAAACACAAGGACTGCGGAACGGGAATAGGATGAAAATCACGAGTCATTCTCCTTTCCTTCCTCCTCCTGCTGCTGCTTCTGCTGCTGCTGCTCTTGGTGCTGGGACTCGTGCTTGTCCTGCTGAGTAGCTAGAGAGGAGTGTTAGCGAGCCGAGACAGGATCCCAGACGATCGGAAAGAGCTCACCAGTCTCCGTGCTCTCCTCTTCGATCTTCTCCGGACTGTCGTTGGTCCCGAGCTGGACCGACTGTCGCGACTTGAGACGATTCTCCGCCTCGCGGATCCGGGCCTGCAGCTCTTCCAGCTGCCGGCTCTGGATCATCATCTGGTATCTTCTGTTCCGGTGGTTAGCACCAGGGAAGCACTGTCGCGGGACGCAAAAACCCACTTCTGGTCAATGCTATTGGAAAGGTCGTCGACTTCCGAGTCCAAGGAGAAGGCGCTGTCCAGCGCTGACGAGAAGGCCTGCGCCATGGTCCTACCATGCACCGTTAACACCACGTCCTACAATACCATCCACGGGGGGACGCACGACTGAGGCCGAATCCTGGGCTTCCACTCCTGCTCCGCGTTGGACATGATGTATACTCGAGAACCGCCTGCGCACTCGGTCACTGGCTGAGAATCGCGGCGCGTGTTGCAGTCCAGGGGTGCCTCTCAGGCGGTCGAGCGGGTTGGTTTGTATATGCGACCCTGAGCGGGGCAAACGTCAGGGACCCCGGATTATAAGTAGGGAGCGGGTGATAGGGGTATCGTCGAGACCCGGACCAGCTGAGGATAGGTCAGACAGCGGGTTCCGGCCAGAGATCGAGCGTGCCTGGACCCGTCAGTTGGACCCCTCGCTCATCATCCTCGGCGATCGGGCCATCAGGGGAGGGGGACATACCGCAGGGAGAAGGGGAGTGGAAGAATGCCGATGGTCAGGGACACACGGACGCGAATCTGCACTGGGTCTGGGTGGTGGGAAGAGGAGCGAGAATAGTAGGGAGAGGGAAAAAAGAGGGAGAAGTTGAGAGGGCGATGATCGAGAGGACTAGTAACGAGCCCACCGACTATATTACTAGCCGCCGCCCAAGATATCTCCACCGCCATGTCATGACATCAAGGGATAATTGTTTGATAGGCTACATATTTATAGGCACAACGGTACTACTCCGTCGGGATTATGATCTTAATTTCTGGCGTGCACTATAGATCGAGGCTGTCCCGCGGGATCCCAGATCGTGCCGCACGAGGTGTTAGTGCCCGAAAAGGGGTGAAGCCCACTCGCCGGGAGCTAGTTGGAGCATGAAGCCCCTGACAGTCCAACGTGGGGAGAACAGTCGGAGGGTAGGATCAGTATCACATTTCCGAATAATAGCACTCGTCGTCTACCGGGAGTTCCGCCTAACCAACACCCGAGGGACTCACTCCCCCCATCCCACCCAGATCCCTCCGGTCCTATAGTTCCTCCCATCCCTCTGTTTACTCGATCGCCCGGCAAACCAAGGATGACCGCCGATCCCCACGTGACTGTACGGTACCCCGGTGACCATACCATACCATACCACGCACTTCTGCCCCAGGCACCCACGCACCGAGTCTGCACACCTTGACCTTCCGTACACCTGGGCTGTTCGCGATTTCCATCTCCAACCACGCGCTCTTTCTCCATCATCATCCAACCCGCCATCTCCCCCACCGCCTTTCCATCTCGTCTCGCCCTTCTTCCTTCCTCTATCCACCCACGCATTTCTCATCCCCTTCTTCCGCTCGCGTTCCTCCCTCGCTCGTTTCCCCTTGCGCGCATGGACTGAAGGGGCTATGCCTGTCTGGTCCCTGGTCGGTCGCGCTCGCTTCTCCAACTGACAGACTCCCGACTAAAGCCTGCTCGCCCCAGCTGGCCCGTGTGACTTGTCATCGTGGCCCCAATCCCCAAACCTTTACCCCCCAGTGGCCGATCGGACGGGCAATGGGGGATGCCTCCTCTGTCGGCCTACACTCCATTTGAGTCGCTCCTGTTCTTCCAGTCGCTGGCGACGTCCGATGATCGCCCAGCCAGCTTTGGGTCCATCTCGGCTCTGTTGCGCAGCAACCCCTTCGTGCGCCAACATGTAGCCTTCAACGCCGACCGACTCAGCTCGGAGGCCCTGGAGGATCTGTACGCGACACTCCTGCGCGAAGGCTACGATCGGGATACTCTAGGCGCGAGCAACCCCAAAAAGCGCAAGATTTCAAGCCCAAAGCCGGACGGATTCGCCGACGGAGTCACCCATGCAAAGCTCATCCCGGAACTCGTGTCGCATTTGTATGCCAGATACCGGGAGCTCGTCACCAAGGAAATCCGAGATGACGAGAAGAGGTACATCGAAATCAAGAATGAGCTCGATCGACTGCAGCAGGAAGCGCGTAAGGCGGAACCTGCCAAACTCGAGGACGTTCCTGAACCGATGGACATTGACGTGAAGGAAGAGACGCCGCACCATGAGGAACCAGGAAAAGCGTTGGCAGGAACTGTTCCAGAGGAGGCTGTGTCTACAGGACAGGAAGCTCAACCATCCGTCAAAGACATCGCGAAAGAGACGACTCTTCTAGAGAAGGCCGGACAACAACAACCACCGTCCATCAATGGCCAACACCCTCTACCAGGAAGCCAACCTGCGATTGCGCCACAGGCACAGCCAGTCGCTGCAGCGACACCAGGAGCAGCGGCTCAAGCTGCTCGGGCGACCGCCGCCCATCCTTCCCAACTTCCACCTCGTCCCAATGTTTCTGTGGCACCGACGCCCACTGGAAAACCCGGTCCTGCAGTTTCCACCCCGTCTACAGCTACTTCGCGCGTGCCAGCACAACCGACTTTCCAACAATGGCAGCTGGAACCATCTCCTCAATCTCCATACCCCGCCATCCCCCCCCGGCGCGGCTGCACCACAAGCTGGCCAGACGACTGGCAAACATCCATTACCACCTATTTCCACCGCTCAACCTCCCTTAATTCCATCAACACCGGGTGCATCATCGGCTGCTCACACCCCAGTACCCCTCGGGCATGCTCGTATGTCCCAAACACCGAGTGCCACCGCCCTATCGTTCTCGGAGTCTCGTCGTGGTTCCCGCCCACGGTTGTCCATTGACACACCTGGTTCCTCCACGCCATGGAGAAGGACTCCCCGTTTGAGCATCCCCGGTTCGCCGGTATCCCCCGTGCGCCCTGGTCCAGACGATGTCAGCCCTATCAGTGAACGAGCCCCTTCTCCTGGTGATGAGATTGAAGCATCCCCGCGTGGTGGTCGTGCCGCAAAGAAGACTCGGCGTGCCGCTGCTGCAGAGGACAAGGCTGGCCCAAAAATCAAAACCGAAAAAGAGGCGAGCCGGAGGAAGCGCGCTGTGAGCGCCGCTTCGTCGCGCAGTCGCAGGCAGTCTGTGAATTCGCGTGATGAGGAGTCTCCCGAGCCTCCAGAAGACGTGGACCGTGACTTGCGGCGCCGCAAGGATGAATCACTCGCCAAGAGTCGCTCTAAACGCAAACGTGGCCCGAGTGAAGCCGTGGAACAAGAGCCGCTTCCCCCCGAGACTCCGAAAATTGACACAACGCAATATGTCCTGTGTGCTCGTGGTTTCCACAGGACTGCCCAGACAATCTTGAACGACGTGACCATGCATAAACTCGCTTCGATTTTCGCAAAGCCGCTGACAGAGCGAGACGCGCCGGGATACCATGACCTCATCTACCGTCCACAAGATTTGAAGTCTATCAAATCCGCCGTTCACCAGGCCAGCAAAGCAGTCTCCGCCGCAGCCGAGGCAGTCAGTACCCCAGCCGGTGACGGCGAGTCTCCCGCTCCTGCGGCCGGGACGCCAACGAGGAGCGGCATGCTCCAATTGCCCAAAACAGAGGATCTGATCCCACCCAAGGGCATCGTCAACTCGGCGCAGCTGGAGAAGGAGCTCACCCGCATGTTCGCCAATGCTATCATGTTCAACCCTATCCCGGAACGCGGCTTCGGTCCTGCCTTCCCGATGATCAGCGACCGAAGCACTCGTGAGAGCACCGAGACTTCCGGAGGCGACGGCGACGAAGGCGGGATCATCCAGGACTCGCTGGAGATGTTCGATGATGTCGAACAGGCGGTCAACCGGTGGCGTGCGGCCGAACGGACAGCGGATGAGCTGGCCAACAACAAGAATATACTGTCTCTCCGGCGCGGCAGTGCTAGTGATTTCAACACCGATAGTGCGGATGACGCTAAGGGGTGATGGATGGCTGGAGGCTTGTAATGCTGTGTCTGATTAGGATTTGAATTGAATTAACGACTACTTTATACTGTTCTATCCCAATGCATCCACGCAGAGCTGTAAGCAGGTGGAATGTTTCTTCTGTGGCTTCGCGAGTGGAACGTTGAGTCCCAACCTCATATGGTCCCTAGGGACGAGATCCTTCTCGATAAATCAGGGATACATGAGATCAAGATGATGCTTAAAATATAGCTACGAGGTTTGTTCTATATCTGTCTGCTACCACCCACACCAACACCATCAAGTACACCTTCAACATGCCATATATCTCAATTTTAGTATCGTCTCGTACACTTCAAAGACAGACCTGCTGCCGTCTATTCGCGGGGGTATATCTATTTTCTTTGATCATCAATGCCAGCAGCAAGAACCACCCTCACGCCGCACCACTCAGCGCCTGCTCCGGCTTCGTCCTCCCCAAACCCTCCTTCGCATAAAAGTCCATTGGATACACGCCCTTATTCTCTTTATCCCAATTCTCACGCACACCAAGCGCCACCAGCGCTTCATACGGCGTCAGCAGCGGCCGCGGGAACGCATACCCCCAATCGATACTCAGCCGGGGACAGGCGATCTGTACCCAGCACTCAACCTCCGACATGGCAGCCAGCTTGCCCGGGAAAATCTCCGAGAGCAATAGATTGACGACCGGGATGCCACGCTCATGCAGGTGGTGCTCGATCATCGCCATCGTGTGCGGGTTCCCCTGTCTCCCGAGCGACCCGAGAATAATCCCCCACTTGCGCGCCTTTTTCGCAGAATTGATCGCGTCGCGACGGAGGGTGTGCATCTCTTCGTGCTCGTATGTTTCGCGGGTGAGGGTGCGCGAGTACGGGTCGTAGCGGTAGGCGGGGATGGAGGGGTTGTGGATCATGGCTGATTCGAGATGGAAGCGGCCGTCGCCGAGGTAGAGGAGGATATCGATTTCCGAGTCGGAGAGTTGGGGGGAGGTGCAGCCGAGGATTTCACCTTTGGACAACGGTGTGATTTGCGGAATGACGACGCGGAAGCCCGCGCGCTCGAGGACGGGTTTCAGGCCGTGCAGCGTGGCATTGAATTGGATTGTGCCGACGGTGGCGATGGTCTTGCCTGGTTGGAAGTTTCGCTCGAGGGTTGCGATAAGGTGGTCGGTGTCGATGCTGATGTCGACAAAGATATACAGGGTTTTAATCTTTGTCACGTCAACGGGGATCAGGCAGCTGTGTGCGTAGTGGACTAGCAGATCGCAGCCCAGGGCTCGTGCGGTGTAATCGTCGATACAGCAGGCTCCGTAGGTGACATCGCCCATGATCAGCGTCTCGATGCCCGGGCAGAATTGGGTGAGGATGTCGGAGATGGTTGTGGCAAAAATCAGTAGGCCCTCGGGGAACTGGAGGGCCACGCGCTTGGCACCCGATGAACGGACGCGGTGTATGGTTTTGGGGATTTCGAAAGAGTAGTTCTTGGGTAGTAGCTCGATTGCTGCTTGGATGTCGGGGTCGTTGAGAATCTCTGGCGGGACCTGGTTCAAGGTGCGTGGTGTGCGCCTGGGTGCAGCTGAAGAGAAGGCGTTTAGTGAGTATACATACAAGTTGGGTATATCAGACAGTCGTACCTTTCTCCACGGCCGTCGACGACTCAACATCGGTTGCGGCGGGCGAGTCCCGGGCCTGGGCGGTTCGTCGGCCGACAAATCTCTTCTTGGGCTGGCGCAGTTGTGAGCCCGAAGGCGCATCTGCCGTGACACTGGACTCCTCCATGGTGAGTATACAAGGATGATGAAGAAAAGCCGATGTGAAGGTGATCGGCCAACTTTCTTCTTGCTGAGTCAGTCCCGCGCTAGTCCCCAACAGGCTAAGGCGCGCTCTCCGCATTGCCCCCCATGTCTTCATTGCTGGTCACGTTGCTCTTCCCAAGTCTTTGCTCTCCTCGGCTGCTCGCTTGGCTGCCTCTCTTTCTCTCTCCCTCTATCTCACCATGGCCTTCCGACCTCGAATGCGTCTTTTCTCGGCCCTTCGTGCCCCCCTCTGCACACGCCGTTTTGCAACCGACTCGCGGTTAACGTCGGACCATGTCCGCATTGTCGAAGTCGGTCCTCGAGATGGCCTGCAGAACGAGAAGAAGTCGATCCCGCTGGAGACAAAGATCGAGTTGATCGAGAAACTTGCCGGTACAGGCGTGACCACCATTGAGGCGGGCTCGTTTGTGCCTGCGAAATGGGTTCCCCAGGTGCGCAGCCCTCTGTCTAGTTAGCGGGGGAAGCAAGGACTGACTGACCATCTGCCCGGCGTAGATGGCAAGCACTGCCGAGATTTGCCAGCACCTTCTGACATCACCACCTCCATCTAAAGAGACAATCGCATACAACTATCTCGTTCCCAATATCCGGGGACTGGAAAGCTTGGTCCAAGTCATGGACTCGACAGGCGTTCCGGCAGGCTCGGATTCCAAGTCCGCGACAACCACCGAGATCTCATTATTTGCTGCTGCCACCGAGGCTTTCTCCAAAGCCAATACGAACTGCACCATCGCCGAGTCGCTAGAGCGGATCAAGCCGATCGTCGCACTGGCCAAGACCAAGAACATCCGGGTACGAGGGTATGTCTCAGTGGCCCTGGGATGTCCCTACGAAGGGCCCGAGGTCGACCCGTCCAAGGTGGCTGATATTACCGCCACGCTGCTAGAGATGGGTGCAGACGAGGTGTCGGTGGCGGACACGACGGGCATGGGCACGGCACCCCGCACCATGACCCTCTTGCAGGCGCTCAAGGCGGCTGGAATTGCCAACTCGGACTTGGCGCTGCATTTCCATGATACCTACGGCCAGGCTCTGGTGAACACGATTGTGGGCCTAGAGCATGGTGTGCGCATCTTCGATAGCAGCGTAGGCGGACTGGGCGGGTGCCCTTACTCCAAAGGTGCGACGGGGAATGTCGCGACAGAGGATCTGGTGCATACCATCCACAGTCTGGGCATGCACACGGGTATCAATCTGGAGGAGATGTCGCGGATCGGCTCATGGATCAGTGAGGAGCTGGGCAGAGCCAACGACAGCCGGGCCGGGAAAGCGACGCTCGCTCGACTGTCAACATAAAACGAACGGACTGCTTGACTGTGTTATAGCCCTGGAGTGTCTTGAACGAGTGACTCATTCTTCTCAGCGTAATTACAATTGCAATGAACAAATACAAAAGTATTGCAGTCGGTGATTATATACAACCATCTGAAAATAATTTATGAGGCAACCAACGCCAATCCATGCAATCCCCGAGATATATTCCATTTTTCGATGATCGTCCCTCAGAAATCCGTCACCCTCCCACCATAGCTCCAATCCCCTTCGGACCCCCATCGCAACGGCTCATTCTTCGGTCCACCCACCTCGCCCGTCTTGGGATTCTTTTCGCCGTCGAATTCCGGCTTCAAGCCCGCCGGCGCATCCGGGTGTAGCTCGGCACCATCGCCGCTGGCCTTGATCTCCGTCTGCGGGGACTGGTTGACTTGGGGTGTGCTGAAAGCGCCCGTCGAGCGTCGTTGGAGCTCTTCGAAGATCTCTTGTTCTTCCTTGGGGAGCCGTGGTGGAGCTGGGCCGGTGGCGAAGGCGTTGGATGGTTTGCGGTCGTTGTTTGCCTGGCGTGGGATTTGGGTGGTGGAAAATAACCGAGGGGCCGTTGCTCGGAGATGGAGGGGAATAGTGCGGCGAATAGCGAGGGAGGACAGCATGGTGAAGGAAATGTATTGTGTTGGGTGTTGAGTGGTGAGAGTGGTGTGAGTGTGTGAGAGAGAGAGAGAGCAGAAAGAAGCAGGTGACTAAACTCGGGGCAACTCGCCGATCCCGATAAGTGATCGCGGCACTTTTCTGCTCCACTGGTTGCTGATTGACTCACCCACTGAAGTACTAACAAATACCGCGCCCGGCGCAATTGAGGTCAATTCGCTTGTGTGCCCTCTCAATTCATCATGTCTGTCCTTCGTGTCGCCGGGCGCCGCCTGCCTCGCGCGGGCAAGTTCTCTGCTATGGTCATGGAGTCACCGCTGCAGCGCCGATGGGCGACGAATGTCACTCAGGACCTGAAGGCACAAGCACAGGTACGGAATGATTGGAAATCACGGTAGGCAACGACTAACAGCACGACAGAAGGAGGCCTCGCTCCCGAACCCTGACCCTGCCCCGGATTCCCTCACCATGTCCTTTATCCAAGAGCGCACACCCTACATGGTCCCGACCTACGTTCGCCCGACACCGATGATGATGAAGGGACAGGGTTGTTATCTGTGGGACATGGAGAATCGGAGGTACCTGGATTTCACGGCCGGAATTGCGGTCAACTCCCTCGGTCACTGTGACCAGGAGATTGCACAGATCATTGCGGAACAGTCTGAGATTCTCATTCACGCCTCCAACCTCTACCACAATCCCTGGACGGGCGCTCTGAGTCAGTCTTTGATCAAGCTGACCCACGAGTCGGGGGCGATGCGTGATGCGGCGCAGGTCTTCATCTCCAACTCCGGCACCGAAGCCAACGAGGCCGCCATCAAGTTTGCCCGCAAGGTTGGCCGGTCTCTGGACGAGTCTGGCGCCAAACACGAGTTTGTCTCGTTCCACAACTCCTTCCATGGCCGCACCATGGGCGCTCTGTCCGCGACCCCGAACCCCAAGTACCAGACTCCCTTCTCGCCCATGGTGCCGGGGTTCAAGTACGGCAACTACAATGATATCGAGCAGCTCCAGAGCCTCATTACGGACAAGACATGTGGTGTGATCATCGAGCCGATCCAGGGTGAAGGAGGCGTGAACGTCGCGACACCCGAGTTTCTCGTAGCTCTGCGTAAGCGCTGCGACGAGGTCGGGGCTGTCTTGATCTTTGACGAGATTCAGTGCGGATTGTCCCGCACCGGCACTTTCTGGGCTCACGCTCACCCGTCTCTGGCTCCACCTTCAGGACAGGCTGCACACCCAGACATCCTGACCAGCGCCAAGGCACTGGGCAACGGCATTCCGATCGGCGCAACCATCATCTCTGGCAAGACCGTTGCTCCGCACATCAAGACGGGCGACCACGGCACGACGTTTGGAGGAAACCCGCTAGCCTGCCGCGTGGCCCACCACATCGTGGAGCGGCTCTCGTCGCCGTCGCTGCAAGCCTCCGTCAATGAAAAGTCTGCGCAGTTTGTGTCTGGATTCCAGGCCCTGGCGAAGAAGTATCCGGGTCTCATCGAAGAGGTTCGCGGCCGTGGTCTGATTCTCGGCGCGCAGTTGTCTCCCGAGTATGCCGACAAGGCGGGCGATATTGTCAACGCCGCCCGCGAGAGGGGTCTCCTGATCATCACGGCGGGCAGTGGGTGCATTCGCTTCGTGCCTGCTCTGACTGTCACCGAGGAACAGATCAAGACGGGCTTGGGCATCTTGGACCAGGCCCTTGCCGCTGTTCTCCAGTCATGAGCCTCTCCCTCTGGCTCTTTCGGATTTTTCGTCGCATCTTGTTTGATATACCATTTCGTTGTGGCCGCCTATACTTTTATAAATAGAATAGAGCAAAAGTTTCATTGTTTTTCTTATTGACTGTTCCCGATTGCTGTCCGGAGATAACCAACCCAAACCCCGATACATACACATTCTCCCTTCATTATCCTCTACCTAATTCTGTCCTCGCGCAATCATGGTTTTCCCAAGTCTAGGATGCCTGACATGCAAGAGGCGTCGCATCAAGGTACACAGTGAATCTCTGACAGCAACCCATGTCCATCACTGAACAAATTGCAGTGTGATTCCATCCGACCCATCTGCAGCCGGTGCAGCAAAGCAAGTCGATCCTGTATTTGGAGATCCAACGAAGAAACAGGCCTGTCATTTCGGAGCGAGAATGCCTTTGCTCAAGGCCGACCGCGTCGTCCGAGAGGACATCCAGTCGCGCGAGTCGTGATAGACCCGTCGCCTGCATCCCCACCTACTATTCCACTCGAGACCCATGCATTCCACTATTGGGTTGAGCATTTCACGGCATGGCCAGATGACTTATTTGACATTGGACTCGAATACGGTACCTATGCGCTGCAGTACTGGACTTGCGCAGCCACGAACTCGAGTCTGCAGCTTGCCGTGTCTGCGTTTTCACTTGCTGTCTTTGGATTAGCGAGGAATGTGAACCAGGCTCTGGGGGATGCAGACAGAGTGTATGGCAAGAGTATTGCTCGAATCCGGGAGGAGATTGCGAATCTTTCGAATGGGACGATTGATCAGCTTCTTGTTGCGACGTTGCTGATGGCTAGTTACGATGTCTGTCCTGTCTTATCTCCTACTTGAAGCTGTTCTAACAGGTTTACAGAATATCATGCACCAACCTTCCTCAAGCCAGCCATCTGCAAAAGTTGACTATAGATTCTGGAAGAGCGCCTGCCATTGTACAGGCATTGGGGGTCTGTTTACAGGCCCGACAGCAGCAGGGATTTCCGCGGAATACGGATCTTGACAGTGCTCTACGAAGGCCTATAGTAAGATTTTTCTCATAAACTACCTTTCAATTTTACTAAAGTCGCTTTCAGATCCGCTCATGCATCCTTAGAGGTGTTTCTCTTCCACAATGGCTCCAAGATAACAAAATATTTATCGAGAATAGTCCGATATTAGAGCTTGATGCACTCATGATTCAGGCTGCAAATATTCGAGCCAAAGCTCAAAACTGTCTGCAAGAGGAGATTACTATATTCCAATTGGGCCAGTTGGATGAGCTGGTATTAGAGGCGCGGCAATTGGACTCTGCGTTTATCGAATGGGCCCGGCGCATTCCCTCAGACTGGACGTTCTTCGAGGGTTTACGCTCGACGGATACCGAGTACTCCTTGCATTGCTACACAGGCCACGGCTATGCTGCTATTTGGAATCGGTATCTGGCTGTTCGTCTGATTATAAACAGTCTTTGCATACGCCTACTTTCCACCGTATCCCGTATAACACAATCCACAGGCACAGAGCTGGAACGGTGCCAGTCGAATATCAACTCCCTTACAGCAGGTCTATGTCACGGCATTTCTTCCTTTTTCAACATGGCAGCCGCCCAACACAAGATCACTCCCCAGATGGCCATTGTTTTCGCCTGGCCCTTGACAGTGGCTATTAGCACCGAAGCAGTCCCGACAACCCAGAGAAAATGGCTGCAAGGCCGGCTGCATACCGTTGCGAGTGCCATTGGAGCCGAGAGTCTTCAAGCGGTTGCTGAGAGCGGAGAGTTCAATTTCTAGAAACACCTTCAACTTAGGAATGACCAGCAACGGGTCTGGCCTGATACGGCTCCTCTAGATACGCAATCTCCTCATCCGTCAACACCTTCCCTCTCAACTCACACATCTCCTGAACCCGCTCCACAGAATTGATACCCACAATCGGCACAACACCTTTACTCTTCAACCACACCAAAGCGACAATACTCATCTTCCATCCCTTCTTCCCCGCAACGTCCTCGACCCGTCTAATGATCTCCTCATCAACGGGCGTCATACCAGGATGGTGCGAACTGGGCCTCTTCGAGCGCGCCGACAGATCATACCCGACAGGTCTAGCAAGCCTCCCCGCAAACAGAGGTGACCACGGCACAAGCCCAACGCCTGTCTGTTTGCAGAACCTAATCATCTCGCGCTCTTCCTCGCGATAGCAGAGATTATAGTAGTTCTGCATGCTGACGAACTTGGTCCAGCCGCGAGACTCAGCTAGGAATTGCAGCTGCGCGAACTGCGTCGCCCACATTGAGCTGGCACCAATGTAGTGCACTTTTCCCGACTGCACGATGTCGTGGAGCACTTTCATTGTTTCTTCCGGTGGAGTGTGGGCGTCGTACCTGTGGATCTGGAGGACGTCGATGTACGAGATGCCCAGGCGTGCGAGGGAGGCGTCTACTGCTGCGAAGATTGCAGTTCGCGATAGACCTGCGGTTCTTGTTCAATATCGATACAATATTCAAATCAGGGTATATGGACTCACCTCCCAGATTAACATAGTCCTTACTCTGGTTTAGCTGCTCCGCATGCAATGGCCCAATAACGTCAGGCTCGTCACCAACATGGAACGCGCACTTGGTCATAATAACGACCTTCTGGCGGGGGATATTAAACTGCTGCAAGGCCTTCCCAATGACCTCCTCGCTGAGTCCATTGGAGTACGAGTTCGCCGTGTCCCAGGTATTAATGCCGACGTCGTAGGCAGCCTTGAGGACAGACAGGGAGGTTTCCTCGTCCAGGACCCACGGCACCAGCTTGGGAGCTCCTAGAGTCATTGTCCCGAGAATGGGCCATGACACGCGCAGACCAGAGGAGCCGAGCTGGACGTACTCGACTTTGGTGTCGGCGAGGGATTTCTGAAGGGATGGGGGAAGGGGAAGTTGGCCATTTCGAGTTGATGGGAACAAGAGTGTGTATATACACCGTTGGATCCATGGGTTGATGCCTTTTTATATTCATTCCAGATATCTTTCCACACGGCGTTACCCTTAAATCCAGCTCGTGCGATTATCAGAAAGCAGTACTTCGCGGGTTTTTCCTAATGCGGCCTAGCGTCTAGGTAGTATGCCTTGGAAGGTTCTTCATCTCGATCTGACAGAAATATTATCAATGGATATAACTAGGGACGTATCTCATAGGTACGATCTAAAAGTTATGAATAGTTCAGAGGTGCTCCGGATAGTTGGTGGGCCGGTTCACAGCCGTTCATGAGAAGGCAGATCCAAGAAGAGTCCCACCAAGGTCTGTGAGTTTGTGCGTATTTCACACGGCGATTCTTGATAACATACCAGAACTAGCTAGGCTAGAGTACGAGTACCGTTGACTTTCTTTCCCACTTTCTTCGCCAACGCACCATCTCATACGTCGTGTGGTTGATCCTTGCACCATCCAACAAGAGAGGAGAATCAAGCCAAAGAGCCGAGTCCCGTATAAATTGGCCATCAGCGAACCTAGGGGCTATATAGCCACGGGTCAAGTCTACAGGGCCCAAGTGTCTGGAAGAAATGTATCTGCAATTCACATAATGAAACAAAACCAACAAAGAAAGACAAAGGGAATTTCTCTAGACCCTTGATTTGGGCGATCACCACTTCAAGTCAATCCAACGGACGATGCTATATCTAGGTAACAACTCATCCTGCATAAATCCCCCACCATGAGGCTATTTTACATTCCACGGGCAATTTACAAGGCATCCGTCAGAGCCTTGTTCATCTTGGCGATCTTCGACGACACGCTCAGGTCGATGGTGCGGTCACCAATCTCAACAACGAGACCACCCACCAGATCCGGGTTGACCTTGGTGACGACCTTGAGCTTCTTGCCCTGGCTGTACTCGGACTTAGAGACGGCCTTTTCGAGGCGGGAAACGGTCTTGGCGTCGAGCTCCTATTCATGCCAATGAGTTTCCGTGGTAATTGATAATCAGGAAGGGAAGGGAATTACCTGAGCACTGGTAATGCTAAGCTCGATCTCACCACGGTGGGCGCTCATGAGAGTCCCGAACTTCTCGCACACACCCTCCAGGGCACCGAGACGGTTGTTCTCAGCCAGGGTGGCGAAGAAGTTCTTAAGGATGTCAGACTTGTCGGCACCGGCGACCTTCAGCAGCTCCTGGGTGATCTGCTGCTTGTCGGCGTTGCTCAGAGTCGGGGCACCGAGGATGGTGGACAGCTTGCGGTCGGCCTTGAAGGTCTCGCCGAGGTTGGAGATGGCCTTGGCGGTCTGGTCGAGGGCGGAGGACTTGGAGGAGGCGGTGTACTTGAGGGGATGTCAGTTGGGACGTTTCTCTTTTTGCGTGTGGTGTTGGAGATGACAGAAAGAGGGGGGGAAGCAGGGGCCGGGGAAACCGGGTAGACGCAATGCGGTAGCAATGCACACAGAAAACGTACCAGAGCAGTGGCGTAGGTGCCATCAACACCGAAGAGGGCCACAGGCGGGGTCACATCCTGGGCCGGGGTGGCATAGGAGCGGAGGCCGTTGATGGCAGCAGTGCGAGGGACGGCGAACTGCTGGGCGGAGGCACGCAGGCCAGCGCGGGCGACGCGAGCGGAGAGCATGTTGTCAATTGGCCTGAACAGAGCCTCAATGGAGAGAGGAAACAGGAGTTGAGGAGGTGGTGGAAGGGGAGCAGATGCGACAGTCGGGAGGGCGTCAATGGGCGAAGATGCAGACTGAGTTGTCGTCCGACTCTTTCCCGTGGTCACGTGGCTGACTCAACATTGCTTACGTAACTATTTACAGTGCTAGTGTAGAGTCTCTTTCACTTTCGAACCCACCAGGAGAGACACCCGGTCAGGGATGCTCTCCCTTATTTCGACTTTTAGTCCAAGGCTCCGGTGACCTCTCGCGTACTCCTCATCATAGGGATCCAACCGAGAGAGAAATTCCACCATGCGTTGATACCAGTGGCCCTGCAAGAATTCCATGATGAGAAGCCCAGATTTCTCAAAATCGGCTGAGAGCTCAGCGAGTAGGCGTTCATAGTCTTCTAGAAGCAGATGCTCTTCGTCCCGAATCTCCTCGACTTCGGTCTCCTCTACGCAAACAATAGAGTCATCATGCAGACCATCTCCTTTCCGACAGCACGTATGTCTCAGATCGAGCGCGTCAAAAGTCATCAGTCGGATGACCACTTGGTCCACTTCGAGACTCCTTTCAGATTGGCGAATGACAAAATGAAGCAGTTCCGGAAATCGATTAGGACCATTCATCTGGTAGTACCTGGGCGGGTGCTGGAGCAGATGTCGTAGCGCTGCGGAGAACGGAGTGCACCGGCCTGGCGAGCAGGCGCAAATACAGTTGTCCTGCTCCGATGCCTGGAACATGAACTTCAAAAATTCCAAAGGGTTCTGGGACTTGAAAGATTGGAAATTCAAGAGGAACGAATGCACCAATTCCGGATGCAAGCACTCGGCACTGTAGATACCCATGAGGTGAAGAACTGTCGCATTAGTCCCAGGCACCTGCCGAAAGGGGTCGGCGCCTTTTGAAATAAGCCATCTGGCTCTTTCCTGTGTGATCCTGCGCAGTCCCGACCATTTATCCATCACCATCAGAGGAGTTCGACCGGATGGATCTAGTAGCTCGACATTATCGAAACCAGCCTCGTATAGCTCATCTAAGGTCCTGGTGCGGAGGTAAAGGTGATGGTATACTGAGCGTGGAGGACCGGAGACTTGGAGTGCTGAGTCAATGCGTGCATCTTGGGCCACCAGCGTTTCGTATATCCGTGATGCAGTCATGTCTGGAACAGAAGAATCATTGTCCACTCCAATCCGAGCAAGGGTTTCTTGAGACAGATAAGCTTGAGCGAGTTTCAGTAATCTCCTGCGCCGGGATGCTAGTTCGGAGATGAGAAGCGAGGTGGTTTCGTTCCAGCCACTGGCCGATTCAGATTGGGATATGTCGACCAAGCTCAACGGACAACCCGCTTGAAGTAATATTTTCGCCGACTCGTAGTAGCCTCCGCGAATTGCAAGTGTCAAGGGAGATATGTGAGAACAGTCGTCCACGTCGGATCCTGCTACTAGCAGAATCTGAACGCCTTTGCTCCAGCCGATCGCGAGTTTCAGTAATGTTGTTTTCCCAATAACGTCGTTGGCGGAAGCTCTGCCTGACCGGAGCACATGCAGTAGGCCTTCTTCGGACTCTTCAATGATGCATTTTGCAACATCAGGAATGATAACCACTGTTTAACAACTCAATATCTGACGAAAAAGGCACTTTCAAACGTGGGTTCGCGTACCTTCTTCATTCTCACGAAGCACACGGCGCATATTTTCCTTGCTTATCCGGGATTGCGAGGCCGCATCAATAGTCATAACCCCACCACACTCGATCAACCGCGAAAGTAATCTGTATTCCTCATCCCCGAGCTTCACAGCCCCGACGAAACTGTCCAGCCCGGTTCTGCCCTGGGTGCGAGCCGAGTCCAACGAGACGCCTTGACTGATCAAGAACATGAAAAGCCTTGAGAATTCAACGAAAGCATCAGAATGCCATTGTGCGCCTGCCCAAAACGCGAGGCAAGCAGCCTAGTCATGCCAGTTAGAACTCACAATAACAAAGCATATACGGAAAGACATCTGGAGGTAAACATACATCCAAGAGAGAGCCACGGTCCGGGGTTATATCAGACGGAGTCAACCTGCGCGTCCCAAATAAATACCTGAGCTCTTCTATCGTATTGTCTACGAAGTCGGCCGGAGGTAGGGACTTCCCAAGCAACGGATATAAGCCGAGCGTACGAAACCCAGGGCCGTTCTGCGATACGGGGACTTGAAAACTCAGCGAGGGGGCAATGGACAAACCGCCGGCACCCCTTGTCAGGGAGAATGATGCCGCAATGGTGAGCCCCAAGAGCCGGCTGTGATAAGTGTAGTATTTCTTGACCACTGGATCGGATCGACGTCTCGGTGTCACCTCCCGTTGTTGATCACACCAAGAGAGGAGCAACTCCGGTGGCGGTGGTGAAGAGTGTTTGGGAATCTGTTGTAGTTCTAAATGCTTGAAGGAGAACTTAGCATGCTTTGCAGCCGAGCGTGGTGAATACCTACCATCGCCCGGACTTCACGAAGCAACTTCGTCTGCATCAGCACTAATGACGGGATGAGTCGTGTATTCTGTGCTGAGAATCTGCATTAACTGTCAACAATCCTCCTGGCTCAATCCAGCAAATGACGAGGTGCTATGCTCACTCACACATGAAGAGTAGTGTGCAGGTTGATTTGGACGCTGTCCAATTCATTGGCCAACTCGCGCAACATGTCTTTACGAAAAGGATATGCCGCCCTTTTTCCTTGAGCGCGGATTTTGTCGCGGACGCTTTCCGGTGAGATCGTGGGTCTCCATTTATGAATGGATGCTTGTACTCTTTCGATGCCTCCACGAAGTGCCCCGAGCTTTGTCTGTAGGTCCTCGGCGATCTCTGGATCCGTGAGTTGTGTTTCCTGGATTATTTCCCGAAGCGCCTCGAGTGGTGCTTCTAGGCCGTCTGCTTTGTTGGCCACCTCTTGGAGCTCTTGATGTATGCCCCGCCATGCCCGGCAATAGGATACGATCTCCTCCCGCACTTGGAGTCCCAACGAGATTACATTCAATGCAGTACCTAGTGCGGACAACGGGTCAGCCATAGCGAAAGCAAGATAGGTCGTGAAGGTTGCCAGGTTAGAAAAACAGGAGGTGTGGGGGGCTGTTTATAACGCTCGTATTTTCGCCTCTACGCGAGCCGCCCAAGTAAACACGGCCTGATAAAAGAAGCGCCACCCCACTGTCGCTCTACGGCATATAGCAAGTACGGAAATGCTAGGGTTCAATTGCATTAATGTCATAACGCCTGACTATCAATCGATGCATGCACCCCCCGAAACGCCTGGAGAAAACCCGAGTCTGACCATCCATCCATCAATCAATCGCTCTTCAACATGCTGTCCACCAGATCCCCCAACGGCCCCCAGTAATCCTTCCCACTCGCCAGCCGATGCTCATCGATAAAAAGCACATAATGCTTGAAGCTCGTGTTGAGATGCGGCTCCAGTCCCAAATGCACCACGACCGGGTAGTGATGGCAGTAGATATGGGCGTAGACACGGTACAGCCGCTTGAAGATCTGGCGGAGGAGACTGGGGAAGGTCTTGGGGAAAGGAACACCTGTTTGACGATTCACCATCAGCACATCTCAAATCTTCCAAAATACGATGACCACATACCAATCCGGCTGGGGAACATCTGCTCATTGTCGACGTTGCTTTGCACCCAGCTCATCAGGTGCTCGATATACTCCGGGGCCGACATCTTGGTCGGGCGCTTGTAGTTCTCGGAGTCCTGCCAGAGATATTCGAATTCGTCGGTGGCTTTCATCTCCGGGCATGTTTGCGGGGAGCAGAATTCCGTTATCGAGCCGTAGAGGAGGTTGATCTGGTTGTAGAAGTCGACGACTATCAACCGGTGGACAAAGATCATTAGCCTCTTTCCATCAGAAACTCAGCTCAACTACATGCAACCTACTATTCACAGCAAGCCATTCGTTCAGATCTTCTCCTTCCGGCAGCTGTACGGCCTTGCGGAGACTCCCACTCCCCAGAGTGGCCTCGGCGAACTGGCGCAGCTGGTAGCTGCTGGTGCCCTTGGCGGCAGACCGGGGTTTGAACGGTGCTCGTGTCCGTGCATTGCTGGGAGGTGTTAGTCCATAGACTCCTTGTTTGAGCGCGCGCACAGCGGGTGATAGGTAGGAAGGCGGCTCCAAGGCAGGGGCACGGGAAGTGCGGGTAGTCTGATAGAGGGGAGAAGAAGAAGAAGAGGAAGAAGGGCCGGAGGTGATGTGAATGGAAGGTGTAGGATGAGGAGGAGGCGAGCGCGACAGCGACTCGGAGGGGGTAGACAAGTGAACGGGAGCAGGGGCAGCGGGGACCGACATGGTGGTGATGAACGAAGCCATCTTGTGTTCTCTCGTTTCAGCGCTCAGGGTGGGTTGCGACCGGTCTGCATTCCAGTCAGGAAGTTAGTTTCCGTCAGTAAAACATGACGGAGGACCGACGACTCACCGAGGAATGTCTGCCAGTTCGGGCTTAGTGAGATGTGGTGGAAGAGAAGATGTTATCGTGAGATAAGTGACGGGTGCTGGGTTGCCCTGGCGACAACACTACATTCGACGTCAGACCCAACTATACAATATACAGCAGTAGGGGATGGCATATATTATATTTGATAGGATAAATTTGTACGAGAGTATCCCAACTAGATCGAGTATCCCTCATTCTCCTCAGGGGTTTGCTCACGCACAGTCTCGCCATACACTGTCAACGGGATCGAGATCTCAAACGACTCGCAGCCCAGCCGCTCCATCGCAGACATCACTTTGCCGCGATCATCAGCCGACAACGTTTCGAGCAAACCAATACCCGATGGACCAGGCCCCTGTTCGCTGGTGCTGCTGGCAGTCACAAACTCAAATCGTAATTCCCAATCCAGACTAACGCCGCTGGTGCGGATCGTAGGTGTAGCCGCGATGGGGATCGCCGGAGCGAAGACAACTCGCGTAGAGTACAGCGTGTTCTCGAATAGGGATGCGTAGATTCGTCGTGTGGCGCGATGGATGCTGGCACTCGACCGCACGGCCAGAGTCGGCGTCACCTTCTCCGAAGTTTCCAGTGACGCCCGGACCGCGTAGCACGGGACTGCGGCTTCGCCAAAGTCCAAGGTGGCGATGATGGTCTCGCCGAGTCGGTGCGCTGGCCGATTTAATACAACCACCGCAATGCGTTGCCCCTCACGGGCGATCTCAAAGCGGTTGGGGCTGCGTCTTGTGTGGATGGCTTGATTGCTGCGCAGAATCGCCAGGTCGATGGTGTCTTTGGCGGACAGAATCTGCTGAGAGGGTGTGGTATCCATGCTCTTTTGTCGCTCATGCAATGCTCCGGGAGGAAATAATGTGTTGGAGCGGGCGCGCTGCTCGAGAATGTTGTCCACATATGTCAGAAAGTCACCAGCCGAGCCCCACGGACTGCTGATGCTTTGGTTTTTTATGGTTGCCGCTGGTGTGTTTGGCCCGACTTTGGTTACCTTGGCTTCGTCACGCAAGAGCACATACGGTGACATCAGGTCATGGCCGACCACGTCTCCTTTGACTGGAAGGGTGTTAGATTTGATATCACGATCTTGGAAAGGCAACTTACCATTCACACCGCTAAATACTCGGAAGGGGATGTTGATGCGGTTTACTTTCTGAGGTTCATTGGGTCCGCTCGGCCGCTGAGTGCCAATGACCAGGTTATACGAGATTTTGATGGCTTTCCCTTTATGACTGGCGGGAAGCCCTTCCGGGAGGGTGAATGAGAAGGTGTATGACTGCTCCTCACCCGGCGCGAGTCGCAGGTCGACAAAGAGAAGCGATTGGGTGGTGGAGAGTAAAGGTATTGCCCGTGAGGAGGCGACGCCGCGCATTTCTCGCAAGCCATCCAGTTCGTTGTTCGACATCAGGCCATTGATGGATTCTTCAATGGTGTTCCATTTGAATGCACCCCAGAACCCACCTCCTTTGCGCGAGCGATCGCTGGACGGGTTCGCGCGCCCAGTAAGTCCGCTTCCCTGTCCGCCAACCACTCCCTTGCGCTTCACTTCGTCAAATACAGATTGATCAACTAGTGAGCCATCAACTGTAAACGATGCGCTGACCTGCGCATATCCCATCAGCAAGGCCTGGTTGTCGTTGTCCGCTTTGTCAATCGAGGGTACGACGCTGGAGTAGTGCCGTGCGTGTCGAGCTGGAGGGGGAGGCCGTGAACCCTGAACCGAGTAGTTTGTATATTCTGATGCGAGTGTCTCACTCGAATGGTCGCTGACGGAGTAAAACTCGCCGCTGCTTCGGCTGCTTCCATTCACGCTAGTGGCCGATAGAATCCGCGTGAGCTGCTGGTGGCTAGGAGCCACGGACGGATCCTTTGCTTTCCTTCCATTTGCTTCACCCGATTTGGGGGAAGGAGTTCGAGCAGCAGAACGGACATTAGTCGGTTCGGATGGCGGAGGAGCGGCTGGAAACTTGAAGTCGATGGCGGGCGGCTGCGGTCTTCGTGCGGGCATGCGCATTGGCTCTCCCGGGACTATTGGGCTATTTGCCATCGGACTCTGGCGGTTTACTCGGGCTGAGTGGTTGGTGTCGACCCTGAGATTGCCCAAGGCTGATTCGAGTGGTGTGTCTGTCGGTGGGAAGCCACGGATGGGAGCTCTCCCAACTAAGAAAGCACAGTCAGATTACTACGGGATTTCTGTACTTTACAGGTTCATACCTTTTCTGTACGCCTCGTCATAGCTATCGTTCCTCCGGGGCGCAACCTGAAGACTTGCTGAGCGCCCATGGCCCCTGGCTATTGATTTGGCTCGAGCGAAGTTCTGCGGTGAAGGACTGGAGTCGACGTGACCCTCACTGTCTATGGAGAGAATCGAGACTGATCTCTTGTGGCTGTGACCGGGCTGCCAGGATCGGGGGGTGGAGGGGCTATTTGGCGGGAAGCTGCTGGAGCCGACTAGCGGGGAGCTCAGCGATGAGGCGGTCCGGTGGAAGGGTTTCCGTTGGGAGCCGATCGAATAGGATCGCCGGCCCGAAAATAAGCTGTTGCCGGATTTGAAGGAAAAGAAGGAGTCGGAGGCCGAGTTGCTGGCGTGGTTGGCGACTCGAGACAGCTTCCTCTGATGACCCTCACCTCCATTGCTGGCGGCAGGGGTGGTGTCCGTCACGTTCTTAAAGGTGATGACACACTCCACATCTTCGCCGGCGAAAATCGTCTGGTCCTTCCATTTGACGAAGACCTGAATGTTGGACGACGGCATGGCGAAGGTCGGTCAGCATGGGGGGTCCGCAGTCGAAGAGGAAGAGTCAAGAGCTGGGGGAGTCGCCCGCGCTCAGGAGCAGTAGGAACCGGCTAGCGATGGAGGACGGGAATTGCGCATTCTGTCCGCGGGCGCAGGTTCGGGGGGGTTGTGGAGGAGGAGCAACAGAAAAGGGAAGTGTGGAAGACAACATGTGTTCGTGTCTGGGGCCGCGGGTCGGTGGCCGGACCGGAGCTACTCTCGATGGGGTAGTTGACAGTTCAGCCGTATGTACTAACAGGAATAATATTTATAGCTACACCATGCTAATTCTGCTCATACAAAATATTCGAGTCCGTCAAGGCTTTACTGCGCTCGGTCGGCATGCGCAGACCCAGCTCTGCCTTTCGTCCCCAGATGCGGTCGTGTCGTTTCTCCCATCGCACCCGCCGTTTCTCGATCTCCTCCTCCGACGGCCGCCACTTTCCCTTCAGGATGCGTCGAATGGCTTCGGGTGAGACCTGGAACTGATTCGCCAGCACCGGCGTCGTGAATCGATCCGGGGCAGTCGCATGCAGGTGGCGGATGCCCTCCAGCGCGTCGGGAGAGAGCTTCTTCATCGGGCTCCAACCGACGGGGAATTTCTGCTTGAGGGCTTCTTTCTGCACTTGCCAGTGCTCGAGTTTCTTTTTCTTCTTCGTTGGATCGGATGTTGACTCGTTCCTTATTGCCTTGGAGTTGTTTCTGGCCTTTCTCCCCTTTCCTGGTCTTCCAGATTCGGATCTCTCCGAGGTTTTCGTTTCAGAAGGAGTCCCAGCAGGCGTCGTGAGGTCGAATACAATGTCTTGAGCATCGCGCAGGGTCGGGATTGAGCTGAACTGCCGTGAATGCTGCAGTCCTCGAGGAGATAGATGGGGGCGTGAGGCGAGCAGGCTGCGATTGGGGAGGGTGTTTGGAATGCACAAGTCACCAGCAAACTCGGCCCGGAAGAGACTGCGCAGAACGGTGGGCAGGCCCAACCGGGACGAAGCGGTGCAGCGGGTTGCCATGACTGGGCTGGAGGATCATGCAGAGCAAAAGGAGAAGATGAAAGAAAATAGAAGGATGTGGCGATAAGATAACCACCTTTGTTCCGCCTCAGGCATCAACTATCGGATCTATACAAACCGAATCAATTTCTCACAGCGCCCAGTTCACTTCACTGGATTTGAAATATAGTTGCAACGATCTAGATCGATCTACTCATCTACTCGGTCTAGTGATATAGTTGTTCAAGGATATATATCTCGAGGCAGACTCACAGTTGGGATCAAGTGCCCCTTGTTCAGGATCGAGTAGGATGCAATGAGACCAGTGTCGTTCCGTCTAACTCTGGCCTAGGTCCTAGTTAGTTAACCATCATTCACTCTTACCTTCATGGTCAAGGTCATGACAATATATGTATGGTAACACCGTGCTCAGGCCCCGAAGGAGCTAGTCCAGACCCACCGGTTCATCTCGTGGCGATCGAGATCATGCAGTGACGGTGCATCGAGGTGCAAGGGTACACAATTTACCTCCTAGATATTGACAATGCTGCTGAGACCTATGGATCAAGTATATGACTTCATGATCGCTCGTATCCTGGACCGGACGCATTATCATTCCTAGGATCACCAAGAATGATGCACTCGTTCTCTTAGTTTAGCGCGGGAATGAGAGCTTGTTTGTTTCTCTCCCTATCACATCACCTCCTCGTCCTCCTTCTCTCACTTCCAACTGAGTCTCTCTTTTCTCTCAATCATTCTGCCTCCCGTCCTTATCCACAGTATTCCCCCTTGAGAATCCAGATTGTTGTGTTCCTCTCCAGATCAGCTTTCCCCACCAAACAAACACCCCAGCCACCAACAAGGCCCACCTCCTTTTGTCTCCCACCAACTCAATAAACTCGAGAGTATTCCCTCGATCCCACCAGACTCCCTGGCGAATGCGGTGGCCGATTGCCATGCACACCCGCCACGCGCTCCGGGGACCTTGAATCACCCATCTCCGCGGTGATGGCCACCACCGCGCCCCTCAGCGCAAAGAGCAAGCTCGGCGGACCGGCATCCCTGAAAATCACCCCCTCCAATTCTCCCAGCCTGAGACCGGGCATGCGCTCCCCCAGCAAATCTGCCCACCAGTCCTCGCTGTCCCTCCAAACCGTCATCGGCACAACCACGACGACCCCGAACGGCTTCTCCAGTCATGACCAGAGTAGAAGCTTCGCCCTGTGCGCGGGATCGGCCGCCGTCCTGGCCGAGCTAGACGATGATGGGAATATCAGCCAGCGTTTCTTTCGAGCTCGTCCGTCTGCAACTAGCGTGAACCCGGCTACCTCCTTTTACAACTCGTCCACTCCTCCCGCGACACCAGACTCCAAATCGCGATCTCTAGCTCATATCCGCTCCAATCCACACCTCAATGTACACAACGCGTCGCCGTCGAACGAAGTTCCTGACTATAGCAGCCCGCGCACGTGGTCATCGCGAGAACGGGTCAAAGCGGTTACCAGTGTTTCTATCAGCCCCAATGGAAGATTCCTGGCAGTGGGAGAGGTGAGTGGACGATTCACGGGGAAATCTATAGGGTATTATTAATGCGGTTCTAGACTGGTTACAACCCCCGAGTTCTGCTCTTCTCCACAGCAAGAGATGCTCTGCCGGATGTGCCTCTATCAATCTTGATGGAGCATACATTCGGCGTGCGCAGTCTAGCGTTCAGCCCGGACTCGCAGTACTTGGCGACGCTTGGAAACCCGAACGATGGGTTTTTGTTTATCTGGGCAATCAACCTGAAGAACGGGTCGGCCAAGCTCCACTCCGCCAACAAGTGTACCTCGTTTGTTCGGGACATGTGCTGGGTGGGACAGTCGTTGGTTACGTACGTTTTGTCCTCGACCGATGCGTCCGGTCACTTGCTAACGTGAATTAGAGCTGGCGTGCGGCACGTCAAGGTCTGGAGGCTCCCCGCAGCGCGGCCTATCTCCCCTACAAAATCACGATTGAACTCTGATGGGCCCGGCCCGTCCCCGAACCCAGCCCCGAAGGCGCTCTCTGGTCGAAATTGCTTGCTGGGCGCACTAGGAGACAACACGTTCAGCAGTGTTAGCAGCATTTCCGACCAAGAGGCCGTTCTTGCCACAGAGTCTGGCGCAGTATGCTTGCTTGATGACAGAGAAGGGTCCCAAAAGCTATCCATGGTAAAACAGGTTGGCTTCGGCATCACGTCTCTCGCCGTAGATTTTGATCAGGAATGCATTTGGCTCGGTGGCCGCGCCAGGTGGACGCAGCGATTATCCTTCGAAGACTTTCGGTCGTCTACTGCATCTACACCTGCGTCTCCTGTCCGTCTTAATAGAGCCATGTCCGATGGAGGGAATAAAGGCCCTGCAATTACCTGCATGGGCTCTCTATCCTCACACCTCGTCACTGTTGAGGCGACTCGCGAAGTCCATGTCTATCCTATGGAGGTATTAGTCGAGGACGGTGAACAAGAGCCTGGGGAAACCTCAATGCTAGCCCACAGAGACCCGATCTTTGGCATTCGGAGCCTGAAACTTCCCAATGAGTTCTCTGCCAAATTCTTCACCTGGACGCGCAGTAGTTCTGTGAATTTCTGGGATGCTCAGGGAAAATGTCGGGCTTCGAAGAATATCCCGCTTGAACAGCTCTCTGCATTCAATGAAGACGATGTTGCAAACGAACTCAAAGTTTTGCGAGCAACCGACAACGCGGAATGGTTTGTCTCGGGGGATAAGTTTGGAGTCCTAAGAGTCCTCTCAGGCAAGGACTGGGGATGCACCAATGAAGCCCGCGCTCATGGCGCAGAGATCACGGACATTGCTTTGCAGTTGACAGACGGCGCTTGCCTGGTTGCCAGCTCCGGCCGTGATCGAATGGTGCAATTGTTCCGGAAGACCGAGTCGACATTTCGGCTGATCCAGACGATGGACGACCACGTCGGCGCCGTTGGTCAGATCTCTTTCGTGAACGATGGCGAGAAACTCCTTTCTTCCTCTTCAGATCGTACAGTCCTAATTCGAGATCGCGCGACACGTGAAGAGGATGGCATCACTTCCATTGCCTACCTCATTACAAAGGTTATCACCCTGAAAGCATCCCCTGTCTCCATGACAATTAGCCCCGACGATTCAAACCTGCTCTATCTGTCCACGGTCGACCGATTCATCTCAAAATTCGATATTCCTTCTGGACGGCAACTTCATTCTTTCCGAGCAGCTGACTCGGAAGTAGGCGATGCGGTCGTCATGTCTTCTCTGACTGTTGCACCTGAGATTCCCGGGCACAGCCCTAAGATTCTCATCGGGATGTCGAGCACAGACAAATCCATACGCGTGTATGATCTTGAACGAGATCACCTTCTCGCCGGTGAATTCGGCCATACGGAAGGCGTCAGCGACGTATTGCTTCTTGAGGACTACGAGTCTTCCTCGGAGAAACCCGTCGTCAAGAGGACATTGGTCAGTGCTGGTCTGGATGGTATCCTTATGATGTGGAACCTTTTCGTGCAACCACAACCAGTGCCCGAGGTCAATAACAACCGGGATGATGATGAAAGCCCCGTCAAAGAGATGACTGCGGCCAAACCCCCTCTGCGCAAAGTTCTTTCTCGCAGTGAACTCGCCGGTTTCCAACGCGCAGACAGCCCGGTGGGAACACCGACTCCGGTTCGCGAGCATTCGCCTTCGATACTCCGGAAAATGTCCAAGCTGTCCCTGGCACCATCATCACTGAAGAACAACTCTGTCTCGGAAACGCCCTCTCCTGCCACCCGCCGGTCACCCATTTCATACTCGCAAACAGAGCGAACTCGCAGATCCCCATCTCCCGTGAGCCCCAAGTCGAAAACGTCGACCTCCAAAACACCATATAGCGCAAAGGGCCCCGATCGCCGCACATCCCTCGAGTTCCGCTCGCGCGGCAAAGCAAACAACCGCAGTGAGTTTGGCAGTCTAGACATGTCAACGGAGCAAGTATGTCGCACGCTACGAGCATACAGAAAAAAGCTCAGCGGATCCACAACGCGGATCCAAGCTCAAAAGGAACTCGAGCGAGAACTCAATCTCACTCTACGCGCTATGAGTTCGCGTACACAACAGGGCAGCGATGAGAGCGCCGAGACAGAAACTGACAGCAGTGGGAAAGACATGGATCGCAAGGCGAGCTGTTCGTCTGTTTCGTCGCGCTCGCCGCATCTGCCGAGGCATATGCCTTCTACGCCGCTTTTGCGGCATAAGGGGGCGAGACAGGTGTCCAGGAGTCGGTCTTATTCCGTGACTGATGAATAAGACCCCACCTCATCTTCTTTAAATTTCTTTTTTCTTTGATTTCTGGCTTTTGATCTATTTTGGCTTGATTTTTCCGACAGATTCATGGATTGCGGGATTTCGGATGGGTGTTACGCGGTTTGTTTTCTACTTCCTCTCGAGGAATCGGCATGGACGGTGTTTTACGGTTCGGGCAGTGAATTGCCCTGGGAGCATCATATTTCTTTTCGCTTATTCTGATTTCTTTTTTCTCTTCTTCGTTCTCTTGCAAGTGTTCCTTTTTTCATCGCTTTTACCTGTTCCTGATATGCTGTACTCCATTCTCCCATACTCGCCATGGGGTTGTGCTCGACTCTCTCTACTGCGGAGATGCTACAATTCTCTGTGCGGGTTTCTTTCTTTTCTTCGCAGATTTTCCTTCTATCTTCTGCTTCTTATGATACCCAGTTTATTACTCGTGCCAAAGTCGTGGTACTGTCTTGCCTAATCAAGATTTGAAATTCATATTTCTCTTCTTATTTGAAAACAAAATCATTAAAGTAAAGTAATATAGGTAAAAGACAAGTGGGCTCTCTCAAATCAAACGCAAGGACTCCGTCAGAATAAAGAAATGGTGTTCTCCCATCACGGCCATCCTCCAGGGCGAAATATATAATGTGTCCCTCAGCCCTAACACAGCTCCACACGCAGCACATCAAAAAACGATACTATTGCAATCAACCCAACTCAACTCAACCTCTCCATATTCGCACGCAGCATCCGCGCAAGAACACCACCAGACACACGATCCACAGACTCCGCCACTTGAACAGCCTTCATACCCCACCGCTGATACTCCTCGTCCCGGGCCGCGCGGTAAAAGTCGACGGCCTTGTTAAAAGCAACAGAAGCGAGCCACTCGAGTTCTTCAATAGGGTAAGGATACCAACTTCTGTCTTCGAGAATGCCAGAGATAGAACTCATGCCTGGGTTGAGTGACTGGTTGGGCTGGGCACTAGGAATAAAGTACTCGTTTGAAGCTAGAACGAGGACTTGGTCGAGGACGGATTCTGCGAGCGATGCGTCGACCACTGAGAAGACTGATTCTTCATCTTGTGGTGATATTTCAGAGACCTCTCTTGGAATTGACGTGATGGCAAGCTGGAAGAGGCAGCGCAGGTAGCGGGGGAGTTTGATACGGAAGGAAGATGCGTTGAGGAAGGGGGATGATGAGTCGTGGGCGGTGCATATAATGGTCTGTACAGCTAGTGTTAGAAACTTCCTCCTCTATGAGTCAGGTATGTAGTGTCCTCGGCAGGATATACCTTGACCACAGTAACGATCTCTTGGATCGGTGCATGAGAGCGAAGTATCAAGTCCAGCAAGGACGAGCAAAGCTCTTCATCCAAGAAGCCTTGGGCCTGCTCAGCAAGTGAGATTAGAAAAGACCACAGCTCGAGATGAATCGATGCTTCGAAATCAAGAGCGATCAGATTTCGGCATCGTTGTAACCACTCCGCTTCAACAGTCGCGACATCTTTTCCTTCCAGGAACTGGGATACACTGGCGTAAATAAACAGATCATCATGCAACCTTTCATAGTGGCATTTCTGTTGGATATGAATTAGACTCAAGAACTGCCTGGGTTGACATGACAGAAGACTCACTTGGATGGAACTGTCAGACTCTGAACGTGCCTTCTTGACCGAAAATATTGCCCCTAGATAGTTGCAGAGGAAGATATGCAGGGAAACTTTTAAGCGGTCTAGCGGTCTTCTATTCGAATAACACCGTGCAAACTAAACATTCCTGTCAGTAACTGTCTAGCTCGGATCCAGTTGAACACGTATACCTCTTTAGATGCTTCAAGCAGCGGACTGACGCGTTCCACCCGGGACTCCGTGAGCATTCTCAAAGCCAGGTCGTAGCTCTCGCCGTAGAGCCATTGGAGGTCATCTGGTGAGATGGTACTGCTTGCAGGGACATCTGCAACGACCACCCTCAACGCTACGCAAATTAGACTGCCTGTCTTATAAGCAAATAAAAACTTACCTGATGTAAAGGTCTGACACATCATCTCCTCTCTACTGGTTTTGTCTTCCACGTCTTTCAGGACCAAGAACGTGAATCTGTAATAATCAGCTTCCAGCAAGCAACACAGGGACGAGTATTCTCACATGAAGAACGAAGAAAGATCAACCTCGTGAGAAAAGAACTTCTTCATACCCATGCATTCAAAGACACAGAGGATACACTCGAGCAGTTCTGACTGCTTGTTCTGTCGTTGAGCTTCGGCTGCGCAGGACAACACATAGGTAAACCAGCCCGCGCCGAGTGTATCGAGCACTTCTTGACAATGAAGTTCTAGAGCAATTAGTCTAGTTAACCTTGTAGCAGCGGGGCCACATAATATTAGGTACCTGCACCGTTTGTACCCTCCATCAATGCCAGTTTGTAGCATAGGAAAAGGGTTCGAGAATCGACATCTTCTTCGCTGACAGGGATCCGATCCAGGATCTCTCGAGCGAGAGCCACGTCCCATTTGCTCAAGGCACATCCAGCCAATTTTCTAGACACATTTCAATACAAGTAATCAGAAAAGCGTCTTGATACTGACCGTAGTGTTTTATGTCGGTTGGATTTGGAGCAGGATTCGAAGATCTTGGTATCGACGGCGAGCACACCCCATTTTTCTGCAATGGCAAGCTGCTTTTTACGAACTGCAGAATCCATCTGCTTCCATATGACCTAGTAAAATCATCAGCATGTATCGGTAGCAGAGAAGAGATCGTCTATACAATCAAGGTGGCATGAGTTGCGCCCATGCTCAGAGGACTGTGTCCGTGCGTCTCCAGCTTCTTGATCATGTCCCTGATAAGTTCTAGGCATTTTTCGTTCGAGGATCGCAGTAGCCACACCAGACTAAGGAAGCACCTCTCAACCCACGCCGGAACGTGGAATGGTAAAAGGCGTACGAGGAGGGATTGCAGAATGTGCACGGTAAAATCCAAACTGCGTCGGGTGAGCAAGAATTTCATGAGATCATGAAAGGAAAGTTACCTTGAGCTCGTATGGTTCTCAATATAGTAAAATGCTCTATCTATTAGTTAGTACTGGTTTTTTATGATAAATGGAAGACTCACAGTCTCAGGTTCTCGTCTGAGGGATTCATGCAGCTGACAATGTCCGTCAAGAGTGCTGCCACATGGTTAATATCTGTTGCCAGACGGCAATAAACGCTGCTGGTACCTTTAAACCCATCACCGCGATCTGGCTTTTCTCCTCGGCAGAGAATCTCGAGCTCAAGGAAAAGAACACTGGGCGTGTCTCCAGCGTCCTATATCTTTCAGGATAATGAAACCGTGCAATGAAGCATTGGACGTACAGCTTTGAGCAGGGTGAGCTGTCTGGTAAGCGCTTCTCTTGATTCAGGTGTATCGATACACATGTAAGCTCGAACTGGAATATTTTAGTATATATGGGCAATCCAGATCACATTTACTCACCAAGAGTATGTCGAACAAGTAGCTTCAAGTCATTTAAGCCCGCGCCTAGATGGTCGTGACTCTCCGAATCCAGAATATCAATCTGCTCGGAGGCTCTGCTCAGCCATTGAACCGCAATGTCGTATTGACTTGCCGAGAGCGCCGCATTCCCCACGTTGTAGCATGTCTCGGTGATGATCTTCCGATCCTCGATCATCACGGCTGCAGGAGCCTTTGAAAGCAAATGCTCTGCGATATCAGGTCGACCTCTTAGCCATGCCTATCGAAATTAGATCAGGCTCCCAGGGAGAGGTGGTGTTGCATACCAGCTGGATCCGCAGCATGTAGTACTCCGTCGCAACAGATTGTAAGTGAGACTTGTCCATCTGGGTATTCGAGTTCTCGAGGGAATCCAGTCTCTGTGCTCCTGCTCCCAGGACTTTTAGGCTGAGATCGAGCTGCTCAGAGTCTGCCTCTAAGTCAGCCTGCCATACAAGATCCCTGAGGTAGAGATTTGGAGTACCGAGACAACCGCGAGCAGCTTTCAACGCCGCCTTGAGAGCCCTCAAATGTCCTACTGAACCATTAGATCAACATCATCGTCAAGGTATAATCCCGTCGAGTACCGGAGGGTCGAGCTGGTGCAGCAATATCCAACACCGCAAATGCAAGTGCCCTCGCTATAAAGTAGGTGAGATATGCCAAAACAGCCCTTGAAATAAACACACCTCTACTCAAGAGCTTCAGCGCCTCCTCGTTCTTCTCGCGCGCTTTACTCGCCTGAGCACATGTATTCCACAACGCTGTAGCAGCAGAGTCCAGCTCACAGCACGACGCCGTGGGGAATCCTGCGAACGAAGGTTGCTCGTTGAGCTGGTCCTCCAGAGATCGCAGGGCGTCGTCGCCAGGTAGAGGAGTTCCAGAAGTATTCGAAGTGGAGATCTGGCTTTCGAGATCACGAATTGAAGCTGCATATGTAGTAAGGCGCGTAGTGGATGTCAGCAATCGAAGGGAGTGGGAGTCTGCGGAGCTGCCAATTGCGTACCTGCGAGAGCAGCGACTTGGTCGTGTAGGGTGCGGCGTCGCTTAGGTTCCATGTGTCGCTTAGGTTCCATGTCGACTTCCGTTGAGAACAGCGACGCGGGGAGATGGAAACAAGCAAGTGCAGGATGATTTCTTGGTGGGGGAAGAAAGAGGAAGAGGAAGAGGAAGAGAGAGGGAGTCGCGGGGAGAACATCGAGTAGGAGAGTATGCACTACAAGTCAAACAACATCCATTGAAAGATAAGATATATAAGACCGGCTTATATTAGGCTATTTGCGTAGAAGTCGCGAGTCCGAAATAGACGCCATACTGTACATCCAGTGCGGACATGGTACATTTCTCAAACGCCCCATTTGAAACACAGAAAGAAACCCGGAGCCTGGGGGAATCAGAAAGAAAGAAACAATATGTGGTGACTCGAAGTTCAATCTCCATGTCAAACGACCCCATCCATCTGTTCGTTACTTGTGCATGCGCTGCGTGGGCAGGAAATTACCGACAATAAGAGATGGGCTGGATAAGCGTCAGATACTGAGCCGAAGTGAACCAACCATCTGAGGATACTTACATGTTGTGGTTATCTCGTCGGATCGTGAACGAAAAGCAGCATGGGATGCCATCACCCGTGGAATTGGGATTGGGGCTTTTCAAGGTGCAGCTAGTGAGCATGGCCTTCTGGGTATTGTCGAAGGCGATGGCACCGAATTTCTCCCAGTAGCTGACGAGCTGGTCTTCGACGATGATCTCGTGAATGGCGAGTTTGCCCTGTTCCCAAATCAGTACAGACCAGAATTCAACACCACCAAGATAAACCCACATCGCGTAAGACCTCAATCGGCACGTCAATCAACTGTGCCATCTCGTTATTGCCTCGGAAGATCTCGCCCGTTCGCCGCCAGCAGCACGCGGGGATGGCCATACTGGCAAAGACGCGGTCGTACTCCATCAGGCTGCGCTCGAACCACATTTCGACCAGGATCAGTTCGATATCGGTGAGACTCTGCATGCGCTCGCGGAACTTGGGCCGGAATTTGTCGAGTTGCCGGAGAATCTTCTGACGGGACGCTTGCTGCATGTTCTTCTCCATATATTGGTTTAGCCGTGCGTATCCCTTGACATAGTTGAATGGTTTCAGGAGTCCTGCATCGTATTTCGCCTTGAGGAGTTTGTTCATCCGCTCCTCGGGTGGGTCAGAGCCCGACGGATCGGCGGCGGTCATGTAGTACGTTTCGCGAGCCTTGTCGTTGACCACTGTCGATGTCGCGCGCTGGATCGAGTCTTCCTGTGGTGCCTGGCTCTGGGCCGGTGGTGGGAGCTGCGGCGGGGCCAAGCCATTGGGCACGCCCATATTATTCATGGAGTTCATCAGCGTGGGATCCGAATATACGCCTTGCATATCCGGATTCTGGAACATGGCCCCGTCGTCCAAGAGACTGTTGCTGAGGAAGTCCCCGAGCAAGTTGTATTCGTTGGTCACTTCCGGCGCATTGAACATGTACGACGGATGAAGCGAGTGCATATCCTGGAACTGGTTCTGCTGGCCTCCGAGCCAGTCGTTGTACCCCATGACTATAAAAGAAATGTCAGTCCAATTCCGAACGATAAAGGCGGAACTGGCATCTCCGAGCTTACGCTGCTGAGAGTTGGAACCGAGGCCTGACGCAGCAGGATTTACAGTGGGCGGGAGTGCGATCGTACCGTCAGGAAGAATGGACTGCGCGGGGGTATCTGGAACGTCGACGGGGCGAGGCATCCCTTGGACGGAGGCGAGGTCGTGAGTCGACGAGCCCTCTTCGTCCGCCGCCGAGTGCTCTGCTTCGCTCCGGGTTCGCTTGGCGGGTTCTCTGGCTTCATCATGGCACAGATGGCCGATATTGCGCTTTATACACCGGGTGCAAGGCCGTTCCTTCACGATAAACAAAAAGTCAGACAGATTTCATAATCGACGGAGAGGAGCAGTCGTACCGAATCACAAGTCATATGCTGTCCCACGCGACCACAGTTGCGGTTTTGGTTAGCCAAGCGGTTCCTTCGAGACTCGCGGCGCATGGGGAAAAGGGAGAGAGACGGCACGGGGAATCAATTGGACAAAGAGCTTACCGAGCGACGGCAGTAGACACAGGCTGAGCAAACAGAACAGGTTAGCCCTTATCGTGTCCCCGTCTGAGCCAGCGCATGCAGCTTACCGTGATTGACCTTGCGGCGCTTCTTGGGACTGGACTTGTCGCCCTTGGCCGCAGAAAAGTCCTTTGCGCGCGCATCCTTGGCCGCATCTCTCTTGGAATCTGGTGTCGTGTCGGGCATGGTTGCAGGGAGAGAAAGTTGACTGACTGAGGGAAGAAGTACGCAGTGAAGAACGGATTCCCGTCAAAGGCGGAGAGACCCCGAGACCCCTCCGTTCTGCTCCGTGGGGATCAACGCCACCAACCGAGGTTCGCAGAGACGGACTACAGAGGGCAGTACTGCGACCGTTATGGTATGTATGTACGAATAATTGTGGTTAGGAGCAATTTAATCAGATGAGATAGAATCTTATCCATAGGGCTAACTAGCAGATCGTTTCGACACATCGCAGTGGGCCTAGTACGGGTCTCCATTCTGGAGTGCCGGGATCCCCAGATTGGACAGTCACCACTGATCGGCTCGGTGGCTGCCGCTCAGGGGTCCGAGACGGTGGCCCTGCTTTGTCACATCTGTGATAACTGGACCGGGATCTGATCGGAGCACGCGAGCACCTTTCCCTCGAACGAGGCGAGGTTTTTGGGGCATGTATGCACATGGCATGTGTTACTTCGTGATACTGAACCTCAAGCCCCCTGGTTCAGTCATCCGGCATCGAATAAAGGTCCAGGGCAGCTTGCGACCGGGTGATGGCGTCTCGGAGCCCCGCAAGCGGCGCCGTGTTGGTCTGCATGGACAGAAGATGGCCATGCAGCTGTTTCATGAGGCTCTGGACCTCGGGATCGGTGTCCAGCTGTTGAACGATCCGTTAGCCGCTGCCCATCGGAATGAATAAGAATTTCCATACCTCATCCAACGTTGCCTGGCTATCCTTGGTGTCCAGAAGTGTGAAGTCGGTCGCTTGGTCCTGAGTTTGCGGCAGTTCATCCAGGTGGCGCAGGACTGGGTGTTCCTTCAAGCATCATGTTAGTAAGAGGAGCCCACAGAGGCAATTCATTGCATACCTTTTGCATCTGGCGCTTCCGCTCAGCTTCCGCACGCTTGGCGTTCTTGTCCATCTCCTGCAGCGACTTCTTTTCGCGGTCCAGGAGCGCCTCCTCCTTTGCAATCTCGGTCTTCAGAAGATCAATGCTGTCTTTTATGGTAGACACGTTGGCCTCGAGCAGTCGCTGGAACTGCAGTCAGCAATAGTCCCGAGACGGAGTACGAAAGCACCTACATGTTCGTTCAACGCAGATTCGTAATCGAAATTGGAGTCCTTGGTGATGGGCGGAAAGGGCATGCGAGGAAGTCGTCGTCCTAGACTAAAATGCCGCACGAGAATTAGCATCATATGCGCAATCAAGAGTCCCTGGAGGGAGAAGCGCAATCCGTGGATAGGAACGGACATACGTTCGCACCACCGCCTGAACCGCCGTCTGCGCCTCGATGCGCTTGCGTTCATTCTGCTGTCGCACGATCACCGGTCGCTCGAGTGTGTGAAAGAGATCGCGGACTTTCTCCTGGACGGGCTCTGGCAGCGTTGTCCATTTGGCTTTGATGGTCTTCTCGGGGACGCGTCGGGTGTGAGGTTTCAAGTAGGCATAGCGTTTATTGCGATCGGACTGATGGTCGTTGCTCTCGCTGTCGCGTTTTCGTTTGGGTGGCATGGTTGTGATTGTTGTTGTTGCAGAGTTGTTGTGGCGGTTTGGGTTAGACGCGCGGGAGTGGTTGACATGCCAAAGTAGGCGGTGGGGCACTAAAGAGTATAGGGCGAGCAAGACCAAGTATGTACGCATGCTTCTATTATAGCTGTTCACTTGAAAATTGATCAGGCTAATTCCTGAGACGGATGCACTATATTAGACATGTATATCCCCTTGCATAGTTTTCGACCGGACCAAGGCCCAGTTATGGGCCTTTCCGGCCACCATCCTAGAAACGCCCACTGTCCAACACCCTACCCAGTTGATCCGCCTGCATCCTGACATTGAGAATGCTGGAAAAACAAAAAAAGAAACTCGTGGTATCATCGACAAGTTCAAAAAGCAAGGGTATCATCGCGGCATCACTAAACCATTAATGCCCTTGAGATCGGCCAACTGGGCCCGCAGAATCTCATTGCCACGCAGGACATCCTCTAGCCAGTCCGCCGCCTGTGTGAGCATGGCACTTTTGCTAAACCCACCCCCGTGGAGACTGGGTACCAGCGAACAGAGATCATCGAAGCCCTGGCGGATCAGGTTCCGGCGTTTCTGCTCGGACAGGATGTGGTTGGTTCTCTTTTGCTCCTCTGTGAGATTTTCGCGGGGTGCTTTGGAGCCGGGTGTCATTCGGGATCTCCGGGACATATCGGCGGATGTACGCCGGCCCTTGATGCCCATGAGAGGTTTGGACTTGCGGGACTGAGGTCGTAGGTCATCCTCGTCGGAGAATGCATCGTCTTCCTCCTTCACCAGCGTGCGCTGCCGTTTACGTGGCTGTGCACCATCTTCCATCCCGTTGCCTTTGAAGGCAGAAATGCGCGCACCTGCTATCCGTTCCGGACTGGGGGGACGAGTATTGTCTGCACTTCTCTGCGGCTCGAAGCATTGCAGATTCTCCAACAGCTCTTCCGTTCGCGCTTCGTCATCGGGTACGTCCGGTGGGGCTATGTAGCCTTGATCCATAAAATTGGAATCAGACCCCCAGCGAAGGGCGCGGGCCTTCTTGGATGGATGTTGGTCGGCGGGTAATGGGTTATGCACATCGAAGAGCATCTGTGAGGTGTGGAATCCTCCGGGGACTCGCTCCCGGGTCGGTGACATGTTGGCTGATGGCCCTAAGTGGTCGGCCGAAAAGCGCCTCCCATCCTTGGGACTTAATTGGGCCCCGTTGATGGGGAGCGGTGCCGGAAATGTTTGTCCAGCTAACGCCGACTCGAGTTCAGGAGCGTTCATGCCGCTTTGGTATAGCATAGAGGCCGCCGCAAATATATCGGCGGGTGCATTATTATCCGTGGGTTTGCCGATCCCGTGTTGGAAGGACGGTTGGGACAGAGAGGTCGTCGAGCCTTCAAAGGTCGGTGGTAGTTCATCGGACCATTCGAAGTTGGAGGATTTGTTTTGCTGCCCGCGCAGCCAGAAGTCGTTGGTGAAATGGTTGGCGTTCATTGTGGTAAAGAAATTGTCGAGCATGTTGGATTCGTTATCATCGAGAAGAGAGGGACCCGGGGGAAGCGCGGGCGCCTGTTCATAGGGAGTGTCCATGGGAGCGAGGAATGAATCTACCGGTCACCAGGGTTAGGGGAGGAAGTGTTCTGGGCCATGAGCAACTGCGCTTACATCCAAAGGGACCTAGTGGAGGCGATGCCCGCCCCTTTTGTACTTCGGGACCGTGGTCTTGCATCATTGTCTGCGCTGGCAGAGATAAGACTCTCAGGCGCTCTCCGAATGCCGAGGAGCGCGAACCGAGGCAGTTCAGATGGGCATGCCTTGACCGCACACGCCCGGTCGCAGCGAAAGAGAATAAGATGTAGGAGTCGACAGAGATGAGAGAGAGAGAGAGGATATACAAGAGTGAAAGAGCGGGGAGTCTGGAGAGAAGAATCTGGGGGACCAAAGCAGATCTGATCACATGCGAATGGATGGTATCGGTGAGACCAAACTTACCCATACCGAGAGAGGCTCGGAACAGCGGCTCATACGGTCCCCATACATCAGCTCTCCGAGGCCGAGCCTTGAGATGTGCGTCATTTGCAGGCCACCAACACCACCCTCCGTCATTGGAAAAGCCACTGAGCCTGGGGGCTTCAAGCCAGTACCTAAACGAGCTGTTCCTGGCGTTCCTCACCGGGGGTTGGGCCGTCATCACCGATACCGGGTCCTGAATTCTGGTCCCCGCTGGGTTCCTCCCCGGACACCCTCTGTCCTGCCTGCCCGGTTTGGATGATCGCCCGTCCTGGAATGCCCACCAACCCTAAACCCCTGAAATTGCATCCGTGGCTCTCAAAGGGGTTTGGCGGGTCAGTGTTTCACCTGCCTTCATCCACTCGCCCACCAGGGACCGAGGTCCAATCACCGCAGACTCCTTCCATACCCTATTTAACCTCCAAGCGTGTGGTACAGATCCACAGTTGATCATTCACCCACCCCGATCGTGCAGGACTCTGTTACCCCCCGGTTCCCCGGAAATACTACCCAAGGAACCACGACCGGTTGCTCAAGCTGACGGATGTCTGGTTGAGTGTCGCTGAGTCGGTGTGGCGCTGAGCCTTTCCTCAAGGACGGGTGGTCACATCAGGCTATCCGGGAAGATGGAAGCTACAATCCTGCCGAGTCGTGACAGACACGTCAATGCGCGTGTCCTCAAACCGTGTGTGCCATCTTGCTGATATTTGTTGGGGGCATCTTGCTGATGGGAAGGTCATAGCATTCTGCGAGCCTACGCGCTCGGGTATCTGTCGTCGGTCACGCCAAAACTCATCTCCTATGTACGGCGGTTGGGAAGCCACAAAGGCTGGACAACAGAACAAAAGCTTCAAGAGGTGTGTGCTAGGTTCTCGATATAGCGTTCAAGGCTAACCCACGTCTAGTTAGCTCGAGTCTTGACCAACCCCATCCGCGTCAACGGTTTCCCTACATTTTGCGCCTCTCTCATCGGTGGCTCGACCGTGCTTCCCGTGCTGTTGTACCGGCTATACGCATCCATTGCCGTCGGGCTTGGCTCTAAAGGCGACCTTCGGATCTCCCACCGGCGGGACCGCCTCGTTCGATTTGCCGCCGCATTCCTATCGTCATGGTTCAGTTTCCAACTTCTCAACCGGAATCGTGTCTGTCTGCGGGCAGAAGATGTCAGAGCGAAACGCGTCGCTACAGCAGATGCCGATCAGGTGGCATCCGATGTACGTGAGCATCAACGGCCAGAGTTGGCGGGGAGGACCATGGATCTGACCTTATTCACGGTCACGAGAGCCATCGACGTGGTAGCGTGCATTGCGTGGAACCGCTGGTCTCGTCGCCGCAAAGCCCAGAATCGCTGGACTGTGGTCGAGTCGCTGGCTCCTGGTCTCGCGGATGCGGGCGTGTTTGCTGCAAGCGCGGCAGTAGTCATGTGGGCGTGGTTCTATCTGCCCGAGCGGCTGCCGCGGACGTACGAGAAATGGATTGGAGAGGCTGCGCAGGTGGACTCTCGCTTGATCGAGGCTCTACGTCGTGTCCGCCGTGGGGTCTTTGTGTACGGGAAGGAAACGGGTCAAGCGCCTCTGCTCCAGTCCATGTGCAAGGACTACCGCTGGCCCGCGGAGTGGGGGATCCCGTCAAGACAATTCCGATTCCATGCGAAATGGTCCATATGGGCTGTGGCCCCAGCTGTGAGAAACACGCGCTGTCCCGCTTTGCCAGAACCTTCAAGTTTGCCTGTGCAACCTATATCCCACTGCAGCTTGTCTTGCGTCTGCGGGGACTCAAGTCAGCCGCCTCCCTCCGCCGGGCTCTTTTGGATTCCGCCCAGTCCTCCGCCTTCCTCGCCTCCTTTGTCAGTCTGTTCTACTATGGTGTTTGTCTAGCGCGAACCAGGATCGGCCCCAAGGTCTTCGATCAGAAGACCGTCACCCCGCTGATGTGGGACTCCGGCCTCTGCGTCGCGTCGGGATGCTTCATGTGCGGATGGAGTGTATTGGTTGAAAAGGCACGGAGGAGACAGGAGCTGGCGCAGTTTGTGGCACCCCGGGCTGCCGCCACGATTTTGCCACGATTGTATGATAAAAAGGTATGTGCCCGACACGGCGCTAGAAGGGTTACATTGTCGGCTCTGACATCCTTTCTCTGTTCCCGGCGTTTACCTTGTGCTGACATTGTCTGTGCTTTTAGTATCAATACCGCGAGCGCGTTGCATTTGCGGTCAGCGCTGCTATTCTTCTCACCTGTCTTCGAGAGCGCCCCAGCATGGTCCGTGGTGTTTTCGGTCGCATTACGACCAGTGTGCTGAACTAGACCTTTTCTCTTCGGCGAGGAACTCGAGGCCTGCCTCCACAGAGCCCGGGACGAGTGTATTATTATCACCTTCACCCTAGACTACTTCTAATACCATTACATCCGATAGGAGCATTTGTTCGTTGCTTCGACTAGTAGATATATTGACCTCGGAGCTCTTTGGCTTATAGTATACCTGCCCCTTTCGACAAATCAACAGCGACGCTGGAAAAGGTCGAGTCCATTGTACGTCACGTGCTTTATCGATAAGACTCGATCACGTGCCGTGACTTTGTCTTCAACTCCGATGATCGAAGGCGATTTCCAATCTCCAAGTCATGTTTTCCCGCGTGCTCCCTGCATGGGGACGCTGTCAGTGGACAGCAGGAATAGCGCCACGCTCAATACCTTTACAAAAGGGCATATTCCCCGTTGAGAGGCGATTTTTCTCCGCCAATTCCTTCCTTCATGCACGGCAACATGCATCGGCCGCGCCTTTCAGCACACCCCAATCGCAAAAACGCAATGCATCCACTATGTGAGCTTGCCGCTAACATAATTGTTGCACCCGCTGACATTGTTCTTGACTAGGTACTATACCATCAGTCTCATTCTCGGAACCGTTGCTCTGGCCTACGGGTCCGTCCCTCTCTACAAAATGGTACGCTTAGACAGACACCAATCAACCCCAGCACCACTACCCGACACTAACCCATTCCTCGTGAATCCACAGATCTGCCAACAAACGGGCTGGGGTGGTCAACCGATCCTCACCCACCGCGGCGGCGACGGCGACACCGCCTCACGCGTCACACCAGTAACGGACTCGCGCCGACTGCGGATAACATTCAACGGCTCCGTCTCCGACGTACTCCCTTGAAATTCACCCCGCAGCAGCGCGAAGTCCGCGTGCTGCCCGGCGAGACCGCGCTGGCCTTCTACACGGCGACCAACAAGAGTCCCCAGGATATCATCGGAGTTGCGACGTACAGCGTCACACCCGGCCAGGTCGCGCCGTATTTTAGTAAGATCCAGTGCTTCTGCTTTGAGGAGCAGAAGCTTAATGCCGGCGAGTCCGTCGACATGCCGGTTTTCTTCTTTATTGATCCTGATTTCGCGACGGATCCCAATATGAAGGGGATTGATACCATTACGCTTTCTTATACCTTTTTCAGTGAGTTTTGTCTTCTGATGTTTTTGCCAAGTTGCTGGTCTGACTTGGATATAGAAGCGAAATATGACGACAATGGTGTTCTGAAACCAGTCCCTGGTGCCTGATGGTGTGCCAGTGCTTGGGAGTCACATATCAAGCCAGCAATTTGCAGTGCAGGCTATGTACACTTGAATTGGTTCAAATATTCTGTACCTTCTGGCCCATCTTCCCTGCATTGGATGCGCCTGTACTATATGTCACGAGAAATCATAGATGTCTTATATCAAAATCTACAAGACGCACGGTTATGAGGATCAAGGCCGGGAGTTATCTATCGACAAGGGCGTAAAGATGGGTACTGCTCGACGGTTCGTAGAGGACATTCGGCGCTGAGTCGAGAACGTGTAGAAAGCAAACCCTGTGTATGAAATAGACTAGCAATAGCCCGCTTTGGCTTTGGTTCATGTGAGCATTCAGGAATTTATCAGATTGTATTGGCATCGGACGGTGTAGGGTCCGACCTTGGGGCGAGTACTTCGCTCCGGGATCTTATCGGAGATAATTTCGCAGCGATCCACATTTGCGGTTTTCTAACTACAAATCTCTTACGCAATATAAATATCATCAAAAACTCAGAAGCCTAAGCAAAGGTTGAAATGTTGGCGAGAATAAAGTGTTTCGCTGTCGGGCTCTATCCGGGGTTAAAGCAATACCCTGTTTGCGGTCTCCCATCCGTGTTGCTATTTCCGGCTTCGCGCCTTCCCGGAGTTAATGGAAATTACTTACTTCCTGTAGTATTGCCTCTTTAGTTCCCGTTACAGACATATAAAGACTCTAACACCTGCAAGAAATCTTATTGGATCCAGTCATCACCTCACGTTTGACCCTTACCACTTCGCACATTTGAACCCCCGCACCATGAGCAAGCTTCTCGTCGTTTTCGGTGCCACCGGCAATCAAGGTGGCTCTGTTGTTGATCGTGTCATCAACGACCCTGTCCTCGCCAATGAGTACCGAGTTCGTGCTGTTACCCGGAACACCTCTAGTCCCGCGGCACAGGCTCTCCAACAAACAGGCAAAGTCGATGTTGTCCAGGGGGATGCGGAAGACGCTTTGTCCTTGAAGCGAGTCCTGAAGGGGTCTCACACCGTCTTCTTTCTCACGATGACCATCTACGACGAGCGGCTCGAGGAACGTGAACTGTCTCAAGGCAAGGCAATCGCTGATGAGGCTCTCGCTGCTGGAGCAGAGTACCTTATTTTCAGCACCCTCTCCCACATCACTCGCGTCTCCGGCGGGAAGTATGACAAGGGGCGTCATTTCGACTGCAAAGCCGAGGTTGAGGACTACATCAGAACGTTGCCTATCAAAAGCGCATTTTTCGCACCTGGTTCCTTCATGCAAAATTTCAGCACGATCATGAAGCCGCACCCGGTTGGTGATGGTACCTATGCGTTGTCCAATATCATCGCTCCCACTGCCAAGTTGCCGCTCATCAATATTGAGGAAACTGGCAAATATGTCGCGGCCATCCTCGCCAATCCCGATAGCTTTGAAGGTAAGGTTATTGCTGGTGCTACTCGGCTCTACACGATGGAGGAAATTGCGCATCTTATGAGTAAAAGCTCGGGCAAGAAGGTTGTTTACAACCAACTCCCAGAAGCAGTCTTCCGCAACTTTCTGCCACCAAACGCGGCGGACTATTTGGTTCACATGCTATTGTATATCCAGGATTTTGGATATTATGGATCTGAAACAGAGGATCTGGTGGCCTGGTCGGCAGTCAACGCCCGAGGAGAGTTGACGACTTTGGATAACTACTTCAAAGAACATCCCCTGAACCTGGACTGAAGGGACAAGGGCGAAGCAATCGTTTGAAAGAGGAAACAAAATATCTACTACATTTAACTTAACAAAGAGCATGTGAAGAAGTTTGGTTTCTTAGAATCGAGTACACACTGCCCGTCGAATTAGTGTAAACCTTCAACAAGAAGGTTTCATCTAGCGGATGAAGAGTCTTCCCCGCATTTCTACTCAATCACATAATTCATTTGGCCTATGTACATTTCTGGTGACTGGTTCTTCAACCCCCTACTACGATCGTATGCGATCCGCCATCCGCTTTAATCATTTTGAACCCGTCCCCAGACGTCGCAATGGGTCCGATGGTATTTGCCTCCACACCTTTAACCTGTTTCCCGTCCATGACAATTCCGTCATTCCTAAACCCTTCGGTTGGCACACAGAGAACACCGCTGGTGTCTTTGGGAGTATCAATCTGCAGTGTAAACGACCCATGATCGTTCTTCTTCCAACTAACCCTAATCGGACCAGACGGCGTACCGACCTCCCCCTGCGCCCAAGTGAGATTCCCACCGTCCACAACAGGACAGATCTGCCAGGTTTTGAATCCGGGTCCTGTGGGTTGGACCCCAAGAACATAGTTGCTCATGAGCGACACGATACCTGTGGACCAACCGTGTGCCATCGAAGTAAAGCCCTGCTCGTATGGAGAACCGCCGGGCCCAATGCCCTCCCAGAAGGTAATCTTCGGGTCATGTGTCGCCATCCAGCCATATAGACGTTTGATCTCTTCAAAGGCCGAGGATGCAGCGCCCTTGGTAGCGAAACGGGCAGCCAGCTCGAAGTACGAGATGAAGGCGTACACGCGCTCTGAGAATCCGGATGACAGGGCATCATTGTCGTAAAATGCGTTTCCGTACGGTCGTGCAGCGACTCGAGCATAGTAACCTAGTAGACTGGCTGCAGTCGAGGAATTGACAGCTCCAGCTAACACCGTGAGACCATTGCCATCCTGAGCGTGGACGTTGCAAATCGTGTTTGCTGGCTTATTTGGGCAGGGCCCTCCGTCGAAAAAGGCACCTACGGAGGAGTCCCAATTCCGTGCTAGCAGTTTGGTGCCGACGCTCGCAGCTCGTGCAGTCCAGGCATCCCGATCCTCATCGTGTCCGAGTACACTGGCAAGTTGAGCAGCCGACTTCAAGGCGTGGACATAGAGTGCGTTGTAATATGTAATCTTGCCGGAGCGAGGGAGGAAAGCATAGTCGCCATACCCATTGGTTTTATCAAGAAGACCGCCTGTGGAAGTGATGTTCTGTCCGTAATAACCGTCGAGGGTCTTCTTCATCACGCTGTAGTACTGGGCAGCGAAATCCGTCTCGCCGGTGTACATAACGAAGTCATATGTGCAAACCACCCACCACATTGGATAGTCATAGAGATCAAGGGTGTAGTTGTTGCTGATTAAATTTCTCTCAGAAATGTGGTCACTGCATTATACAAAATAACTTACATGCTGGCAGGGGGAATCCATCCATCATCTCGTTGGTGATTTGCCAAATCCGCAAGGATATTGCGTGTCGAAGCAGGGTCGTCATGAGATAGATACGAGGTCAGAGAAGCCACAGCTAGATCTCCAACGTAGGGATCTCTATCACGCTTGGCACCATCAAAGAGAACCTCTTTGCCCTGTAGAGTCGGGCTAGCCGAGTCTCGTGGATCCGTCTCATTGGCAAGGAATTTAAAGTTGATCATGTCGGCAGTGTAGACACCGTCAAACCACCATTGGGTAAGCTCTTCATCGGAACACTCGAACCACCCAGTGTAGGTATCGGGCGTGCCCAGATATGCTTTCCATTCTAGTTCAATGCTAGATATGGAGACGGAGCCGTAGGACTGTGTGTATGGGGAGTCACTTTCCAGGGCGTCGAGCGATATCTTCATGTATCGGAATCCGTGAAGGCCATCTGAGCACACTTTGTTACCATGTTGGCAGCCAGTTTGATCTTTCCAGGTAAACGGCTCGTTGGCGACAGCAATCTGGATGATAATGTTAGCGTTTCCAACGCAATGATACGGGTCCCAATGTAGTACCTGATCCGTTCCACTGGTGATTTTGGAACCCTATAATTCTGCTCTTAGTCTTTGGTTCCAAAACAGGCCCGATATAACTCACAGTGGGCAAATTGTCAGACCTGGTGAAGTCGCTGACGTTTGTCAGGTATTGCTGTGTTTCCGAAAACGCCAGCTTAAGACCAGGAAATCCGGCAGAGGAATTGGTGGATCCCGCGAAAGAAATAGCCACAATACCAACGACATTCTGACCGAAATCAACAATGACACTTGGGATATCGTCGCTTGCTTGTTTGCGGGTCAGAACTGTCGGGGATTGATTCCCACCCAGCATGCCGCCCGGGTTGGATACATCGCCAGTAGTATTGGCCGCTAAAATAGTTTTTGGCTTGACTATTGAAGTTTTGGGAGAGCGAACATATTCATGCCAGCTCCTGTCCCCAAGTGCAATTGTTCGCTTGTCGAAAGCAGCACAGCCAACACTAGCTGCGAGCAGTGCCGCTAATACATTGACGAGAGTCGGAGCCATGATATTAAATGAGACGAAGCATCGCGTCTAGAAATTGACAGGAAATGAGTTGGATTTAAGCGATAGTCCTCACAATGCCAGACAGATAGGTACCCCGAATCTCGAATGTGACCCTGCGTCGTCAACAAACCTTAATCGGGACAATTCGTACCGAGCTAGATAGAAGTCTATGCTTTGTTGCCAGACTATCCGGTGCTGAACATATGCTGTCTGGGAATCGCAATTCCATCATAGTAGACACATAGGAACGGAAGATAAAGATGTCCGCGACATAATGTTGTCTGAGCCATTGGGGCCCTGTTGCGGTTCGGTGTCATTTTCGACCGAGGTTTAGGAAACTGCGTCGGCGATCAGACAATCTCAATACGCACTATGAAGAGTCTTCCCCGCATTTCCACTCAATCACATAACTACCGGTCATGAAAGTGCCTTCGCCGTGAAGAATCTATTGCTAGTCCACTATTCCTGTTTGAGGACGGATAAATAGGAGCAAGCAAACCGCCTGACAGGAACTGTCTCGGCCCGTAACTAACCTAGCGATCTCTCAGCGATTGGATAAGGCCAGTAATAGAAGGTATGGACCATGTCTTGCTTTAAGACAAACAATATTTGCCTGGTGTTGTCTGAACAACTTCATTTCCTCGTCGACCTTTTCCTTCAACCAAAATTTGGCAACCAAACAATCTCTATTTAATCACTTCCAGCAGGAGAGAAATAATTCTAAACCATCGTAGAGTACAAAAATGGAGTTAGTATGATTTGTCGATCAAATTTAACGACACACCCACTCTATTTAGTATAGTATTAAAAGGACAGCCATTCCTTGGCGCTATCCGCTAGAGCAGGCGGATAGCTATTGTATAGATTGTGGTGTAATGTTCCCTCGTCTCGAGAGTGAGTGCACGGGCCACCACTTTCAGCGCGTCGCGTTCTTTCCTTCCCGCGTTGCAACTTGCTTCTTTTAAACACCCATTAATATTACAATCATGGCGCTTCTCGTCGATAAGTTGCGTCCACGGACCCTTGATGCATTGAGCTACCATCCAGAGCTCTCGGATCGCCTGCGATCTTTGGTAGGTGACCCTGATCGAGAAAAGTGCGACGGCTGCTCATTCGGGATTCGCACCGCAGGCTCAAAGCGGAGACTTCCCTCATTTGCTGGTATACGGACCATCGGGAGCAGGCAAAAAGACGCGCATCATTGCGACCCTGAAGGAACTGTACGGTCCGGGAGTGGAGAAAATCAAGATCGATGCCCGGGTCTTTCAAACGACGAGCAACCGCAAGCTGGAGTTCAACATCGTCTCCTCGGTCTACCATCTCGAAATCACCCCTGCGGACGTGGGTAACTATGACCGGGTTGTCATCCAGGAGCTGCTCAAGGAGGTCGCCCAGACGCAACAAGTCGACTTATCCGCGAAACAGCGTTTCAAGGTCGTGGTGATCAACGAAGCCGACCACTTGACTCGTGATGCCCAAGCCGCCCTGCGTCGGACGATGGAGAAATATAGTCCTAACCTGCGCCTGATTCTCCTGGCCAACAGCACCTCGAACATCATTGCCCCCATTCGTTCGCGAACACTGCTGGTTCGAGTAGCCGCACCCACCGAAAAGGATATCTGCTCGGTTCTTCGGGTCGCAGGAAAGCGGGAAGGTTGGACCGAGGTTGAGGAACTCAACAAGCGGGTTGCACAGGAGAGTGGACGGAATCTGCGTCGTGCGCTGCTCATGTTTGAGGCGATCTATGCGCAAAATGAGAAAGTGACGGACAAGACTCTGATTCCACCTCCGGACTGGGAGGCACTAATCCAGGTGACGGCGGATGAGATCCTGGCCGAACGATCACCAGCTCGGCTGTTGCAGGTCCGCGCAAGGTTATATGATCTCCTGACTCACTGTATCCCGCCAACGACGGTTCTCAAGGTAGGCCTCCGTATTTTAAAAGCGAGCAAACACCAATAGCTGACTCTGCCGTCCAGACTCTGACCTTCAAGCTTGTCGCAAAAGTCGACGACGCATTGAAACCTGATGTCATTAAGTGGTCCGCGTTCTACGAACACCGAATCAAGCTGGGCAGTGTAAGTTTGCCGGTCGACTATTGTCCTCGACGAATTAAGTACTAATATTCTCCGTGTTCAGAAAGTCATCTTTCATCTTGAAGCCTTCGTTGCCAAGTTCATGCGTATCTATGAGAGGTATGCTTCCTAACCGTTCAAGGAGAGAACCTTCCGCTAACATGACCCAAGTTACCTGATGGGCATGGATTTCTGAGGCTCAGGAGACAATATCAAAAAGAAACGGATGAATTATGACTGTACACTAAGAGTGGATTTCAATTTGAGGGATCGCGGCAGTGGGGTGCATCTGCTAACATTTCCAGATCCTGGACACAGATTTTCAATCTAGCATTTCTCTTTTCGGCGCATCGAGGCATTGTTTTGGTATTTGGCGTTCCCATGTTCCATGCCCATGGCTCTGAATGCAGATTTGAAATTGCATTTTATATTTGTAGCACCGCCTAGTGCCCATTAACTCTGTTCTAGCTCCAACAAGTTGCGGAGCAAAGGATCATTCTTCCATTTTTCAAGCGCGAGTTTCTTCCACTGCTCCCACCCCTCGTACTCGGGATTGAAAGCCCGCTGCAGCCCCAGAAACAAATCCTGGAGTTCCTGCGCATCTCTTAGAAAAGAGCTGTCGACCCCAAGACTAAAGAAGAACCTCTGAACCTTTCTGCCCTCGATAACGCACTTAGCAAGATCCTCCCGGCCCTTTTCTCGAAAGATGGCGGCGAATCGCCATTCGTCCGGCTCGAGCTCATTGGAGCCGTTGTAGAACTCGCCCACCGGCCACATCATGCACGGGGAACTGAAGGCCTCTGCTTTAGAGACAGTCTGGGTCCATTCCCAGTCTATGATTCCGACGATATCAAAGGATTCATTGGCTAATATATGGTCGCCTTTATCGTCCGGGTGCTTGAGGAAAAACTGGCCGTCCGATTGCATATCGTTGTAGAGGGTATCAACAATGTCTAAGCGGAATCGATGGACGAGATAAGTGTCGACTGGACGAGAATTATCAATCTCGCCGCTAACTACCATTCCAAGGATAGTCTTGAGTATACCCCTTACTCCCTCTAGCGAGGAAGCGAACGGGCCCAGCGGATCTTGTCCTAGGTGGAAGGTTGATGGTTCCGCCAGCCCTTGGATATCTATCGTACCTGTCTCGGAGTAGGCAAGTGATCCAACAGCTTTGAATGGGTGCTTCTCAATCTCAAGGAATATGCCAACCAACTGCTGCATGACCTTCTCTCTCTGCTCGGGAGTCATCTCTGGCCAGTGTAGCGGCTTTCCATCCAATTTTTCCATCAAAATGTAGCCAACTCCAAGGGGATTCTTTGGATCAGATTCGCACGCCCAGTCAAAAACTTTGGGCGTGGGTATGGGCGTGTGCTCTTGAAGATAGGCCATAGTTGCAGCTTCACTTCGAAGAACCCAGTCCCGGACTTCTTGTGGTGGTGATGAGGTCTGCACGAGACGGAAGCGTGCGATCCATTTGACATGGTCTTCGAAGATAATCTCGGCGTGGCAGTTCTGGCCTCCCATCATGGTTCGCAAGCGCTTGGTGGACAATTCAACGGTGCATGGAATTCCTCCTCGAAGCATCGATGCATGAGAACATAATTTAGAGCTATCAAGTTGACTGCATAACTTGTCACATAGACGATCGATTGCAATAGCATTTTGAACAGAGTAAGATTCCCAGTCCTAAATTCCTTAGCTTAAAAAGCCCTAACATTCTCGCCTTTGATGGGCGTTTCACAAACCTCTGCATCTGGACACTCATGGAACGGCTGTTGACGGTGTGTACGACAGAGATGTCTATCGCAAAGGATGCAGTCTCCTACTCTCTGTGCGGCTGGATTTTTGCAACCCTTCCAGTCGCATCGCCAGAGTGGCATTATGAATTATGAGCCCTTTAAGAGAAGCTGGACAAACAGACCAACGACGAAGGTAAAGAATCGAAGTCAATAAGCGGTGTGCAAGCGAAGGCGCTTTGTATTATCCTCGGATCCTGAATCATGTGCCCTGTACCTTGCATTAAAGAATTGGCATTCTGGGCCGACTTCGTAGTTCGCGTCCCAATTTTGAAGAGTTTGTTTACTTTTCTCGGGTACCTACTTAAACATTGTAACCCGAATGGCCTGATGGTGATCCATCTTGCCCAATTTAGAGCTACACTCTAAATAATTCCGAAACCCAATAGCTCGTATTTACATTGATTTACAAGCCTACCTCAGGAATTACGACTAAGAAGAAAATTATGGGATTGCTCTTTGAGTAGTCATTGAGATATTTCAATCCATGAGCTCAACTAACAAGCTTTCCATAGTAGACATCTGTTGACATAGCACCATCGTTTTTTTGGATTATGTTAACACAAGTAAAGACACGGACTGTCAAAGTAATATTCACAAATTCATGAGATTAGGTGTCACTTAAGGCCTATCATATCCAAACTTATACCTCTGTGCCATGTTCCCAGACAGTCATACTCTTCCAGAGATCGCTTGCAAAGCCAATATCAGCTTCGATGGTAAGTCTCTGAGATGCAACAGGCTTATCTATACACATGTTAGCAGATAGTTGGAGGAGAGTCTATAGGTGGAAGCGATACTTACGGATGCCACAGTATGTGTTACAACTTGGGATCCAAGCCTTACAATCGGGATGCGCACATTCTCTGGCCATTTTCTGAAGCAGGAAAGAAATAAAGCTAATGTATAGCAGACAATGAATTATTTGTCACACCAGGAATTTTCATCAGTCTGTGAAAGCGTTGTAAGCGATCCCAAGGGGAAGAGTGGTGGAGGGCTAGCGCTTTTATACTTACAACAAGGATTGCAAGGCTAAAATTCTGTTTACTGATAGCATACCATGTATGGGCCGTTATATCTTTGTGATATGAAGAGAAAGTAGAGCCAGGGCTTTTACGTCTTGGGGCAGGTACGGCTCAATGGACATGGCCAAACTTCAAGACCTGTTTGTGTTCCCAGAAACTGTTAGCTCCAGACATTGATTCCACAAAATCCGAATGGAGGTCTAGGAAGACAAAAAGCCTCTGATAGGTGCGAGGGACGGTACAGGACGCCACTGTGTTCTTCCGCGTGACCCTTTGCATAGAGAAAGACGCAATGACGGAAGGATGAACGGTTTATCATTACCACCAGTCAACAGGCACGCCGGGCGGTTTTTCTTGTTTCAGGTACTCGACAACGGGTAAATTGTATACAGGTCATGCGGGGCTTGTGTGATCCCTATTAATGGCTCCGAGCTCTGGTATCTAAATGGCGCTATACGAAGCCCTACCTGAGTAGATAGCGAGTGAGAGCGTACGATAATTACTCATTATGATATCCCTGCCAAAGTATCAGGATAGTGTACAATCAGCTGACTGGTAAGGCTGGTCACTAGCTGGCTCGACGCTCTGCTATTTCGATCAAAGTTCTCAGGATAGCGTTTTTAAGGTGCCTGTGACACAAAGGCATTAAATTAGTTTAATCACACATAATTAGCTTTCTTGGATGTATTCATGGCACTTTTCTTCAATGGAATATCCTCTTCTTTAGCACAGTATGTGTGTGTTAGCTTAAATGTCTGCGATTTTGACACCAGTGACGTAGTAGTTATCCAGCCAGTAAGGAGATACAGAAGGAATTCTTTTATTGAATTTTGAGACCTTTTTGGTCCATTTGCTTCTGCAATAATAATACATAACCGGCGCAGTTTGGTTGTTGTAGCCAACCTTGGTCGACTCTACGTCATCACCGCGTTTTTCCCCAGATCAGCCGATGATCCTCTACATCTGCAAGAATTTGGCTGCTTTCAACTTCAAACCTGTTTTACCACTTCTTGATGGTTGCTATTATCTGAAGAAACAATGTCGGATCCCAGACTAATCGATATGGAACCCGGTGGGGAGAGCACCCAGTACGCAGATAAAGATGTCAAGAGCGGAAACTGCATTCACTGATCCTCAGAATCCAGATACGAGTCTATCCGACTTTACACCCAGAGCCCCTCTAAGCAGACAGGGCAGTTAGGAGGTGAGACGATGGTTTGATCCATCAGGGTATCCCGCGGCTCACACAGAACCAGGCAATTTGGCACATACGATAAGCGAACCCAGCATGGGGCTGGCATCGGATGAGACCGACAATGGCAATGCAGCAGAAGAGGAAAACACCACGCAGAAGTTAGGTATTGGGAACCCCCCGAAAGATACAGCCGACAAAGGTAAACGTTGAGAGATATATATTCCTAAGAACTCCAGTATCACAAGTATCCATCCGAGCCACGGAGGATAGACACACAAAGGAAAAGGCTGATGATAATGTACACAAACAGGCACGACATTCGATGCCCAGGACAGCGATGCTGCAACCACGAGAATCAGAAGGCTACAGGGGTATGGACCTGGTTCCGGCGTTGGAGCCTAGTCTATTCGAGAGAGACAACAGGATGACATGAGGGCGGTTCAAAAGTGCCGATTTATTGGGAAGGGGAGGTGCTGGACGAGACGCTCTTGGCGTCAGAGTCGAGAGGAGGGTCCTTGCGTGCTCGCTTGAGGGATTCGAGGGTGACGCCCCTGCCCAATTTTGTAATTCCGACCACCGGCGGGTCATCTTTCTTGACGAATTCCCAGAGACCTAACGAGATTAGCAAATTGAAAACTGAACAGTGAATCTCACATACCAGGCAGTTTGTGGCCCGCCAATCTGAATGCCTCCCGAGCAATCTTCTCGTGGATATCGCCCTTCAACTCAAAAACAACCCGGCTCACGGGCAATCGCACGGTCCAGTAGTCGAACTTTCCCTTTCCTTTACCCATACGCTGCTCATTGCCCTTGGTGTAGACACCGATGTTGGCGCTCACGCGCTTGTAGAGCTTGTAATTCATCCCCCTCAGCCGTCGTTTGATGGTCTCTTCTGCGATCTTGAGTGCTGATGACGGCATCCGACGGTCGTGGTCCTTCATGCGCAGTCCGAAATCTCCCCACACCACCGTTGTTCCTCGGATTGATCCGCCCGTTGCGACATGAGGGCGACCCTTGGGGGATTTGGACCTCTCGGCGAACTTGGGCGTGAGCCAATCGAGGGCAGGGGAGGTGGTAGAGAATGAGCGAGCGAGCGAGAGCCCAGCTAGCGAGCCCGACAAGCCTATGTCCCGTGTCAGTTCCGAGCGGCGAAAAGATTTCCATGCAGGAGATCTCACCGGTTGGCCGCGTACAGGCCGACAATGGTCCCGCGAGCATCTTCGGGCCCATTGTGAATGGTGATGGATAATGTGGTCTTCAACTTATTCCCGGGAGACACTTTTCGCCGGCTGCGCTAGTCCCAGTGGGGAAGAAGTGCGTCTTAGTCATCCCCGTCACGTCCCTGTCGCGTCGCCCGGTTCGTTGCGCGGTGGAACTGGTCTCTTCCCCCAATCCATCCATTCACTTCTCTCGTTCGAGGTCAGCATGCCGCCGGATATCCGGAGCTTCTTTGGCGGGAAGCCAGATTTGGCCTCCAGCTCCCCAGCTAAGGCTGCCACCAAAGCAGAGGTATGTGGATTCTCGCCATGATCATCACCTAATATCTGCTAAGCGTACTGACTGCTGAATTCAAAACATACAGGACTCCTCTACCGCTAGGAAAAAGCGTATGACTGCACCTCTCCTCCCGAACACAACTCTGACGATCTCACAGGTAGCAGAAAGGTGATCGAGGACAGCGACGAAGATGACGTGACACCCGCGAAAGCACCCACCCCCAAAGCGAAGCCCAAGAGTCAACCGTAAGGTCTTTCTTCTAAGTTTTGGCCACTGGGCGCTTGGGCTGATGATTTGTGCCTACAGGAAACCTAAAGAGCCCGAAGGCGAACCCACCACTACGTCAGACTACTTTGCGTCCAGCAAGAAGAAAAAGCCAGCCAAATCCGAACAGACCCAATCAAGTGCCAATGGTGGTAATACCGAGCTTCCAAAAGCCACGAAGGCCGCCGAATCACACAACGCCGGCAAGAAATCCCGGACTACCATCGAGGATGAGAAGCTTGGCGGAGATGACATATTTGCAAGCGAATACGGCAAGGCCGGCAAAGGAGACGATGACTATGTGGCTGCGGATGACGACGATGACGACGACTTCGAGATACTGGATGTGAAACCGACAAAGGCAGCCCCCAAGAAGCCAGCAAAGAAGAAGCCCACTCACGACGAAGAGGACGACGTGGTCATGGAAGATCTGCCCAATATCGCGCCGAAGGCATCAAAACCGGGCCGAAAGCGCAAATCAGAAGCTCTCATCGACCAGGACGAAGATGGCGACTTCCAAGACACCGAAAAGGCGACCTCCAAGTCCAAGGCAACAGCCTCTCCCGCCGCGAAGCGATCGAAGAAGGCCACTCCCAAAAAGCAAGAACGACCGGAAAGCAAAGAGATTCAAGATATCTTTGACAGCATTCCTATGATCGAAGCGCCATCACCACCCCCCAAAACTGGTGAGACCAAGAAATTTCAATTTGGAGCACAGCGATCGCGAACTCCGCCGGCCACTGGCACCAA